GTTTGATCGTGGGGAATGGCCGCGTTTAAAGTGCAAGTTAACGAGCTACGGGTTGGGAAAGTCTAGGTTACTATGGCATTATGATTGCTACGAGATTGGCCGAGGGAAAGGGATGTGTGAATGGAGGGTGGGGAGAAAGTTACTATAGTAAATTACCAAAGTAAGACATTAGTATGTCTTACACTGTAATATGAGCGTGGACTGCCTAAACTTAGATTTAAAGAAAAAGTCAAGCACCCTCTTAAAAAATAAAAAAAATCACCATACCCTATTTTTAAACTATACCCTACCCTACAATACCCTACCCTACCCTACCCTACCCTACCCTACCCTACCCTACCCTTACCTTACCCTTACCCTTACCCTTACCCTTACCCTTACCCTTACCCTTACCCTTACCCTTACCCTTACCCTTACCCTTACCCTTACCCTTACCCTTACCCTTACCCTTACCCTTACCCTTACCCTTACCCTTACCCTTACCCTTACCCTTACCCTTACCCTTACCCTTACCCTTACCCTTACCCTTACCCTTACCCTTACCCTTACCCTTACCCTTACCCTTACCCTTACCCTTACCCCTTACCCTTACCCTTACCCTTACCCTTACCCTTACCCTTACCCTTACCCTTATCCTTACCCTTACCCTTACCCTTACCCTTACCCGTACCCTTACCCTTACCCTTACCCTTACCCTTACCCTTACCCTTACCCTTACCCTTACCCTTACCCTTACCCTACCCTTACCCTACCCTACCCTTCTCTGCCTTATTATACCCCATCCTATTCACCCTTATGTTGTCTTACCGTTCTTCCCCCTCCTCTTCTCTCCCTCCCTTTCAAGTTCAAGGTCATTCCCTTCAAGACCTTAGGCCACAAAAGCGTTCCAATATACGATGGGATTACGGTTGACGGGCCTCCCCCCTCTCCGAACTTTTGCCGATGGACAAATTGAGACATTTTGAAGAATGGGGCACAAAGATAAGCCTAGCCGACATTTATAACGTGCAAATTTTGGCAGAAACATAAAACCCCCCAGGGATTAAATTACAAATTTATGCATTTCCAGTCGAAATAATTTATTGGTTTCGCGAAACTTGATTACACTGTAAGTTTTAGTGGGTTGGTATACCCTACTCTACTCAGTAAGACCCTAACCTACCCTACGCTGCTTTTTGCTACCATACCTTACCCAACCTTACCGTAACTTACCCTAATCTCCCTTATCCTACCCTAACCTACCCTACAGTAACCAACCCTACCCTACCTTACGCTACTTTGCCCTACCTTACCGTATCCTACCTAACCCTACCGTAACCTACCCTAATCTATCCTTTTCTAACCTAACCTACCCTACCCTACCCTACCGTACTCTGACCTACTCAACCCTACCGTAACCAACCCAACCGTAACTCACCTTTGCATAGATAATTCTTCATTACCTTATCATCGACCTGTATAAACAAAGTTCAACCTCTTATCGTACCTCACTACCCCTTCACTATCTTGTACAGAAGCTTTCTTACACCTTATCCCCCCCCCCCCTCCCATAATATCATACCCCACAATATCTAGTGCCATACACTCAATAAATTACTCTTTTCTAACATTATAACGCAAAACCTCTTGGCCATCAAAATCCTGAAGCGAAAGTAAGATAATCGACCAATATATCCATCACTAAAACCAATTTATAAGCCATATACGACGGCCATATCCAATAACTCTAACACAATGTCCTCAGGGAACAGTCAAGGTTATTTGTAAAAAACGACACACTTTTTTGACCAGTTTTTATATCCCAAAATTTCAAAAAAAAACTTGCAACACATTGCCAAAAAAAGCCCGCAAAATTCAAAAAAAACTTTTCTTCACCTTTTTTTCATTTTCTGCTATCGAGAGAGAGCACAGAATAATTTGAACAACCTAATAATTTTTTACTAAACAAAAAAATAACAAGAACTTTCTTTACAAAACAAAAAATGGCAAGAACTTTCTTTACAAGACAGAAAATTGCAAAAACTTTCTTTACAAAACGGAAAATGACAAGAACTTTCTTTACAAAACAGAAAATTGCAAAAACTTTCTTTACAAAACGGAAAATTGCAAAAATTTTCATTACAAAACAAAACTTTACAAAACGGAAAATTGCGAAAACATTCTTTACAAAGCAAAAAATGACAAGAACTTTCTTTACAAAACGAACTATGGCAATAACTTTCTTTACAAGCCCCAAAATTCGAATTTAACCTGTAACATCAAGCCTAAAAACTACGCTACACCATAATTAATACAACCAAATATTAGGCCTGGTTCATACCTTTAACCCTAACAAATGTAAATTTATTATTTCTAAATAGTACATAAGTGAGATCATTGTATTCGAAAAATCACATGGTAAAGTAATTTCAACGTGAATAATCAGCTTATTATTGTTTCAATTCGAGTCGGACTTGGCCTTTTGAGCAGCATTATATGAGAAGACGCACAGCACGGCGTAACAGATCTGGTCAGACTGAAAAATATTGATTTTATTTGACATTGGGTAAACGCGTTATCTAGTCTACATACATGTTCATATATATATAATAAGCTAAGTTAACTATAAAAAAATCAATGTTGTATACCTAAAAAACAAGTATTAGGTTGTTCAAATGATTCTGCGCCCTTAACCCTAAAAATTTGATTTCAAAAGGAGCACAGAATTAATTGAAAAACTTAATACTTATAAAAAACGACTAGATATATTAACAAAAAGCCAAAAAAATATATTAAAGTGTCATGAAAGTCTTGTCGTCATTTTAAGTGTATTTGCGCAGTCAAAAACGACAAGACTTTTTGAGACCCTAGTATAAAAAAAAAATCACATCTACGTAAAGTACACCAATAACAAGATATGAAAACAACATTTTTGCACTTCTACTATATTAAAACAACAACAAAACTTACTGTTCCCTGACGTTACAAACGTGATATCAAGGTCATAATCACAGCATTTTGAATCTTTAAACATATCACCAGTACATTACCATTACAACACTTCCAAACACAACACATTGAGTATACAGTACAATACTATGATTATACTATGACTACGGATAGTATAATAATATGACTATACTGCGGATGAGAGTAGTACAATACCATAGTTTTCTATATACTACATCTAACAGCAAAAACTCAAGCCAATACACAAATATACCCATATACCAAAGTAACAACAACAAAAACCCACTTTCATACTACTACAAGTACAATATTACACTTTTTATAGCTACTACGTGATATGATAGTATACCTTTTAAAAATAATGGTATCTTAACATAGGTAACCTCAATATATTAAGCTGTTCAAATAATTCTGAGCCCCCAAATACCTGAAATTTGCTTTGAAAGGGTGCACAGAGTTATTTGAACAACCTAGCAGTAAAATCTTAACAACACAGCCTCAATACCTAGCAAAAAATTATAAATTTCTTTCATAAACTAATATACAAAGCTAAATAAATAATTTATTATAATAAAATGCGCGCAAAATTAATAATCTTAAGGCTTGACTAACAGTTCATTTGAGTAAAAATATGTAAATTGTACAATATGTTAACAATATATGTCATTTTATATTAAAGAAAAATAAAAAAAGCAATTTACGAAGAACAAAAAAGTAAAAAAAACAACTTTACAATAGATTAACATGTGTTTCTATGGCGTATCAGAGGTTTACAGAGCAAGTTTTCGTTTCTAGAATATGTTCATAGCAAGGAAAAGACATAACCGTATTATAAAATAGACCTAAACAAGTGTAAAAGGTATGTTCCTAAACATAAATCAGCATTTTTAAATAGAGATCAACAAAAATAGCATTTTTGATAAAAGAGAAAGTCAGAAAAGTGCAGGGTAAGATAGAGTAAAATAAAAGTAGGGTAGGGTAGAGTAAGATGATAAAAGATAGAGCAGGTTACGATAGGGTAGGGTAGAGTAAGATAAGGTGCAATAAGCTAAGGTAGAGAAAGGTTAAGCTAAAGTTGGTTATGGTGGTTCGAAAGTAGAGTTAGGCAAAGTAGGACAAGATAAGTTAGGGTATGATAAGTTAGGGTAGGGTAGGATAAGGTAAGGTAGGATAGTGGTTAAAAGCGGGCCAAGAAACACGCAACAAAGCTTATAAAAGCACTTTTTTCAAAAAAAAAACATCAAAAATGCCATTTTTGTTTAAAAAAACAATCAAAAATATGTAACATTACATCATCATGTCCTACTAAAGACTTGATAAATAATATATTAGAAGATTAAAAGAAATCATTCCTTATATATGCAGTAACGTAAAAACTAATGTCTGAGTGCAAAAGATCAACCAGAGCGTCAAGAGAAGACTAATCAAATTTACTCTAGGGTCTAGGCTATGTTTGAGTACTCAGAACGTCCTCTACGTTTAAGCACTACAGTAAATCTTACGTCACTTTATATCTCAAAAAGGGCTCTTTCTCAGTAAATGAAATAAGCTTAAGTTAATAATTTCTAAATAAAAAGGTAATAAAGCTCTTTGTACTAGTTACCTGTATACACTATAATTTTTGTTGTAATTTCAATTTTTTAAAACAATTCTTGAAAAAAAAATTTTTTGTAAAAATATTGCCACTTTCATGTACTTCATCATGATGATATATAGATGGTAAAGTTCTTCATGTTGGCTTCAGCTTATGACATGTGTAATATAAAAATATAATTTTAGTCATCTTTTGATCAAAGCTATCAATTCCAGCTTCAAACCCTGATCATTCTACAGCTCTTCGACCCAAAGTGCCCCGAGGTAGCAACTTTTGACTTCACTTCCAAGTTTTCCACACTATATACGGTAACTATATAATATATCATCATATATGTTATCCATGTTATATAGGTTGTAATATACGTTGTCCATGTCATATAAGTCGTAATATGTTATCCATAGTCTATTTATCATATTATACGTCATCATTCCTCTTCATACCACCATGGGTAATATCATCGAATTTCGGGCAGAACCTCAGTCCTCGGGGTGAGATCCTCCATCTCGATAACCTCGTTATCGGCCTCTTGTCGCGGCCACACATTCAAGGCCGTGTCCATCGAAACAGAACTACACAATTTGGCCACATTCACCCGTTCCTCGGCCTGCAGCATAGCCGGGTGACTGGGGGCACGTTGGCGAGTAAAATATGGAAAGTTAGTCGTTGTATTCTCCTCATCCGAACCCGATGTCAACCTTGTTATAAAGCGAAGTTCGTTGGGGTAGCTCGTGTGTTCAAACGAGATTTGCGACAGTTTTCGTCGTCGCCGCTTCTTGGTCGAGTAGGAGGGTGAAGCGGTTGGGGTTCGCTCTTCTGAAGCCGTGTTGCTGTCCACCGAGTTCTGGATACAAATCTTTGGTCGTTCCAGATTCAGACGTTCCTTCAAAATCTCTTCCGACAGCTTTTTCCGTTTCGGCGATATCATTGGACTCGACATCATGGGACTGCTACAAAAGCTCTTGTCCGCCTCGTAGCCATTGTCGTCGACCTTACCCACGGGCGTTTCCACGCCACTCATCGTGTCTTCGTCAGCCAACGTTCGCGCCAACGTCTCGTTCAGGGTGAGTCGCACACTGAACATACGATGCAAGGCCCACGCGACATGACGGGCCTAAAATTGGGGCCAACACTTAGTTTTTTTATTGTCAACGAATCAACCTGTTCACCAAGGCAGTTGGGAAGCGGGTTTTGGCGCCGCTTTCGAGATTTAGAATCGGGTTTTAGCGCGGGTTTTAAATCTTGAAGCAATTTGTTGCGGTTTTTTTAGTTTTAAAGCAAATTCTATGGCGATTTTAGAATTTTAAAACGAATTTTTGGGTAGTTATTAAGCATTAAGACTAGAATAAGAATCAAGACAAGAGTGTTTGAGCCGGCCATAATTACTTTTTTTTACTAACTTCAGCCTTTACCGTGCAAAAAATTCTTAAAAAAATCAAAAAAAAGTTTAGAAAATTTAATTATAAAGCAATATTTTTCGATATTTAGACCAACTTTGACCTTATACCATAAGATAAATAACTTTCAGGGACTAAGAATGCCATTATACTATAAGATAATATCTTCAAGATATCAAGAACCTCCTTATACATACAATACATTGGCTTAAACATACCAAAACAGACCTCAAAAGACTAGAAATAGCCGTGAATATACCAAAAAAAGCTTTAAAACTCATTTTATAGGTTTTCAAAATGTTTGATTCACATAATTTTGTGCCCCTAATCTCGCAAACCTGCTTTCAGAAAGGCACATAATTATGTGAATAATCTAATACAATGATCATGCTAAAACCGATAAGATGTCTACGATTCAGCTAAAACAACTTTACAATACAAAAATACCTAAACTTTTACTGCGCGCGAAACTTCGGCCGTACTATATAAGGGTAAAAAAGTGAGAGAAGTTTGAAGAATTGTAAAAAGTCACCCCCAAAAACATAGTGAACAGATTAATTCAACCAAAAAAGATCAAAGGAAAACACCGAAAGATAGGCGGAAATATACAGTCGTACTCAATCAACGGTTATATTGGTGTTTAGCCAACACTGTACAGCTTGAAACAAGTTTCTGAACTTATCAAAATTTTTAAAAATTTTTAAAAAATCAAAAATTTCAAAAAAAAATTCCTTCGAATTTCAATTTTTTTCAAATGAAAAAAAAAATTTCGAATTTTTAAAATTTTTAATTCAAAAAAATCATTTTCAAACCGTAAAAAGTAAAATTTCAAAGCGATTTTATCAGCTTTTATCAATTAAGTTATCATAGCCAGCCCAAAAGTAGAGTAAATAGCCAGAAAGTGACACGGCAAACCCTTATAAACCCCTTTTCGTACTTCCTTATAGACCTCATAATACCTCTTTCGTTACTACACCCTACCTAAAACCTATTTTTTCATATTCGCCATAACCAATCTCCCAACTAATCATTAAATAAAGTTAAAAAATTCAAGATTTTTGGTCAAAAACAACCTTTTTGAGAAAAAATCAATCCTACCCAAATGCCCACACCATTACAATAACAAACAACACGTTTACAACACCCACCACACAGTATAAAAGCAAAATAGAATGTTAGCATACACTAGTAAAAAAACGGACTTACCATGGTTGAGATATAACGTCGTTGTATCAGCTGGTTTCGCTGTTTGTCTAAAGTTTAAATGTCACCGTTTATTATAGTATTATACTATAAGCCATTTTAATTAAAAACTTTGGTATATCATGTAAAGACTAGTAAAATTTACTGTACGGTAAAGACAATACAGTAATGTTAAAATAGTTCCAGATAAGCAAAAAAAATAGTAAACGTACTGTATTCTTCTAAGACGAACATGTTTCCACCAAAAGTGTTGCACTTTTTTATACTTGACAAGCTGATGAAATCCTAAAGCATCAAGATATTAGACACATCACCTTATAAGACTTGTAGTAGAACTTATCGTTCTATTCTACCTTAAGTTACTGTCATCCGCTACTCAACTCTGCTCTGCTCTACCCTACCCTACCCACTCTATCCTTCCTAACCATGCCCTACTCTAATCTACCATACCATACTGTAGCTCACTACCCGACTATATCTATCCTTACTCTGTCCTACCTTATCGTACCAGAGCCGTCACTATCCTACCCCACCCTAAAACATCAAAAACTTACTTGTCGATCAGCAAAAAGAAGTTTCACACCATCAATGCGAACTTGTAGTAGACCGCCTTCACTTGTTTCGATATCATGCACTGGAAACTCTCCGCCGAGATCTCTGCCTGCTATCGTTACCTATAACAATATAATTTTAAACATTTTTTCAAAACCTATTGTACTGAATTAGAAAGGTATTAGGTTGTTCAAACTGATTTTTTTAAATTTGCTATCAGTCATAGCTCATGGCTTTTTGAACAATCTACCAAATTAAACAAAGAAGAGAACGTATTTTACCATGAACCCCATATATGCACAACATTTACCAACAATATAAACTATCAGAAATGATTTATATTACCCAGGTCTATACCCATATTAACATTACCCACCTTTCCCCTTTGAGCAGCCTTTTCCATTGCCGTTTTCATACAAGTATACAGCTGACGACACTTTTTGGTGTGGAACTTGTGCATATGAACTTGATCGTCTTGTCGCCTCCAGATGCACAAGACCCTGGTTCGAGGTGAATATGTCATATTGACTAGTCGTTCGTACCACCACCGTTCCGTGATTTGACCATTACAGGCTCGGATTATCACTGCGTCGTCGCATACCTAAATTTTTAAAACAATACTAATAAAATGTAAATATATTGAAGATTGAAAAATTCAAAAATATGTTACAAAAAGTCAAAAAGTACCTAAAATATTGACATACACAAAATAAAATTAAAAAAAGCTCAAAACTCGTAAATCCTCGTTCTTTTCGAAAAAAAGTAAGACTATACCTATCTCTAACCAATTTTGCAAAAATCAATAAAATATTTTTAATATTCAAAGCATGTGTAACATAAATCATAAAATAAACTATGTTTTCCCAAAGGTTGATTAAAATCTGCCGTTTATTAAGAAAGTTACAGCCTTTTAAAATCACAAAACCTCAAATTTATCGGAAAAAATCGAACTTTTTTGGTTTCTCGCCATTTTCAAATCGACATAACTTCGTCGTAAATCATAATATCAACACAAAACATTTGAAACACATACAACAGACTATGCTTTTCTATATTTTTTGTTTGAATTTAAGAAAAAAAATTCGAAAACAGAAATATAATGAAATTATCTAGCTCATACCAAAAAATTCAAAATTTTTAGGGTTTTTGTTTGTTTCAAACCTATATAACTCGATCAAAACTAATGCGATAAACATGACAATTTTACATCTTATACATCTTACTATGCTTTACAAGAGCTTCAACGCCAATTATTAAAAAAAAGACAAAAACTTTTAAAAAAAAGTAGTTTCAACAATCAATTTTTCACTAAAATTCGACTTTTTTTCCCACTTGTTCATCTCAAAATCTGAACCCACCTCCATGAAAGAAACCGGTGCTTCAGCACTATCTCCAACATGAACAGCAAAGCTTTGTTTTTGTACCAATCTCGACCCCAGTGGCTTCAGTTGAATCAGATTACTTGGTTGTGAAGGCAATTCGTCCAGTAATTGATTGATCTTTTTCGAATAAATCAACCCGATATGGGCTTTACCCAACATTCGTCGTACTTTTTGTTGTAGTACCCGCGTTGGACTTCCACACATAACCATATAGGCAGTCATGTTGTGTAGTAGTACTGCTATGATACGATCTTCATCTAGTTCGAGTCGTTTTCGTTCTGAATCGTTGAGAGATGAGTAGCGGTCAATCATTTCGCTTGGTTCTTGATCCATTCCAATGATATCGCGTTCTTTGGCAACCATGTCGAAGAAGGCGTTCTCCCAGAATACCATGTTGGCCCAGAGGCCGTTGGATGCGGCTGAAAGTGATGTTATAGTAGGTAAGGTAAGTTAAAGTAAGATAGAGTAGATTAAGATAAAAAAGAATAAAGTAATCTCCAGTTAACTGTTATAAGAGGCTAAAAGTTATATTATAGTAGGTAGAGCAAACTAAAACACGATACGATAGGATAGCTCAGGGTGAAGTTACTAAAGTAAAGTAGAGTAGATAGAGCAGAGTAAGATAAAAGAAGGTAAGGTACTAAATTCTACTTACAGATCAAATCCTGATACAAGAAGTGCCTTGTTGGTTCTAGAGTTGAGCTACTTGAACTTGATGGTGTTGATGGCTTAGCGACAAACAAAGATTTTGGCTTTTCGATTGGTTCGGCTGCCTTTACATGCCCATTGGCTACTGGTTTTGTTACCTAAAACATAAATTTTTATTTAAAAAATTTTGAAATTTTAAAATTTCAAAAAAAAATTTTATTTTTTGCACAGTGCAAAGAAATAAAAAAGGCTCTTTTTTGCCATTTTTAATGTAATAACAATATGAAAAATTAATTTTGAAATGCTATAAAGTCTTAAAATTATATTTTTTGCCATTTTTAAAACAAAAATCTAAAGAAACGACATTAAAACCATCAAAACCTACCTTAATATCGCCATTTAGTATGTTTCCAGCCGGTTTTTCTTCATTTTTATCTTCTTTTTGCCCATCTTCTTTGCCAAAATTATCATTATCCTCTTTGTCCTTTACTGCATCTGATACAACGCTACCTATTACCTTATTTTCTTGTTTATCAGCCTTATCATCACGTTGTTCTATCCCCTTATCACCATTATGTTTGCCTTCTACTTCTTTAACCGGCTCCAGAGCTGGTGGAGGTAGGACTGGTGGAGGTAAGACTGGTGGATCAGAATTTGTCAACGACTTCCTTGGACTACTAACAGACCCGACTGAGCCACTACTGGCTGGTCTTTCAGGTAATGGAGGTGGTCGTTTGGGTAGTGGTGGAGGTCCTGCACCTCTTTGTGGTACTGGTGGTGGTATTCGTGGAGACGTGCGGGTGTCTGAGGGTCGTCGTGGAGGTATTGCTGGTGTTTCGGAGGGTCTTCTTAGAGATTTTGGAGGTTCGGATGTTACGGTATCTGTTGATCTGGTCATTTCGTTGTTTTGGTCGTTAAAAGTTGATGGTACCACATTATTTGCGCTATCTACAAAAATAGTACTATTATAAAACACTGAATCCAAAAATGATACTATTTTAAGATACCGAGTTAAAAGTGGTACTAATAGTACCTTCATGAATTAAAATTGTACCATAAATGCTACTAGTACTATTACTAATCTAAAATCGTACTACTAACTAATAAAAAAACAGTACCATTAGTACTACTAGTAAGACTATCAGTACAAAAACCTCTACTACAAGTCCTCAAAGCCAATAAAAGTACCATTCTTACCCAAAAGACCTCCAGTTCCATTCGCACTGCCTCCATTTTGACTACCAGTACCATCATCAACATTACTCAAAGATATCAAATCACTAGTTTGAGGTGTGTTAACATTGAAATCAACCAGATCTTGTTCTTTTTGTTGTTTAGCTGTTTCGACTCCAGGCTGTAAAGGAGTCGGACCAGTCGTTGTGAATGGTACTGGGTCGGTACCAGTCTTAGGAATACTGGCTAGCGAAGACTTGTGACTTGGTCCAGCTGGGCTTAAAATTGTGTGGATTGATGAGGTTGGGGTGCCAATCTAAAAGAATGTTATTGTAGAGTAATAGCTAGAAGTTGGTGAATATTGTACAACGTACTATATAGTATGGTACTGTTTTTGATATTTGTGTATTTAGTCCTTTAGTATGCCCTAATACCATAAAGAATAGTCATTTAGAACGTACTAAAACCAAAAAATTTTTAAACTTAAAAGTTACAGTAACCCAAAAACCGTACCAAGCTAGAAATCCCGCTTCCAGGAGTATGACTCTCATTCTCAGCCCAAAAGTGAGTATGTGCAATCTCCAGCACATGAAATAACGATGCCAACCCATCGGAATGTGGACTATTATACGAGTGTTCCAGTCCATGAAGACAAGCTTGTAGTATCTTCAAGTAGCCCTTGTACTGTGCCCGTGACAGCTGTACCCGTTGAAGAAAGTCTTCTTCTGTGTAGCGTTGAGAGACGCCTAGATTCAGTTTTTGACACACCAATTCACGCAGAGATTCGTCTTCTAGTAGACGTTTGAGTTTGGCACTTTGAAAGACACCAACGCCTTGACCAGCTAGAACTTGGTCACACATGTCTCTGATGGTTTGTTGGTTCTTCCTAAATTGAAGTATGATAAGGTCATTTCTAAGTAAGTGTGTATAGTAATTGCACTGTGCGTTTTTCTCCAACTTTTTTTAAATTTAAGTTAATTTCAATCTTTCTCAAACTCCTACATTTGCAACTGTGCCGCCTGTGTGGAGTCTTTCTCCTTCTTGCTATCTTGTTGTACGTTCTGTCGCTTGTTCTGAATTAGATGTTGGCCGTGTTCGATTTTGTTGGCCGCCGCCTCTAATGGCCTCATTGTCTTTTCACGCAAGGCATGAGCTTTGGGCGCGGTTTTGGAGAAGAATGACCCCAGCATGCCGTGACTCTTCTCCGCGTAGCCATTCAGCGTGTTCATGATGTTTGGGCCAAAGACTTTTTCGCCAGAGTCGGAGAAGGCTTGTTGGAAGCCCTAGAATGACGTCAATTGAGACGTTATATATAAAAGTAAAATACGTCCAAGTATTGTGATATTTCGCCCAAAAAACCAAAAAAATCAATAATAAAATTTACGTTTCGTCCAAAAACCTTAAAGCTAATATAAAATCAATAAATATTTTGGCATTTCGTCAAAACCCCAAAAACTAAAAAACCAATAATAATAAAATTTACATTTCGTCCAAAAACCGCAAACTTAATAAAAAATCCATAAATAGTTTGACATATCATCAAAAATGGCAAATCAAGCAAAAATCCGATAATAAAATTGACATTTTCTTTCTAAACAAATAAAAAATCAATAACTATTTTTGCGTTTCGTCAAAGCCCCAAAAAATCAATAAAAAATTGACATTTCATCAAAAAACTTTTAAAAAATCAAAATAACTCACTTTAATTTTAAACTGTGGCCCTTTCGAAGTCGGAGTACTGGAATTGCTCGATAATACTGAGGGTCCTAATGGTGCTTTTCGATTTTGAACAGGAGTACTTTCAGTACTATCTCCAACGTGGTCAAAGTCAAAATCTCCCTGAAAACCGATGTTATCCATCATTAAAGCTACTTTTCATATTTTTTAATTGAAAAATCTTCTTTGTTACCTATTAAGTTTTTCAAATAATTTTGCGCCCCTAGCAGAAAAAGTCGCTTTAAGAGAGGGAGGCAAAATTATTTGAACAACCTAAAAACGCTAAAATGTTGCATATTCTGCAACTCAGTAAACAAATCTTTGCAAGAACGTAGCACCTTATCCTACTCTATCTATAAATTATTTATGCAACTCTTATTTGTGTAGGCTAACACATTCTGAAGCAAAACGTTCAGCTTGACGTTCTAAATCAGATAAAATTACTTCTTTTGAAAATTAATTTCATGATTAATTTAAGTTTAAAAAGAGTTGCCAAAAATAGAAATTCCTATCCTCTCCTACCATAAACTTATACCTGCTCTAAACTGAGTTACGTTATCCTGTCTTGCCTTACCGTACACTAATATACTCTATCTTGCAATACCTATCCTACCTTACACTAACGTACCGTACCATATCTCACCCCACCCTACTGCAACCCAACCGGAACCCCCCCCTCTTACCTTTTCATTCGATTTTATGGCCAAATTCTCGGCCAATCTTGCAAAATCAGCTTCACTGTCGTTACCGGCTTCAGAATTCGTGGAAGCCGGACTAGATCGTCCACTACTGATCGAGGATTCAATTGACAGCCGGCTGAGACTTTGGGGCAATTGAAGCTTGTTTGGGGCTTGATAAACGTCGTTTACTTCACTCACTGGTTTTGTGGCTTCTAAAATACTCATAATATTAGCCTAAAATATTAGAGATAGACTATTTCCTATCACAAAAACACCTTTTAATTTTGGTTTGTTTTGAATTTGATAAAAACATCAAGTGTAATATCATTTTTATCCAAACCAAGTGCAATATTACCATAAATTATATTATGATTGTTTTAACTGGCAACCCGTTAAACTTTTTATAAGCAATACGTAAAATATTACCTATCAAAGCCACAATAACATTAAAATGCCCTTTTTTATAGTTTATAAATCATTAAAAACGTTTTAAAGCCATCTGCATATAGTTCAAATAAACTTAAAATTTACCAAAATCGGGAGCATGTTCAGAGAAAGGAGACATTGTTAACATAGACTCATCCATTCCATTACTTTCCCAGTCAAACTGATCTTCTTCTTCATCTAAACCATGAGCATTCCTAGCCAAATGCCAGGTATTCAAGGCTTCAACTAATGTGCAGTTGTTTGGATAAGCCTGAAGATGATAATTAAGCATTTCAACGGTCATTTTAAACATTTTTTAAATTATTTAGACACTTCAATCATTGTAATATACTAATATTATAAATAATTATCCTAAATATGTTACACAAAAACCACCTTACATTAAAATGAACAGGCATCAACTCATCGCCGAACCACTTCAACTTGTCGCCCACTTGTTTAGCACTAGTAGTACCATTCTGAACCCTAACATACACCTCATTCCTTGGACAAAGACACTCTTCCGCAAAGTATTCCACACTTTGCGTCTTACACAGCTCCTGAATGAACGTCGACAGATATGGTCGACTTCTCAAGAAGGATTCCGTTTGCAACGCCACGACCGGTCGAGGATACAACCTCAAAGTCCGCGTATGTTCGCTAAAGTTGGCAAAGATGTTGGGGCTGTTGAAGAAGTTGATCATGGCAATCCGGCACGCAACATCAATCTCATCCGGATCATTTTGGTACGACGCTTCGAAACTTCCGTTCTTATTTTCACTGAATTCCGAGGTTGTTTTGCCCAATGCCACGAGGAAATCCTGCTTTAAGTTCGACCGTTCTGGTTCAGGAAGATCCGGTACAGAAAGATCGTCGGGGATCGTCACTTCGTTCGTGTCCAAGTCGACAAGGATAACATCTTCAGGCAGTTTGATGCCTTTGCATAGAAAAAACGAAGCCGGAACGCCAATTATAAAGGGAGTTGGGGCCAGAAGAATCTGAAGAATAATCAATTATAATATTTTTAACTATTTTTACTGTTTTACATTGTGAGCTACAAGTTATTGTGAGCTTTACAGCCAAAACGTACTAAAACAATATTTTGTCAAAAAAGGAAAACATGACCCGTAATTTATCAATGAAAAGGAAAGTCTTGTCTCAAATTCTTGTTTTTTACAAAATTCGGGCAAAATATTGTTTTCCTTTACAATATTCGGCCTTACATGCTGATAACAATACCTTTTTAATAAAAAAGATCGAAAAAACTTTTTTATTTTACCTTTTTTTAAATTATATTGTTTTAGCCCATTTACCTGTTCAGCATTTTGCAGAAACGTTGGCAACAACGGAATGACCGGAAACATGTACTCCAATGGGTAGAGTAACGCGACCAGCGATAGTACACACATGCTTACTGCATTGTAATTGCGAGATTGTAACACGACCTGAAGTTAAGGTAAGAATTCCATATTATTTTTGATTTTTAGGTATCTTATGTTATGTTAGGTCGGAAAATGATCGTAATATCCGGTCGTAATAGCCAAAATTGGTATTGCGAGTTTGAGAAGACAATATTCATCATTTTTTTAAATTTTTTGTTGTTTCAAAAGTTCTAGGAAAATTTTTTGACGATGCGTTTTATGGTTATAAGCAAAAATCGCATCGTACAGATCATCTAACGTTCTTTAAAGAAGCCTAAATTTTAGAAAACAAAGTGTTTGACCTTACTTTATGTTCCAACATGACAGCTGTCAATAACGTGATGACAGTATCAGTGCTGAGCAGTTCCAATGGCAAATGTAGTGGAAAGTCGACCATTGTGAACCTGGTATAGTCTGGAAGGCCGAATTCTTGCATTTTCATCACTTCTTCTGGCAAAATCTGAAATTATAACATATATTATTGTTGTCTATGCAATAATATAAATCTTTTTAAGCGTCTATATGAATATTGGGGTTTTATTCGACTTATATTGTGTTACAAAAGCAAAAAGGTTTAGTTTAGTTCAATATTATTCATTATATTGCTATAATTTTATGCTCAGACGATTATATTGTCCATCAAGTGCAGCATGTCTTCTTCCAGAAGCTATTACCTAAAAAATAAAATAATTTTACCTCTAATACCAACTTGGTTTTCCCTGGTACTGGTACTGGAGAACTTAAGAGAAGCAAAATCCAGGTTTCGATCTGTTTCACTTCTTGCATTACAATTTGAGGTATTGGACCGGTCCAGTGGCCTGTTAGTACCATCCATAGGGAATCTCTACAAAAATATTGTCAAATTTCTTAACTGTAGTACAGTATTTTGGATTTTTAGTACTATATTTTGAGTATTGATGCTAAAATTTTAAAGGTCCATTAATTCTTTCGCAGTTTTAAGGGTAAATGCAGAGTAAAATGATTTTATTAATAATTCAGAGCTGCAAAACAAAAAAAATATATAAAAAAGAAGGACTTAATGAATTTCGCTATATTATAGTAGATAATGGCTTACCGTGGCAAGGAATCGTCGTAGTTGCATCGCATATTACACGCATCGATGAGTTGAGCTAATAATCTCAAAAGTTCAGCAAACGTCGACAAGAAGGGATGGTGACTGATCAAGCACAACGATGTCATCGAAGCAGTTGGTCTTCTGAAAGCATTTTAACATAGGTCTCATGATTAATATAATTGCTGTTTTTAGCACAAAATTAGGCGTTTTTGATGAAAAAGTAAACCAAATACTCTGTTTCAATTTAACTTTTTTTTTATTTCGATCGACTCAAAAGTCCTCGGACTGTCTGCACAGTGAAATCAAGAAATCTCTAATTTTTATTGCACTGTGCAGAAGTCTTTAAGATTAAAATGTTATAAAGTACTCACAAATTGAAGTCGAATAACTTACCGTTTAGCTGGATTACCCGAAGTTGTTGTGTGTGTTGGTTTCGGTTCGAAATGGAGGAAAAAGTTCAATGTTATGCCATATCGTATCTTGGATGTGTCCTTTTCCGTTAGCATGAAAATGAAGGAGGTTGTTTCGTGGCCGTGCTTGTTGTGCTGATAATTGTCAGCTGAAATTACGTTTTTTAGAATCTTAGGAAAACCGCCTATGATAATATAGCCTTGATTTGACTGCACGGTGCAATTTTTCAATTTCTTGCACCGTGCAAAATTTAAAAAATTACCTAAAATACCAAAAATCATTATAAAATGATCTAAAATACCATAAATCACAAAATAAAATACCTAAAATACCAGAAATCGCCACAAAATTACCTAAAATCCCAAAAATCATATCAAAAACCCACCAACAGTGACACAGCCCTCGGGCTGACAAAAGTACGTGACATCGGTAGGCAAAGCGAAGTCTTTGTGATTATCGGTGGGATAACGCCTCAGGATCTCCGGATTTGCCACCCCGACGAAGCCGGTCCGCCGCCGCAACTGGGGCACATCGTTCGGATGGACGTGCGCACCGATCGGCGGCGCCTTCTGAAGTTTGGAGTCGGGTTTTCGGCCGACAATCACCAGGAAATCGATGAGACGAGGACAAAGCTCTTTGGATTTGTCGTCCATCAAGCCATCGATGAGTTTACAATGAAGTTTTGAGTTGGCACTGAAATGAGAGGGGTTTGAATTGGATTTAAATTAGGTTTTGGGTATTATACTTGATGTTTTTATCGTTTGCGCGGGAAAAATCATTTACACGATACGGTTACTGAGTATAATACTCAAAAAAATCAATGATGAGAACTAACACATTTGTCTAAATATCCATATTTGGACAACGTGGTACATATTAAGCCGTTCACTTAATTCTGAGCCCTTAATGTATATTTTTCCAAATTTTTAATTTTTGAGGCAGTACGGTACTGAAAAATTAACTGTACGGAAAATAATTGCGATTAAAATGACGTAGATAGTGGACCAAATTCTGGAAAGCCGTGCCAACAAATTTGGTTAAAACCACTAAAAGCCTGGAAGAAGCGAAACAAAAAAATATTGAAAAGACAGCATAAAAACAATATTTTTTTGTAAGACTACTTTGTCAATTCTTTGAATTCAAAGTTGGTTTCCGTATTTTACAACCCTACCCACCCTACTCAGCTTTACCCCGCCCTAGTACACTTTATCCCACCCTACTTGACTTTACTATACCCTAACCTACCTTACCCTACCATACCCTAGCCTCCCCTTCCTTGCCCCAAACTATCTTAGCCTAAGCTCACCCTACCCCTCCATTAAAACCCATGCCCCACCAAACTAATCACCCTTATTGAGCCTGTTATTCCGCCATAATTTTGGGGTTTCGCCCAATTTCCACGCCCTTGACGTCAATGCTAGCGAGAAAGGAGAACATGTTTGTTATTCAGTGTCAGATCTTGTGTTCGTCTCTCGCTGCCTCCCCCCCCTCCCCCCCCAAATGAAGGCAAAATTTAAATGAAAATTTGGGTGAACATCAAAAAATATTGTACATAAAGGGCAGCACAAATTGCTGTTGGGTGGGGGGCAAAGCCGTAAATAAACGAGGCCCGCTTAGGATAGATTTTAATTTGATACAATTCGAGTGCAAAACAGCATGAGGTTGAAGATGAGTTTTTGGTGGAAGGAAAAGTTTTTAAGTTTATGGGCTTGGCAAGGTTTTTTTATTGGGATTAGGGGGAAGTAAGCAAAAAAAGAAAAGTCAAGGAAAGCTAGTGTAAGATTTTGCCAATGGGAGTAGGTCAGGGTAGAGCTATGGCTATGTTAGAGCGAATGTGCATAGGGCTAAAGCTAGGGCTACGTCAACGCCTACAGCTCAGGCTACGGTTAAGTGTAGGTCTAGTGTTAGGACTACGACTCAATCTAGCGCTACAGCTAAAGCTAGGGCTAAAGACAGGGATATGTCAAGGCCTACTGCTCGGGCTATGTTTAGGTGTAGGTTTAGTGCTAGGGCTGGAACTAAATCTAAGGCTGAGGCTACAGCATGGCCTACGACCAGAGCTAGGGCTAAAGATAGGGCTAGGTCCAGTGTTAAAATCAAGACCGGGACTGCGGTCCTAAATGTTTTGACCGGACCGGACATTTTATTTTTTTAAAGATGCATTTGATCGGACCGACAGCCTTGGTCTATAACTGGGGCTTGAGCTAAAGCTATAGCCAGGACTTGGGCTAAAGCTAAAGCTAGGGCTAGAGCTAAGGAGAGTCCAAAAAACGTTGTATCATTGTTTTTACCACCCAACCGTTCTTTATTTCCAGAGCAAAGAGAACGGAACGTTGTGAAATTAAGTCCAGTTCATGATAATTTATGGTAGAACGACCAGAAAAGCTGGAACAGGATATGCATTTTTAAATAAAGACATTTCAAAAAGTGGGTTTTTGAAAAAGTAAAAAATACAAAAAATAAAAAAATGGACTGTATAAGTAGAAATGACTATAGTATAATCATTTTAAGAGTGTTATTAACTGTCAAAAAACGTCTTGTCGTTTTTGAACGTTCATATACATGCAAAATGGCGACAAGACTTTTTGACGCTTTAGTATTACTTTATATTACAGTATATAGCCCACCAAGCACTTGAAACACTATTTTTGGCTCCAATTTTCGGTGACCAAAACCAACCCTTTTTCTATAAACCCCGCTTTAAAAATGGCCATGAAAGCCGCCATAATAACGAGTCTGAATATGAGTACATTCTAGTAAGTCGGGGTAAAGGAGTCATAGTGTATATTTAAAACGGTAAAATATAAAAATCTTAAATTTTTGTTCAATTGGTTTACCCACCCCTTCCTACCCTACCTTACTCTAACACCCTACCCTACCCTACCCTACCCTACACTACCCTACCCTACCCTACCCTACCCTATTCTACCCTACCATACCCTTCCCTACCCTAACCTATCATACCATACCCTACCTTACCCTACCCTATCTCATCCTACCCTATCCCACCCTATCCTATCCTAAGCCAAAAATTAACAAATACTGTTTTCAGAAAAGTTTTGTCGCTTTTTAACAAGCATTTAGATACTTAAAAACGACAAAACTTTTTTTTGGTCATTAAATATTATATTACATTTTTAAATGGACAAAAGCATATTAAAACGGCAAAAATGCAAACAGAACATTGTATAAACACTAAATTCATGTTTCTGTCATTTCACATAAATGTCAAATTTGCAGCAGTTTGAATGGGAAATTAGTTTCTCTGCCCATAAACGACAGTATATACTTGTTATCAAAACGAAAGGTTTGTTTAGACAGGTGTTGGAAAGATGAAACGTTTTTTGATTGAAAAATTAATGATTAAAAGAAAAAAGTACAAAAAGATATTGTAGTAGGTCAGTGAAACAATGTTTTTGGTTTTTAGGCCCAGCTCTAATCCCACCCTTAGTTAAAGCCTAAGACTTAGCACCTATGACCCCAGCCTATACTAGCCAAAGTCTTAGCCTAAGCCCCTCCTAAGTCCTAGTCTAAGCCTAGCCTAAGCCCTACCCTGAAACTTAGCCTCAGCCCTAGCCAAAGCCCTATCGTAAGCCCTAGCCTAAGCCCTAGCCTAAGCCCTAGCCTAAGCCCTAGCCTAAGCCCTAGCCTAAGCCCTAGCCTAAGCCCTAGCCTAAGCCCTAGCCTAGGCCTAAGCCTAAGCTTAAACCTTGTTTATTGCACTAGCCTTACCCCCAACGCTAGATTTAGCACAAGCTCTAGCCCAAGGAGTAGTTCTAGCCATAGCTCTAACCTTAGCCTTAGCCCTATCTTATCCCTAGACCCAGCTCTAGTCCTATTCAACATAAAAAGTTTAAAAACAAATATATTAGTCATAAAGCCAGCTGTGTAACCAACAATAACCCGTTTAAATTAGAATTTTTAATTCTTGCTCTTTTGCATATTCATAAACCTCTTGCCCTATTTAGTGGCAATGAGGTTTGTTATCACACAAACATGAACGTTTATTGTTTCCCAATACTTTATGGATCTTTAAGGCTATATGGCTTTGAAACTGTGAAAATTTATAAGATTAGTAATGTTGCACGGTGCAATTTTATCCTTTATAAGATTGCACGGTGCAAAGAAAAGTTTAAAAAAATAAATCATTGAAAACTTTTAAACCCATACCTTATGTAAAACTTCAAAATTGAACTCAAAAGTAATTTTAGCCGAAAAAACGATAAAAATTGTATTAGTTTGTATTATTTCGCGAAGACTAAACCTATTATGGCAAAACAAAAAAAAACATTTAAAAAAAGGAAAAAATGGAAAGAAAACCAATTTGGAACGAAACACAAATTACTTTTTAAACACACTAAAAGCTATCATATAACAATGTTTGTCTAAACATTATACTTAGCAATCGGGCCGGTCTGAATTGACATGTCTACTAACCATGAATGTTAGGAAACGGAGAATACGCTGCCCTGCCTTGCCTTGCCCTCCCTGATCTACCCTAGCCTTGCTTTGCTTTACCGTGCCCTATCCTACCCTTACTGTTTGTGCTCCAACCTGAAGAACTTTTTGAATTGAGCATTTAGCCCGCCCCCTAACTTTTAAAACCCTTCTCCATCCCTTCCTCATTTAAAAAAAAATCGACGCACCCATGCCCAACTATTCCAAATGATTAAAAGTGATATTAAAATTGCACATGTCTAAAAAGCACAAATTTACATACCTATTCCCTAGCCGTCTTCGCAAAAATAGGCCGAATGTCAGAGCAAACAACAAATTACCCATGATAGATAATACGTCTTACTCAATAATAAATAATATCTCTTTTAAAATGGGAATTGAAATACGATTATTTGTTTTCAAGATCTTGCGAAATACCCAAATTCTGGATATTTACATAAAATTACTCGATTATTAGCGTTTGACAGGGGGAGATATTGAGCTTGAAGCAAAGGTTTATTTCGGCCTTTAGGTCTTCAAACAGTAATTCAAGATTTTTATTGAGGAATCACTTCCAAAACAAAATTATAAAGCACATCAATCTACCTTACCTCTAGTTAAAAAAATTTACAGTAAAATACAGCCAAAATAAAAAAAAGGCCACTACCCTTTAGAAAAAAAATTGGTGCCAAAACCACCCCTACCCCTTCAGACAAAAGCATCATAACCTTTGATACCAAAAACCACCATATCCCCCCCCCCCCCCTCCAGACAAAAATATTATGAATTTCGATACAACCAGCCACCCGCAAATCGTTAATTAAACGCCCTTTGGCTAATTTCAGGTTCGGCCGAAGGGAAAACGTCGCTGAAAAAAAGATATGCGAAAAAGAGTGCGAAAAACCGATATCGACGAGTTTCCACGAGAGCCCACGCTCTCTTCCAGCCTCCGGGCATTTCATGCGGCCCACCGCGCTCTTATCTGCTCCGCCATGAAAGCGGGTTTTCCTTTTGCGGTCCTCGCTTCTCGGTGCTTGTGTTCTGTGCTTTAGGCATGGTTTTCTGTGGCCGTTCTCTCGGTTTTGCGTTATATTTTGGTTTTTTGGGCTTCTATTTCTTTTCTTTTTTGTTGGTTTGGCATTGTGTTTTTACTGTTTTCTGCTGTAAATTATTTCTTATGCTTATGTTTTATTTTCTATTTTTTAACTATTTTCCTTATCCGTTTTTGCCCACAGATTACTTTTAAATTGATAAAGAGAAAGACAATATACCATAATTTTTCAAAAAAAAATTTTTGACAAGACCCTGCGTTTCCCTGCCTTCCTCTGTTCTGTACTGAATTGCCTTGTCCTGTGCTTCCCTGTTCTGTCAAAAGATTTTAACCCTTTTCTTCTATCATCAACATATAAACCTGTTTTTCTTTCTCTCGCTTCGTATCTTGTCTCTAACTTCCTTTGCCTCTATACTCTCCATCCAAAACAAGTACAATGTCTAAAACGTGCTCGTTTTTCCTAAACGCTCTATTGCTTTTACAAAGTGTGCCAACATGACATGTTGTATTTGATGTAGGGTTGGACATTTACCGGTAAATTGATTTTTCGGTAAAAATTTTACCGGTTTTTACCGGTAAATTTACCGGATTATTATTTGGTATTTAAAAACTTTAAAATGTCATTAAAACGTTTAATAAGCGTTTTAAAACAACAAAAACAATAAAATAGTAAGTATTTCACTCTTTTACTTTAAAAAAAACTTTTAAGTCCAATAGGTCTGTCCACTTCTTTTTCCCTACCGCGGTAAAAAGATGCGCAACTTCATTCTCCATATAATCTATGATGGCTTTTACCTAAATGCAGACCAAACACAAGCAATAACTTACCATTTTTCCGACTGACCTATCATCCTCAACATTCAGCTGCTCTTCATGTTCAATTGATCCTGCTACTGCTTTAGATTGTACCAAACTCCTCCTTTTACAGTCAGAAAGCTTTTCCATCTTCAATCGCTACTTTCTCTTGGCTTCCCTGGCCTTCGCAAGGTTGTTCAGTCGAAGGTCCTAAGATAACATCATAAAGCATGTAAGAAAAAAATCCTTCGTTTACAAATTTTTGCAATTTGGACGCAAAAGATGCGCAACTTCATTCTTCATATAATCTATGATGGCTTTTACCTAAATGCAGACCAAACACAAACAATAACTTACCATTTGTCCCACCTTTCCTGTTCTTTCCGACTTTTCTTCTTCTTTTTGACCGGCCGGAAACTCGGCCTCTATAACGTCTTCTTTCCCCATTTAAATATCTAAAATAAAACATAAAATAATTAAACTAAAACAAAAAACTCGCGCAATTTCCCCGAAAACACCACAAAAATCACAATCTAAAACAATATCGCGAATTATTTTTCGCAATTTTTATAATTATTTTGACACTTCGTTAATCAAATGTTGAGACCCGACCTCATGCCCATTTTTTGATAAAGAATTTCTTGGCGTGCTACCGGTATATGTTATGTTGACGTAGCTAGTCATAGATGATTGGATGACCATTGTCCATAGACTCTGCTTGGTTCGATGGAATCTTTTGTTTTCCGCATTTTTGCTCATATAATTGCACGACCTGTTCTTGATCATTTGAAGATATCTTAGTGCAATTGTTTCGCTAAATAATCACAGACCTATACATAAAGTATCAAAAATCAACAAGAAAGTTTAAAAATCGAATTTTCCGTCCTTGTGAGTTGTTGGCAGAAGATGTTGGTACAGTCTTGTAAGGTTACTGACGTATTTTGCACCACAATAATTGCAAAAGTAGTCATTATTTGTTCTTTTGTAACGGTCTGGGATATTTTTCAACATATTTCGTCAAAATATTGTTAATTTTCCAAAACAAAAACAAATTTTGAAACAAAAATAATTTTCGTGCTAGGACACAAAACACTTTTTTACCGGTAAAAAACCGAAATTTTCGGTAAATTACCGGTAAAATTACCGGTAAATTTACATTTACCGGTAAATGTCCAACCCTAATTTGATGTTGAGTTCTTTTATTCAAACATGTCTACAGAGTTGTTAGCACTTTTTGAGCATAAATGATTTTCGTTTTGGAGTTTTTTTGGCAAGGAAAGAAAAATGTGAATAATTAAAAAATATTTTTAGACAATCACAAAGTATATTTAAAATGGCGTTAAAAAGACAAATGTCATCTCTTATAGCACAGTAGATACCTTTTTATCTACAACAACATGACTAATGAAACTCAAAATGAAAACGTCTCCACAATCTACTAATAATGTACACACAATGAACAGAAGATACCAGGTAAACTATTAGATTTGAGTCAATTGTCATCTATTATAGCACAGTAGATACCTTACCTATAACAACATAACTAATGAAACTTAACATATCAACGGCCTCAGAAGCTACTTAAAGTTAACTTTCAATGAGCAAAAGGTACCAGATAAACTGTTAAATTTGTAGACATCTTACTTATAGAAACGTAATCGGTATATTTATAGTGACACCAGCTAGCCTATCAAAGAAAAGTCAACATTTTATAATAGACGTAATAACTAAAATATTTGCACTAAATGTCGTTCTAAATATTATAGTAGATACTTTGTTATTTAAATGGTATAAACTTCGCAAAAGTTTAAATGATAAAAAGTAACTCATTTATCGTTCTGACTATTTATTCTCTTAACGCTTTAAAATCTTCATTGACAACAAACTTTTGATCAAAATCTCTGTACGGCATGGGTAAAAAATGGTGTCGATAAATCACGTAGCCAAGTGCCAAATAAAAATTAAATGGAGTAAGACAAGGAACATTGTCTTGGTGGCGTTTGTTTAGTATCTGTTCTAGGTTTATTTCCATCTTTCGTTGATGTGCGTTTCTTTGCTTCCTTGGAGGCAAAATCTTCTTAATGTTGCAGCAAATGGCCTAATATTCCAAACCATATCGGACATTGTACTGTACTCGGCGCTCATACTAAAAATTAAAACGTTAGTCTTTCCGAGGAAAGTGTTTAAAGTACTTTTGGCAGGGTCTAGCGATAAACCTAACGCACACTACGGTCAGTGTTTTGCCGGACCCGTCCGGACCGGTCCGGAAAAAATTTTTTTTTTTATTTTAATAAAACTGTTTTAAAAATTGCAAATAAAACATATTTTTAAGAGTTTTTAAACGCAAAGAAAGCAGTTTTAGCGTTCCTGGCTCTTTTTTAAAAATAAAAAAAAAATTTTCCGGACCGGACCTGAGCGAAAAAAAATAGAGCCGGACCGGACCGAAAATTTTTCGGACCGGACCGAAAAAATTCTCATCCGGACCGGTCCGGCAAAACACTGACTACGGTTTCTCGCCATAGCTACTCCACCGTTTAAAATTTTTTGATAATAGTTGAAAAATCTTACTGGTATGGTACGAACTGTAATACCACAATGCTTTAATATTCCATAGAAATTAATGTTGTCGATTGGTGGGTCTTTTGGCAAACTATCAGTGCTCACAAGAACGTTGTAAACCTGTAAAACAAGAACATTAGTATATAAAAATACTACTAATTACGAAGCTTTCCTCCGCCGTCCCGATGGAACCAGCTTTACAACACTAGTTAAACAACGTTTTGTGTGATCGTTACAAAAAAATGCTTTAGATCAAAGACATAATAATATTATGAAATTTATAGAGAAACTTACTATATTCAAGTCAGACGATTGTCGGACCACTTGTATGTTGCCCTTCGCATTTTCTACGTTTTTGTTTTGGGTGGTCTCTTGACCCACCTTGGTCACCCTGTTCAAATGTTCCGAAACAGCGGCATCAATCTAAAAAAATTAAATTTAAAAAACCATTAATAAATTTAGCTCTGCAAGAGAGGGGGATATATAAGATAAAAAACTTACATCCTCTGGCTTATTCTTGGGTTGCCCTGGCAGCAAACGAGGCTGCGGGAACTTTCTATGCGGGCGCTAAAAGAACAACAAATAAAAAAATCTAAAATAGTCAATCACCACAAAATATTACAACAGTATTTAGTTTAGACATTCAAAACATAACAAAAGTAATATAAATAGCCTTACCTTTTTGCTCTTCTTCTTCTCTTCCTTGTTCAACTTCTTTTTACTAGATCCATCGCTCTTTTCGGACTTCTAAAATTCAATTATCAAATTACAAGATAAAATATATCAAAATATAAAAGTATGAGGTTGGAAAGAAAAGAATGGCGGGTTTTACTATAACTAAATTACGTGTTATGCCTATATCAACTTTAAATTTTTTTAATAATCAGAAACTTACATTTTTTTACTCGACTTGTGCTTCTTCGACTTTTGATGTGCTCGAAGTCGCCGAAGTAAATAGGACCATTATTGCAAACATCAGAATCAATTGAATTATAGAACAGATCCACATTTTGATCGTACTGAAACAAATACCGTCTCGTCTACCGATAATTCTTTACCCTAACCAGGAACGTCGCTACGGTTTTTCTCTGGGGGGGGGGGAGGTCGAAAAATTTTTTTTGGTCCACAGGTAGCTGCTACCTGTGGACCGATTTTTCAAAAAAATTTTTTTTTCGTTTTTCCGCGTACAGGTACCTGTGGATTTTTTTTCGGCATGGGGGGGTACCCCCCCCCCATGCCCCCCCCCCCTCCCAAACGACGTCCCTGACCCTAACCTCTAAGTTAAGACACAAAAGAAACCTAAATTATTAAGCCTCAAATAACGTCTTAAAAGCATTTAAAACCAAAACTAAATAGTTCATTCGTCGAAAACTAAGACTGTATTTTCTGTTCTCATCTTCTACAATTTTTTACCAATTTTAAATCTCGTGCCTAAAGATTAAAACAACCAAAGAACCCAATACTTACTGAAATTCGTCGTATGATTGTTGACAAACTCAATTTTGTCTTAAATCTCGTTCCGTTTACTTGTGATGAAGCCCCAGCCGATCCAGCATAAAACCCTGATCCTAAAATCAAAGAAAATTAACATATTTTCCATGTTTTAATATCAAAACAAATTTATATCCAAGTGTTAGATCTAAAATAAGATCTAAACACTAATTCAAAAGCATTTTACCTAAAAATTATACAAATAAAATAAAAATCATACCAATATCAACGACACCAGCCTCTTGCTGTTCTCTTTGGGCCTCGAAGTCAATATTTCTCGTTCCGATCCCAGTCGTAGCGTACTGAAACAAATACCGTCTCAACCACCGCTTTTATACTCCTTACTTTCATAAAAATAAAATTCAAAATTTGCAAAAGTTCAATGAGAAAATTTTAGAAACATATTTTCCAATTTTTTTATTTTTAAAAAAATATTCAAATTTCGAAAGAAAGTTTAGTCAATAATTTTTTTCAAAAAAGTTTTTTTTTCTTCTGTGTTATTCTTTACCCTAGCGTTCTCTAGGTTAAGACACAAAAGAAACCTAAATTATTATGCCTCAAATGATGTCTCAAAAGCATTTATAACCATGTTTTAATATCAAAACAAATTTATATCCAAGAGTTAGATCTAAAATAAGACCTAAACACTAATTCAAAAGCATATTACCTAAAAATTATACAAATTAAATAAAAACCATACCAATATCAACAACATGAGCCTCACGCTGTTCTCTTTGGGGTTTGGCAACAGCAATCTCGATGGCTCTTCGATATTTCTCGTTCCGATCCCAGTCGAACACCATATCTTCAAAGTCTACCCAAGGCTCCGTCTCACTGTTAAACGACTCCATCAACTCCTTGCTATAACGTTTACAAAACCGACAAAATGAGGAAAATGGCCGTCCCGAAAAAAAAGAGTTTTGGCTATTTTCGGTTTCAACAAATTTTATCGACTCCGCGAACGAAGTGTCACAAAGTAATAAAATTTATTGGCCGAAAAAAAGTTGGCAATGAATTAGGTATAACTACCGTTTTTTAGTGTCTTTATTAACAGAAATTAATTTTTGTGCATTATTTTATGTTAAAGCAACATTTGATATGAAATCGACCTTATTTTACATACCAATTTTCATGTACATTTAGTAAAGTAAAAAATAAATACAAAAAAAACCGTTAAAATTTTTAAGTATCGATTTAGTTTACAATTTCTGCTTGTAGTCGACGCGCCAGTTTCTTAATAAAACGGTCACCTTCTTTATTATATTCAGACCTAAATTTTCCTTGTTCCAAGTAGCAGTCAATCGCTTTACCTTCTTCCTAGCAGCTGCACTTCGCAATGTAATCAGTAACTACGTTGATCATGTAATTAGTATTTGCTTGAAATACAATATTTTGTGTTGTATATGTTACAGTAGATTTAATATTAAAAAGTGGAAAACAATAATTTTAAAAGTTTACAATATTTCACAAAACTTTTTAAATTTTAATGAAGCTAGCAAAATATAAGTGTATTTTACAGTGTTTTTTTATTTATTGTATTTGACTTTTGAAACCCGCATATTCCATTAAACTTTTAATTTTACGAGTCCTCAGAGGCTAGTCTATTCTGGCGCGCATGGATGACAAAAAAGAATACAAATTACTCCCCGAGGGTTGGAAATTCATATATCCCAGAATCCTGTTGCTTTTCTTATCCCACTCTATAACTGAATGTTTTTTTAATTTAAAAGTTCATTCTTTATATTTTATGTTTTGTAAAGGGCCTGTAAGGTGCAGTCAAAAGGTCTGCACGGACAGTCTAAATTTGATTTTAAGGACTGCACCGTGCAAAAAGTTGAAATGTTAAGTTAATGCCATATTTTGTTGTTTTTGACAAGGAATCTAGGTTGTATTTAAATTATGGATTATTTTTTAATTTTAATTTTTTTTACATTTGTAACTTATAAAGTAAAAAAACCGAATTTAAATTTTTGCACAGTGCAGTTTGTTAATTTAATCTGCTTTCACTGAAAAATTCTTCTAAATGCTTACGAAATACAGGTACTTCTATCAAAACAGAATCATAATAGAACCTTAAAAAATACAAGTCTGACTAGAATAAAATTGGTTATGTATTGTTGTGTCTACATGGATGAATAGCTGTTTTTTCATCCGAAACATTGCTCGTTTTACTTACTTTGACTCTTTTCTCGAATTTGGGTCAAAAATAAAACTCGAGAAGGCGGAATTAACAAAGAATTACTGTTTTTTTTTATGTAATCGACGCTGTTTGACACTTTTGCAAGGACTTTTGTTTTACAAATTGAACGAATGTTCAAGGGTTTTGTAGTCTATTTTTTGAATATTTAAAAAATTTTTGTATGTACAATAGGGTAGGGTGGTTTTGTAAATATTATAATTAGCGCCGGCTTTTTAATAGTGCTCATTTTATGAGATTAAAGCGCATTTTTGTGTACAGTGAGAGTAGAGTAGGATAGTAAGCAAAACAGGGTAAGTCAGGGCAGAGAATAGCAAAGACTATGTACATAATTTCGGATAGAGCATGATAAAACAATGGGTTAACTAACGTATGTAATGATAGGGTAGGGTAGGGTAGGGTAGGGTAGGGTAGGGTAGGGTAGGGTAGGGTAGGGTAGGGTAGGGTAGGGTAGGGTAGGGTAGGGTAGGTTAGGGTGTTATAAAGAAAAAAAAACTAAATAAGTACAAAACAAACATGAAAAATGTAGGTGAAAAGGAGAAGAACCAGTTTGTTATTGTATGCCGTAACACTTTTGATTATTGACTGTAATTTCAGCTGCGTTTTTTCGGATTAACACCCAAAATGAGAGCGTTTTCAGCCCCCGCTTTGCGATTTTAAAATTATTTTTATTCGAATATCGTTTTGATAGTGCTTTTTAAACTACGTCTTATGCTGTTAATACAAAAACTGCTTTTAGTTTGGAGTGGGATTTGAAATCTGATTCTTTGGAGTTTTAAGAATTTTCAGGGTTGGTGGCTCAGAATTATTTGAACAACTTCATATTTACTATATTTTGTCTAAATTAATGCCTTTTTTAACAAATTTGTTATATAAGCTTTATAAGGTGTTATTTATTAATGTTTATTAATTATTGTTGGTAAAAATTGCATTCGTCATGTTTATATAAGAGCATAGTAATAATTCCGTTTTGTTATGTTTGCACAATTGAGCATCTTCAATGTTTTTCAAGTAAAGAACTAAAAAACGGTTGAAAGGGATTTGCGATGACAAAGTTTAATATGTGCTTGAGTTGTTTTCTTAATTTTCACTAGAATGGCATAAAAGTGGCGCTTACAAGAGTAATATGTCGTCTAACAACGATCAGTGTTAGTGAATTCTTTCATTTTGAGGTTAGAAGGCCTGCCATAAGGTGTACCAACATGAAAATGTTATCGTATCACTTTGCGGTCACTAGCACACCTTCATTAATCCTTCTTAAGCCCTTTGCCAGTAGGCTACAGTGCAAAACAACAGTTTGAAGGAAAAGAGTCAACTCCTTCTCTTCTGCTAAAAACGGGTCAACTCTTATTCTTGCCAACAATACTGATTTTTACTATGTAATTTCGCGGATTTAACAAGGTTTTTAATGTTATTCGAGTGGTTTATAATTATATCGAATATATTATGTTAGTTTCAATCGGTTATTTTGTGTTTAATTGGTATTTTTATGAGAATTTGCGGTTTTTATTGACATTCTTGTTTTTTAATGAATAATATAGCAAAAAAAAGCTTTAATATCGGAGTAAAATCTGAAGGTTGGATATTGTTAGACGTTAGAAAGACTGTTTGTTGTTTTGCGAGGATAATTTTGCTATAATCAATCTGTTTTTGTCAAATTCACTTATTTTTCAGGCTTGGGACTTCACTTTTGTTACCTAACTTCACTTAGTATTGTAAATATTTTAATAATTGCTCAAAGTTTGTATGCGTTTGCGAACAGATACCTGTCGAGCGGTCTTGCTCACGTCGTTAATATGGCTGGTTTTGGATGTGTACATCTTGTTTTACTATTTGGACAGCAGTCCTCCAATGGAAAGGTATGTTTTTTCGTTTGATTTTTAATGTTTAGGGATGGTATTTTTTACGAGTCTACTCAAATTGATGTTAAAAAGTTGATATAGAAGATTGACAACATGGTGTGTCAAATTTTGGGTATAAAATGGGGCTCTAAGTGTTTCATTTTTTGCAGAAACAGTTTGGCATATAAGGTAAATCCGAAATTTGACGTTGTGAAACAGAAGTTTGACGAAAACTCGGTGGAAGGCGTGAAATTAAAAGAGCTATTGAGCCAGCTGAACTTTGACGATCATGGAGCAGGTGATATGGGTACGGGTGTTAATATTCCAGCTGAAAAGCAAGAAGAAATGAAGGAGATGTTCAAGCAAAACCAGTTCAATTTGATGGCTTCGAATATGATCTCGATTAAGAGATCGTTGCCTGATTATAGGAGTGCTAAGTACGTTTTTAAATTGATGATAATGTTACTTCGTAGTACGTTTATAACTTTTATAACAATACATAGTTATATGAGTGGACAAATCTTTTATGGATATTACACTAGACATTGAACCTAACTCTATATTCTTATGCTTATATTTTTTCAGATGTCGAACACAGGCTGATACCTACAGACAAAACAAGATACCAAAGACTTCAATCATCATTGTCTTCCACAACGAAGCTTTCAGCACATTGTTACGGACATTACATTCAATTATAAATCGATCTCCGTTAGATCTAATAGAAGAAATAATTTTAATCGACGATCTATCAGAACGAGACTACCTAAAAGGACCTTTGGAGATGTATATCAAGACATTACCTATCACGATGCATCTTGTTCATCTTCCTGAACGTAGTGGGTTGATCAGAGCTCGGCTTCACGGCTCCGGAATGGCCAAAGGCAAGGTGTTGTTGTTCTTGGATGCTCATGTTGAAGTAACCGAAGGTTGGTTGGAGCCTTTGCTACACCGTGTGGCTACAGACCGAAAGACCGTGGTAGCACCGATTATTGACGTCATTTCGGATGACAATTTCGAATATGTAACGGCTTCTGACACAACATGGGGAGGCTTCAATTGGCATCTAAACTTCAGATGGTACCAAGTACCAGAAAGGGAAATGCAAAGGAGGAACAACGACAGAAGTACTCCGATTCAGTAAGGATTCAGATTTTATTTTGAGGGAGAAATTAGTTTTGATTTATTTAAAAAAATGAAATTTTGGCTTTCTAGGTAATTTTTTTTTATTTCAGAACTCCAACAATCGCCGGAGGGCTCTTTGCCATTGATAAAGATTTCTTTTATGAAATTGGATCCTACGATGAAGGAATGCAAGTATGGGGAGGTGAAAACTTGGAAATTTCCTTTAGGGTAAATTATTTTGTCAAAATTTTTATTTTTTCAAAAATAATGCCGTTTATGCTGTCCAAACAATAATTTTTTAGAATTTGTTACCTAAAAATATATTTTTTAAATTTTTTCCCAAAAATTTTATTTTTATTGGCTATCTTCTTCGTTTGTTACCTAAAATAATATTTTTATAGAATTTGTTAACCAACTTCATTTTCCTATTAACTTTCAGACCTGGATGTGTGGTGGCCGCCTGGAAATCCACCCCTGTTCTCGGGTGGGTCACGTTTTCCGTAAACAAACCCCCTATACCTTCCCCGGCGGCACAGCCAAGGTTATCTACCATAACGCGGCACGAACAGCGCACGTTTGGATGGACGACTATAAGCGCTTCTTCTTCGCCATGGTTCCAGGAGCACGGAAAGTGGAAACCGGCGATATGAACGAACGCCACGCTCTCAGGAAGAACCTGGAGTGCAAGAGCTTCAAGTGGTACCTCGAGAATATCTACCCCGAAGCCCCGATCCCAGCCTCGTACACGGAGCTGGGACAGCTCAAGAACGCTGAATCGGGCACATGTGCTGACACAATGGGCCGAAAGAGCGGCCAACAACCGGCGTTATCACCGTGCCACGGTCTCGGTGGTAATCAGGTATGGGTCCTAACGGAATCCGGGGAAATCCGATCGGACGAGCTGTGTCTCAGTGTTAGAGGAATGAACCTGCCAATGAAATACACGGTCAAGTTGGAAAAGTGCCTCATGAGCAAGATTTCGCAATGGCATCGATTCGAGTTTGACAAATCGGTAGGTTTTTTTTTGGAAAAAGTTCAAAATAAGTCATTGTTTTAGCTTAAAATTTTAATATGCCTTTTCTTTTTGCATCAGACGTGAAATATAGAGAAAATATGGTTTTTTAGGTCCTAAAATGGATTGTTTTGCTATTTTTAGGTATTAAAATCAAAATTTTTGTTTCAGACGGGCTCTCTAAAGCACATCAAGTTTGACAAATGTGTGGAAGCGGATTCAGATGGCACTCTCTTCGTGAACTCGTGCTCGGATTCACCAAAACAGAAGTGGACATTCGAAGCCAGTACAAAATATTAAGTGCCTTAACTTGACAAAATTATTATATAGGGTCTAAGTGAAGTATTAATACCAGTTTTATGTATTGTTTTCACTTTTTTTATTGAATTTTCACTTTTTTATTGAAAACGTGGCTTTTTTAATGAAAATCGACGTTTTTCATAGTATAATTAATATTTGTGTTGTTTTTACCTTAAATAGAGGTTAACATGGCTTTCTTTGGTCTTACCATCAGTTTGAAATAATATATTGTACTAAAGTGGGGTCTTATAACATTGAAAATGCGTTAATTTCACAGCACCGTGCATAAAAAATAAATTAATCCTTGCACCGTGCAAAGAACTATAAAAACGGTTGCACGGTGCAAGCCGAACTTCACAAAAAAACTGCACCGTGCAAATACTAGAGCCTTTTTTCAATTTTTGGCACAATATATTATTCCCAGATCCTATATCTATTAGCTCCTAACACCAATTAGTAAATTATTTTCACTTTTCTCTAACAATTCACATTATCCAAGATGAAAGTCTCAATTTCTTCACGTTTCACTTTAAAAACAAGAAATCCGATGAAAATTACAGGTATCTAAGTAATTGTGATTAATAATAATGGCAAATAAATGTTTTAACTATTAGTGGTTTTCGAGGTTTTTAAAAAATCAAGAAGATTGAAAAAAAGTAAAAAAATATGTTAAGTACTTCAATATATATTATAAGTCGATCAATATACGTTATAGCTGGTATACAAAACATGTTAAAGCGGTGAAGATAAGGCAAAATAAATTTATTCGGTTTTCTATACAAGACACGGGTATTACAACATCCGTCGATTGGTGTTGGTGGCGCGGAAATGGTAAAAGTCCATGGCGGTTTGGCTGATGTTCCAGCCGGCTGCCACTGTCGCCACGAAGAATATAAATATGAATGTTAGTGGGTATAGGAAGACGTGGGTCTTTTTGAGGATGGGCAGTGCTGAAAATTGAATACATATTAGCATTTTTTAGTTAAAATCAGTAAATAATAAAAGTATTCCAAATTTCGTTTAAAAACTTAATTCAAATTATAAAATATTTAAAAAAAACTTACCAGTATAGCCCAAGAATGTCAAGTAGACGTAGTAAAACGTTGCCACACACCACATCGAGTTGCCGAGTAATCGGGAAAAGAAGTTTGGATAGTCGATTAAGCCTAAAAATGATAATTTATCCGGCTTACCTACAATAACATCATGATAATAAACGCTAAGCTTAAAAATGGCATTTTTTCGAAAAATGAACCAAATTGTCATGCAGTGTTTTGCCGGACCGGGTCCGGTCCGGATTTTCAAAAATTGCAAGATTGAAAATAACTTTTAAGCTTATGGTTTGAAGTTTTAAAAAATAAATAACTTTTGTGAATGTCCGTCTCATACAAGTTCCTCGCTAAACATTTGGACCGGCCGGACCGAATCGGTCTTGCCGGTTCGGGCGGTCCATTTCAGTAATAACTTGATAACCAAAGACGGACCTTCACAAAAGTTATTTATTTTTTAAAACCAAACCATAAGCTAAAAAGTTATTTTCAATCTTGCAATTTTTGAAAATCCGGACCGGTCCGGCAAAACACTGTTGTCATGAAAAGTAATGTAGAGCCAAATCAGATACAAAACTCACCATAAAAAAGGAGTGGCATTATTACATGAATAAATATGAACATAGGGAAGAAGGCATTCAGATGCACATCCCAACAGTAGCCCCACTCAACGTCCTGGTCTGGAACTCGTCGAAGAAATCTGTTTGTTATGAACCTGGAATTGGATTTCATAAATCTTTTTTTATAAAAAACTGTCATTTCAAATAAACCCAGCTAAAACAGTCGTATTTTACCAAAACCGTGACAAAACTCCATTTTCTATAACAAATACAAACTTACCATGCAAATGTCGCAATAACCAGCCCAACTCCAATACAATCGACAAATACGATCCACAAAAAGAACTTTACAAACCCTGCCATGCTGAGATTTAATACAATAGCAAATAATATCGATGTTAATGATAAGGCGAATGCCAATAAGACCAAAAACGCCGGATCATCTCGAGCCCACTGATCTTTTGTACCTAAAATAAGACTGTTACTACAGTTTTTGCATAACAAAGTAAAAACAAGTTTTAAACATTCAATTTCAAGCCATCTCAATCAAAAGTAGCCAATTCTCAAAAATATTATTTACACCAGCTGCTAAGCTCAATATAAAGCTTGCTTTTATACTAAAAACCTTTGAAAACTTAAGTCTACGATCAATCATACCGTTCCAAAACATTTTCTCCAACTTTTAATACCTAGAAATCACAAAAAACCGTTAAAATCCTTACGTTTTCGATGAATAAAGTTGCGATACACTTGCTGTGGGTTGGTTAACAAGTATAACATTTGCCACGCCGCGAATTCAAAGTCCATTTGTTTGATATTGACCAGTCGTTTGAAGAAACGATTGAGTTTGGCTGTGGCCGTCATTCTGACTCCCGTAAAACACCCGACGTTTTTTGGGATGGAATGTGTTGAGATTGTTGATCTGGCACCTGGAGTAGAATATCCGGATTGGGGCCGGGATGGGAAAAATTTTCTGCCTGCCGAAAACGATGTGGTCGGACTCTGTGAGTCTGAAAATAGAAATTATAACAATTTAGACGAACTACAATGCAGAAAAGTCAAAACTTGCAATAATGTTGTAGTAGGTATATAAATGTAAGAAAATGGCTAACGCTTTGCAAAAAAACATATTTTTTGTACTTAAAATTTCACGAAAGAGCCCTAAAAACAATAAAATGACCTCTCGAGAACGAAACGATAGGCTCGGGATTAAGAAATTTTGGAAAAGAAAGGCTTTTCGCTGCTTTCGGCCGCGTCTTCTTCCGCTCTTAAATTTCCATAATTCCGTTTGTCTAACTCAATATAACCAGCTGTTATAGTGACCAGTTGGTATATCTTAACATATTTTAACCCGTTTTTTAAAGTTTAAAATTTAACCCAACAGTTGCTGATATTTGCACAGTGCAGTTTTAAAACGGAAAAAGATTGCACCGTGCAAATAATTAAAGAACGTTCGCATCAACCGTAAATACCGGTAAAACAACTCAAAAATCATTCAACTTACGTCTAGGATCTCCTAACCTGGAGTAACTCGCATTAAAGGCCATTTGCCATCAATTTTTGTTATAATTATGCAGTAGTACTACCTAAAACAATATGAAAACAGTCAGAACAAAATAAATCAAGACAAAAACAACCAAATATTCATACGATTCAAACGTATATAGATGAAAAAACATAAGTCAATTAAAAATTATTAAAATATTTATTAAAATAAATTATAACAATCAAAAACACGTTGATCACTCAATAAGGGTAGATGGATAACATCGTATCTTTGAAGAAACAAGGCTTATTAGCAATCTAAAATGTTTATTTGTTAGTAGGTGCCAACACTGGCCTCCATTAAAAGTAATATTTAGTGAAACAAAGCTATCTAAACATGCAAAACAAAGTAAAATCAACTTACAGACCAGATGATAGATAACGTAGTAAGAAGACCTAGTTCTGGTGAACCTTTCGTTGATTAGCAATAACGTAATGGTAGAGTATGACCAATACAAAGATTGTCACACCAAGAACGTTGGCAATGATTCCGAGTTGAAGATCTGTGATCATTTTCGAGGTCGGGGCTAAAAATACTATGTTATCATTGGAAATTGACAGAAGTTTTATAAAAAACGACGAACACATAGCAAGATGTTTAAAAAATAAGATTTTAAAATTCCACATATCCAGGTAATATCAGTTGTTTAATAAATTGTAAGTAAAGGATAAAACAAAAACGCGTTTGACACGTCGAAAATATTAGCCAAAAATGCAGAGGAACAGTCGACGCAAATAAATTCAAGGAAAAACTTGGCGCGTTTTAAGTTTTATTGATTCTCGGCTAATCTCGAGTAAATTGATGGATCGAATGTAGCAATTGCGATAAATGACATTGTTCATTTGTTTTTCAACGTGGTCATTCAGCTTGAATGGCCATTTTTATTATTTTTTTGTATATCTTTAGACGTGTATAGCTATATAAATTTATGACCGTGTTTTACAGTTTATAACTATTAGATTAAGCTAAAATTTAGTGTAAAGTTTAATTGTAATGCGTGTAAATCGTAAGCAAAATTTTTGTTATGGCGCTTTATTATGAAAATTATTGTTTCCGCATCGCGGTACTAGGTAGACCTACATTAATATGTTGGATTTAGTGATTATACTTTAGCCAAAATGGAGAACAAAGTGGAAAAGCCAACAGATCTAAAGCTTGACCGAGATTTTCCATTGGCAGATGACGGTATGTTTACAATTTTTTAAATATTTTTCTTTTATGTTTAGACTCAGTACCAAATGAAGTTGACAATGTCGCCAAAACTCCTCGACAAGCTCAACCATTGCCAAGGGAAGAAGTTGAAGATACAGAGGAAAAAGCCAGGTTAATTTCACAGATTTTGGAGCTACAGAATACTTTAGAAGGTTAGTTTTGAGCTTGCGGCTTTGATATCTAGATAAACATTTTCTATATTTGATGATACGTCAGATTTTAAGCCAATAGTGTCTGATATCACGACATTTTCAAGTCTGTAGCAACAAGCAAAATTTTTTCAGACCTCAGTAGACGTGTGGATTCAGTAAAAGACGAAAGTTCCAAGCTCAGCGCTGAGAATCAGGTGTTAGGGCAATATATTCAAAACCTAATGTCCACAAGTCCAATATTTCAGCCAGCCAACTCAAAAATGAGCTCTTCAATGACAAAGTAATGGTTGCTTTATGTTTAAGACACTTTAAGGAGCATATTTGTGATCCTATCGCTTATTTTCACGCTTCTACTAACTTTTACGGATTAGTTTACCTAGTATAATATAACTTTCGAATTACCTAGTATAACATAACATTTGATGGTGAATCCGCTTACAGCTTAACATTTGCAGGTGATTTTGCCTGTTATAATGTAAAGTTTTTAGTTTTTGTAGTACTCGTAATATACCATTTGGTCATAATAACATTTTTAGTCATAATAACAAATATAGTCACAATGTTTGATTAATCCGCGTGCTTTTACCTTTTGATTGTAACTGTCGATCTCCCCATCACTTTTCTAGGCAGTATCAAAAGTTTTTGTAGTTTTTGGAACATCGTTTTACGAGCTTGTACTAAAACTGCACTGTGCACTTTATAAATTTTAGCTTTGCACGGTGCAGTTTTTGAATTTTTACAAATTTTAATGTTTAAAAGGGTTGGATAACTTTTGATACGGCTTAAAAATCACTTGCACTTATGTTATTGTTCTTTGCTTGCTGTTACGGATGGATTTATGTTCGATTTTCATGCATAAATAATAATTCATTGACCAGAAAGTGGATTTTCATACCCAAATTTCAGTTTTTAACCGGTTTTTTTTTATTTTTTAAAACTTTACAGTCACGTTTTATGTTGGAAGAGGTTACTAATGGTCTAGTAGTTCTTTAGTATTTTATAAAACTTACTAGAATAATGAATATGCGAAGGAATTAATGGATATACGTTTAGCTTTTCAAAAATAATTATAAAGTTTATTTTTTAAAGATTTTTTTATCTAATTTTAAAATTCAAAGGGTAATTTTCTATATTGTGTTGTGTCATTTTCAGTTCAATGTTGGAGGAATCGGAGGCTCACGATGAATATTACTGGTAAATCTGCTCAACTCGTCTCAAATTGAACTCAATATCAACATGTGCAATATACAATATCAATGTGCCATTTTTGCAATATCTAGTGCTTTATATTATAGAATGTCATGTTTGAATACTATATTTTAGTCAAACGTGCTACCTTATTGTCAAAAATAAAAAAAATCATTTTATAGTCAAATTCAAAGTTACAACTAAAAGTGGCATTTATTTCCAAAAGCACAACCAAGAAAAGTCATTTGATGGTCAACATCAGACATTACAACCAAGAAAAGTCATTTTATAGCTCAAACCAAGAATTATGACAAAAAAAGTCACAATGACAGAATTCACAGATTTGGCCGCTTCTCCTTGTTACTGTCGAACCATTGTTTTTGAAAGCTGGGACTCTTGGCACTGAATTCTTTGGCCGTGTGGACCTCGTCTTTGAAGCGATGAAAGTTTTCGCCGAACCACGACCGGTTAAAGTTTAATTTCTTGTCGATAAAGTCGCCGGAGGCGGTGGAAACAGTCGATTCATCGACGAAGTTGGCTCTTTCTGCGGTCAATAACAAAAGGGCCTGAAATATGACAGTTGTGGCATAAATTCAAAGCTTTTTTTTTGAAAAACGGCAAGAACTTTCTTTAAGAAACGCAAATTGACAAGAACTTTGTTTACAAAACGAAAAACTGCAAGAACTTTCTTTACAAAACGAAAAATGGCAAGAACTTTGTTTACGAAGCAAAAAATGGCAAGAACTTTGTTTACAAACTCAAAAATGGCAAGAACTTTATTTACAAAACCAAATTTTACAAAAACAATTTAAAAAATTACCTGATCAGCGTCCAAATTGGTCAAATCTTTTCGAAAACTCTGTAAATTGGATGAGTTTGAGCTGGATGCGCTAGCTGGGGACTGAGCACTAGTGCCGAGATTTGAAGCCGTGATTTTCAAACGAGATTCAGAAGGCGGCGTCTCAGTCGTCATTTTTGCACCCATTTTTCGAATTTTATAACGAAAAAATGAAAATTTTTGGAATTTTTTAAATTTTAAAATTTTGGAAAAAATTTAATTTTTTTTTTTAATTTAAAATTTTTAACTAGTTTTTTAGTTAATTTTTTATATTTTTTACGTCGGTTGTTGACAAATTTTAATGGTATTAGAAGATTTTATATACAATGGACAGTACTATATGCTATATGTTACGATAATGCTTTTGATTATATTCATATTGATTGGAGTTGTTCTTCTTTACTGGAGCTACCTTGTAAGTTATAATATATATTTTAGCGTAGGGTAGGGTTGGGTAGTTGTACTTATTTCAAAAATATCCTTGTTATTGTAGGTATACGCCTCTTCCGGTAGTCGCAAATTGCACAGTGTTGACTTAATGACAACTCAAGAAGCTCTGTACTTGGCACGGTTACATGCTATTCAATGTGGCAGAGAGCATTTGGCTGAATTTGGAGTTAAAGATGAAAAGGAAATTGCTGAATTAGCTTCTTATATTACAATCGAATGTCCGCCTCAAGTTAATGGTCTTGAGTTGAAATCTCCGAAAAATTAATAAATTTTAAATTTGAAGTTGAAGTTGAGAGGTTCATATGGGTTAGGGGTAATGCTAGAGCTAGCTTTAGGACAAGGGCCTGGACTTGGACTTGGACATGGACATGGACTTGGACTTGGACTTGGACTTGGACTTGGACTTGGACTTGGACTGGGACTGGGACTTGGACTTGGACTTGGACTTGGGTTTGGACTTGGACTTGGACTTGGATTTGGACTTGGATTTGGACTTGGACTTGGACTTGGACTTGGACTAGAGCTTAGGCTAGGGCTTGTCTTAGGTTGAGGTTAGGCTACACTTAAGTCTAGTTGTATTATGTAGATCTGTAATTATTTGTTTATAAAATATAATACTTGATCTTGGATTACGTAGCAACTAGGTTATACCTCCGTGCCAGTCGTTGCTTTTACTTTTGTACAAAAATGGAACGGTTGAGTTGATTTTCTTTTCGAAATGTCTGGATTTGCGAAAAACGTGGTATTTGATATGGACTTGTAGTCACTCCAAACAGTAATGCCTCTTTAAGCGGAAAGAATTGGGGCTTTTTGTTGCGGCAGCATGTCACAAAGTTACTACTGTTCACAATATTATGTTTCTGTTTTATTCAGGTTGCAATTGGGGTTGGGGGAGCGATTTGAGAGTGGGATGGTGAAGATAACTTGAAAAAAATTTTTGGTGGGGGAGATTAAAAAATTATTTTAGGGATGGGGGAGGGGTGAAAAATAAAAAACTAAAAACTTTTTGGACATTTTTTTTAGAAGCCTAGTCTATACACCTCTACATAGATATGTATATATTATATGACATTACACACCTTTTTTGACGAAAATGTGTCATCATGAGCTCTGATGTCTTATTATAGTAAGAATATTCGTTAATACAAAGCTGCTTGTACTATTTTTCATAATTACAGCGTAAACAACGTTCATCAGGCTTAGTATTGATGTTATGTTATGTCGAAATGGTATATGTATATTTGCATGTAGATAGTGCAGGGCGTGTACACATATGTTTGTGTAGGTGCTATAGTAAACGAAAATATGTGGTTGTATATATTGTAAACTTGTAAAGGTCTTGTAAACACGGATGTGTATGTAAGTTTGCAGAGATATTATTTATATTATAGGCTATAAAAGGGTAGATAACTGTATAATTTAAAGCTATAATGTTAATATAAGTGAAAAACGGGCTGAGCCGTCTTGGACTAAAATGAAAAAGGACCGTGCCCACAAATTAAGCCTCGGTTCTGGCCCAAGCCTCAAGAAGTAACCCGGCCTGTTTCTCACTTCTAGTTATTATAGGTTAAGAGAATAGAACAAAGAAGGGGGTATATGAAGGGTATGAGAATAGCAGGGATGAATAGATAGAACGTGGGCATGTAATAAGAACTAGTTGCATAACAGGTAATGAAGTCTCTTTATGTGGACTGTACTAAAGTATTTTTTTTGAATGTTTTAATTTGCACAGAAATTATTTTTTCACTTTTGATATGACTTTTTGTTTTGTATTGTAACGTCACAACAACTACCATATTTTCGTGTTTATTTACGTGTTTTTGTGGTCTAATTGTAAGTCATTGTGTATATATAAAAGCTATTTTTTGATTACGTTGTTTATTAAAATAGCTTATGTTTAACAATATAAGGCTAGGTGAAGCTATTGTATTAGGTCGTTTACTTAATTCTGCGCCCTATAACGCCAGTAATTTGTTTTAAAAGGGGCGTAGAATTAAATGGACGACCTAATAGATGAGGGTAGAGCTATGGCTTGATTAGAGTAGGGCGAATTTAAGGGTAGGTTAGAGCTTATGAACAGCATTGTATGCTATATGTTACGATTATGTATAAGGTAAAGTTAGGGCAGGGCTAGGGTAGAAATGAGAAACGGGCAAAAAAGGCCTTAAGCAAAATTTTGATCGGGCCGTGCCTGAAAAGTGGGCCCGGTTCGTTTCTACGTAAAAAAACTTTGGTCCGGCTTGTTTCTACGTAAAAAAAACTTTGGCTTGACCCGGCCCGTCTCTTATTTCTAGGCTAGGGTAAGGTAAAATGGAACTATGGTTTTAGTAAGGTTTATATGGGTAAGGTGAGGTTAACCGAGTAGACAATTTAAAAAAAAATTTTTTTAAATTTAATATTTTTTAAATTTGGTTTTAAAAATTTTGTTTAGAGTCAGGAGATATATGTATTATTATAGGCTATACTATATTATGTTGTTATACAATCTTTATATTTATAACTTTTCAACTGCTTTTTGAAACTATCGGAAATAATTTCAAATGAACTGTAAACACTTTTTTCAATTTTTTTTTGCAAATCTTTTGCTTTGCTTGAACGCATTTTGTCATAAATAATCATTTAACTTTATATTTTTTAATATGTTTTTTGTTTTTACTATATCAAAGGTTTCAAATATTAATTATTTTAAGTATAGTGGATCTTATAATGAGTTTTTTTGATAAAATGACCTTTGGCAATGTCAAATTTAATATAAACGTTTCAATTACAGCAAAATGAAGCACCGTACACTGTTTCAATGTTTACTGTTTCTCATCGTGCAAAGCTATGTAGCATCAGAAGGCTCCCAACTACCACAACTTGTTAATGCTGATGGGTCTTTGTCCAATCCGACCGCCCAAAGTATGGCTTCGAACTTTGCTCAAGGCGCTTCAAACGCATTTGATCAGGCTGGCCAATCGTTGTCACAAGTCCCACAAAGCATCGCTAATGGGGCTAACAGTGCTTATCAGCAGGGACAACAGTATGTCCAACAAGGTGGGTTTAAAACAACATTTTTTCTTTTAACTTTGGCCTAGCTCTAACATAGAGCTCTAGCGCAGAGCCCTAGCCCACAGCCTTAGCCCAGAACTCTAGCCCAGAGTTCTAGCCCAGAGCTCGGGCCCAGAGCCTTAGCTTAGAGTTCTAACACACACATACCCTAGCTCTGGCCTTAGCTTTAGCGTTAGCCTTATCATAACTCTGTATTAAAACTATCTTAGCCCTATCCTAGTTTTACACCAGCACTGCCTTTGTCCCAGTCCTAGGCCTAACTTGTCCCTAACCTAGCCTTGCTATAGTTCAATCTTAGCCCCACCTTATCTTTAATCTACCGTAGTTCCACTCAACTCTTAACCCTAGCCCTGCTCTTAGCCCTACATTACTATAAATGTACTGTAAATCTTCTTACAGTACTGTGTTATACCAAAATTTGAAAATTTCAAATAAGCATAGGATTGAAAGTTCAAAAGACAAAATTTACTGATTTTGCAAGCCTTCCTAGACTATTTTTCAAAATTTTTGTTTATTTTCGATTGAAAAACGTGAGATAATAATGAAAAAATAAAGTTGCACTTTACAGAAATACAGAATACTTGATAGTATCGAAGTTCTGCAATATAAAATGGCAATGAAATAGGATTAAAACTCATTTGAAGGCTGGAGTTTAGCTTATTTTTGTAAATTTGAACTTATCAAAAGAAAATAGCTTTAGCTACTGGAAGGTTTATTGAGGTACTGGGTATCAAAAAAACGGTATAAAATGGTCCAATCTAGTACTAATTAAAAAAAATTTTTTTAAATTTAAATTTTCAAAAAAAATTTAAGTCGAGTGTAAAGCTCTAATTTCAGGAGTAGACGGCATGAAAAACGCAGCAAATCAATTTGGCAACAAGCTGGAGCAATTTGGGAATGACCTGGCCGAAGGCCCCAGGCAGTTTTTGAATAATGTTGGCCAAATGAGTAATCAAATACAAACTGGATTTGATAATGCTTTGAAGAGTGGCGTAGAAAAGCTCAAAGAGCTCCAGACAACAATAGGCGAGAAGTTCAGACCTATGACTGACAAAGCTTTGGAGATATTCGGCAGACCTGGCAGTGAGAAGGAGCACTGGAATGAGGTGAGTGTTGGGTAGGGTAAGCAGGTTGTTGGAAAGATAGGTGGGTATGGCAAGGCTAGGAAGAGCATAGAGCTAAGGTTAGGCCTCTAGATTGGGGCTAGGGCTAAAGCTAAAGCTATGTAAAGTTAAGGCTAAAGCTAAGGCTAAGACTAAGGCTAAGGTTAAGGCTAAGGTTAAGGCTAAGGTTATGGCTAAGGCTAAGGCTAAGGTTTAGGCTAAGGCTTATTCAAAATACATGTTTCAGTTAGTGACTCAAGTAGAAGGCTCAAACTTGACTCCGCAAGAGAAACAGGAGATCTATCAGAAGATTGCGAACGCCACAGCTCCACAAGTGAATCAAATGCCTCAACAACCGGTAAATAGCCAGCAAAAACGATAGATTGGGCGGATCGTTTCACAAATATTTTTTTACTACTGTAATATAGCAACTTTATGCTGTTTTTTTATTTTTTTTTAAATTAATAAATTGTAAAATACGAATTTGGATAATAAAATTTGAACTTTCATGCCCTGTCCTAATATACTCTATCCTACTCTACCCCGCTATACCCTACCTTATTCTGCTCAACCCTCCCCTCCCCATAAAACCTTAATGCCATTTTCAAAAGTGTCTCAAACTCTATTAACAATAAATACAAAAACAATATATACAATATAGTACCAGTATCACCAAAATCGACCGTTAAGGCTGTATGTATCATTTAAGCAGTTCAAGTAGTAGTAGAGCAGTACCACCAGTACTACAAACGTTACCCAAACATTGGCGAAGAATATGAGTGTATATAGAATTGTCACGCCCAATAACAACCAGTCGAAAAACTTGTCTATTATTGATTTTTTCGGAAATTGAGTCGAATTTAAATCTGGATGATCTGTCGATGGGTACTGTAGTGACATGGTAGTTTGTTTTGTGTATGCAAGTGGCGGTATATTGAAGTAAGTTTTAGTGTTTTCTGAAAAGGAATGGCGGTTTGAAAATTCAAGCACCAAACAAAAGTAAAAAAATAGAAATAGCGAACAAATAGCCCTGCCCTACGTTATGCACCCTAAACTAAGTTACTCTACAGTACTTTACCCTACCCTACCCTGCCCTACCTTACCTTACTTACTCTACCTTACATTACCTTACCCTACTTTACCCAAATTTACTCTACGTTACCCTACCCTATCTTCCTTATCCAACATTGTTCTACCATACTGACCTTACTCTACCCTAACTTACTCTACATTAGCCTGTCTCATCTTTTATTATCCTGACTTGCACTACCTTTTGCTTTACCCTATTCTTCCCAAAGACAATGTTAGCCCTTCTATTCTATTCTACCCTACCCTACCTCACTTACTATAATATAAATTATCTTCTAAGTTTAAGAGACCGCCATTTACAGTATAAACAAATGTATTAATAAGAGTGTCATATCGCATGTTTTAATGTAATAAAAGAAAAATGACATTAATTATATAACTACATATACATATAATAGTATATATAAGAGTATATTATAAAACTAATGATAAAACTAAAAAACCAGCTTTCTCCTCCCCAGAGTTCGCTTTTGATTCCAAATTAAGGCTCATGTGGGTGAAAAAGTTTAAAAAACAAATTTCATAACAGTTTTTGTTTCGAACCACTTAGGGAGATTGTTTACAAAGCGATAAAAATACCTCGCTGATTTTGCTGTAATAGATTGAGAAAGTGTGAGCAAGTTACGTCTACTGGATACTACCTCATGTGATGTTTACTGTAAAGATTTCTTAAGAAGTCCTAGTCGTAATCGTAACCCTATCTTTAGCGCTAGACTAGCCTAACCCATTGCCCTAGCCTAAGCATTAGCTTTAGCCGTAGCCTTAGTCTTAGCTTTAACCTTAGCTTTAGACTTAGCTTTATCTTTAGCTTTAGCCTTAGTCTTAGCCCTAGCTTTCGTCCTTGCCTTAGCTTTAGCCTTAACCTTAGTGTTAGCCTAAGCCTACCCTATATTATCTTATACTATCCTATCATACCCTATCAAATCTTACCCTTCCCTACCATGCCTTTCCCAGGCTCTCATCCAAACGTATTGTTAACCTCAGCATTACTCTTCCTTTACACTTGTCTTTGCAACAGCCCGTCCTTTAAATTATAATGCCCTACTGTACCCCACTAAACAGTTTTTTATGAATCCACCCTCTCCCTCCTCAATGTCAGAGCCGATGCAAAAAATGTACAGGTCAATAATTATAAGTGAATAAGAAAATTTTAAAATAAGGTTACAGGTATTACAGATACTACCCCCTCCCTCCAGAAACTGCTTCGCCTTTTCTGCTATCACAACCTTCTCAGACTACCCTCTTAGTACAATTATACAACAATTCATGCAATTCCTTATACCTTACAATCAATATTTTATACTAAAAACCACGTTTATATGTATAGGTACTAATGTAAACCACCCCAACCAACATCACATCAGGTTTGCAAAAGCAAAAGACGGAACAAAACTAGCCGAAAAAACAAAAGTCATTACTCAAAATCCAACTACCTACTTCGAAAAGAAACATGAATTAATCAGAGAGACAAAGACTTTCTTTCCAATCAAAAATACACTTCTTATCAGTCCAAAACACCGGTCATTTGTAATCAATGATTAGCCCGCTAGAGTAGAGGACAAACACAGTTCAACCGGTGACTGTTGTGATAAAGTCAGGAATAATAAGTTTATTGAACTGTCACGTTTCGAAAATTATGACCTTAAGTGAAATAAGCTGGTTTTTGTGATTAAAGAGAAGGTAGGTTAACTATGCTATGAAAAACATCTCCCTGTGGCTAGTATAATATAAAAATTTTAAAAAATAAACTTTGTCCATTCATTCCAGACTTTGTTCTTTGTAGCTTAAAGTCCAAAAAAACTGCGAACAATTATTAGGAGTGGGAAAATGGATCTTGAAAAGAAATTTGACCTCTCAATAAGAATATAGTCTAGGCTTTATCACTTCGCTTTTATAAAAACTAGCCACAAATGAGAAACTGAAAATAATAATAGCTGAAGTTATGGTAACTCTAGACGTATTTTATTATAACCTACCCAACCCTACCCTACCCTACCCCACCCTACTATAACCTACCCTATCTTACCCTATCACACAATAGCTTGACCTACCTATTCCTACCCTCTCTTACAATACATTACCCTATTCTAGATATCAAAGTAGTAATCGGTCCTTTTATCTTACATACCGTGCTCTAGCTCTACTATCATATATCTCTACTCTAATAATTCCTTCGTCCTTTCTGCAGATTACCCTACCCTACTATTATCCTGCTCGTAGCCTCACCCTGAACCTTTTTCTACCAGGCCTTTTTTGCCTTATCTAACTATATATCAATTGAAGAAGGAAGAGATCTTATGAAACAAATAATAAACTCGGTTTATTGTGCAAAAGATAGTAAAAATCGAAGTTAAATAAACCAGTGCTTAACTGTTTATCAATAAAAGGTAAACAATTAAATCAGCTTAAAAGTTGCTTCGTGAAAATATTATTTTTTTCAAAGACAAAGTATAAAAATCCCACAAAATACAACATATAATTAATAAAAAGCCTAGTTTTCAATTTAAAAAATAAAAAAAAATCTTTTTTAATTTTAAAATGTCTGAAAATCGTTTTTAAAAACTCAAAATTTTGACAAGAAACCTAAAAGAAACAAGCAAAATCCATAATTTTGTCAAAAACAACTCAAAAACAATGCAATTCCTTTACTCTTTATCAAGATAAAGACAATATTCTAGAAGTATATTCTAGACAAACAAAGGTAATCAGACAAGTTTTCAGTCGTTTGAAAACAAATAAAGATGGGATTAAAGCGATATAATACCTAATGGATCAAAGGTTGATTTTTCGAGAAAAAAGTCTGAACGGTCGTCACTTTAAAACTCGACAAATTCTTTTTCAAAGCGCTTAGAATCAGTTTTTTAGATTGATATTGAACTGAATTTTGTGTTTTGAATAAGAAGGAGATTAGAAGGACAAATATGATATTCATATGAAAAGAATATCATGGTTTAGATTGGGTGTGGCTTGGAGAGATCAAAGTATAGAATGTAACTTTATATTATTATAATTTTTTATAAATATAAAAATTTTAACAGTAATGTAGGGATAACAAAGAATAAAACTTAAAAAAGTCTAACTTAACTCCTGAAAAGATTAGAGTAAAGATAGAGCAAAAGGGTGTGTTAGGGTAAGATAAAGTGTGGGTAATGCAAGGTAAGGTAAGAAAAAGTAAGATAGAAGGTAGATATAATATGCTATGTAGTATCGTATCATAATATTTATAAAACTAAGCAAAATAAAAAAATCAAAATCCTAAGAAAACAAAAATCTTCCCAAAAAGTCTAAAAAATGCCAAAATAAGTTAGTTGATTACCCAAATAATCACACTCGACGCCCTTTTATCGAAAATACGACACGTGAGTTGTGAAATGAGGAAAAACATTTTCATTTGACGCTATTTTTGCAAACATTTCCTTCCAAGAGATTCGAAATGGCCGCTTCAATTTATTTGTTTTTCGCTCAAAATAAAAAAATTCGAATCACGTGAAGGGGGGGGGGTGAGGAAGAGGACATTTGAAAACGATAAAAATAGAAAAATAAGTGGCTATGTTTCAATGTCCAGCTGGCTTTTTTTAAATGTTTTGGAGCTTGAATGGGGTTTTTTCATAATATCTTCCCCCTTCTCTTCGACCAGTCCCTCTGTCAAGATAAATAAATAAAGGTAGGTTAACGTAGGGCAAGTTACTTTCATATAATTATTACTTGAACATCTAGTATAATATAACTTACAAGTTTTCATACCTATATCTTCATTCCTGGTTCAAAAATCTTGGCTTGGATACCTAAACATGTACCTAAAACATCTAACCAAGTATGAAAAACTCAAAATTTATAAAAATATCCACCTTCCAAAACTTTTTAAATAACATTTATTACTTTTTAACAAACTACTTACAGTTAAATGCAAAAGTGATATCATTACAATAATATTGTTCATGGATGCTCATTACTTTCCGAACAACCTAACAATAAAACGATAATAGTAACCATAGTACGGATAAGCAAAACAAAGATGATAGTAATGAGGGAAACAAGAATAAAAGTGATTTTAATAAAATAGTAATAATAATTTTAATAAGATAATAGTTATGTGACCATAAAGACATTAATACAACGATAAAAAAATTTTGTGAAAGGACAGTAACTATGTTTCTTTTTTGACAGAGTAAAAATAAGGTAAAAGAGACATAAATTCAGTAATAAAAGAGTTTACTACAACAAAAAAACAAAGAATACATCAGTAACAACAATATAACGTTAAAATTAAATATTATCAATATCTTTATAAAGACGTGGCCAAAAATAACATTTGAATATAGAATTCAAAACAAAAAAGTTGATTTTAGAAAGCCGGTCATAGGGGCAGACCTTCAGAAAATCAATCTTAAGTTTAGGACAACATTTTGATGATTTAGACCGTCACTTTTCAAATTTAAGCAGCCGGTTCCTTTGGTTTTCCATGAACCCGGAATCTGTAAAGACAGGTCACGTCGGCGCCGTGATTCGATTCTGTTTCCAGTTCGATGACGTGAGTCAGGTGTGATGTGATTGGGAATTGGGTGTCGAACATTTGGAGAGATTCGCCGTTCTTATCGTAGACGTACGTGCCCAATAGGTGCTTCTCCTTCACAGTGTCGTCTTTGTAGCCCTGAAAATACAAAATATTAAGACTTGAATACAATAACAGCAAAAACTAAATTCATAAACAAGAATTTAGTCATAATAGGCAAAACACAATAAAAAAGGCAAAAAACCACAAAAACCCCTACTCTAACAGCATATTAACCTCTTTTTCTAACAAACCCCCTTACCCAAACGTTGAACTCCTTAGGCGCAGTCTTGATTTCTCCATCTGGAGCCAACGCTATCGGTAGATGTTCATATGACACTGAAGTGACATTGATTGGTTGGCTTAGCTTGATCTTCAACTGTCCTTTTCCTCCTACATAAGCCCAGCAAATGCCGGCGGTAGCACCGTTTCCTTTGCGTTGGATTACAGTACGTGGGCCGTAGTTACTGTAGTACAATGGGTAGCCAAAGATTGACTGGAGACGAGACTTCTCTTGGTATTGTTGAGTACAACCTATGCCAATGATTGATCCGCCAGACGATTCGAGAGCGTAGTCTGGAAGGCCGGTCTTGTCCGCGTCGTAGCGGCCAATGTATTCTTTGATCAGGAGGCGGACACTTTCCATGTAGCTGTCTTCCGAAGTTTCATGCTGCTTGTAAAGTTCATCAGGCTGAAAAAAAGTTATTTTAATAAGCCGTATGTTAATGTAGATCTTAACGTTGGCATGCAAATTTGAAAACTTCAAAATCATTGCAATTTCGACCCCTCACTAAACAAAAAACCTATATTAACATCAATTTTTTAAACAAAAAATGCACTTTCCCATCCCTTACCGTGATGACATTCTTCTTAGCGTTGATATCCTGAATAGCATTCCTCAGTTCGGCTTTCAATGCTTCCAATTCTTCAGTGTTGGGTATGACTGGGCTTGAGCTTGGACGGAGAGATCCAAAAGCTCCTAAAACAACAAAAAATGCCAATTTATAATAAGCTGTAAAATTAAAATTGTAAAAAAACTAAAAGGTTGATCAAAACCAAGACTTGTGTCGATAATAAACAAATTACCTTTGACAAAATCTCCACCAGCATAAACCGTGTCCAAAGAACGTTGCTTAATGTCCTGGATAGATGGAACGTTGGGCAGAGAAGGAACGTAGTAGACGACCGCTGCAACGCCACCGGCAATCTTCTGGTAAATCGTTATGTAAACGTCTAAAAATCAAAAACAACGTGATTTTTATCATTTCAAAACAAAAAAAATCCTAATTTTCTACAAAAAAGACTTTTCAAATAATTCCGTGCTCCACTCCCAAACGCCATAAAAATATAACAGCTATTACCTTTGAAAAAGCCTCCAGCAGCATAAATAGAATCTCCAGTACGTTGCTTAATGTCTTGGAAAGAAGGTACTGATGGAGCAGATGGAATGTAGTATACGACAGCAGTTACGCCATCTGATGCTTTTTGCCCAACGTACACAAAGATACCTACAACAATGTAATTAAAGTCAAAATTTGTCAAAATTTCCATAACAAATTATTTTTAAAAATCCAAAAATGAATTCCTACCTTTAACATAAGCTCCAGTAGCTGTAACAGCGTTCACAGTTCCTTGTTTAATTCCTTCGAAAGATGGTAACGATGGAATGTAATATACAACATTGTAGACTGCATTGCTTGCCTTTTCACCGACCGCTCTTACTCCACCTGAAACCAAAATAAAAGTTACACAAAAATTACCATATTACTCATTACAATACCAAAAATATGTCCTTTCCTTTAACATCTTTCAAAACAAATCCTTCATTCACCTCTTTAAGATCAACAAATACCTATAACTCAAGTCTTTGCTTGTGATATAGGTACAAATTGCTTCTTCTACCCAAAACAAGTATAAAACCACCTTAGCTATTCTTAAAAATATCAATTTTAACCCGCCCACCGCTAAAAACCAGTAATTTACCACCAGCTGCCAATGTGTTGTAGGATCGTTCTCTAACGTCTTGAAGTGATGGCACAGTTGGTAGAGAAGGTAAATAATAAGTGACGGCTTGAACAGCATTTACAGAACGTTGTTGTAACGATGTGAGTCCTCCTGCAAACAAAATAACCTTAAATATTAGCAGGAATAAGTTAGCCTTAAGCCTCCGTCTTTCTGATCTCAAGAGAAAACTGCTAATTTTCCAAAATTTTTAAAAAACTTTCCAAAAATTATTATAAAAAAAATCCAATAAAAAATTGTTTTACCTTTAACATAATCTCCAGTAGCAGAAACAGTGTTAACAGTTCCTTGTTTAATGCCTTCGAATGATGGTAAGGATGGAATGTAATAGACAACACTGTAGACAGCATTAGATGCTTTTTCACTAACAAAGTTTCCAGTAGCATAAACCGAGTCTGTAGTGCGTTTCTTAATGTCTTGGAACGATGGAACGCTAGGCAGTGAAGGCACATAGTAGTAGACGGCTCCAACACCATCTGCGAACTTTCGGTAAATCGTATAGTAGACGCCTGAAAATTTCAAATTGAGAATTTTTCATTTCTAACTAGAACAACATCTAAATCAAGCAAAGATCTCCAGTTTTTCGTCTTATTCGTTCAAAAAACATCGAAAATTGTTCATACCACCTCAAAATCAAACTTTTTCATGGCGTAAAACGTTAAAATACCAAGTCCTTACCTCTGACAAAGTCTCCAGCAGCATAAATCGAATCTCCAGTACGTTTCTTAATGTCTTGGAAAGATGGTACTGATGAGGCAGATGGAATGTAGTATACGACAGCATTTACACCATCTGATGCCTTTTGTCCAACGTAAACAAAGATACCTACAAAAATATAACTTTATTACCATTTTTCAAAAAAAAATACACAAGAACACTACAAAATCGTCTTTTTCTTTCTCTGTAATATTAGTTCTTACCTTTAATATATGCTCCAGTGCCGTACACCGTGTCTAGCGTTCCTTGTTTAATTCCTTGGAAAGATTGTACTGATGGAACGTAATAGTAGACACTGTAGACCGCATTACGTGCTTTTTGACCGATCGCTGTTACTCCACCTAAAATACGTAATTTTTAAAATTTCAAGCCATTTTTAACAAAACTACAACAAAAAATGACAGTTAGGCCGGCTCCAATATCACATTCTGAACATAACTGCCCCTCCTCTTTCCCAAGCCTCATTACATCGTAACCAGATGCGCCGAGATGTACCATATTTTGTAATTTTTAAAATATTTAGCTTTAGAGAATCTACATTCACATTGACTTTCTTAAAATTCCAATTATACCCCAGCCATCACTAAAACATTTATAAAACGCCTTACCTTTAACATAGTTTCCACCAGCCGCCAGTTTATTGTATGACCGTTCCCTGACTTCTTGAAGAGAAGGCACAGTAGGTAGAGGTGGCAAATAGTAAGTGAAAGCTTCAACAACATCAGCTGTATCCTGTCTTAAGGCTTTGATCACTCCTACAATGATAAAAAAGTTTTTTGGCTTTACAAATGCAAAGTTTATGTTTCTTAACTTCAAAATTTAAAATCAAATTTAAAAAAATTTAAATCTGCCACATGTTTGAGAAGATATTGTAGTAGCTACTGCAACACCTTCTCAAACACCATTTTTATTATATTACTCAAAAATCTCTATATAAAGTATACTAAACCTACCCCTCTTCTTGTTAGCAACGTTGTCGTAGCTGTAGAAAGCAAAGGGTATCAAGAGCAGAAGCAAGAAGACTAATGGAAGGTAGTTCTTTTCGTATTTCCTGAAATCCACACTAAATTAACCTTTGAAAGCCCAGAAGTCACAATTTTATTCATATTTCCCTTAAAATAACCCTAAAATTTAATATATAACCTTTAAAATGACCCCAATATAAACAATTTCCTTCTAATATAAACCATTTTCCCTTAAAACTTACACTTTTCGATCCCCAGCACCTCCGACTTCTTCCTTTTCTCCAACCACAAACCTGACCAATTCAGTACCAACAGCATTCGATGCCTCCCAGACATTGCCACCAATCTTCTTACCACCAACCCAGGCCTTGTCACTCAAATCTTTTCCACTTTTCCAAGCCTTGTTACCCAAATCTCTGCCATTCTTCTTCACATTCTCCCAAATGCCGACCTTCTTTGGTGGTCTTCCTCTTCTCAGCTTGCCTTGATCAACATGAAAACGGCCCAAAGTCCATCCTGAGACCACATAGAGAGCAAGAGTAACATAATCGTAGACCAACTTCAGTCCGTTCTTGACTTTAGTAAAGGCGGATTCTGCTGATTGCACGATAGGTTCGGCGAACGATTCTTCGGCGTAACCACGAGGAGTGGAGACGGTAACTGGCGGCGTGGCACGGTTCAGAGCTACAGAACGACGAGTTAAGCGTGGAGAATCTGTGGAACGAATTGGAGATACCAATGGAGCTCTGTAATGAAAGTTATTAGCAAAAACGTTTTTTTTAAATTTTTTAAATAAAATTTTTAAAAAAATCAAAAATTAGGTAACAAATTATTTAAAAAATTAAAATACCTTTCATCAACTTTCAGACCCACAACAGGCTTCGAAAGCTTGTTGTAGAAATATCCAGCAAAGTCCTTGATAAACGCGTAAGTTCTAGCCAATAATCCATCAGAATAGGCAAAACGAGCCGCTCTGTATGTCTAAAAAAATATAAACTATTAAAAACAGTCTCTTGACTTCAAACTGTAGCTTGGTATTATAAAAACTTTAAGAAAGTTTCAAAAAAACAAAAACTGTTCAAAAACCATCAAAAATAGCCCAAAAACCCCTTGATCTTACCCTTTTTCCTTTAGTATAAGTGTGATAAAGCGCGTAAATTGGTGCAAACAATGTTGGCCACAAAACAGCACTAACATATCTAAACCCTCTCTTCGTGCAGTACCACAAAAATGCAAACACATACATCCAAGTCTTGATTACACTCAGAAAAGCGTTGTAAATCCCGTTCAAAACCTTTTGACCGGTCGACTCCTTCTTTCCCCAGATGTAAACCGGTTTATTCTGATTCATCGAGAACCTGGAGCTATTGTAGTTGTCTCCGGAAAAGCCGATTCTCATCCGTGGTCGATGCATTCGAGGATGCACGTAGTCTGTAGTGCCATCTTTACGATAGGAGATACTGTCAGCATAAGTGTAGTCGGTCTGGAAGTCGCTGTTGATAATGTCGTCGATTTCTTCGCGAGTCAAAGATCGACTTCTTGAACGTCTTCTAGGCAGATTCCACTTTCTTCTGACCGCGGCTGTATCGTAGTCTGAGCGAAATGAGCATGATGAAGATGCTCTTGACGAATCCGGAGATTCCGAGTCCTTGGAGGACGGCATTTTGATTGCCAAAAGTTATTCTTGATAAGTTAGATCTTGAATTTGCTCTGGAAATTGATATTATAGTACAGTTTGTCCAGCAAGATACAAAAAGTGAACAAAATTCAAAATTTTAAAATGATTCAGCGAGTTATTTGATGTTACCCTAAAAAGTCACAAATACGTGTTTCAAAGAGCAACATAGAATGTGCCACTTTACATACTTAACAAAGATAATATCAAAAGACTGTACTTAAAATTCCATCCAAACCCAACAACCCCCTTTTAAATTATACCTATTTTACTTTCATATTACACTAGAAACAAGAAACGCGCCACGCTCTTCAAATTCATCAACCTTTCCACACCTTTTAAGGCGCTGACCATCACGCTAATTCAACATAATTTAACAATAAGTAAATGAAGGACATGAGAGTAAAACTATTTTCTGATATAACCAAGATACGACCATTTTTTATCATTAAAAACGAAGATGTGTTATGTATTTCGAAACATTCAAAGTTTGCCGACTAAAACATTAAGAAATTATCCAAATTCCCGAAAAGCGCCTTGGACAGCCTTTCTCTTCGAAAGGCCATCTTATTCTTGAGGTACAGTCATAACCTTGGCTTAAAAAACCATTAAAAACTCAAATACATCATAAACATTAACATATATTAAAAAGTAAATCTAAAAAATAAAATTAAAACCTAAGCCAACAAAATTCCCATGGATTCGACTGACGATAGTATTATATTGCACTAGAAAAACGTTCGCTTCATTTTCGCTCCAAAAATATTCCGCGTTCCTTTTATTTGTGGACGAAGTGTCACAACGAACTTCGACTATTGATGTTTTTGCGAAAATAATGTTTTGATGGAAAAATAAAGATTGGGACTGGTTTGGCGGTAAGTTACCGTTTTACTGTCGGCACAGGTTTGTAAAGTAAGTCACGAATCTATTACTGCTTATGTTATATAGTATTTTTTGAATTTTAGTGATTTACATTTATTTTTTTTGTTCTTTCAGCTAATAACTTCCACGTCCTTCGACCCAAATACTAATGTAAGTTAGTTTTACTTTTATTGTTCAAAATTTAGTTTAAAACTTGAATGGCAGTCCTATTAGAAGCTGATGATAAGTTACAAAGAAAAAGGAATCGAAAACCTGTGCCATGGGAGCCATATAAAGGAGCAACTAAAGGACCAGACAAGTTATTGGAGGATAATATAAGAGAAGAGCCTTTGAGGTTGGTCAAGTACCCAATAAGCTCTGATTTGCCTGAGAAGTGTCGATTGGGTACTGAGATTGAAGTTGAAAACGAATTTGATTTGAAAATTGGGGAGAATAAACCAGAAGTAAAAACAAAGGTTATTAAGGTAGGTGTGTAACACTTTGTCGTATTTTAAAATGTATATCAAAAAATGGGCCGGATTTTTCACACATTAGAAAAAAATAGACCTTTGTCGGTTGATAAAAGTTTATTACACCAAAAATTTATACCAATCAATTAAAAAAGCAATATACATCAAGGTACATCAATTTTGTGACAAGTTTACACTGAATGATGAGGAGCTCCTTCAGTAACAGGTTCAGGTCCGAATCCAGCAGCTCTTTTGCCGTAGTAACCATAGCCGTATCCGTAGTAAGGGTAGCCATAGCCGTAACCACCATAGTAATATTGAGCTGATCCTTGTTCCACAACGAATCCAATCAAGAACATGGCCAAGAGGCAGAAAGCCAAAGTGGAGCGAGATAGAGCCATTTTTAGTGTTTTAGGATAGGAAAGTGTGAACAGTAAACTGATGACTCTACCGTGGTATACCAGGCTTATATAGTGGGATTTGTTTGCGGTTTTCGTTCGAAAAAGTTATTTTATGTTTATTTTACGGGTCAAACAATTACTCCACAAACAAATTGGTATATAATTTTTTGTATATGTTACGGTAACGACAAAACGGGTGCTATAGGATTAAAGGGTAAAGCAAATATTTGTTAACAGTACGTTTTTAACAATATTTCACTTACCTCATAAAAAGTTTGAATTTTACGAAAATTTCATAATATTTGGTAGGAGGAAGTTTAATTTTGGTATTTCAAAAGTTTAAAGTGGCAAATTTTAAATTTTAAGTTGGATTTTATTATAAATTAAAGTTGCACATTATCATAGGCATAAAGAACTAAATTTGCAGCCACAAACCGTGCCAGAACCCTTATTAGATGACAAAGAAATAGCTCTACTGCGTAAAGAACTTCAAATCCAACGTGATATCAACAAAGAGCTCAAGTCATTACTGGTTCAAAGCCTTTCTGAAGATGTGAATTGCCAGATCACGTCGTTGGCCGAAGACAAAGTTCGTCTGGCCAAGAACATTGACAGCTATTACTTTCGAGCACATTCAGATGCCGAAACTCGAGAACAATTGGCTTTGGAGAATCAATTGTGGAGAAGCAAATTCTTGGCTATGGCTATTAGGACTGACGATCTGACTTACAGCTTACATCAATCATTGAGAATGCTCAAGGATGGTATGGAAGTTGAATTGTTTGGCTGGGTTTAGGCTGGAAATTAGTTAAAATTGATTTTTTGGCTTTTTTTAGGTGTGATATCAAAAGAATTTTCACTTTTCAGCCCAACAAACCATAACTGACATGTTGCCAGTCATCCCAACAACACTGACCGAAGCCCTGAAGAAAAAGATTGCCGAACTGATAAGTGTTGATGTTGTGTCACTGTACAACAAATCACCCTGCGATGAGAGTCGCCAGAGCAATGTGAAGAAGTGCCCGACCAACCTTACGATCAGTTGTTGTAAACGATGTCATGGCAAGGAGATTAAACTGGTGTGAATATTGGGGTTGCTGTTGTAGTAGCTAGGGAGGTGTGTCTTTTTTGGGGTAGAAAAGGGTCTTTTTAGGGTAGAAAAAAGTGGCTTTTCTGTTATTTTTCTTAAGTTTAGGTCCGGAAAAATGATTTTTTTGTTAATTTTTAGGCGAAAAAAGTTTTTATTGTGTTTTGAATATGAAAAAATGGTTTCTTTTTACAACTTTCAAGGCTTAAAAGTTTTGATATTATCTTATTTTTGAGCTCAATGTGCCTAAATTGGCACTAAATTGTGCTATAGTTCCTCTTTTTATGAGAGTTTGTATCATATTGTATCATAGGTTTTAATTTTTAAAAAATATTTTGCTTTATGTTTTGAAGTATATGAAAATAGTAGCATCTACTTTCGTCTAGTTTCATACTCATTTTTACCAGTAATCTTCTACTTTTTTGGCATTTTGTCTTATTCTTCATTAGATTGTGTGGATTTACGTGAATTAACTGACCTCTTTGCATTGTGATATATTGCAGACTTTACGGTTTTACATTGTTTTTATGGTTTTCACTTGCATTTCTTCGATTATTTGGGTATATTTTGATTGATTAATGTAGTTTTAGTACATATTTTTGAAGATAAATATTTTTACTGATAAGGTTTATATTACTTTTGATTTTTTTTGGTGTTTAAATTTGTTTCAAATGGCAAAAAAATGCGTATTGGATCGCCAATGGCAATGAAAATTAGGCATCTATACCAGTTATTGACCTAAGCCATAGATCAAGGTCGGACAAAACAACATACTCAACCCTACTTTACCTTGCTTAACCATACTCTTCTCTATCCTACCCAACTATACTATCCTTTTCCTTGCTCTATGTTGCCATTTCATACTCTACTCCACTCTACCTTACTCTACTCTAACCTACCTTGCTTTACCCTGTTTTGCCGTGCTTTGTCTTGAACTGCCATGCTTTACCCTATTACCTCACTTCCACCTTACGTTCTTATATTAAGCGGCTGAAAACGACTAGTCGAATTTACCTTGAAAAACATAGTACAAGACTACCATAACTTTTTTCGTAACCCCAATATTATATCTGACCATATAGTAACCGCAGAGTAAGCCTCCGACTCTTACTTTTACAGCTATTTCTACTCAATTACTTTCCATTCCGATTTGGCGGGTAGTCGATTTGCGCAATAATTATGAGGCGGATTTCTATACATTGCATTGTGTTTTACATCCGGTAACTTAATGGATCTTATTTTGTTTTTTGTGACCGATTTGCAGTTCGTTTTTCGAGTACGAACTAATTTGGGGGTTTCGAACTGTGTTGGCTGGGTTTTTAAAATTTAGGTTTAAAATGCGGGCTTTAGTAGAAGTTTAGCAAGGTTTTACAAAATTTGAAAAGAAAAACATGCTGTGAGAAAGGGCAGGGGTAGGTTAAATTTTTTAATTTTAGACATGCTAGGCTTCAAGGCAGGACAGGTTTGAAGAAAGGGATTATTGAAGGGTGTGGTAAATTTTAAGTTTAGAATGCGGCGCTTATAATTCAAAATTTAAAGATTAGTTTTAGGCATGCCAGACTTCAAGGTAGGGGGGAGGAGTTGAAAGAAGGGTCTATTAAAGGCTATGGTAGATTTTAAATTCAAAATGTAGGATTTACAAAATTTGAAAAAAAGATATGATGAGACAGGGCAGAGCTAGGCTAATTTAGGCATATCAGGCTTCAAGGTATAAGAATGAGGATGGGGGGAGGATTGAAAGAAGGTTTTATTAAAGGGTATGGTAAACTTAAAGGAATCATTGCTTTAAGGGTAGGACGGGATAAGGTAGGACAGTTTAAATTAGGGTAAGGTAGGTTAAAGTTGAGTAGTCTAGACTTTTCTATTTAGTCATCAATTGCTTCGTGATGACAAAATATTGTTATGAAATTCGGAACTCTATCGCCAATTGATCATGCCGAAATCCCCGTTGTGGGGTTTTTTGTCGTTTCTAGGTCGATCAGTACAAAACTTTATAAAACAGGAAATACGCCAACTTTTGTCACACAAACGTTTTGATATCTAGGTTATAGTCGGTGGTTACTCATAGTGTTTTTTTGTTTTCATAACTTTTTAGTTAGACTAGGGTTGTTCAGTGGGAATGAGGAAGGGAGTGAAGGGTAGAATATGTCATGACAGAGTATAGTAAAGTAGGGTAGCAAAGATTGTGTCGAAGCAGTACAGGACAGGAGATGGCATAAAAAGGTAAGGCAAGGCAAGGCAAGGCAAGGCAAGGCAAGGCAAGGCAAGGCAAGGCAAGGCAAGGCAAGGCAAGGCAAGACAAGGCAAGGCAAGGCAAGGCAAGGCAAGGCAAGGCAAGGCAAGGCAAGGCAAGGCAAGGCAAGGCAGGGCAAGGCAAGGCAAGGCAAGGAGGGGAAGGGGGGGGGGGTAAGGGTAGTCGTTTTAAAAGAGAAATCCGGCAATTTCAAGCCACCGTAGCATTTCGTAGCAGTCGTTCGAAACGTTGAATTATTAGCCGGCGGACATAATAAAAGACGATTTTTTTCTTTTTTTCGCTTTCCGTTCGCCGATTTTGACCTCAATTCAGGCTTACAGACGCCTTAAGGAGAATGGATCGAGCGAATTTTCGAAAATGTTTTTTCTCTGAACTCTGTAAGCTGATTTAAACAACTACTGACGCTTCTCAAGTGACGTTTCGGATATTGTAATTTGGTTTTGGGAGTTATAATATAAGGTTAGGATTAGGGTTTTGCAAGGTAGTTTGGCATGGAATGAGTGGCCGTGAAAAAGCAGGAAGGGGGGGTGTTGGTGTTTTTTTTCACTTTGGGTTGAGGGGTGGGGATCGGTGGATCTTCAGAGTAGGGTAGACCAGGAGAGGACACAGTTAGGCCGGGAACGGCATGGCGAGGCAAAGTAAGGTTGGATGGGGCATTTTAGGGTAGGGTAGGGTAATTTGGAATACGGTAGGGTAAGGTAAGACAAAAAAAGAGATTTTTTTTTAAATTAAAAAAAAACTTTAAAAAAAAATTTTTTTAAATGTGTGGTCGCCGCTTGACTCATTTTTGTCCTTTTGTTATATTGTTATATGTAAAACATACTAAAAACGATGTAATCTGACACGGTAATATTATGTTGTTCTACAAAAATTTTTTTTTATAAACGACGTTATTTTTCTTTTTTTTTGTTTTATTATTTCAAAACCGAAAAAAATTGTTGTTTTCACACGTGAAGATAAGCGTAAATCGACGACAAAACTTAATTTCACAGTTTCAAAAATCAAAAACTGACAAAAAACGCTTTTGTTTTTGTTTTTTTAAAAGTGCATTTTCCTTAAAAATTCCAAAAATTGTGAAAATGGGATTAGCGAAAGTCGTAACGCCAAGTTGTTTATTATTGTATGCAGGTTTATGCGCGACAAAAATAATTTTTCAACCGGTTTTGCGGTATGCGCCGCTTTTGTTGTAATGTTTATGCTGGTGGCATTCTGATACCGACCACTGTTATTGGTCGTGTTTATAAGTGGTTGATATGTTTTGATATTATGTTAGTTATATGAAGTTTGATGTGATTGAAGCATGTTTTGTTGATTTTTTCGTTTTGAATAAGAGAGTTTTGTTAGGTTTTTTTAAGAAACGGAGAAACTTATTAGGCGGGGGAGGGGGCGGGGGGGGGGTGGTGGAGGGTTTAAAAAAATCGTTAGATGGGTAGTGACGTTAAGGAAAGGGGTAGTTTTTGAAGAAAGGGGAGAACGGAAAACCAGTTTTATTTTATTTTTAAAATTTCTGTTGATCTCTATAAAACCCATCTTCACTTTACAGCACTAATCTATCAAAAATGTAAAAAAATACACAGAAATTTCGTTACAGAAGACTTTGTTATACAGGGCTACCTTAAAAAAAATTTTTTTTGGTTGTATTGTTCCTCTGTTAACATCACATAGTCTTAAGCGAAAACGCCCTGCTGCTACAAACCAAATTTTTTTTGTGGGGGAGGGGGGGTAGGGTGTTTTAAAAATTTTTTAATGGTGAACGTCTTTCTTACCTCTCTCTTTCCTTCCTAAAAATCCGGCGAGGAATAGATTTTTTTAAAATAAGCCCGGCCTTGAGCAAACGAACTAAAAACAGGTCAGGCTGAAAAAGAACGTCAGGTAGGGCCTGGCCTTTAGCGTAAATGAAAACAGGCTGGGCCTAAAACGAGGGCCCGACCTGGTCTGTTTCTCACCCCTATTTCTCTCCTTTTTTTGATTTCTAAAAAAAATTTTTTTCAATTTTGTATTACCTTTTCCTACACTACAATCATTTCATTCTGTAACTATCTTTTTTTGTCGGTCTTAATAACGTGGTTGACTTCTTTATTTTTAAATACAAAAAATATTTAGTTTCTTTTGGTAAAATACGAAACGCTTGAATTCTCTACATAATAAAATATCAAAAAAATATTTTGTTGAACTGTTCCAAGTTCAAGATCATCTCCCTCGCCACTTTTTTCCCAACTGCTTGTAGCCGCTGTTATTGTGACGTCCTTCACGACGGATTCGAGGGATACGTACGAAGGTGTGAGCGGACGAATTCCGTTCCGAAAGTCAGTCAAGAAGGGCATTTTGTCGCCCAATATTTAGCGATCTCTTTTAAGACCGAAACCAATAAAAAACACATCGCTTTGACCTTGTTTGGTCGACTTTGTTTTGGGAGTTTATGGGCTTATAGGTATGGAGGGATGGGTAGGGGAAGGGGGTAGTAGGTTAATGTGGATGTCATGGGACTATTTTAATGTATGTTAAGGTAGAGAAAGGCGTGTTAGGTTATGAATAAGATAGGGTAGATTATAAAAAAAAAGATAAGCCAGGTCATGAGAAAGATAGGACAAGGCGTGGTAAGGCCGGGAAAGGCATGATAGGGCTGGGTAAGATTTGATAGGTAAGGTAAGGGAAGGTAGAGTAAGAGAGAGAGTACGTTAGGGTAAGGTAGGGTAGAGTAGAGTAGAGTAGGGTAAGCAAGGGATAGGGTAGAGCTTGGGCTAGGACTAGATTTACGACTATGGGTAAAGCTAGCGCTAGAGCTCTGGGCAAAGGCTAGGGCTCTGGGGTCTGGGCTAGGGCTCTGGGTTAGGGCTCTAGGCTAGGGCTTTGGACTAGGGCTCTGGGCTAGGACTCTAGTCATGAAGAACGAGCAGGGCTTGAGTGTTAGCCCCAGACCGACCTAAATTTTGCGCAGGGTCGGCCCAGCTCAATTTTGTTTTGCGTGCAAAAAGGCCGGGTTTTTTAGGCCGGGCTGAGCCTTGATTTTCAGTCCTGGTCCGACTTAAATTTAGGCCAAATCTGGCCCGGCCTGTGCCTCATGTCTATAGAGCTCTCGGATGTATAGGTAAGATAAGGTATACTAGTGCCGAGGCATACTAGTGCCGTTCTTAATCTTCACAACTTGTAATCCATTTCTTATCAAACCTGTAATTTCAAAGGAGAGGGGGTGACCTTTTAATCAGTTGAGATCGGCTTTTGCGGTCACCCAATTCACCGACTTACCCAGATTTCGGTTGGAACGCGGCTTTCGGAACGACTTTATACTTTTCAAGGTCGTTCCCTGATAAGACTAATTTAAAAAGATGTTACACTTTAAGGATCCGCGAGCAGTTTTGTTTCCGATTGTTAGGGATTTGGGTTATACTTCCTTGGGTGGGGTGGGGGGGGTGGTTCTTTGACGTTTTATTTTATATTATAGTAAGAAGTTACATTCAGGGCCGGGCGGGAACTTTTGGTCTGAGGGCAGGGGTCCAAAAAAATCCACAGGGGGGAACACGTTCAACTTTTTTCGAAAATTTTTTTCTGGGAGGGGGTACGTACCCCCCCCCCTCGCGCCCGTCCTTGGTTACATTGTTTTATATTAAGTTGTTCAAATAATCTTGAGCCCTCTTTTTGAAGTCGATTTTTGAGGTTAAAGGGCTCAGAATTACAGGGTGCGCAAAAAGTCCTGTTACAAAACTTTACCGGTCGTTTTCTCTATGTATTATATTTGAACAAACTGATAGTAATGCTTTACTATACTTTGCCAGTGGTCAATAAAAATCTTTTTATTTAAAAATTTTTTTAATTTACCCCTGCCGAATATTTTTTTTAACTGTACCCCTGCCAAATATTTTTTTTTAAAATTTACCTTTGCCAAACAAACATTTTTTAAAATTTACCCCTGCCAACTTAATTTGTTACATCAAAATTAAAAATTATTTTTGATTGAATAGAGTGCCTCTTTAACCCTATAACCTCACGCTTATCTTGAATATTAGATTCTTGACCTTGTAGCAAAATTAATGACACAAACAGCCCGCGGGGTCATTCTGTGCGAACGGCTGACAAACAAACGAGATCAGATTAGGATCTAATGAGGTATCTTCTTCATTCTACATCTCTTTTGAGGGCTGGGTTTTGGAGGAGGGGGGGGGGTGGGGGAGTGATATTTTTGGGCATGGGTAAAAAAGAATTTTTTTAAAATTTTTAGTATAAATATTTTTTTAAAAATTTTATTTTACAAATAAAAAAAAATTTTTAACAGTGTTTTGTTATATTTAAAAAGCATGAATATAGCCGGGCTAAAATTAAGTCTCCAGAAGCTGAAAGGCGGTGAAGATGCTTAAAAAAACAGGAGTGGGTAAGGAATGGCTGCTTGAAAGAAAAGGGAGTGTTGGTTTGGATGTTGACATTAAAACTAATTTTAACATTTATGCTAATTTTAAAACAATTTAAAAAGTACTGCGCTGTTGTAGCTTTACAATGACTAAAAATTTAAAATGAACTTGAACATCGCTTTGCACTTTTATTATGTTAGTAGTTAATCAGGTCATTGCACAATTATGTTACACTAAACTGAAATGAAACTTAGAGCTCAAATTTTATAAGTAATCAACTTAAAATTTTTTTGCTGATACGGAATGTTTATATTTTGGTCAAAAGTATTTAGAACTACTAATTTTTAAGATAGGGTAAGGCTGAATAGGATGTGGTAGTCTAATGTAAGGTAGAGTATACAAAGCATAAGGCTTAGCGTTTGTCAAAGAAAGGTAAAACAGAGCAAGGCAAGGTATAAGAATGCTAGAGCAATGTAGGGTAGGGTAGGGTAGGGTAGGGTAGGGTAGGGAAGGGTAGGGAAGGGTAGGGAAGGGTAGGGTAGGGTAGGGTAGGGTAGGGTAGGGTAGGGTAGGGTAGGGTAGGGTAGGGTAGGGTAGGGTAGGGAAGGGTAGGGAAGGGTAGGGAAGGGTAGGGAAGGGTAGGGTAGGGTAGGGTAGGGAGCAATAACTGTCATAGCTGTAGCTTCCGCGGAATTCGGTTAATCCGGAAAAAGTAACGGATTTCGAAGAATCGGGTTAGCTTACGATTAACACAGTTAGAGACATTATTCGTCGATACGTTTTCGAATACAAATAGTGGATCTTCTATTCTGTATTTGAAATGTATTTTTGGGTTTTTTGGAAAAATAGGCTTGAAATTTTAATTTTGTTTTTTTGGAGCAAAGACTTTGACGGTGGTCAAAAAGTGTGTAGAAATGAGTTTTTGTAATTGGTCAAACAGTTTTTAAAAGGACATTTTAGTGCATTTTAAATAAATTTTTAAAAATTTCAAAAATTTGCTTTTTTTATTTTTTTTAAAGCAGATTTTTTAATTTTTTGCACCGTGCAACCTACATTATCCATAACTTTTGAACCAATGGGAGAAAAATTATAAATCCTACTTTTGAAAAGATAATTTCAAAAATTTTAATTTTTTCGTGTAAAACGACACCATAAATGCCTATTCAAATTTGTGTATACAACTTTTGTCGTCACCGTTTTGTCGCCGCCGCCGAAGCCGACCGGCGGATCTGATTTGCGTCGTTCGCTTAGGGTAATTTGTGACCTTGAAGTTGGGAGAGAAAACCCAAAAAATGCCAACGAACACGGTACGGATCGGCTTGCTTCGTCTTGGGGGGATAAGAGTTTCGTTTTCAAACTTGATTATTATGCACTTTAGTTGGGGAAACGGTCTTTGGTTTTCAAATTATAATTGTTATGTTTAATGTGGTGATGCAAGTTATGTAAGCATACAATTTTGTTGGTAAGTACGGTATAAGACGAGTAGTAAAAGGTAAACTGTGAGTAAGTTGAACAGGGTAGAATATGAGAAAGATAAGACAAGACTTTGTGTAAGAAAAATAAATAAGGGCAAGACAAAAAAGGGTAAGTAATGGTAGTGTAAAGTAGATAAGAGTAGGTTATGGCAAGGATAAGGCAAGGTATGGGATCACTAGGCCAAAAGCACAGTAAAAGAAAGGGATTGCAAGGCAGGGCAAGGTATGAGAATGATAGGAAGAAGCAAAGCTGGGCAAAGCAATTTGGGGTAGGATCAGGTATAGTAGGGAAGAGGTAGGGCGCTGGTAATGTAGGCTAGAGTTAAGCCGGGAAATGTAAAGCAAGGCATAGGATTGTTAGGGCGAGGCAAAGAAGAACAAAATAATTAAGGGTAAGGTTGGGTCAAGTAGAGCAAGGGAAGACAGAGCTAGTGTTAGAGTTGGCTGAAGCTAAGGTAAAGCTAAAGTAATGCAAGGTAAGGCAATGCAAGGCTTGTTCTGTCGATTACCGCGATTCCTCATGTTTAATATCATATTGTAAAGCCACATCATTACAAGTTTTAACAAAATATAATAACCTTATTTCCAGGGGCAAAACACCACAACCAACAACAATATAGTATTCACAATCTCCTACCCTCATTCCTAAACTGTACAGTAATCCCAACTACCACATCATGCGGCTACGATCCGCTCTACTCCTGTCGACGGCCTTAGGGCTAATGACAACCTTTGTTATGGCACAAGAGAAGATAGAAACGGGCTGTGCAAATGACATGTTCTTGTGTCCACGTGAGGCTAGCTGTATACCGTATGATTGGGTGGGTGATGGAGAGAACGACTGTGAGGATGGTGCTGATGAGATCGGTCAGGCACCTAGAATTAGTGGACCTGTTAAGAATAAGGTGGGTGTTGTTAGCATTTACTGAGTCGCAAGAGCCTATTACTATAACCAAAAACATTTCAGAACAAGCCCATGTCAAGCGACCCCTTCTCAGAATCCCATCAACAAGACCAACCACCACCAAATCAACTGGTCGGTAACCCAGCGGACTGTTCCGCAAACCACAAAGCAGCTATGACAGCCTGTGTCGAAAACCTGGATTCCTGGGCCACAGACTTGGCCTTCACCAACTTCTCCCAAGTCTCCATCTTCAATGACGAGTTGAGCATGGCCAAGGTGGAGCAGGGCTGTGCCTTACTCCAAGAATTCTCCAGCTGCATGGATGGACTGCCAGCTAGCTGCGTGCCAGAACAAAAAGAGCTTCAGGACTTCCAGAAGATTCAGATGTATGCTTGCGAGTTGTTGGTTCCTTCGTTAAAGGAGCATTTGAATTGTTTTGGCAAAGCCAGAGACCAAAAGTGTGGTGTACCAAGTGCACCAGGTGACAAAAGTGTTATCTGCCGTTTGGTATCGTCAGTTCATGCTGACATCAACTGTGTAGCTCAAGTACGTCCAGAAGAATGTGACGAAGTAGCTATCGAACTGTTCGAGCCAATGAAACAAGAAACACAACATGTTCTTGATGATCTACAGTGTTCACAAAGCTCTGGTTCACCTTCATTAACTGACTCTGCTTCAGATTCTGTTCCACCAAACGTAGCTACATCTTCAGGACGTCCAATCGTTGATCTACCTCTTTCCCGAAGCACCGCTGTAAACCCAGCAACGGCTCAAATGACAACAATTGAAGTTCCAACTTCAGAAGATGTACAAGCAAGAACTACTCAAGAAGTCGAAGCCCAAACTTCAGAACCATCCACTGGCTCGGCTCCAGTTTCTCAACCAAGCCTTCCAGACGACGGTAAACAAGAATCCAACGAAAGAATCGTCATTGAAGAGCCGTCGATGAACGAACAGTCGATGGACGAACAACCAAAACAAGTTCAAGCTGTTCAGCCAACCAGAACAACTACTACAACATCCAAATCTGAAAACAAACCAAAATCCGAAAGCAGCTCAAAGTCTGACGGTAAACCAGCTTCTGATGCTGATTCAAAATCCGAAACCAAATCAGAATCGAGATCAGAAGCCAAGACCACAAAAGCTCCAGTAGCCAAACTAAGCCCAGCCAGCAAACAAGTCCTCGATTTGTCCAACTCTTTGTTCGCTTTTGGCAATGTTGACCAAATTTGTAATGTCGAGTCCAAGGACGATGTGTGGGCTCCAGTCAGGAAGCGTATCTGCCACCGAAAGGAAGATCTGATCGTTCATAGCAACTGCTTCTTGGAGACGGCTTTGAAGGACAAACAATGTGTCGCTGACAAAGTAATTGCCAGTTTATATGAAAGTAAAACAAAAGCACAGCTAAAACTTTCCATTTTGACAAAACTTCCTCAAATTTGGGCTAAAAATTATATTTTTATTTATCAAAAATTTTGTCCGATACTAGCGGCACGAAGTGTCAAATTTGATCCAGCGATTTTTATTTATCTCGATGTAGCTTGTTCGGTTTAGAGACTATTTTTGCATTTATAATAGACAAAACCTCAATCAAACTTATATTAAAATTAAAGCTCAGGCATCAGGCTATCTTTCTATATAAGTTTTGAGTAGTTTAACACAAAATAAAACACTTTTTGAACTGAGTGAAACCCTGAAAACTAAAACTTTTTGAACCAATCCTTTGTCGCATAGCTTTTAGCACAGAACTGGCCTGGTTATTGACTTTATATACTTAAAATAAGGCAATTTCTCTGAAGAAATTTATGTTATCGTCTGTGCAAATAATTTTTGAGTTTTAATACCCTTGATTCCGATATTATAGTAGGCCATCACATCATTTTAAAGTCAAAAACTTTAAACTATTATAAGAATCGTTTTGTTTTAGAACTTTGCTGTTTTTATTAGTGTTTATTTCTGTTATCTTACAGCTATATTAATTTTACTTAGTTTTTTCTATACTTTAATAAATTTCATTTTCAGTCAACCAAATCTTCACCATGCGCCACTTTGGAAGCTTTCAACAAGAACGTCGACTGCGTTATCGTGTCTTTGAACGACTTGTGCCCTGTAGAAGCTCAAGACGTTGTAATTGCCATTCAGGAGAGCTTGAACGACGAAGCGATTGACCTGAAGTGTTACGAAGAAAAAGACAAGGTTCAACGAGAAGAGGAGAAGAAGGCCGGCAAAGAGGAAGGCGACGGCTTCAGCTTGTCTCCACAGAACCCACGCTGCAATGGAGATCAGGAGAACGCGGCTTTGGTTTGTTTGGTCGAACTTGTGGAGATCAACAAGAAATTGAGCGAATTCCACAGAGTAAACTTCTTACTGGAGGTTTCTGATGCCAAGAGCAAGTTGATGAACGAGATTTGCGACTTGTACTCGAGGTACGACCAATGTCTGGTGGATAGTGTGTTCTCGAAGAACGGTGGTCAAAGATGTTCCTTCAACTCGCCTCTTAACACCTTGGCTAGAATCGGTCTTTCTCCTATTTGTACTCCCAAATATAGGCAATTGTTAGTCCAGTCCAGAGACTGTTTGATGAAAGTGGCTAACGAACCAGGATCAGCCCAATGTCAAGCTGGGCTTCATCATCTTGGCGACAGTGTGGGACGTATGATTCAAGGAATTCATGGTGAGGCATTGTTGTGCAAGTCCTTCTACACTTTGAGGGATGCATTCAACTGTGGCGAAGCTTTGGTTCAACGGGATTGTGACGCAAAGACTGTTGAGGATTTGAACAATTTGAAGGAATTGGTATGTTAATTCAAGTTGAATTAGCTTTTGTGCAAATTTTTTTAAATTAGTTAACAAAATTTATAAAATTAGTATTTTAGGTAACAAAATCTGTAAAACTAGGATTTTAGGTAACAAAAGTTATAAAATGCAATTTTAGGTAACAAACTTTGAAAAAGATAGGATTTTAGGTAACAAAATCTATAAAAGTAACACTTTAAGTAACAAAATCTAGTAAAATAGGATTTTAGGTAACAAAATTGAAAAAAATCTTTAATAATGGAAAAAATAAAAAATTAATCTGACAATTGTGAGAAATTATAAAAATCCCATTTCAGATGACCTCTCTCGGCCTAGAAGAAGGTTGTCCAGCCCAAGAACCAGCCAACTTGAACGAAATCATCAGTCGACCGGTTCAACAACCAGCTCAAGTTCAGCCGAAAACGAGCCCACCTGTCGCTCGACCAATGACTCCAACTCCAGCAGCTGCTTGTGAAGCTCACGAGCAAGCTCAGTTTGGAGAGTGTGTCAAACCATTGACTGCTTTCAAGCCTCATCCAATCGCTGTTGTTGCTCAACCAAAGGACATTGCTCAGGCTTGTGAAGCTCACAAGAACTTCTTGGAATGTAGAAAGAATTTGCAGGTATGGGGGTGTTATGATTGGTAGGGGAGGGTAGGATAGGGTATGGTAGGCCAGAGTACGGTAAATTAGGGGTGAGGTACGGCAAAGTAGGGTAGGGTAAAGTAGGATATAGTGGAATACGGTAGGGTAAGGTAAATGAGGGAGGGTAGAGCCTGTCAAATTATGGTAGGGTAAAATATAATAAGATAGGGTACTATATAACATGCCAGGGCTTAATTATGCTTAAATTTAAATTTTTTCAAAAGTTTTTTTACATTTTCAAATTCCAGTGCTTCCCCCTATGGGCTCGTGGTATGTCGGCTATGTTCGACTATGCCTGCAACGCTGGTGCAGACAAATACTCTGGAATCAAGCAATGTGTTCGTAAGGTTACCACACGTGCTGATGTCCGAGAATGTGTGAATACCTTCTCCAAGTCAGCTCCACAAGAAGCCTGTGTCTCTACCAACCGGCTTCTTGGCTGTGCTTTGCCACCAATCACTGAAAAGTGCGGGCATGTGGCCAAGGAGTTTGTCACGGAGTATGTTCGCAAGTTTGCCAATACTATTGATTCCAATTGCAAGGTTGGAGAGGAGTTCAAGGAGGAAGGTGAGGGTTGTTTTTGTTTTTTTAAATTTTTGAAAACATTAAATTTTATGCTTTTTTTGTTTAAAAATTTTTTTTTTAATCAAAATGAGTTTTTAAAAGTTTTGTTATCTAAAATTTAAAAAAATTGAATTTTTAGGGATATTTTTCAATTTTGTTACCTAAAATTTAAAAAAAATTTAATTTTTAAGGACTTTTTTTGAATTTATTACCTAAAATATATTTTTTATTAAAACTAAATAGCATTTGAAGCATTTTTTTCTAATTTTGTTACCTAAAATTTAAAAAATTTGAATTTCAGCCGTCCGTGCCATTTCCACCTTCAACTGCACAGCCAACGAAGACCAGATTATTGAGCACTGTTCGGCACCTCTTAATGACATTTCCGCTCGTCTTGACGACCTCTTCCACGGTGGTCTTCAGTCCATTCTCAAGAATCTTAACAGTCTGGCTCCAGTCTTTGCCCAAGGCTGTAACTTGACGGCCGAATTCAGAACGTGTGCCAAACCAGTACTGGAACGTGATGGACCATGCACAGTATCGTCTTGTTTGGTTCGTGCTGGCAATGGAATTTGCAATCAGCCGGATGTTGTTGAGGCTATTGATACTAACCTTGGCTGTATCTTTAAGCAGGTTAATAATCCTGAATTTGGAAAGTGCCTAAGGAACACAATTGCCACTTTGAAGGATATTAATTTATCTAAACTGAAGGCTGTTCTGCCAGAGTTTGTCGACTGTGTGGAGCCGATTGTGGTCGATAAGTGTGGTATAGTACCAGTGAACGTGCTGAAAGCTCTTGGATCAAGAGAAGTTTGTCCAATCGGATTCATCCCAGAGCCATTGCTTGAAGCTACCCCAGTATCTACTACTCAAGCTACTTGTACTGAAGAAAAGAAGCAGCAGTTTGCTGGTTGTATCCAGCCAATCGTCACCAAGTACCCATTCATGCCTATCAGTCTAGTAGCTAAAGGTATCAACGGCGAACAAGTCTGTCACGATGTAGAAACCTATCAGAAGTGCTACGAGAACATTGGCGTATGTCCAGAACCAGCCGAATCCGCATCTCTGCGCAATGTGCTGAGTCAACTCTGCGCAGCACGTACTGTATTTGATCAGCATCGTACTTGTCTGTCTGACATTGCTGAAGGCCCGAAGGCTAAGGATTGTTTCAAGGATTCAGAATCTTGTGAATCCATCAACGCCGGCCTTCAATGTGTAGCCGAGAGTGTGAACGAACAATGTGGACCTGATGCTCTACAGTTCGCCTTCAATGCTATGAATGACAGGAAACGAGAATGTCGCCTTCAATTGCCATCCGTAGCGCTACAGACTGGTTGTAGTGAAGATCAACTGATTTCGTATCTGGAGTGTGATTCCATCATTGATAACTTCCACTTCCAACCGATTACTTTTATTAGGTAAATTTTGGAATTTTTTTTATTTTAGGTATTAAAATTTGATAAAAATTTTTTTTTGGATTTTAGGTATTAAAATTTAAAAAAAGTTTTTTTTTGAAAATTAGGTAACAAACATTTTTTCAGCAACGCCTCCGAATGGGACGCCTTCTGCAGCATCGTGGAGACCAAGTATCGACCATGTTTGGACAAGTTGTCTTGTCGGTTTGAACCAGTGTCTACTGCTTCTTTGACTTTATTCGAAAACTTGTGTGAACGTGAAATCACTCGCCGTGATCAACGCAAGTTTGCTGAATGTTTGGCTGAAGTTGCGGATAGCAGTGAAGGCAAACAGTGCTTGGAGGTTTATAAGGTAAGTTAGCTTTGAAATGTTGATTGTCTTACTGTAGTATTGTTTGTCTTTCTGTGGTATGTCAGACTTAACCTAGCGTTGCTTTACCTTATTCTATCCTACCCTACTCTACTCAACCTACCCTCGTCTTATCAACTAAACCTTAAAATTTCAGAGCGTAGACCTTCTGGCCAAGAATGCGAACGAACAAGTTTGCTCATCAGTCAATGAAATCCTGAACTGTGCTTCTGGAGCCATTACGAAAACGTGTGGAGATGACGCTCTCTTGCACGTCTATGACATCCATGGTACCTGGGTACAAGTATTCAATGCCACTTGTGTGTTACAACCAGTCAACTTTGAAGAAAAGACTAAAACCATCACTTCTAGGCCTGTTATGAAGGTAAGGAGCTTGTTTTAGGTGGCAAAACATGAAAAAATTTTTGAAATTCAAAATTTTGAAATTTAAAAAAATTTAAATTTAATCTTTCAGCCAAAGGTCCCAGAACCAGAGCCAATCCCAGAGCCAGAACCGGAACCATCTCAACGGCCTCATCATGTTGACATCCTCGACCATGACCACCATCACACTTCACCTCAACCTGAACCCGAGCCCGAACCAACTTCAGCTCCACCAGCTTCAGGCGCAGCGAGAGTTGGTCGTGCTGTTGTTGGACTTTTGGTCATGTTGGCAGCTGTTTTGTTGGTCTAGAGTTAGATTTTTGAAAATTTAAATTTTTTTTTATTTTAAAATTTTTTGAATTCTAACTTATTATTGAAAAATTTTGTTTTTTTTGTTTCATACGGGAATTTTGATTGAAATTATCCAAATCTACATATTTCTACTGTATTTTACTTTTTTAATTACTATGTTTTGCTAAAAGTTCTACTGCACCGTGCAACGTCAAAACTTCAATGCACAGTGCAGTTCCAAAACCGGCTCCACTGTGCAGGTGAAAAAGGTTTGCACGGTGCAATATTTTTTTTAAGTTTGCACGGTGCAGTCTTTATAAATTTTGCACTGTGCAGACGATTTATGAACATTTGGCTTGATTTAAAAGTTATTTTTGTGATTTTTAGACGTTACTACTTAATCCTTTCATTTGTAAATTGTTCTCCGGTACTCTGCAATCATATTCAAACGGTCAAGTTGATTTTGACGAAGGGTTTTCCTTAAAATTTTAAATATATCATGAAAATTTATGGTTTTTGGTCGAAAAATTGACAATTTTAACATGTTTTTTGCGTTTTTTGGTCAAAAAGTTTATAGAATTGGCATTTTATAAAGTTAAAAATGAAAAAATCCTCGTTAACACCTTCTCGACTCTTATTATATGTAAATTAGTCCCTAATATGCTCAATAATTTGTCAAAATTTGTATTTATGGCATTTCATTTTATTTTCCATATCAATTTCATATTATTATATTATAATAAAACATTTAAAGCTATGTCAGCGTGAGTAATATATGTTATTCGAAATTTTGAATTTATGTCAACAATTTTTTTATTGTCATGAATGTAATGACAGTGGACTCTAAACAAGGTTGTCTTACCTTACCTTACTTTACCTTTTTTTCAAATTTTACTATAAATATTAGGTTGTTCAAAAAATACTGCGCCCTCTCATTGAAAGAAAATTTTCGGGGTAAGAAGGGGGCGCAGAATTATTTGAACCACCTAATGTAGGGGTCTATATATAATAGTAATAACTTTAAGCTCAATTTAAGCCTGATCGAAGCCAGAGTCCACTGTACAACACATCATCAACAATATATCTTTGGTACATGCAAAAGTGGCAAAAAGTTAAAAAGTTTTGGAAAAAATTGAGATTTAAGCTCTTTGGTATTAGTTTAGGCAGATGATTTACACTTGTATACAAAAGTTTTTGTCGGCCAATCTAATACAATATCGACATAAAGCATCTTATCATAGACAGAACACGTTTCAGCCCTTATATCCTCATGCATTGACATAATATACACATGACACAGTAATCAACACATCCTGAAGGCTCTTCCTCGTCCCTTAGTTGCTGTGTAACTGGGACTCTCCGCCGCGGCGGGGGCGAATTCTCGGGACAACAACAGAAACAACAACTGCCTTCACCCCAAGTGGGTTTGTGACGTCGATGGGGAGCAGGGGGTGGTTTTGTGGTTGGCCTATGCCAGGTTGTGTCCGTACTGAAATTTTGTTTAGTTAGGTACTACAATATTATACTGAATGAATAGTAAAGTAACCATAACTTCTGGAAAAGAATGTTAAACCTAAAAAAGGTATGAAGTACGTATTTTACCATAATATAACAACAAAATGCAGTAAAATCTAAGTTTATATCACATACGTTTTGACTTGGACAAAATCGGCCGAAACTGGTTGAGTATCCACCACTTCTCCGGGCCCTATGATCTGAGTTGGCCCTTGCAAGCTGATGCCACTGGTACCTGGCGTTGTGACAATTTCCATAGACTCTAGTTGTTTATCTGGTAGTGTTACATGAGTTACGTCTAGCTCTTGGTATACTTCGGCTAAAAATTTTAAAATCATATGTTTTAGCTCTTTCCCTACCCTAATATAACATAACCTTCTCTATCTTACTGTACAGTACCCTATTCTACCCTACCAGCCCTAACCTACTCTATCTTACAGTACTCTACCCTACCCTACCCTCACCTCAAAATTTCCCTACCATAAATAAAACTTACGCCTTCCAACCCGATATCGACCACAACTCTGGCAGTCCGCCTTGTCCGGCCTGACCCATCCATGATCGTGCATTTGAAACGAGTGCATTGTCGACAAGTCATTCAGTAATAGCCATTCTGTAATCAACGCTCTTAACCGGTCAGTCGTAGTTATGTCTAATCGTATTGTCTCTAAAGCTGGTCGAAGAAATAGACATAGGTCTTGTAGCTCTTCACGGCCCAGTTCGAAGATTGTCGGCATCTGAAACAAAAATTTTTTTTTGCAAAAAAGATAAGAAAAATTACCCCTCCGCTCATATCACGACAAAAAAATAAAGAAAATTTATAAAATTCCATGTAATTTTTGACCTCAATAAGATTTCGCAAAAATTTAGTAAATTTCGTACAAAATTCGGACTAAAAAACAAAGAAGCCCGGTGCAAGAACTACTCATAACTCTAATTATCATAATGTGCTAAAGCAGATAAATAACCATCGTAATTAACTTAAATTAGGGTTAGCAGCCTTAAGTTTTTTTGAACAAAAGATGTTTTATGTATTTCACTTTCATAAGCATGTTTAAAGCTAACAACTACAGTTTAAGCTAAACCTGAAAGAGATCCCACTAGGCCTATGCTAGTCCAAAACAAATTTGATACAAACCAAACCGAAAAGTTGGGTCAGGCCCAAGCTCTTTACAGGTTTAGTTTAGGTAAATACTCCGAAGTTTAATTCATTTTATAGATTTGGAATTCATCAGGTAAGTCAAGTAAAGAACGTTTAAAATATGAAAACCTTATTCTCATTGCCTTGTTATTTTTTGGCATTTTCATTTATTCTGAACTAAAAAAGTAATGTTTAGAAGATTTCTTATAGGAATGTTTTTGGCTAATCCGTGAAGGATTTTAATATTTTTCATAAGATATTATAAAAGAACTATTTGAAAGCCAAAAAAGTAGTAGAATCCAGTGGAACACCTGTATAACGACAAGAGTTTTAAATGAGCTTCTTGCCTTACTTTAAGCTAGAGAGAGATTAAAAGTTGTTCGTTATAAAAGAGTTCTTCTCTAATTAAAAAGTATTTAAAAGAAAAAAAGGATGAACATTTAGAATAAGAAAACGTCAAAAACAGTCAAGGCTAGTAAAAGAAGCAAGAAAAAGGTGACAGTCCATTGTCATAGCCCCAAAAAAATTTTTTTAAAGACTGAATCTATCAAAAAATTAAAAAAAAATTTAAAAAATTTTGTCAAATTTTAAAAAAAATTTTTGTTTCCTCCCCCTCCCCACCCCCCGCCACATAAAAATCAAATTTTTTAGTATAATTCAAGGAATTCTCTTGAATAAGTTTGAAATAGCTACTCAAACCCCCACGCTGTTTTAAAATTTACCCCACCCAAAATATAACTTAACTTATTTATATTTGAAACTACTTTATGTAAAAAAGTAGTACAAACCAAAGTAAAAGATGTATATATATACTAAAACAGCAAAGTAAAACATATACATTGTAGTAGAAAAAAAGTATAAAATAGATATTGTGGGCGCAAAAACCTCAGGTATTTACTTAAGAAAGAAGAAGTTAATTGCTTTCAGAATTCTTAATACGATTATAAATATTTGCGTACGGCAAAGTTAAAAAAGGAAGAAGAAAAGTGACATTTATAATACTTTTTGAGAGTGAGGGAAAGGGCGGACGTGTAAATTAGTCACAAATATGGGAAAATATAACAAAAAAGCTTGCTTTGGGGGTAGATAATGGGTAAAAAAGATTGTTTTTGGGGTAAATATCAGCAAAAAAGATGATTTTCAAGATAGATAATGACCAAAAAATGTTGTTTTAGGTGTGGAAATACTAAAAAATATTGCTTTGGGGGTAGATAATGGCAAAAAAACTTGTTTTTAGGGGTAGATATTCGAAAAAAGTTGTTTTGAGGATAGGTAAGGGCAAAATAAGGTTGGTTTGAGAGTAGATACTACCAAAAAAAGGTGGTTTTGAGGTATATTATGCCAAAAAAGGGTAATTTTAAAGGTGACAATACTAAAAGGTGTTGCTATGGGGGTTGATCATGGTTAAAAAAAACGTTTGGTGGTTTGAAAATGACAAAAAAAAGCTTGTTTTAGGGGTAGATAATAACGAAAAAGGTTGTTTTTAGGGCGCAGAAAAGGTGAAAATACTAAAAGATGTTACTTTAGGGGTAGATAATAACAAAAAGAGTTATTTTGGGAGTAGATCATGGTAAAAAAAAGTTTTTTTTTGTGGGTAGATAATAGCTTTCTGTTGCTTTTAGGGTAGGGGGGGGGGAGCAAAACAGCTCATTTTATGAATTAAAAATACTAAAAAGTGATTTTTTAAGAGCAAATAATGGGCAACAAAGGTATGTCATATATAAAAATCGTCCAACTTTTAACTAAAAGTTCAAAAAATTTAAAATGAAAAAAAATTAAAAAAAAAATATAAAAACCCAAAGTGTAAAAAACAAAATTAAAGCTGTTATAACTTCAAAGCCCTCAAGTAATTGTGCCTTTACACTTGTCCAAAACAATAAAAATAAAAATGAAAACCCAAATAATATATTATTATAGGTTGGTTGGTGTTATCTCATGGGAAAACCCGTCGTGAAAGTAAAAAGACCTAATAATTAACAAGGTTTATGTAAATTAAACATCAGGTGAGACTTTAAAGTTGTAAAAACAACTCCAGCTAGAAAATCATAACCACACCCCCCTCCCCCCTTAGCTTAATTATGAACCCCTCCGCCCCCCCCTTCTTAGTTAAAACATGGTTATCTTCCCCTCTGATAAAAATATATTAACTCCCTGCCCATCCCCGTTTCTTCAAAGAACATGATAAACCCCTCCCCCCCCTCAAGCTAAAACACAATAACCTCCCCCCCCTTAACCAAACACATAATAAACCGAGAGTAACAGAGCCATATGTCACTGTATTCGCTAGCTCTCAACCCTCAGCATAAAACTCGCTCAGAATTATTCGCAATTTTAATTACTTTCGAAAAGCCACCCCCTTCTCGGTTTCCACGGCTTACCGCACAAGCTTAACCCCCCGAAATTTGCATATAATGTGCAACGGATTAAAGTGAAAGCAAAATTAAATGAAGAGGGGGTGGAAGGTATAATTCTAGTGCCAGCATTAGCTCTAGTCCTAGCCATATTCTTGGCTCTAGCAATTGCATTAGCCCAGAGTCCCACTCGTAGCCCTAGCCCAGAGCCTTAGCCTTAGCCCTAGCCTTAACCCTAACTCTAGCTTTCGCCTTGGCCCTAGCCTGAGCCAGATAACCAAGCCAATTTTTCAAGCCTGGCCTAATCTAAATTTGGGTCAATCCGGCCCGTTCCTCATGTGTAGCCTTAACTCTAGCCTTGGCCTTAGCTCTATCCCACGGCCCAGTCCTTCAAAAACCCTGTTTCTAGCTTACCCAGCTAGCCCTAACTCTAGCCTTACCATACTCTACTTTACCCTAGCTCAACTTATTTCCCTCTCAAGTTATATGCTATCATTACCTATTCCCAACCTTTACTCTGAGTCTCCACATCCAACTGTAATATCCAAAATGAAAAATCAAATTCTTCCAAAAATTTTTATATTATATTTAAAATGTTTGCAAAAATTTTGACCTAATGCATTTGTCTCAAAACCCACCCCCGCCTGCCCTCCTCATTCCGGCCTGTTTTTGCCTGACTCATTCACACGCCCATTAACGAAGAGTTTCCAAAACAACCGAAAACGGAAACGACTCGTTTTCAAATAAATACGAGAGCGTATTTCGTATTTATTCCCAATGAATATTAACATGTCAGAGTGGGAACACGCCCCGATGATTTCGAGTCCACGAAAATTCGATTTGAAACAATCCGCCGGTTATTAGTGGGGAGAGGGACAAAACAGGAAGAATGATCTACGCAATGCAAAGGCGGGGTAAAAATTTGGGAGAAATAGAGCTTTGGGGTAGAGAATAAGAAAAGTGGGGGTAAATATTTAAAACATGATTTGGGGTAGATAATATAGAAGGGCGGGGTAAAAATTTAGTGAAAAATATGATTTGGGGTAGATAATATAAATGGGCAGGGTAAAAAAGTAAAGTTTCAGTAAAAAAGGGTCTAAAGGTCGAAGGTATAGTAAGGCGGAGTAAAAATTTGTTATATTTTCTTTTGGGGTAGACAATATAGAAGAGCAGGGTAAAAAATGTAGTAAAAAAGGCGCTTTGGAGAGGGGAGAGGTAAAAAATATGAAAGGACAGAGTAACAATTTAGTAAAATAGAGACTTTGAGGCAGAGAATAAAGAAGGGCGGGATAAAAATTTTGAAAATTGGTACTTTTGAGGAAGAGAATATGAAAAGGCGGGGTAAACATTTAGAGAAAAATATGATTTGGGGTAGACAATATAGCCCTAGCTCCAATCCTAGCCTTTGCCTTTTTTTTATAGAAGAGCAGGGTAAAACCTTTAAAAAAGTCTTTGGGGTAGATATTAATAATATAGAAGGGCGGGGTAAAAATTTAGATGTTTGATTATTCAAAGATCTTCTCAAATAAAGCATTACTATAACATACGCAATGCCATTGCCAAATATATACTAAAGCTTAATACTATAATTTTACAAATTTGTATTCCAATAAAACGAGCTGAATACATTTATAAAAGTAATTTTAGTAATTTTACTATTCATGTTTCAAATGTAGAAAAATTAACTGACATTGATTAGAAACGGACGATACGAATGTTTCTAAAAACAACCGGAAATTACCAGCTATTCAACACGTGTTTTAGTTTGGGTAGATAGTATTAGCCTACCCTGCCCTACCCTACCTTATCCTACCCTACCCTACCTTACCTTAACTACTATTACCTTACACACCTTAACCTAACCCTAGTCCTACTGTACGTAGCCCTAAATTTGTCTAACCTTAAACTAACTTTCCTAGCCAAGCTCTGATCCACCCTGTCTTGTCCCTGTGCTTTTTGCTCTAGCCTAACTTGCACTACAACTACATTGTATTAAATTTTGCCCTGCCTTGAACTGCAGTGCCATGACCTTTCAGTCTTTACTTGCTTATTCTGCCTTAGCTCTATCGTAGTCTTAAAGTGTTTTTATAGTTTAGCATTACCCTACCATTAACATTTTTTCCTTGATTTTACCCTATCCTAATCCCCTCTATTTCTTCCCACGAGTCAAAAGCTGGCCTTGGAGGCCCGGGCAGGCATTAAGCTAAAGTTGAAACGTGCTAGGCCTTAAAAGTACGCCCGGCCCGTTTATCATCCTTACCCCACCCCTTCCACCCCCCCCTCCCCCCCCGAAATCCCCCCCCTCCCACCCCAAAAAAATCCGTTTAAATTAAGAAAGCAAACATGAAGCAGTGTCCATCTGGCTGAACTAATGGTCACCTTGAGGCTTCTTGCTCCTCATTAAGAGCCGATTCCTTTTTTGGAAATCGGAAACCTTTCCGGCGTCCGCTCTCACTTATTTCGACCCCGCAGGCAACTTATTTAGAGAGCAAATGCATAAATTATGGAATGGCAAAGCTTAATCTAATTCGTTTGTATCCAAAAACAAATAATCAATCAGCACGCGAAGTAAGGGAGGGGGGGGGGCTTAAGGTTGGGTTAGGGGAGGCTGGATAAGGAGAGGGAAGGTAATTGAAATTTAGGTATTAATAGGTAACGGGCGAGGTAAAAATTGTTTTTAAAATAAATTTTAGTAAGTACTGACCCCTCTGCTTCTATAATACCTAGAGATTTTTTTTCACCCTCCCCCCTTCCACTCCTCAGGGCGTGGCAAAGTAAAATTTAAACAAAGTACCATTACCTAATAAAGCACTATTACTATAGTTTACTACTACCCTAAGGCTAAAAAACCAAATCATGACATTTCAAAACCGTATTCATAAAATATGTATATATATATAAAGTCACATAAACCGGAATGTCTTCCAAAACTCGTACAAGAACAACATTTGTGGAAAACGGTGAAAAAGATTTATGGTTATTGGATATTACCATAAGCTTGAAAAAAAGGTTTTGAACGACATTCGATTTATAGTTTTTACCCTAACTTATCATAACCTACCTTACAATACCCTATCCTACCATACTCTACTCTACCCTACTTTACCCTACCCTACCTTATCCTACCCCATTCTACCTTACCTTGCCTTACTTTTACTTTACTCTTACCCTGCCCTGCCTTTCCATGTCCCGGCCAACCATAATCTATCGCCCTACTCTATCTTATTTTCCCTTGTCCTACGCCATTCTATCCTGTTATTATACATTAGTTTGCTCTGCCTTGCCTCGCTTTACAGTTTTCAAACCTTACCCTGACCTTTCAATGTTTCTTTTATCTTACCCTACCCTGCCATGCTCTTCTTCTCTTCTTATTATAGAATACTTTTCACTGCTTCGCTTCTCCCTATCATTCTCATACCTTCTCTGGAATACCTTTCTTTTACCCCGCTCTACCCTACGCAATCCTACTTTTTTATTACCCCACCCTAGCCTAAAACTATTCTTCTTTTTCCTGTCTGACATTGCCTTGATCTTTCCTGTCTTTACTTGCCTAGCCTACCACACCTCCCACTACACTACCTTACCCTACCATACTCTACCCTATCCTACCCTCTTCAATCCAATTATACGTTACTTTACCGTGTCATACCTCGTCCTATGGTTCTACCTTGCTCTGTCCTAAACTGTCTTTCTTTTACCGCACTACCCTAATCTAAACTAAACAAAATATCATAATTAAAAACCTTTGTAAACATAAAGCTGATTTAAAAGCCCACTTTTCCATCCAAAAACAGACATTTTTGTTTATTTTCAGCTGATACAAAACCAAGAATCGCATTTTTACAAAGACAAAAATCCGTTTTTAAATTGACTTTGCGACACGAAGAATGCCGTGCTTGATTGTGTACCTCCGAGAAAGCGAAGTAAATTGAGCGACAAAAAGAAATAATATTATAGTAGAGAGGTCATTCACGGCACTTGAATTTCGTCTTCAGGGCTTATAGAATGACAAAATTGCATGGCTAAAACACTTGGCAAGACAAATTGACAGGCGACATGAAACAATGACATAAATATTTTAAGTTTTTGTATCTTTGAGAAGGGCAATGGTTGAAAGAGATGTAGTTTTTAATCTTGGTTACGACAGAATTGCTTAACCAGAGGCTGATTTTGTTGTCAAAACTAAAGGGTAAGGTTTGAAAAAGCAGAGGAGAGAAGGGAAAAGGATAGGGTACAAAAAAGCACATATAAAAGTTAGGGTAGATCAGGGCCTCGCCAGACACGGTAGTTTAGATTAGGACAAAGGTAGGGCTACAGCGGGAATGAGGCTGGTCTAAGATAGGATAAGGCTCAAAAGGTGGAGTAAGGTAAGGTAGGGTCCAAACGGGTAGGTTAGGGTAAGTTAACTCAGGATAAAGTAGGATAGGGTAAGGTAAGTAGAGAAGGATAAGATAAGGTAAGGAAAGCAGGGTTGGGTAGGGCAAGGCAGATAACATAACAGAGTAGGGAGGACAGAGTAAGATAGGGCAGGGTCAAATAGAGTAAAGGTAAGGTAGAATAAGGTAGGGTGAGATAATGAGAGTAGGATCAAGTAGGGTAGATCAAAGCAGAGTAAGTTAGGATAGGATAAGGTACGGTAGGATAGAGTAAGGTATGGGTAAAACTTTTTTAAAAATTTTACCCGCCCGCCAACTCCACCTCCTCACCCACCTCAAAAATTATTAGGCCGTTCACTTAATTCTGCGCCTCCTGACAAAATATTACTAATCTTGGTCCTTAAATACTTTATGTTAGATGCTAACTTTATTATTCTTTAAATTCTTTCAAGTTCGAAGCCGCTAATTTGCATTTGAAAACAAATGAAGAGCTGCTTCCGGCTGCGCCCTCCTCTTGTTTTGTGCTTACAACAACATGTAACAATCAAATCCTCGCCCAGCGGCACTCGAGAGCTTTCGGCGCCGATATCCGCAAATAAAAAAAACGTTGACCGATTTCTGAAACCTGATCTTATTACATGCTGAAACACGACGGAACACCATGAACCTGGTCTCTTCCTCTTTGTTGTTGTTATTGTACTTTAATTGGGCTGATTGTTCGATATTTAAGTCCAAGTTGTTTAAACGACAATCTGATCTGCCTTTGGCCAATGTTTTTACACCTAATAATCAAGGTAAAGGGCTGGACTTGAATCGATGCAACTCGGAAAGCTTGGAGAAGATCATGTTGGAGGTGGGTTTTTATATTTTTAAAGCTAAGATGAGAAGTTTGGCTTAAAATCAATTAAACTTTGAAGTGAAAATATCATTTTTAACAAGCTTTTGCTATTTTTTAACATTTTAAGACAATTGACAGCCTTTTTATCACAGTTAACAACCTTTTTCTCCAATTAACCACCTTTTTATCCCTATAACTACTTCAAAATATAAAATGATCATGTTTGTAACCACCCCCACACATCTTACCCATCCCATACGCCTTATCCATTCCATACATCTTATCCATCATCACGTAAACAAGACAAATCCGTTTCAGAACATTGGCGATGACGTCAAACAATCCAAACTTCGTATCATGGAGGCGGCTGAAGCCACTCTCGGCGGCGCGTTCAACGTCGTTTGCGCTCACGGTGATTTCAGCTACATCACCAGCACCAAGCTCTACTGTTTGACCGGGACGGACGCTGTGAAATGCTACGCATTCTTGTCGTTCAGCTCGGATTCGGAATGATTTTCACTGAAATTAGACATAATGTATGTATATATGAATATAACAAACGAGTAAATAAAAATTTAAAGATAAAATTTCGCGAAAATAATCTGTATGATATAGACAAACATGACACAAAATTTTATGCGTATCTGATTATTATTTTTTTGTGTTATGGCACTTCAAAACTTCCCCAAAAGATTAACAAGTGCAATATGTTTAACAACGTTCTCCGTACAGAATTTTACAAACTACGAAACACAGGCATTTAGAATAGATTGGTGATCTTTTTTCCTAGCTTTTGGTGCCAATCATGTAGTTTTTCAAAGTATCTTACTTTAGTTCTGTCGTCTTATACACCATGAGGTCAATACCCATGTTTCCTGTCAAAAAAGTTGTCCAAACCCCTTTAAAACATGTAAAACTAAACAAAATTAAATAAATAGAACTGTAAAAACATCTTTTTTATCAGGTTTGTCACTGAAATTGTACGAAACCCCAAAAATAACAAATGAATTTCGAAAAACAAGTGAAAACAGTTTTGGCGCGCAAAAATTCATTCAAAACGCGAAATTTCATATTTTTTTCCGAAATTTTTTCTTTTTCGATCAAAATGGGCTCGTTTTTGCTCCTGAAAAATTTAAAAGAGGTATCTGAAGCTGAATTTATCGTTTGTGCTGTGGATTCAATTCATTCTTTCTCGACGTTTCATGAAAATGAAAATAAAGGTATGTTTCTTGATGTTTTATTGTTCTTGGTTTAGGAACGGCGATATTGACAAGGTTTTCAAGCAAATTGATGTAGAACTTGTTGTTCTGGGTTTATTGTACCTTTAGCAACATTTTTTACATTGATTTATGTCTATTTAACTTGAGTAACTACAAGTTTTGTCAAAATATGTAAAGCCGAGAAACGGCTGGAGTTTTTTACATTGTTTTGATAAGAAAAAGGGGTGTTTCTCGGAGGTTAATGTTATTTTTCAGGAACAGCTATATTGCATGTAATCGACAAATCTGTGAATGAACCGGTCGAGTGTTGGTTGATGCACGATGCAGAGAATCCGTTCTATGGCGGGATATGTGTTGGAATGGTTTTGTGTCTTCACAATGTTACAATCGATGTGAGTTTAACACTTTGTCTTTGAAAGTTTATAATGAAGTAACTTGAGGTTTTCATTGTGAAAATAGTGTTAAATTAGATTTTTTATGTCTTGACTATTTAAAAGTTAGTGCAATTAGTGTTTTCTGCTTTTTATTACATTGGAAATGGCATCTTTTATCATGAACAAGCGAAAATCTATGGAAAAACTCAATGTTTTTAGTTTCTAAGACTGATTTTTTTATAATTTATGATTTTAGCATGTAAATGAAAAGCCAGTGATTATTGTGGATCCAGTAGAAGATATAATGTGCAGATGTTATGGTTTTACATTGCTTCAAAATGAGTTAAACTGTATCTTGTGTTATACTAACGTCAATCGACTGGAGAAGGTGATATGTTCTGGTGAAGAGAAAAGAGTTAGTTTTTACTTATTTTCTTGATCTTCAGGTGACAGGAACATTCCTAGTTCAAAAAATTGGTTGACAATTCAAAATTTTACTTTACAGATGCGTGGAGTTCGTCAATTTCTCAACGACACCAAGCCCAATATTGTAGTAGATGTTAAACGGACACTGTTCGTTGTGGAAGTTCGTGAATACGATCAGTTTCTAAAATCACGTCGGGGAATTAAAAGAAGAAACGAAATTGATCCGGAGATTTCTGAAATGTTGAGTGACGATGATGATATTATTCATGTTGATGTAAAGGAAGAACAATCAACTAACAATGAAAATGTGGATCCATTTTTGTCATTTAATCAAACTGAAGTTGTACAAGTACCTGTAGAAAGACGGCCAAGACCACAATATGAGTTTAACATGCAGTTGACTCTGTTATGCAACACTATTTCTTGTAGATACTATAATATCGCTTGTCAGGTAAGGTTTTGGCTTAAAGATGAGGGGAATAGACATTGCTTTTTGAAATTAATGGCGAGATGTAGGTAATATAGGTTATTTTGAGTATGTCGAGACAAGATATTGATAATTTTTTTAAAGTTAATGGTCTACAATATAAGAAAACAAGGTTGGGCTTTGTTGATGATGGATAATATAATTTATTGATTTAGATTGTCGGAGTTTACCAACGAGGTGCATCGACTGTTTTGAGAGTTACAGATGGTACGGTGGTTAAACGGTAGGTTTATTTTTGAAATTTAACATTAGTAATGCTCGTTTTCCTATCGGTATGTGGCATTCTTTTCGCTATAACTTTTTTTTTCTGAAACAGCTTTGAAACTATGTTAGGACGAGGTGATTTGTTTTTTCAACTGGTCGATAAAAGGAATTTTCATAATTTACATTGAATTTGAAGTTACAGTAATTTTACCGTAACCCATCGTTTCGAAATTTGAAAATTTTAATGATTTTTTAATATTTTAGAGAATTGATTAGTGCTGTGGGATTTGAAACTGAAGGCACGTTGAGTAAGGAGCTGGCCGACAGGTTCGCAGACAGAACATACGACATTGATGTCTATGATGAATATACAGAACAGGCCAAACTTTTCGCTGTAAGTTTATTTTACTATACTTTCAATTTTTCTTATCTAAAATATAAGTTTGGTGGTCTTTTTAAGCTGGGTTTAATATATAGATGTTCAAGCTCTTATTTTAGCCAAACGACTTGGTGGTTGTGGTCAATGTTCATACCTACATAAATCAGAAGAACGGCGAAATGCTGACGTTGCACAGGAACGGCGGCAGATTTAATCGCGGAATATACGAATTGAAGGCTGATTCTAACATTGGCATGGCTTTATTGAGGCAAGTTTTTAAAGATTTGATTTTTTTAAAAATTTTTGGGTTTGCACTGTGCAGGATTAATAAAATTTAAACTTTTAATGATTTTAAGGTCTAAAATATTAAAATTTGACTTTTTGGATTGAATTTAGCTTTGGAATTGTAAAATTTTGAAATTTCAGGAATCTGGCCAATCCTCCACCATCAACTCAACGTCTACGATAATATTGAAGTAGGTATACCTATACTTCTTCTACTAATTGCATCTGCCTATTTATTTTGTCTACGATGATACAAAACCTATGAATATGAGTATATTATGGCTTATGAATAAGTACATCGTGATCTCTCTTTCTATTTTCAACAGAACGTCAGCATTTGTCGTGAACGGTCGTGGTCCTTTAACAATTATTTTTTTTTTACTGAAAAAACCAAAATTTTTTGAAATTTATTTTGGAAATTATTCTTGTCAATACAATATAAACTTGTAATCGCCTAATTAAAGTGTTTCCTATATACAGACACGTATTGATGATCAGTTTGTGTTGATGTGCACAATAATATAAGTTAATCCAGGTGTTGTCCTTCATCTTCTCTTCAGGCTTTCTCACTTTGACGTTGACACAGCTTGGGGTGGTCGGAAATGGACTAAAATGAAGTTTTGGTTCATTTTGAGGTTATTTTTAGATAAAAATTTAAATTTTTGTAAAAATTTCAAAAAGTTTTAAATAGAAATTTTAAAAAAAATTTTTTGAATTTTTTTTTCAAATTGAAAAATATAGTAAGAATGGCTAGTCCAAGAACTTTTGAAGCCAAAAAACATTAAAACTCACGCTGATTTCCATTTTAGGCTTATTTGTCTCCATATTAACATCAGCCACCTTCTGCGGGTCGTTACATGCCTGAAAATGCCATTTTTTATTATGATATTATTCAGTATCTTCGTTTTATAGCTATTTTCACCTATATAATACTCGTTATTAGAAATATATTACCAAAAAAATGGCATATTTCAATTAAAAAACGGCAAAAATTAAAAAATTTTGCGATTTTTTGTCAATTTTTGATAAGATTGATAAAAGACAAAGAAACAAGAACCCACCTTTCGAACCTCGACAAACATCCACAGTAAAATCGAGCTCGAGAACAGTGCCATCATACACAGACGATTAGGTAACACTCCATCAGTGAATATCTTGTACAAGTAGAAACTGAGGACTCCGCTGCCTCGGAACATCTCAATGTAGCCTGCGTACCATCTGAAACGGATGTTTTGTAAAAATGTTATTGAATCTATGGTCTAGATAAGGAGATATATAATGCTCGGTAAAATACGCGTAAAAACATACCCCCATGAACTTTGGGGGGGGGGGGTATACTCTGCCCCAAAATATTTTTTTTTGAAATTCGGATTTTGTTTTGTTTCCCTTGAAGATTTTTAAAAAAAATTTTGGGCGTGGTTTCCACCCCCAACCAAAAAATACCACGCCCAAAATTTTTACGAACAGATGAAGGCGGCCGGCTCCTGTAGCAATTTCAGAATTTTTTTTTGGGTGAGGCAGGTATATATCCACCCCCACGTAAAAATACCCCGCCCAAGATTTTTTGGAAAAAACTGAAGGCCGATCCCTGGCAATCCACGGATTTTTTTTATCTTTCCCAACCTACTTTTTATCAAAAACAGCGCCGAATCCCTGCATCGTGACCACGAAGAAGGCGATTTTCAGCGTAAAGTCGACATAGCCAAGATCCGCCCGATCGTACTCGAAATGCATGAAGATACAGAGGAGGAAGACAAAGTGTACCACACAGTACACCTTCTTCCACACTTCAATTGGTGGGTTGTACTTGACTACGGGGTATTCAACCTCTGGTACTCCATAAGCTGGTTCTTCCAAACTGAACCAGTGGAAGAAGCGGAAGACTGGTACACCTGGCAGCCAGCCTGGTGGGTAGTATGTAGCTTGCAGTTTTTGGAGCCAGGTCTTGAAGATGGGCTCACCTTTCTCGTCCTTTCTTCGCCACTTTACACACAACATCTCGTATAGGGTGTGGAACTGAAAGGAGTTGGTTTTTGATTGATTTTAAGGGTAGGGTAAATATGGAGGGCGGGGTAACGTAGGTTTAAAAAGCAGGGTTAAATAGACCTTGAGCTAGGGTAAAGTAGGGTGGGGCAAGGTAGGGTAGGGTAGAGTAGGGTAGGATATGGTAGGGTAGGGTAAAGTATGGTAGGTTATGATAATATAAAGTATTGTACACCCTTACCTGTAGATAAATCTGATTAAAGTTGTGTTCGTTATGAACCAGCCCATAGATGGGTGGATCATCTGGTCGTTCGGCGGCAAAAGTGTTGAACATACGATCCCAAATGATAAAAACGCCGCCGTAATTCTTGTCAATACAGTAGGGATTTCTACCGTGATGTACACGATGGTGGGATGGTGTATTGAAGACCAGTCCCAATGGTCCACATGTGTCTAGGAGCTGAAATTTTTATTGATAATATTGTTTATTGATAAGATAGCATAGGTATGCCTAACTTTACACTTATAAAGTACCTTTTATTTGGTATAATGGTCCTTTTTTAATTTTTAGTACTAATGGTACTATACAGTACCATTTTTTTGTTTTTATGGTACTTATAGTACTATATTGAACTAAATCCAACTTACACTTGTATGCATGACAAATTGGAATATCTCAGAGAAGTATCGATGTACCAAAAAGATTGGCGGTGGTATGCAAAAGGCCTAAAATACGGTAAAAACTACAGTAATCCAGCAAAGTTTTTAAAATTTTAAAAACGTCAAATAGCAAAAAATAATCGAAATACGAAGTATTATACTAAATAACAGATGGCATACCTGAAAAACGTCATAAATAGCCAACCCAGCATCCTGAATGGCAGCTTGTCGCAGCGCCGTCGACAGATTGTAGTACTCACTACTGTGATGTATCGTGTGAAGACCCCAGAAGAAGCCGGCTTCTGAAAATCGCAAAAATGTTTAAACCTTAGTGATAAGGATCACGCTTTTAAAAAAAGTTAATAGTTTTAGCGGTTTAGTCGTATTTTTCACCTGCACCGTGCAAAAATTTAAATTAGTAATAGCACCATGCAGACCTTTTGAAACATTTTAAAATTTGGGTAAAATATCAAGAATAACTAGCAGAAAATTCACGTGTTAGCTAAATTTAATTTAATGAAAAAATGAATGAGTTTTGAAGTGGCAAACTTGTTTGCACCGTGCAAAAACCAAAAAATCGATTGCACCGTGCAAATTTTTAAAAACTTTAAAAAATTGAAACTATAAGAAAATATGTAAGTCTCTTTACCATGCACTGCCCGATGCCCCAGGTAATAAAGAAAATCCTGGAAGATCAAACAAAATATCCATGTCCAAGGCGAGTCCCATGGCAATTCCAATATCCTAAAGTTGTTCCAAATGAACACGTACAAGAATATGGCCACTGTTCGGCCACCGAATCTAAAATTTAACATTTGGTTAGTTATATTTTTAAGTTTTTTTTTAATTTGAAAGGCTATTTCGATTGCACGGTGCAAAATTTGAAAAAATTGAAAAAATGCACAATGCAGGCTGTTTAAAAAAGTTAAAATTTTGAAAAATGTTACATTTGCACTTATAAATGTACTAAACTTTAAATGTCATGAATTTAAAATATTTAGCCATATTTTTGAATTTAAAAAGTTTTGCACGGTGCAATAGCTAAAAGCTTAAAAAACACCGTGCAACACAAAAAAGTTTTGAAGGGCTTTATACTACAAAAATTACAATAAAAAATAACAATATGACCTACTTGAAGCACTGGGACAACATTCCAGCACAGAACGATGTTATTGTGTCATTCAACGCGAATCTGTCATCATGATGTTGTAGCATTAAAACTGTGAATTCAATAAAGATTAACGTTACCCACCACACACTGACCTGCAAAAGAAGTTTTTATCAGATTTATTTATCAGAGTTTGTAAATTTAAAGCTGTTTTCAATATTTTAAATCAATTTTTCTAATTTTGGCTTTGCAGTCTATGCACGGTGCAATACTTCGTTTTTAAGTTTCCTGGGGCATCATAAGGTAAAAATGGATGCAGACGTAATACGTGAATTTGAATAAGCTTAGTTTAAACAATATTTAATAAAAAATTAATTCGAAATTTTTATTTTGCACTTTGCCACACCAAAAATTTTAAATTTTGCACAGTGCATTCAACAAAAATTAAAAAAAGCAAAAATCAAAGTAAAAAATGCCATTTTAAAACAATTTTTTGAATAAAAATCTAATAAAATTCAATATTTTTCCAATTTAAAACTCACTTGAACATTATAATTGGGTACCTCATCCAGCGTACCGACCGCCGTTTCGTAAGGTGAGATCAAGTAGAAACAATGGCGCAGATTGGTCCAGTCCAATCGATTTAGCAGCCTAGTGCCCAACGACGAGTTGGTGAAAACACGATCGACCCATTTTACCTCGGTCGTGTTCAATAGCTCCTCCATTCACATTTAATGTGCCAAAACTGGCTTGACCGAGGATGAAAGCGATGGCGCCGTTTTGTCGAGGGTTTATAGTGGGATTACTGTAAATTAAACAAACCTTAGTATTATTATGGCAAAAACTTTTTATTTACAAGATAATTTATAGTCATCGTTCGTATAACGTGTCACCCGCAGCATGCGAACTCGAAAAAAATGTTGTTGAAATGGTAAAAACTTTCTTTACAAAAGGAAAAATAACAAGAAATTTGTTTACAAAACATAAAATGGCAGAAACTTCTTTACAGAGTATAAAAAAGCAAAAACTTTGTTTACAAACCAAGAAAACTAGATGTATCGTATAACTTGTCATTCGCGGCCTGCACAAATTAAATATATGCGTTTTGGTTTTCCAATAGCTTTCTTTACAAAACTAAGAATAACAAAAACTTTCTTTACAGAGTTTAAAAATAGCAAAAACTTTCTGTACAAGGCGAAAAATGGCAAAAACTTTCTTTACAAAGCAAAAAATGGCAAGAATTTTTGTTACGAAACAAAAAACAGCAATAACTTTTTTTATAAAATTAAAAATAACAAGAACTTTCTGTACAAAATAAAAAATGGCAATAACTTTGTTTACAGCTCAAAAGCGGACATAAAATGATAAAATGATCTCTGGATAAGACTGATATCTCAAAAAAAGACCATTTTTACTCTCTACAATCAACAAAACTCGCCGAAAACCGAGGATTCCAACCGGAAATCCATGTTCTAAAAGGCGATTTTTCAAAATGGATTAGTCGAATTACAAAAGAAGTGCAAACCGTTCGGAACAAATGTTCGAAATTTGCGAATAAGGTCAAAAACAAGAATCTTCAGATTTTTGAAGATGCGCCATTTAAGGAAAAACGATTTTTCGAAAAGAACCGGCTTCAGATGCATAAAATTAAGCTAATTTTCGATTCGAATCTGATTGGCATAAAATTGTTTGAGAAGCGATTAACAGTTGTTTCCGGGATAATAAGAGGTAAAGAAAGATGGCAGGTAAAAAGGGAGGGGTATAGGGAAGGGTGTGCAATTACATGGAGAAGGCTGATAAGAAGATGGATATGAGAAGGACTATAGGGAGCGGTAAGTGAAGGAGTATAGGTAGAATTATGAAGAGGTGTATGGGGTATAAGGAGGGGCAAGAGAAAGAGTATAGAGGCAAATGCGGGGAAAGGAGGACGAAAAATAAGGGTACTGTGTTGGGGAAGGATAAAGTAACTTCTTAAAATATTTTTTTTTAAGTTGAAAATATTCCCTGCCAACTAAAAAATTTAAAAAGTTACATACAAACAAAAAAATTAGAAACCCCCCCCTCCTCTAAAAAAGCTTCACATTTTAAACCGCTCTTTCTATGTCAAAACCACCCACCCGACAATTCTACCCTTTCCACACATTCCAACAAAATACCCTACTCTATACAAACCTGCTCGGCCATAGTCCTTCTGACAACAGCAATATTGTAACCCTTTTAGCATCTTGGCCTAATTTATAAGACTGCTCTATGCTTGGGCATAAGGCAGGGCATTGACAATTTTCGCCCTGTGCCCTGCTATTCCCTTCCCAGTACAGGACATTTCAGTTTTGTGCCCTATTCTGGGACTGAACCCTAGTCTGTGTCCAACCACCTGTCTACAGTCCAAAAGATAGGCCTTACAGCCAAATGCTAGGCCAATAAAAAAGGAGGGTAGGGCGGTGATGAAAATAAAGACAATTATAAATGAAATATTATTGCTACTAGTTTTGTCAGCGCAGGATTTCCTATGACAATTAAACTTGTTTTGTAAAAACCGATTTGTTAAAGCAGTTACAAGATTAAAAAATTGCTTGAAAAATAAAAATTGGAAAAATTTTTTAAAATTTTAATTTGAGAAACATTTACAAAACTAAAATTTTATATAGTACTAGCCATACAAAGGCAAAAACGACAAAAATTATGTAGCAAAAGTACGTTAATATATCTCACAGTACCAAGTAAAAGCAATAAGTAAACATAACGTACTGAAAAGAAATTCAAAATTCAAAAAAAAATTACCAAATTTTAATTTTGAAGCTCATAAGATACTGTATGTATACATCCATATATAGTAATAACATACAACTATATAGTAACACTAAACAATGATAAAAACCCGAAGAATCATTGATATTAAATCACTGTAGTTCACAGAACAAACAACAACTATATACAATAATAAGAAACACTTTTCGAAATGGTTTTAGCCTCGAATTGACCACTGTAACCTCCCAAATAGATTTCAAGTGGATGAGAAAAGATAAAGCGAGACCTTCAGATATCAATGGAAGTGATTGCGCCAAACTCGAAACCAGTTCCTAACCCGAAATGAATCCAGGTTTGGATTACAAAAGTCGTATTTGGGTTAGGATTTGTGATAAGTGAGAAATTACAAAAATATTTTTGTGAATTTTTCATAATTTACTCTACCCTACTCTAGCTTACACTACGCTACCCAACTCTACTGTATCCTACTCCACCCTACCTTACCCTACCCTACCCTACCCTACCCTACCCTACCCTACCCTACCCTACCCTACCCTACCCTACCCTACCCTACCCTACCCTACCCTACCCTACCCTACCCTACCCTACCCTACCCTACCCAACCCTACCCTACCCTACCCTACCCTATCCTACCTTACATACCATATCCTCTACTTTGCCTTAAATTACCATAGTCTGCTCTACATTACCCTACCATAACAAATCTTATTTTACCCTACCTTACATTAACCTGCCTTTATTTACTCTACCCCACCCTACCATACCCTACCCTATCCTATCCTACCATATCCTCTCTACTCTATCTTACCCTATCTTGCCTTACTTTTCACTTTACCCTACATTAACCTGTACCCCAACCTGACATATCGTACCCTACCCTCAGTGTTTTGCCTAAGTTGTGCAAACGATTTTTTTATGTCCGGTCCGGCTACTTTTGGCGTTCGGTCTTGGCTAGCTCGCCAATTTTTTTTTCATTTTTATCCAGTCCACACCGTCTGAACGGTCCAGGAAAAACACTGCCTAGCATACCTCCTATTAATTGTAGCGTTAACTGTTTCGCCGTACTATTTCCCTACTATCTTCTAGAGCTTGCTCTAGCCTAAACGTATCTTATTCATAGTACCCTTACGTTTACCATGTCAAAACAAATCCCACATTGGCCATATGCCAAGTCTAAAACAAAACATAAAAAAGAAGAAAACGTAACTTCATACCTCCAAGACTGGCCCAACATAAACCCATGTCTTGGCCCGAAAACCATGTTTATCCTACGCCAATTTGATAAAAAATTTTTTAATATGAAATGCCCTGCTCTATCTTACTCTTCCAACAAAGAAAACTAAAACACAAAAAAATTTTTTAGAATGGCAGAACGAGAAAGGATGACTAAAAGAAACATGAACAGATGGATAATATGAACAAACCAATTTGAGCTCATCTCTCTTTTCTCTGCACTCTCCATCTCACCGCACACTCTCTCGTCTTTCAACTAATTTTCTCAATAATCTCTCTGCCATTTTCAATGTCTACTCTCTCTGAAATATTAATATCTCTCCTTATTATCCAAAAAAAAGTCTGTAATATTTTCCAAATCATATTTCTCTGCCTTCTCTCGACTCTTTCACTTATAAACGATGCTTTCTCTAATTTCGAAAGCATTAATTTCCTCACAAACTCAAAGCGCCTGCGGCGATGGACGGCGATCGGCGGAGTGAAAAAGAGAAATAAATTAGACGAAAGCTACATAAATATTTGCAAACTGGCGGCGGACGTTTAAGCAACTGGTCAAGAAATCTGGCGCTATGTCATGCACGAGTGAATCAGCTACAGTGATTTGCGTGACGCCGTTTTTGTCACAAAATTATCAGCAAAGTGAAAACAACACCTATATAGGTTGTCATGTTATTTATATTTTGTCTTGTAGAGGATAGTTATAAGAAAAGTTTTGTTATAGAAAAAAAGAAGGGGGGGGGGAGAAGAGATTAGTGTTATAGGAAGAAAAGAGAGTTAAAGCAATTAGCGGAACGGGTGGATCACACCTACATTGGTTTTCAATGAAAAAAAATTTCATTGAAAACCAAGGCCCGGCCCCTTTACACGTTAAAAAATTCGGCCGAACCTGGGCAAAATTTTGATCGAGCCGGGCCTGAAAATTGGGCTCGGCCCATTCCTACCCTTCTCCTCCCCTCCCCTTTTTGATCCACACCATCTCTATTTGATCTACCTTCCATCGCCCTAACTGTGATCTATCTCCCCCCCCTTTCACTTGCCCCACCACTTTCTTTGGCCTACCTCGCAGACCCTCTTTTTGATTCACCTTCCCCTGCCCCTCCTTTTGATCTAACTCCCATCCTTTTCCCTATCAATCTGCCTTTTTCGTGATTACAGCTAAAATCTATGTTAACGTTATTAAAAATTAAAAAATTTCTAAATTTAAAAAAAATTTTTAGAAACAAATAAAACACCAAAACAAATCATTATCACCTCCATTAACCTTCTCCCCCCCTCCCTTCGCTATCCCGACAGACATCTTTAAAACCGCAAAACCTTCGAACAAACACATTTCCACCGCTACCGTGTTAAAATGCCCATCGTATTTCACCGCGACACGAAGAATGCCATCCGAAACCGGAGCGAACTCCCACTTCCGGATTTGGAACGGAATCACAATATAAAGAAGAGAAAGACCTGAAAGTAACCTGCGAAAAGAAACATCTTCTTTATATAATAGAATTGCGAATTCTTCTCATTCTTACCTTACCCAACCCTGCATGATATATCATGATGCTACTCTATCTTACTCTACTTTTGCCTACCATATTGTATGTTACAAGAATTTACTGTAGTTTATACCTTAAAATAAGCTGCTCTATCTTAATTTAAAGTACCCTACCTTATTCTACCATACTATACATAGCCCAACCTTACCGTACCCTACCGTACTCTACACGGCGCTGCTTTACCTTACCCCGCCATATCATATTGTAGCCTAGCCTACTCTACCTTGCCATACCCTACCCTACATTAACCTGCTTTGTCCTAACCTAAACTTCCTTAAGCTGTCCTAACCTAACCATCTTTAACCTATCACTATACCCTTCTATACCCTAGCTAGTAACATATAACACGCGACTTTTATACTTTTCTGATTTATCGTGGACAAAACCGTTCAATTCTTGTCCGCCAAAAAAATCTCATAATTATATGTGATCCCTCTTTTTGTCTGATTGCCGTCGGCATTAGAGAAAAACTAGAGAACGCACAAAATTATGAGATTTTTTTTGGCGGACAAGAATTGAACGGTTTTGTTCACGATAACTCAGAAAAGTATAAAAGTCGCTAGTTATATATATATATATATATCTATATCTCTAAGACGTCTAAAATAATATTATATATACGTATCTCAATCAGTGATTATACGTTAAAGCTCACATATATCACGCATTAAAAGCGTGCGCCTACGCAAAGTATAATAAGAAGGTACAAAGTAAAATGACACTTTCAAAACATCTATTGTTACTTTCTTAACCAAGATATTCTTCACCAAATAACAAATACGATATCAGTAAATACCATGGATAAGATAGACTTAATCACTTAATTAAGAAAGGTAGTGTCACTTAAGAAAACAAGATTACATTGGACTCGAGCGGTGATTTACAAAGACGGTTTTACTGTAATCGACGGTTTTGTGACCGCTGTGGTCATGCATGTGTGACACATGGTGTGTCTTTCTTTGATGTTTTAAATATATTTTTATGTTTTTGTAATGTATCTGTCGTACATGAGATAAATATTGTCTACTTTTATGTATTTTTGATGGTAAGTCTTGTCTCTCTTTATAAAAACGCCTTGATCTGTTAAAAGTCGTGTCGTTTTTTAAGGCGTAAATACATATATATTGACGGCAAGACTTTTTGGTCACTATAATAAACAGCCAAACCCTTGTATTTACTTTAACATCCCTGTTGTTACCTAAGCTTTTCAGAATTTTGTAAAATACGAAATCCATAATAGTTTTTTGAAATTAAAGTTTAAACAAATTTTTTAATTTAAAAAAAAATTAAAATCCAAGTGTACGGTAATTAAACCGGGTGTTAAAGATCTTCTCTAAAATACTTCCTAAACTCATTTTTTATTGTTACAAATCACCCGACAAAGATCACCATTTCAAGTTTTCAAAATCGAACTTATCAATTGCTATGATACGTCAGCAATAAAGAATTTCATGTTTTTTGTTATGGTAGATAGACTTGAAAAAGGACCCACTTCGCTTAGCCTTAGCCAAGCTTGGGACTGGCGGCACATGTGAGCCGCACGGACGGCTTCAAACCAGGGCCCTAGAGGCCAGCTTAGGTCCCTCAACGAAAGATTTCACTTGCACGAGTGCAAAATTGGGTCCGGCTAGGCTTTTTAATGGTATACTCTCGTTATAACTAAAAATTAAACTTATACCTTTGATGTTGTAATGTAAAATATTTTTCATACCTACAACATTACTTTTTACAGTCCAATTGTACTATGGTGTAAACAACTTGGCCGCAAAATGTTAATATATTGAGTACATTAACATGTACTTTAATAAACAGCTAGTTCCAGTTGCCTTCATTGACAAATTAATTACCATAGCCATAGTAAAAGAGCACACACAATGTTTGCATTTGTCATGACAAAAGGCGTGTATTTACTGGATTATACAATGTTTTGCAATTAAAATAATGTACTTTCTATTCAAAATTATCTGATTTTTAAAAGTGATCATACCCTGTCTAGTTCACAAATCTATAATAATCATACCCTGTCTGTTTCACAAATCTAAACTAATCATACCCCGTCTGGTTCACAAATTTACAGTCTCAAAAAAGAACGTTGAATTAAGTCAGCCATTATACTGCCGAACGCCATTTATTTATGCCAAGACAACTCTAATTGACCAGAGTCATCATGCATTAAAGATAGCATAGACATTGAATGACCGTCATAGACAATATGACCTTTGTTAGTCGGTTTTTATACAGCTAAATCTCTCTTAATCGGCCGATATAACCCATGATAATAAGTATGACAGAATTAAGACAAAAAACTTGGTTTTTTATTCGAAATCTGCCATATTTATCAACACTTACCGTACTGTAGTACAAGTGACTGTCTGTCGTTTGAATTAAAATCATTTCGTCTGAATATCGAAGAATAAAAACATTTGATATACACTAAATACTGTCATTTCATGAACTTTACTTGACGTTACACTGTGCTCTTGATATTGATTCTAAGATTTGAAGCTACTTTGATCTAACAATGTCGTATTTAAAGTTGAAAATGACAAAAAATGTGATTCTGTTCATATTTGTATTGGTTTGTTATCGCTCCAATCTTGTCATGGGTATCAAATGTCATTGTGATACGGATTTTCGAAATGGAACAGTGTTTCTGCCGTGTGTCAACGATGAATGTCATACGGATGGATGTAAGTGTTATTAGGTTGTTCAAATAAATCTGTGCCCCTTAACCCCGAAAATTTGCTTTGAGACATGGAAAACATACTGTGCCTAAAACTCTGGTCCGGCCCGATGCCCATGTCTAGCTTGAGAAGGGCACAGAAATTGCTTTTCGAATTTCCCACCAAATTGGCATTGTGTTTTAAGGTAATAATATCGTCCTTTTTTGATTTTTTGTCATTTCTCATCAATATACTACAGTGGAACTCCTCTATAACGAATCGCTCGGGGACTTGAAATTTGTTCGTTATAACAGTTTAGGAGTTTTAAATGCACTGTGTAGTGGTAGACGGGGATTTAAAAGTTGTTCGTTATACAGGAGTTCCACTGTAGTAAAAAACCTTTAAATTCACTTACATTTTTTCAATTGTAGGTGTAGATTTTGCGGAAAGTGTAGAAAATTACTTGAAACACAAGGCAAAATTAGCGAGTAACCAAATATTTGAAATTTGAAACTCAAAATCGCGAGCTAAAAGTTTTTATCGGTACTATTACTAATAAAAAAAGTTCATATACAAATTTTATGCTATTCCTGAGCTGCGCAGGTCGGGTAACTTCCTTGTAACTCAATATTTTTATACGCATTAGGCTAAAACATATTATATTATGAATATTTAAACAAAATGCCAAAAGCACCCTCTTCAGCATGTGCCACAGTATTCCGCGACCACCAATTCAATGTTTGTTGGCCAGAGCTTGTGAACAAAGACCACTGCATCATTGTTGGCCAAACCCACAACATCTCTTCGTCCGTCTGCTACTGCAACGACAAGGACTACTGTAACGACGAGGTAGACCTTGAATGGGACATAACATCACCAGAAAATGCCACTTTCTTCGATGACGAGTACGACATCTTCGAGTACAAAGGTCGCAAAGGTATCCCAAAGACCAGCCGATACGGTAGGCCAAAGTACCCATTTTACCGTAACCCAGTCGAAACCATTGCTAATCCACAAGCTGTAAACAGGAATTCTGTACCTCAATTGGCCACAACTGCCGAGAATCTAGAGATTTTGACCAATGATCTCGATTTCTTTGACAAAATTGCAAAGTTTTACCACAAATATATTATCGGTCTGCCATATTATGTGTATGGTGCTTTGGTCTTGTTCGGTTTTGTTTTGTGGGTTTCAGGCGGTTACTGTGTTGAAACTTTTTGTAGTTTTGGAAGAAAAAAGGAAACTGCTTCAACTCAAGAGTTTTCAGTTTGATAAACAATGTTGTGTTACCTATACTCACAAGTTTAATAATATCTTTATTACCTTGATAATTATAATAAAAAATTAAGTTCTTAAAAAAAATTCCATATTAAATCAGTGGTTTAAGTAAAGAAATTAAAGCCAAAACCATTAAAAATAAAGAAAAACCCATGTTAATGTTCAGTGTAACATCCAAACTTCTTTATAACTCAAGGATAAAATAAGCAATCCTTTTTAACATTGTCAAAATGAGTCGGTAAACTCGTTTCACCTATTATAACCACTAATATATAAAATTTCTCCTTTAATTTGTGTCCAGAAATTGCGCGGGACCTATTCCTTCATGTGGAATCTAACAAAACGTTAATATCCCCTTATATAACATGAAATTGCTCAAGATAATAAACCACAATAGTAAAAACAAACCAAACACTACCTAATCGTCTCAAATACATCAAGTTCTAAACGAATATTATCTAAAAACCACTGAAATCAACACCAACTTCGTTTATCTCCTCAAGAAAAATTTTAGAACCTAAAAATCAAAGCAAAAACTTAAAAATACTTACATTTAACACATCGTGAAGATCATCTACATCATAATGCAGTACTCATTCAATCTAAGACCAACTTCAACACCGTTTATCTTCGCCAAAACGTCTGTCTTACCTAAAAATCAAAGCAAAAACAAAAATACTTACATTTAACACATCGTGAAGATAAACTACATCATAATGTAGCGTCGATTCAAGAAATCGAACTGAATTTAGCTTCTGAAGCATCACTTCGAGGAAGATTTCCAGAATTCTTCGTTGAAATAATCGCTCGCAACTAGCTAATGCAGAATGCCAAAAGGTTCGTTTTCGTTGTGGAGCTCACTTAAAACGAAAATGTAGGTTTATTATTTGTTTTATAAACCTTCTCAACAGATGTTAAATTGTATTTTAGACGTGAAATGGTTGCTTTTAAGTTATCTATTATTTTTTTTTAATTTTACTACCTAAAATTTTGATTTTCTGTTTTTTGCCTAGGCGAACGTTTAATTGTGGCCACTTTTTATTGTACTTTTTTTGATTAACATTGTCTTTTTACACTATTTAAATCGTGATCATAACGCTACTACCAATAATTTAAATTTGCGTTTGTCAAATTGCTTGTTAATGTTAAAAACCAGTGATTATGCAGTCAATTAAACTAAACGTATGTTAATTGTCTAAAATACATAATAGTTAAACAAATGGAAAGCAGTAAGCTTTTTAACAGAATCCTTAATAAAAATGCTTCTGAAAGCACTAGTTTTCGTATTACTGTTTGTTACCGTAGTTGTTATCAGTGATTGCGAAGTTAAGGAGGATTGTCAACAACTGTGCGACGAGAAGTGTGGATTGCCATCGTTTGCTCGATGTGCTAGTTATGTGTGCAAATGCAAGTGTCCGAAGAAGGAAAAGAGTATGTTTTGTAGTTTTTTTATTTTAAAAACAAAGTTTTTAATCTAGCTTTAGCCAAACTAACTTTTTCCTCATACAGTGGAACTCCTGTACAACGAATCGCTTGAAGGTTTAATATTTATTCTTTATAAAGGAGTTTCGTTATACTGGAGTTCCATTGAATGAGCAAAAAATTTTTTTTGTTAGAACCAGCTCAAAAAAAAGGGAGCCTACTAGGTCTAGGCTGAAACAACTTTGAAAGGAGCTTGGCTAACACATGTAGGCCTGAGGGCTGGGACGAAAAATTTTTTTCCGGCTTGGTCCTTTTATAGGTATACTCAAGGCGAAATATATGCCTTAATCTGCGACTTGGGCTTGTAGGAGTGGTTGTAATAGACATGGCGTGTAATATATTAAGGTAGGCCAAGATAAGGTACAGAAATTAACGGTAGAGCTAGGGTAAGTAAGACAAGATAGGTTAGGATATGGTAAATAAAGATAGAGTAGGGTAGGGTAAATTCGACAAATTTTTTAAAAATTTTTTTACTTTTTTTGTTTGTTGACTTACCTTGTAATGACAACAAACATCAACAAAAATTTAGTAAAACAGTGCACCAAACCCAAATGCATGTACAAATGCAGTAACCTAAAAGGTTATTTTGGAGAAAATTGCCTCGACCAAGACACTTGTCTATGCTATTCAGAAGCGGTCAAATGGAATTGACTATGGCTTACTTTATTACACAGAAAATACATATTTTTGTAAAATACGATTTATGTAATAAAGGTGTACGAAATTTTATATAAAAATAGTGCTGATTAATCCAAAAACAATAAAAGTGAGAGCAATGACTGCTAATAACTTGAAGTAAACTCTTCTCAATGTAGCCTTCGTATCTTCAACAGCTTTCAACATTAACTTTAGAGTCTGAAGTTCTGATGTTATGTCAGTGTTTACAGATATTCCAATAGATGAGTTAGGCTACGACTTGTTGTAGCGTCTTGTTTGATAAGCTACTTGTTTCTGAACAAGTTGTTTGATTTGATAGTAGTAAATTGGTTGACAATGGTGAATTGTTTCTGGTGTGGACACGAGTAGGCATTCTGAAAAGTTATTTTCAAAATTGAAATTTGAAAAATGTTTCAGTATGTTAATTTCCTGCTATAGTTAAAGTAAAGAGATATGGGGTGGGGTTAGATTTGCGGCTCGGCTTCTTTACAGGTCTATTCCCCTCTTCTTTCAATCAAAAAATTTAAGAACTAAGGTTTTCTTGATTAGATTCTTACTTACTAAGGTAGTCTTCAGTGTAGCAAATTTTTGTAAAGTTGTTGAAGTTGCTTGGCTTGTTGTCTAGTATGTCACTCATCCGATTATCACACATTATTTTGTTACTTTGGCTACAACAAAATAAAAAAACGAAGAATATAAGAATGATGACTTTATACTTCATGATTTCAAAAATAATTCTACTTTTCTCTACTTTGAATAAATGAAATATAAGAAATAACTATAAATCTAATAATTGAAATATAATATTATGTTATGCAAATAGGTCATTCTTCTTTGTGATTTATATACTTGTTCTTAATTAGTGCGCCAGTCTTTTGTAAGCAAAAGAAATCGTAATATTTTCAACAATTTACTTTGGTCTTTTCCATGACATTGAAGGATATGTTAGGGGTAGAAACGGGCAGGGGAGCGTATGGCATTGTAGGGTAGGGTAAGTTAGATAGGATAGGGTAAGGTAGGGTTGGGAAGCAAACGTAAGGCCAGATAGTTTAAGGTAGGGTATGGTGCTCTAGTTTTCGTCCTAACTTTGAGCTTAACCATAACTCTATTTTCAATCCTATACAAACTATAATACCATAAGAGCCAAAAAAAGTCAAAAAGCCCATAACTTTTTAATTAGCTTTACTTACATCATGTAGATATAGCAGTTGAAACAACATAAAGTACATGTACAGTATGAAAAGACCTTGAAGATTAATGTATAGCTATGTAGAGTACAGCGAGGAAAATAATATTTTTGTAGTGACAAAGGTATGACAAAGTGCAAAACATTGTTTAAAAATACTGTTTTATAATAAAAAATACAGTAAGAAGCAAATATGATAGACAACAAAATATATCGTATAAAGTAAAGTATGAATGAAAAAAGGGAAAAAAAGTTACAAAAGACCCGGAAGGTCGAGATTTCAAAATGATTTCAGGTTTTTCTAATACTGTTTTCAAGTTTTGTCAGTTTTTTATTTCAAAATTAACAAAATTTTAAAAACAGCCTATCAACAAAAGACAAAGTATAACAAGACAAGTTACTGTAGTATTGTTCAGTTACTGTGTTCGGTTCTAAAAGTATAAGGTAAACAAGTTACTGAACAGGGACGTCGCTAAGGGGAGCGTGACTTATCGGTTGTGTTTCTTATCCTTAGCTTTAATTTTAGCCTTAGGCGTTAGTCTTAGACGTAGGCGCAGCCGTGGCTTTAGCTTCAGGAACAAATTCGACAGGTAAGTTCTTAAAATTTTTTTCCCACTCCAACAAAACTCTTTAGCGACGCTCCTGACTACTAAGCTGATGACAATATGCTTATCTTTAAAAAAAACAAGTTTGTGATGAAAACAAAAGTAAAGTAGAGTACAGTAATGACAAGTACGGTAATAATCAAACTTTTATATTACAGTAACTCACGTGGTAGTGCTTTAGAGAGAAAAAATAGATAGAATTGCGTTTGTTTTTGAATTGTACATTAAATTTAAATTCTGTAAAAGACGTCAGTACAATTTTAACAAGTAGCAAAACTTAGTGTAAAACAAGAGCAATAGACAACGAACTGGATGATTACGTAAAAGTTGACATTCTTCTGGGTTTCTTGTTATTGAAGCCCAACCAACGCATTAGCCGGTTTCCAGATGACCCTGAATCACCATTCACCTTTAAAGTTGTAGCACAGTCTGTTGATGGTGAACGACGTGGTGTGTTCTGAAAGTTTTGATCATTTAAATGCTTTTTTATAATATATGAATACAAATACTGCATATAATGTATACACTGATTTAAATTGGCAATTTCGGTTCAAAAGTGCAAGTCATCTTCATAATTGGGTTCAGCTACTGCAAACTACTTTAAGCTAATAAATGTGACCCTATTTCATTATGATATACCTAAAACACTTAAAAACAGATGAATATAACTGGCTAATCTTTGAGATGCAATTTATAGCACAATAAATCTGATAAGAAGCGGCTGACCTATTAATTGGCTATTATAATGTTTTTTAAGACCAGGAACTTTTTGACCTTACTGTTGGTCAATAATTTTTGGTTTTTAGCCCTTCCAGCTGTACGATAGCTCTGGCTTTAGCCTGAAGCTAAGGCTTGAGTCTTAGCCTTAGCCTTAGTTTTAGCCTAAGCTTTAGCCTTAGCTATAGCCTTATCTTGAGGGTGAGCCTTAGCATGGACCTGATCGTGAGGTTAAGCCTGACCCTTATCCTAAGTATAAGCCTAAACCTAAGCTTTATCCTAATCTTTAACTCTAGCCTTTGCTATAGCTTTAATCCAAACCATAACCTTACTGCAACCCTACCTTATATTAAAAAAATGTTAATCCTAACCTAAAACTGACCTAAAAAAAATTTTAAAACCTACTCCAATCTTCGACTCCCGACCATTCATCGGTACCAAATGTTCTGAAAGAGCGTTGGCGTGCAAAGACAAACGTTGCTGAATCTTGCGATTCTGCTCTTCTTCGTTCAGCTGTAGACGCTGTTGTTGGGCCATGTACTCGAGCATTTGTTGCTGTGCGTCTTCACTGAAACATTTTTATCAGTTTTCTTTTTAAAATAAAAAAAAATTTAAATATAAATTTTTTTTAAAATAATTTTTTTCAATTTAAAACTTTTTCGTAAATTTCAAAGGCTTTAACTGTATGCTTTTAACGTTTCACAGTACTTATTACTTATTCATAGGCTCAATGTATCACAACTCTTACATCTTCTATTACATTATGCTATGTTATCCTAAGCAAAAGTCAATGTTTTGCAATCTCCCCAGCCTGGAGCTGCAAATCCCGAAATGGCACCACAATTTATAAGCTCTTTAAACGCTTTTTCGAACTTTTGTTTGTATTTTTGGCGCCGTAAAATGTGTTTCCATTCGTTTCGAAGGCGCTAAACCCTCGGGAGGGCCGCGAGAATGTCGGAAAGGTTGATCGATCATGTCCAAAAGGCGTTAATTACATACACGCCTGCTCTTGACCAAATTTATGGCCAGAGGGCAAAAACAAAAGTTGAAAAAGTAAAGTGTAATTGGAGCATCTGATGATTAAAAATAGGTTTTGAAAGCAGATGATGTTAGACGCAGTCTTAAAATTTATCCTTAAGCCTAGGTCTAGCTCTTGCGCTAGCCCAGAGCCGGACCCCTAGGCCAGAGCCTCAGCCCAAAGCCCTAGCCCACAGCCCTAGCACAAAGCCCTAGCCCAGAGCCCTATCCCAGATCCCTAGCACAGAGCCCCAGCCTAGAGCCCTAGCCCAGAGCCCCAGCCTAGAACCCTAGCCCAGCGCCAAAGGCAGAGCCCCCCATCTTAGAATCTCCAGCCCAAAGCATCAGTCCAGAGCCCCTAGTTCAAGGCCCTATCCCAGAGCCCTAACCAAAGCCTTAGCTTTAACCCTAGCCATAAGATATGTTACAATCTGAAACATAACAAAAGGTTTAAAATTTTACCTTGCCGCCTTCTGAATTCGCTCACGCTGTGCCTCCAGATTCCGTTGTCGTTCTTTGTGCCGTTTCTCGCGTTCCTTTTGCTCCACTTTCTATAAATACAACACTGTAAAGCTGTTTTGACAAGTGTAAGATGGGCATATGATGTGTTTTGATGCCACAGTTATTTTAGAAAAAAGTTTTTAAATCGCCATCAACGCCTCCTCTCCCTCCTCTTCTTTACCTAACTGTATATAAGCCAAAAAAAATTACCCCATCATATTATATACCCCTTCTTTACATTGCTTCTTTATATCTAACATATAGAGATACTAACAGTTATATTTCATCCTACATTACCCCTATTAACATAAACAACCATAAATAGCCTACCTGTTTGGTTCGCAGCGCCTGAGCTCCCAACATGTTGATCAATTCGTTTTCAACAAAAGAACGGTGTTTTCAACGTTCCGTGCCGGAAATAAAAGAAAAGGACGTGTCTGAAATAATAGGCCTGAGGAAAAAAGTTCAAAGATGTAAATCGCGAGCATTGAAATGTTTTGGCATTATACGCTTAGAATGAGAGCATGAGTTATATAATTTAGACTAACCCGTAGGACTAGGGCTAAGGCTCAAAATTTTGATGACCGAATTATAGGCTAAAACAATATAATGATGTTCTAAACTTAAAAATTTAGAAAACGTTCTTTCTTAGGTTTACCAGGCTATGCTGCTTTTTTTAACCTAATAGGCTACTATAATATTTTAAGCCTAAACCATACCTTAAATTTAATTTCTTAGCCTAACCTAAAGAGCACCTTTCCGTGACCTACAAGACATATAAAATCTGTTTCTTGCCCTAAAGTAAAGATAGAACATGTTTTGGGCCAAGAGATAAAGTTAAAACATTAAAAAAGGCAATTAGAAAAGTTTAATACGTTGAACTGACGGACATGTCCTAGAGTAAAAAACAAAGTTCAGAGACACGGAAGTACCACACATGACGGAATTAAAATATTTGGATTTTCAAAAGTTTTTTGGGTTTTAAAAAATTTTAAAATTTAAAAAAATCTTTTAAAAAAGAGTTTTTAATGTGAACCAAAAAAACAATTAAACGAGTACTGTACGCCTAATTGCCTTGTCTCAATATAGTACTGTAATAGTTGTAACGCTTCATTATGTGCTTACATCTATACTGATAATAACAACAAGATAAGCTTAAAACTGGCAAAGATAATACAAAAATTAATCAATGTTCTAAGTTACGTTCACTATATTCTTTTCCTCCTCTTCTTACTAGGCCACGCCAAGCTAAAACAAATTTAAAAAAGGCCGGTCCGACGCATGTGTAAACATGAAGAACGGGCCGGGACTGAGTGTTAGGCGCGGCTCGGTCTTTTTTGCTCAAAGCCGGTCTAAAATAAGTTTTGCTCAGGAGCACGTCCTGGCAAGAATTTTTTAAAGCAGAAACGGACCGGGCTGTTCATGGGTTTTTGGGTCGGGCCGGGGCTTTGATTTATAAGTCCGTCTCGCCTAAGTTTTGCTCAAGCCCGTCCTGTCCCCATGTCTAGGCAGGTAACCCCAAAAACCGGATCGCAAACGAAGGTCCCAGAAGCCAAACTTAGGTCCCGCGACGAAAGATTTAAAAAATGTAAAATAAACCTAAAATCAAAGCTATTTACCCTACTTTACCTTACCCTACCCTACCCTACCCCAACATTCTGACCGGCCTAGCCCATACCCACAAACCATACACAACATACCGTACCTACATAATATTAAAACAACATTTTGTCATCCCCTCCCTCGAAAATATAAAATTGGCACTGAAACACAAAAATAGAAGTCCACAAAAACAAAAAGCCGGCTCGAGGAGTAGCAACGATAACAACGGAATGAAGCCTATCTGCTCGCGGATCGTCGAGGAACGTCGGGGGGCACGCGTGAAAAAAGTGAACGCCAAGTCTCTAGGGGCTGGGGATGGTGGGGCCGAGAGTGGCAAAAGTCATTTTTGATCCGCCTCGAAATCCGAGCGAATTTCGAATGAATGAGGCTAATCGCCTTTTCGAAAATTACGTTCTTTGCTCATTGCAACGTGCAGCAAGTTAGCGAATAAGGTAGAGGTTTCAAGTGTTTAGACATACGGCATGTAAAGATAAGATAGTAAAAACGTAAGGTAAAAGAAAGAACATAAAGAAGAGGGGAGGGTAAGTGGTGATTTATTTTGTATTACATAGAAAAAACGACCGGTAAAGCTTTGCAACAGAACTTTTGGCGCACCGTGAATGCCGACATAAAGAACTCACCATACTTTTCCTGTAATTCCTTGTAAAAAATGGCGGTTTCTTTATGTCGGCACCTAATACTTTCCCATTTCTTGAAAATCAGATAGCGTAAGACGTAGTAAAATACTGAACAGTATGATAGAGTAAAGCAAGCTAAGGTAGAGTAAAGTAAAATAAGGTAGAGTAGAGTAAAATATACAGCGGAACCTCTATATAACAAAGCTCCTGTATAACGAAAAACTTTAGAATACTCGGCAAACACTACACAGTGCATTTAAAACTTCCGTATAACGAAACCTCTTCGTAACGAATAAATTTTAATTTCCCTAGCAATTTGTTATACAGAGGCTTCACTGTAGTAAAGTAGAATAGGGCGGAGCAAGCTAAAGATAATATTCAACCTGCCCCACTCGAAATCAGCACAAAATTTTTATTTGAATTCTTTGCACCACTAATATTATAGTAACCATAAAAAATTTTAGCTCGCGCTTTTGGGTTTTAAAATTTAAATATTTGTGTTTCTCATCAATTTGGCAAACTTGGTGTTGTGTTTTAATCAATTTTTTGACTTTCCAGACAAGCTATGTTCACAAATTAAAAAATGTAAGTCCATTTAAAGGTCTTCTTCTAGTATACCAAAGAAAAATGATTAAAAGTGAAAAAATGACAAAGTTATAAGCTTGAAACACAATGCCATTTTGGCGGGAAATTCAAAAATTAATTTTTCGATTTCAATTTTTTTTTGGGATTTCTTGGAAAATTCTATTTATTACTATGCTGAAGGTCTTATATTTACATAATCATTCTATTACGTTGTTCAAATAATTCTGAACCCCCTAACCCTGCAAATTTGCAATGAAAGAGGGCGTAGAACTTTTTGAACAATCTAAAATATAAAAAGTTCGACGTCAATCAGAGCAGGGCAGATCGATCACTTTCTTTGTAAGTTTGTTAGAACAAAGATCTACATTCTACCAACTATAATACGAACATGAAAACACAGTAACTCCAAAGATAACATCACACTAACGTGATAAACGTTCCAAATCGCATTAGCCAAAGGGCATTGCCAACTTTCTTAAGAGCTGTTTGTTAAAAAGAAAAATGCGGTTTTTTTTGACGGCCAGACGCATTGTTAAGATAGCTGATTAAGTGCTTAAATGTGTTGAAAAAGTCATAAGAAAGCGATGATCGACAAGTGCATGTAAGTATTTATAAAAATAAAGTTAGGCTAAAAGATTTTGTTTGGTTAAAGGGTTTGTATGGCATGTAAAACGTTTTATTTATGTCCCTACCCTTCCCTAAAAAGCCAATTCAAACCAAAAGACAGCATCAAACAAAAGTACAAAGCCAAAACTCGTCTTATAAAGTTTTGTAACAGAACTTTTGGCGCACCTTGTATAGTTAAAACGTCAGTCCAAACATTTTATCATGCCTCCTAATAATAACCAAAAAACAGCCACAAAGCATGGTGAAGAAAACAAGGTTAATTATGTATGACATATAAAAGATGACATGTCCACAACAACATACCATATTTCCAAGTCAAAAACAATACCATGTAACGCTATTAATCTAAAAACATATTTACATGCCCTTTTAGAGAAAAATGATGCCTTAGTCCATAGCCCTATCTCCAGCCCAGAGCCCTAGCCCAGAGCCCTAGCACAAAGCCCTAGCCCACAGCTTTAGCCCAATGCCCTAGCCCAGAGCTTTTCTAGCTAGCCATGAAGAAGGACCAAGCCGGACCTGAACAAAATTTAGATTGGACCAAGAAGATCAAGCCCGGCCCGGTCCATAAAGCCCGACCCGTTTGCACACAAAAAAAATTGGACCGGGCCGGCCCTGAACAAAATTCCGGTCGCCCCGAGCCCAACAATCAAACCCTGCCTGTTTTTAATGTTTGGCTCTAGCCTTAGCTCTAGTCCTAGCCTACTATCATACCCAAGTTAACATTAACGTATGTACTTTGCTGCCTTGCAAAAAGATGTGCAATTGCTTCCTATCCTCAATAGCAATCTATTTCCGCTCTTGTCAAAATGACAAATTTAACGCTCTGACACGCGGCCAAAATTGCTAAAACCTAAAAAACGTCTGCCAAGCTTACAATAGTTAGATAGACATCTGCAACAAAAAAAATTTTACCCCACCCCCCAACTTCAAAATTTTTTACCCCACCCCCAACTTTTTAAAATAAAAAATATATATAATTTCACCCCCCTCCCACCTCAGTTAAATAAAAAAACCTAAAAATTTTTTTACCCCGCTCTCCTCATCTCATTCTATCCTCACCTCCCACAACAGAAAAGACCCGCCCAGCCATGAGTACCTTAAAAAATTGAAAATAGCCTCAAGAAAAGATCAAAGCATTTTTTTCTTTGAAATTCAAAAGCAAAAAACAAAAAAAAATGAAAGGATTTTGATACGAGATTACTGTGACATATCAGAGAATGTCACAAGAACAATATATAATAAATTCCGATTTCGACGTTTCCAAAAATTGTTATATTGCACTTTTTTCAAACACAAAAAGAACGTCATTTTTATTTTACATTGATGTATTAGACTTTTGACAATTCATGGTTTATACTACCTATATATGTTTATATATTGATATAGATATATAAAAACACATATATAACAAAAATGGCAGTTATAAGTGATAAAGCCTAAAAATGTATAATTATATAAATTTAAATCATATCTTTAATAAATACAGGTTTATATATAACATATACCTTGAAAGCGCAACCTTGGAAAAACGTTTTTATCGTATAAAATGTCACCCGCAGCCTGCAGAATTTAAAAATGTTGTCCTAGATAAGAAAAAATAGAGAAGACAAAAAGAAAGGAAGAGAAACGTTTAAAAATTTTAAGAAAAAAATTATTTCTTCCCCCCCCCCCCCCGCTCAATCATTTAAAAAAAACTCGGCATCGCCCCAAAATAAAATATTTGTTAAATTAACTATGCCTTACCCATTCTTTTTCTTCAACCCTACCCTACCCTACCCTGCCCTACCCTACCCTACCCTACCCTACCCTACCCTACCCTACCCTACCCTACCCTACCCTACCTTATCCTACCCTACCCTACCCTACCCTACCCTACCCTACCCTATCCTACCCTACCCTACCCTACCCTACCCTACCCTACCCTACCCTATCCTACCCTATCCTACCCTACCCAACCCTACCTTACCCTACCCTACCCTACCCTAACCTACCGTACCTTACTACGATCTATAACAGTCTACTCAACCCTATCATACACTACCCGAAGTTATGCCGGTCTTCCCCACTCGTTTGTTCCCTCTACCCTTAAAAAGCAACCTTCTCCCCCTCCCCACCAATCCTTAACTGTAAAGTATAAATGTGATATTATTTACTGTGTAAACTTGGAAATAGTGAAAACACTTTTAAAACAACCATCTCCAAAACAATGTTCTATTACCGAGAAAATCGACTCTTTAAACAATGCCATAACAAAAAACATCTCACTGTAATTTCAGTCCTCGTTCGATCATTTTTCATATCTAAAAATACCGAACGCTCCCCAGGGTAATATCCGCTTTTGGATTTGGAAAGAAAAAAGTTTGGGCCGTTTCTAAACTTTGGTTGTAGATTGTTTCCACGTCAAATGGCAGTTATAACAGTAACAGCGTTCTTATTGGCTAAAAAGGTTGTAGTGTTACATTTTAAACGTATAATTACTGTAACATAATTTATAGTAATGCTTATAAAAATGTAAGTTAATAAAGGTAAGAGTGTTAACAACTATTCAAAAGAAAAGTCATGTTAGCATATTACAATAAAAAGTTTTAGAAACGTCATATAAAGCCTACTATTAGATCCCAACATGAAGAACCCGCCATTTTTTACCGAAAATTACAGCAAAAGTGTGGCGGGTTCTTTATGTCGGCACCTTATAATACGTACAAGAAATTTTATATAGAGAGTACTTTGTTAAAATCATAACTTTTTCTTTGTACTATACAGTACGTACAACAAGTTTTACTTAGGAAGTAATTTATGAAAACTACAATTTAACTTTAGTACTAAATAGTACGTGTAATGCGGTGCGCCAAAAGTTCTGTTACAAAACTTTACCGGTCGTTTTCTCTATGTAATACAAAATAAAACAAAGAATAAACTATGTAGGGACAGCTAAATTAAGCGATAAAGCAAGAAAAATGTTATGATAGTACTGTACAATAGTTAAAAAAAGTTTAACGTAAGACTAAAGTAACGCGTGATAACGTAGGTATAGACAGAGTAAAGGTTATGATAATTTTAAGAAGGTAAGGTAGAATAAGATAAGGTAGCTTAGGGTAGAACAGAGTAAAGTAAAATAAAGTAAGGTAGAGCAGAGTAACGTAGGGTAAGGAAACGTAGAGTAGGGTAAGTGAAAGTAGAACAGGACAGTGCAGACCAAGACAGGATAAAGTAAGTTAAAGCAGGGTAATGCAGAGCAGGACAGGGCAAGGAAAGACAGGGCAGCTCAGGGCAAAGCAAGGCAGGGCATGACAGGGCAGAGCAATTTGAAGAACAGCAGGGTGAGGCAAGGCAAAGAAAGGCAAGGAAATGTAAGGAAAGACAAGGTAAGGCAAGGCCTCTTTACCTCTTCCTCTCTTATTCACCTATTGATATCATCGCGATCGAGGCAAGGTAGATTAGAATAAGGTAAAGTATTATATAACAGCCTATAATATACCCAACTGCTACTCCCCAGTATATTCACCTACGCTATAACATCTATTCTAAACTCTCATTCTCATCCACCCCAATATCGCACCCCCACATCAGAGATGCGCTGCCAAGCCCTTCGCTTATTCCCTGAACGCTCGTCCGCGTTTGGATGTGCCGTGATGGATGTTGGGGGTTATGAACATGACGACAACTTTTGGGACGGAACCTCCAAACAATGGCATCAATTCGAGCCCGACTTTGATTGACTCCCAAGCCCCGCCGGAGTCGACGGGCCGTGAGGGTGGAGGTTTCAAGTAAGTGAATGTGGAAAAAAGGGTCTTGTTAAGAATGTCATCTTCCAGTTTTTAGGCATTGAACTCGGTGTGAATGCACTTTTTATGGTTCATTACACGTCATTTTTCGAAAAATTGTTTCAAAATTCACGTTCTTTGAACAAATTTTTAAATTTTAAAGCTTCACCCTCCCCCCCAAAAAGTTTTTTTGTAAAACCCCCCCCACCCTTTCGAAATCCTTTGCCAATTTAAAAAAGATTTTTTCACCCCCGCCCCCAGACCAAGGTCCTCCCCGGCCTTGCCACCCCTCCCCTTGATCCCCCACCCAATTTTCAAAAAAAATTTTTTTTCGACATCCGCCACCCAGACCAGACCAAAAAAGTCCTCGCCCAGCCCTGAGCAGACCCTCAACTGATTTACCACGCCCCCTCCGACATAATTTACCACACCCCCTCCCAGTCACCTCCCTCTCCTCATACGCCTCAAATTGATGCAAACACGTGACGAAAAGCTAAAAGAATGAGAATATGACAGTTGTATTCTCACTTATACAGAGATCAGTCACGTTGTCATGATCAATCTTGCACGAAACCGCCAAAGTGAGCCCGATCCCTGACTTTATAGTCGTATATCTTCCAGAAGCAAGAGATGATACATTTCTTGGCACAAAAACAGCACTTTTTAAATTTTCTTACAATTTAAAAAAAATATTAGGCTGGTAAGACTAGTAATCGTATAAATAAGCTATTATAATATCCATACATACACATATTAAGTTGTTCAAAAATTCTGAGCCATTCTCAAAGCAAGTTTTCGGGGTTGAATGGCTCAATATTATTTGAACAACCAAATATTAATCGTATAAATAGGATAGTAACCATACATATATAGCTACAACCCCAAAATGGCCAACATGACTGTATATACATCAATCGTTCATTCAACCTTTCTCAAAAATATCGACCAGTCGATTTTTCAAAACTTTTCAAAAAACAAAAAAGCCTAAAAAACAATAAAAACAGAACAAAAAGACCAAAAAACCTGAATTACAATAATTTATGTTTACAAATAGACGTGTATGGAACGTTCAGACAAAGTACATGCGCTGCTTGAAGTTTTCGGTCACGGCCACAAAGTTCTGCATGACTTGATCATTGTTGGGCTCGGACTGGCGGCCTTGCTGGTTCATCCTGTTGGCTCCAGATGGGCCGTTGCCGTCGACGCGGAGGTCGGCACTAAAATTTACTTTTTTAAAAAAATTTTAAAATAAGACAAATTCAAAATGAAAAAAAAATTCAAAACATTTCAAAAAATTTTTCAAAAAAATTTCAAATATATCCAACAGGGACGTCGTTTGGGGGAGGGGGGGTACCCCCTCCCCCAGAGCCATTCCGAAAAAAATTCCACAGGTACCTGTACGTGAAAAAACGAAAAATAAAAATTTTGAAAAATCGGTCCACAGGAGCTACCTGTGGACGAAAAAATTTTTTTCGACCTCCCCCTCCCCCAGAGAAAATCCGTAGCGACGTCCCTGATATCCACCCCCAACCAAAACTCACATGTGTCTCTTCAAATGGCAACGAGCACGGTTAGCGACCAAATCCGCATAATATACCGGGGCTGGAATCGAGACGGAGCGAGCACAACGGCCGTAAGTGTAGCACAAGTGGTAGGTCATGGCTTGGAGGTCGTCAGCGTTGAAGCCATTGTCATCCCAGAGAACGTGGTAACGTGCGGGACGTGAAGTGCCTTGGATTCCAAAGTGTGAGCACAGGTAAAAGTCAAAGCCATCGGCCGAGACGATGCCAGTATCGACGGTGGTGCCGGGTGGAACGTTCTTGGCACGGCCGACCATGTCGCGTGCGTTCTGGCAGAAGATGCGGGCGTGGTGGCGTTTCTGGACGACAATGTAGGTAATGGGTGGATTGTAGTCTTGGGATACCATGCCGCAAGCAGCACGGATTCCATTCAATTCTTCGCGCAAGACTTCGGCAAACTGGCCGTCTGACACGCCGTCACGGTAGACGATGATACGTTCGGGGTGGCGGTGGGTTGAGGCCATAAAGGCTAGGAGACGCTCGCGGACGGCTTCAGTGACGTAGACCACGGATTCACGGCAACGGCGTTGGACCTAAAACGGGTATTATTTAAAATTAAAAAAAAAACATTTAAAAAAAAGCATTTGTTACCTAAAAAATAAAAATAAAGTTCATAGTGAAGCAAAACATCAAATTTTGCGATTTTTTTTAAATATTCAAAAACAAAAAAAAATTGTAATTTCAAAAACTCAAACCCTCCCCACCTTAACATTGGCACCATAGCTCTGAGGCATCATGTCCAAGTTGCCAACAACAGCAGCAACCGATGGCATTCCGATTCGTTCTTCGGCTTGAGTTGGATGAGTAACGTCGATTCCGAGGATCAAGACTGGTCGATCGACCAGGTACTTCGAAGTAATTTGATCCGCTACCAAACGAGAGTTGACTCCGCCCAGCTTCATGTTGATTTTGAGTACCAAATTGGCACAAGTAGCCGGAGATGGGCGTTGGGTGGACTTGAACAAGATGCATTGGGACATGACACCGTAGCGCATGTCGGACAGCTCTTTGATGGTCACTAAAACGACATGTTACAGTTTCAAAGTTAAAAAACGCTTTTTTTTCAAAAACGAAAGATCGACCAGTCGAAAAATTTCTTGAAAACTAAAAAAAAATTTTCAAAAAATTCAAAACCTACTATAGTAGTCCGAGTTCTTGCTCGGCAACACAATGATGATCAAATCACATTGGCGACCCATTTCCCTGCATTCACGCGCCGTCTGGCGGAACATGGCCTCAATGTCGTTGGCGTTGCGACCGTAGCGAACAAACTCTGGCCATTGGGGAAAGTTCATACCCATTTGCTGAGCCTTTTGGCCCAAAAAGTGACAAAACTTTTGTAGAGTTGGCTGTTCCTTGGGGTCGACCAGGGCAAAGATCGAGTAGGATCCGCATTCGGCAGGAACGTAGAGACGTTGATGTTCAACTGGCCAGGCGCCGTCCTTTGGAGTTACCACATCTTGGCGTTGATTGCCGTAGAGAATTTGGGGTGGTGGGAGAACACGACCGACAGTTTCGAGCATTTTGGTGTCAATTTTGAGGCCAAATGACTTGAGGAAGGGATCGTCACGGAAGCCGGCCATCTCACACAGGTTCTCAATGTTGTTCTCGCGTTGTTGGGCGTCAACGGCAGAAGCCTAAAAGACTTTTGTTTAGTTTAATTCTTGAACTCTCTCAAATCAGAATACAGTAATAAAAAATCTAAAAATCGACCCAAAATGTAGCTCTGTCTCTTTGAAAAACTCACCCGGATAATGGTCGAAGTTTGACGATCACTCAACTTTCGAGTGTACTTTTGTGGAGCATCCAGAACGCAGACCTCCAATGGCAACAAAATGTTACGAATTGGTGGTCCGACGTGGAGGCATGGCAGTGATGGGAACTGAAGTGGTCGATAGCGAGCGGCAAAGTAGTCGGCTACAGTGACCAGGATCTCGTTGCCAGCCTCGTCACGAGTTGGGAATGACATTACATTGGCCGGTCCTCGAACTCCATTCACACGGTACACACGATCAGAGCCTTTTTGGTAATTGGCACGGACGCGGAGGCTGCGCATGGCTTCAGCAAAGACGCGGAGTTCGTTGGTGGAGAGGCAGGCGTCCAAGTGGAGGCGATCGGCCTAAAACAAGGTAATTTATCTATGTAATCAATGAGATAAAAAGATACGCTTATTTTTCGCATTTTTAGGTAATCAGCAGTAGGTACACATTGCAAAATAAAAAAAGTCAAACAAAAAATTTTCAAAAAATCAACCGGTCAATTTTCAAAAACTTTTTCAAATCTCCAAACAAAAAATCAAAACCCACCGACAATCCACTGATACCCTCATGACGTCCTCCACCACCTCTGCCACCGTTGTAACCGCCTTGACGTGGGGCACGGTCGTACGAACCGTGCGAACGTTCGTTGAGGATTTCGCACAAAAACTCGATGCAAGTCATGCGGGGCTTGTAAAAGGCGGCGTGAGCCACATCCACATTCAGAAGTGGTCTCCATGCTGAGCCCAACGTAGCCGAAGTGAAGAAGCCAGTCCACATTTCCTTGCCTCCGTCCAGGTTGAGAGCCGGCTGTCCGTTGACTGGAAGGCGGTAGCAAGAATTCTTCCACGAATAAAATTGCTTCGACTTGCTGTAACATAACACAAAATTATCATCTATTATCATAAAAAATACAAAAACAACATCACTTCACCCCCAAAACCTACCTATAAAGAGGGCAAGTCAATGCCTGACGAACCACAATATCCAAGACCTGTAGCGGCGCTACCGTGCCATCAGCGTGAGAACGCTGAACCTTGCTCATGTCCTCCAACAAGATTGAGCCAGTATAACGGAGAGTGACACCACATTGAGTACCACGAGATGAATCACGAGCCAAGCATAAATGAGCTTCGAGAGTGATAGTCTCACCAAATGGCAGACGCTCAGTAGTGTACATCTGATGGCCACCATCGTAGGCCACAGCAAAGCGTTGACGGAAAATGTGCTGACTTTCCTCGACAATTTTCCAAAAGATCAGACGAGATTCGTCACTAAAAATCAAAATTTTCAAAAATTTTAAAACTTTTTAAAAATCGACCAGTCGAAAAAATCAACATTTAGTTTTTCAAAATCCAAATATTCTTAAAAAATCAAATTACCGCACAAACAAATATCGACCGGTCGATTTCCAAAAAAAAATAAATTTTTCAAAAAATTTCAAAAACCATTTTCAAAAATCCAAAGACACTAAAAATCAATTTTCCGCCCAAAAAACTATCGACCAGTCGACATTACCCTCAAAAACCCCCACTTACCGGTCAAGCGTTCTCATGCCGGGATGATGAATTTCGGCGTGGTATTGGTGGATGGGGAGACCGTTCTGTGAAATCTGAATCTCGAAAAAGTTGGCACGTAATAGAATAGAACGGCCGCGTACGCCGACGGCTGGACGAGAGACTACCACTTGAGTGTATTGTTGAGAATCATCGGCCACGGTTTGGCCGATTTTAAGCATTGACAGTTTGGCCTGAAATGAATAAAAGTAAGCTTGAAATTAAAAAATTAATTTCCATTTTTTAAAAATTTTCTCAAAAAACCCACCTTAGTCGCCTCGATTTCGTCCTCAGTTTCGCTAACCACCGACTCGACGTCCGAGAAAGGGTCTTGTTCGTTGTCGCGCAACAACAACACATCACCCGCCTGCTTTGGGTGGGACGACGAAGACAACGAGTCCATATCAGGCTGGCCAACGGAGCCGCGGTCAGTTGGCGGGCGTGAAGACGACAACTCCGAGATCACAGGGTCAGAGTCGGGCAGATCAGGCGCCGATGATGAAGTAAGTCCGTCTGACGAGTTCTCAACAAAAGCAAGCGTGGGCTCGTGAATCGTTGGCAATATTACTGAGTCTTCCATACTGGAAATGAGGGATTTGGCATGGTAAACATTAAGAAATTAAGAAGTTAACGTAATAATCATTTAAAAAGCCAAAAAATAGCAAAATTACAATGAAAACCCAGCTTTTGTTCAAAAAGAGTTAACGTTATAGTAGTTTATCGTTATAACTTATTTCCTAAACGCTAAAACACCTCAAAAACTTGCAAGAACTAAAGTAATTATATACATAACCATAAAAAATAGATCGTAAAATCAAAAACTACCAAAACGAATCATAATATTTCAAATCAGTAAAGCAGACTATCCAAAATCATATTTTAGGTCATAATTTTGTCAATATTACCTAATCTTATACACAATTTTGCTAAAACCACCTGAATACTATGCAAATAAGATACTCAAAGTTCCAAACGTTTTCTGCCATTTAACGTTGATATCTCATAAAAAGATTATCTTACACTACCTAAAATAATGTTTCTGTTACAAAACCTTAAAGTTTCCATTTCAAATCCACAAAATTCCTCAAGAATAACAAAACCCAACCAATCTACATGCCAAAACCAACCTAAACACAGAAAAAAACAAAATAAATACTTACATTAGACTTGTGCCCCCAGAAGTAGACGAGTCAGATCGAGTGAAAGCAGCGTGAACCAAAACACAGATAAACTCCAAAAACAGAGTGAACCAAATCCATTTTATCCACCCCTTTTATACCACGCACTTTCAGAGGTCCAAATTTGCATAATTTTGCTGAGAAAATGACAAATTTCACAAAATTTTCAACTTTTCCAAAATTTTATTCAGATGCCGACTATTTTGACAAAATCGGTCGAGAAAACCTGCAAAAGGTGAACATCGTGTTTTTCACGTCAAGCAGGTTTGATTGAACATAATATTAACCATGTTTAGGTCTAGACTTCATGTTGTTACCTAAAATTGATGAAAGATATAAAAAGTTCAAAAACTAAAAATTATGAAGAAACGTAAATATTATAAAAAAATATAGTAAAATATATTATTAAAAATTATTTTTTTTAAACCAAAATCGATTTACAATCGCTTTTTAATGTTTTTACACGTATTTTGCAACTACACTTTTAACAGAAGGCCAAAAGGTTGTTTTGCTCTTGCATGTTTTCGTTACAGGACCCAATAATATGCTAAAGGCTTGAATGGTTGAAAAATTATATTGTAAAATAAGTTGCTTTAAATTTATGTTTTTCAGTTTAGTAAAATTGCAATAATGTTTACTTTTTTAGGTATTATGTGTTCGCTCTACTTTAATTAATTAAAACTTTGTTTGGGGCTGTGAAATTGAACGGAAAGTCGTAATTGATGCCATTTAATGTCACTTTTCGTTGTTCCTTGTTGTACTTGGCTTGTACTTGACAAAGAACAACATTTATATATGTTCAAGGTTTTAAATTAGCGTAAAATTTTATTAGGTCAAATTGGAGCTTGGTTTAGAACGCTATGCCACTTGGCACCAAATTTAAACGTAACGTTTGATTGGCGTGTCATAAAACTTTACTTTTTTGTGCATTTACGGGCCATGGCATAAGTTATCATTGTGCCAAATTTGGGTTTTGTTCAACTTTTAGTTCTTGCTTACCATAATGTTGAAGTTTTGTCAAAAAGTTGAAAACTGCACCGTGCACTAAAAAAATCAATTTTGAAGTTTTTTTTGGTTTTAAACGTCAAAATAACACGTCACATAACATATATAATCCAGTGCATTATGTTTGTCACAGTATGCTTAATCATGTTATTCTTTACGACTTTATGTTTACGAAAAACTGCCAAAAACGGCCAAAAATGTCGTTTTTTGGCGTTTCGAATTTCATTTGTGTTGATTGTTCAGAAACGTTTCGTGACTTTAAAGTTTGGTCAGTTTTCGTGTCGTATGTAATGTCAGGATGTGTATAAACATTTGTCGTATATTTGTATTTGTTATCATTCGACGTCATTAATGAACAAAAGTCATCGTATTTAAAGGCGTTCGTTTTGGTGAGGTGTATAGTCTGTATACTAAATACGCTGGTTTTTCGGATATGATAAGAGTAGGATAATCGAATAGAATTTTAAGGTTTGAGGGGGTTAATGCTTGAGAAAAAGGATTCATATAAACATTTTCAGCTGATTCTGAGCGGGGCAGGGTAGGTACTTTCCTTGTGAGACTACTTTGTGTCTTTCCACCTTTTCCCCTAGTCTTTTACTATCACTTTTTCCAGTTTAAACTCAGGTAAACTTAATATGTATTCAATTTCATCAAAAAACAAGATTTCTTTTGTTTTGGCTTAAAAAACTTGAAGTTGGCATTAATATACAACTAGCTACTGTCTAGAACAATAAAAACGAAAAGCCTGATTCAGGATTCTTTTGTCACCATTCAGATGATACATTTTTCTTTTCTTTCGATTTCAAAAACTGGCACGTTCAAACTAGAGGATGTGCGTATTTTGTGCATATTTTACAGGTCGTCGCTTCGAAATACACTGCCCAAGTAGAATTGGTATCTCCTAGCCGTCTTAGGCCTTATCCCTATCTCTAGTCCACAAGCCTTAGATTTAGCCTTAGCCTTAACCTCTGGTTTAGCCAAAAGCTTAGCCTTACACTTCACCTCAGGCTTAGTTATAGGCTTAGCCTTAGATTTAGCTTTAGCTCTAGTCATAGCCCCAGCTTAAAGCCCTCGTCGTAGCTTTAACCTGAACCTGAGCCTAAGCCCGATCTAAATCTTAACAGATGGTAAGCTCAAACCTGAACTTGAAGCTGACCCTTTAGTTTTAGCCATAGGTTAATAACAATAGTTCAAAGCCCATATACGTAGTTCAAGAGCATAGATCATAGATTGAAATGATAAATAAGGACAAAAATTTATTTACTTATGACAACGTCTACATCCTCGGGGATACAGTAAAACGTGATGACTGGATTGTCATGGGAGTCATCCTTATCAGTCTATAAATATATCCTAGAGTCAATATATTTAGCTTATCAAATTTTTAAATTTATTACTGTGAACTTTTGATTTCTGGCGTGGTATAAAGAGGTATAAAAGGGCTGTTTTAAAAATATTGCCATTTTAAATAGTACCAAAACGTCATTTCTTCTATTTTTAAAATTTTTTGAAATTTGAAAAAAGAAAGTGTGATGAGCCGTGCCGTTCTTTATGACTTCAGAGAACTTTCAAAGTGTAATTCTCAAATTGTTCAACTGGATGTATCCTAGCCAAAGTAAAAGTAATTGTCATTTGTACTTCCTCTACCAAGCTTACTATGTTATTTATTGCTTTCTTAAACATCTTGAACTGTATCAATAATTTACAATACTTTTAATTGTCTATAACATAAATAGATGCCATGCTTTTTTCAATTTATTGCACTTATTAAACCGGGCTAGGAGAAGGTAAGACTAGAGCAGAATTTTTGAAGGGATGGAGTAGGGCTAAGGCTAGAGGTGTGGACTAGGTCTAGAGCATGGTAAGGCTAGGATAAGGTTCTTGAAGCAGTGGGTTTAAACTAGGGCTAAAGCAGGGTAAGACTAGTACAAGGTTTTTAAAGAACTAGTTTGGGACTAGGACTATGGCTAGAGGTTTGGACTTGGGATAGATCAGCGTAAGCCTAGTACAAAGTTCTTCGAGGACTAGGTCACGACTAGGGCCAAGGTTAAGGTCTGGGCGGCTGGGTAAAGCTAGGACAAGGTTCTTGAAGGAGTGGGTCTGAACTAGGGCTAGGACACGATAAGGCTAGGACAAGGTTCTTGAAAGACTGGGTCTGTGCTAGAGCTAAGGCTAGAGGTGTGGACTAGAACTAAAGCAGGATAAGGCTAGGACAAAGTTCTTGAAGAACGAGGTCGGGACTAGGATCAAGACTAGAGGTGCGGACTAAGGCTAGAGTAGGGTAAAGTTAGAAAAAGGTTCTTGAAGAGCTGGGCTTAGACTACGGCCAAGGCTAGTAGTCTGGGCAAGGGCTAGGGCAGGGTTCTTGAAGAACTAGGTCTGGACTAGGGCTTTGGACTAGGGCTCTGGGTTAGGGCTGTGTGTCAGAGCTTTCGACTAGGGCTATTAAACTTGTGGAAGTAATAATTTACAATTGAAAACCCGGCTATTGTAGTTACTTCTTATATCACAACAATTTAATAGGCTATACAAATTACCTATTATGAAGGTATTATAATATGAAAATTAAATTTGCACCAAATTTTACGAAATTTTTTTGTTTTCAGCCCTTTCCTTCAGCGATTAACGCTCATTACGAAAACATTTCAATTCGGTTTAAGATCATTTAGTATAAATTACATAAGGACGGCGGAGGAAGGCGTTTTGTTTGCCAAAACAATGGAATAGAGAAGGCGGGCTACCGTATTTAAGGCAGGGTTAGTAAATCTACGCATTTGTTTTTCATGCGGAACTGTGGGATATTATGATGGGTTAGGGTTGTGGGGGTTGGTCAATTTTAACATTTTTTTCTTTAATGTTCCAATAAAGATATTTGGATTAGCTTTTAGTGTTGGAGTTATGATAGCGGGCTTAAGTTGAGGGCTAGGGAAGGGGCTTTGTAAATACGATAGTATGCGCTAGGGTAAAGATTGTGACATGAAAAGTATGATAGAAGTTAGAATATTGGCCAGGCTATAATATGAATTATGCTAGGAGGTAAGATTTAGTAGGAGTAGGGGCAGGCTCAGATTGGGCTCAGGGTAGAGGCCAGACTATGATAGGGCTTAGTTTATGGTCACGTGAAACGGTTCGAATAAAGCATATGGCAGAAGTTAGATTGAAGGCTTTAATGTTAGGTGAGGACAGTGGACAGTTTAGGGTAAAACTTATAGTAAAAGCTTCGCGTAAAGGCTATAGTAAGATCAATAAAGTACAGGCTAAGGGTTGGAAAAAAACGTTGGTAAAATTACGTACATTTGACATCAGAGGGTGTTGCAGGGAGGGGGGAGTTACTTATTATCACTTTTTTGAAAAATTTAAAGATCTTTCAAAGACGTGTAGCGATCATCTTAAACTGTACCAATGTCCGACGTAAGTAGAATGTAAGCAATTACTTATAAGAACTTGTAATAGTTGTATAATTACTTTGTTTTGCGTCTTAGAGGATAATTCTATAATATACGAACGAATAAGCTAAGAGTATTAATATAAAAGAAAGTAGACTAGACAGTGTTATTGTACTTATATAGGCATAAAAAAGCTCTTAACTCGAAGTTTATAGTACGTATATACAACTTAACGTTTATTGTACATAATTGTTAGTTAATGTGCAATAAACTGTAAGCTCATAAAGAGAAACTTTGAGCTCATTATTACTTGGTCTATTATGTTATACTTGCTCTTTTGGTTTATGAAAACTCTTGGGAACAATGCTGGTTGCATACTTGTTAAGCTATCAAGTTATATCAGGGTTGTGCGTAATTTCCTGAGTTTAAGAAGGCACATTATACTTTAAACTACAGTATAATGCACATGTGGATAGCATTAACGAGTAGGGTGGGGTAAGTTTTTGTAAAAAGCACAAGGGAGGAGGAGAGAACATTAATTGGGATAGGTTGTTAAAGAATTGGCAGGGTAAGTTTTTGTGAAAAACATACGAAGGGGGGGGGGGAGGAGAAGATTACTAGAGCCAGGCGGTGCGGAAAACAGAGAGAGAGAGGGTAAAAAGAAGAAGGGAAAAGGGGGGGGTTCAAAAAGTTGATTTAAAATTTTGTTTAATTTTGTGCTACCCTTGTCTTTTTTACACTTCTTCCACCCCCCCCTTCCCTCCCTCTTCTTCATCATCCCCTCTTGCTATCTTCACTTTCTGAAACATAGCCCCACCTAATTATTCATGATGACATGCCAAACCTTTTTTTACCTACATTACCAAACACGCTTTCTTTACGGTATTTAGAATTGTCTGAACGCGTACTCAATAGTATATTATACAAATATACTCGACTGAATATGTTAAGTTAGGTGGTTACGTTCGAACATTAATCACGGTGTTACACCTATTGTTCCGTGGGGAGTATTGGAGTCGAGATGATGTTACACTTACATCAATGTAAAGTATAAATAGATGTATATATACGGAAGGTTCGGGGTTGGTTTGGTACTATATTTGGGTTTTGGGTAGTACGGTATAAGGTGAGGTTGAGGAATTTTTTACAATCTATTATATTACTATATTATACTAGATTTGTATTACATAGTACTAAACTCTTATGTTTTATCTTTACTTTAAAGCACGCTATAGTACTATGTGGTACTAGTTAGTACAATAAATCACTGTCTAATACTATAGAGTACTATAATTTGCTAAGACTGAATATAACGTCTTGGTACTGCTTAGTACTTCTTCGTAATACGTAATACTGTATAGTATTTTCGGCAGTCCGATCTCTGGCAACACCTTATCACAAGCTCTAAGAAATTAGCATCATAACCTACCATATTACTTCCTAGTTTGCAGCTGCCCATGTTATGTGTGTATGTTTAATACACTGTTATCTTTGCTGCTGTTATGTCTGTTCAAATGCCAAACAGTTTGCGTATTATGCTAATGTGTTTAATATGCAAAACAAAAATAACAGCTGTCTATGTTATGAACAATAAGAAGTAAGAGAGGGGGAGGCTACGTAATCGAATATTTATTAAGTTTTTTATAGCTTACAATAAGTTTTGACAGAAATGGTGTAGCATACAATAGATGTTGGCAAAACAATTTAAGCCTATTTACTAAACCTAGATATAGCCTAAGCATATAATAGGTTTTAACATGTTAATCTTAGTAGGTATTGATCTGGGTCACTTCTTACGGAAAGTCAGTTTCAAGTTAAGCGCATGAGACCGATGAAGAAGCCAGGTAAATAGAGTAACTTTTGTTTATTATTAGATTTCTCTTGGCCTTGGCTATGGCTAGACCTGTCACATCAGCTTAAATAACCTGGCTATGGCTAGGGCTTATACATTGGCTTGAATAACTTGGCTATAGCCTAAAAAGTAGACTCAATTTTAAATATTATAACGAAAGAGATAGGATGCGCCAAAAGTTCTGTTACAAAATTGTATAAGCTTAAATAGCTTAATTCTTTACAATTGTTAGAGCCAATTTACTGATTAGACAAGGTTTCATAAACAAATTTACTTAAACTTCGAAAAAAGTGCATTTTACTTAATCTAATCGTTTATTGTAATTTTAAAAAAATTAAAAAATTGTTTTTATAAAGGGCACGGCAGAATAGGGTAAGACAAAGCAGGGCAGAGTATAGAGAGGGCGGAGAGAGGGTAATTATTATATGTTATTACTACTTTTTGTTAATTTTGGTGTTTCAAAAGGTAATTTTTGTAACTTTTAGACTAAAAACATTTTTTATTTGCCTTAATACCTAAAAAGACATTGTTTATGTAAAACAAGTAGTTGATTTGCAAATTGTTTCAAAAACCACATCCTTGTTGTCTAGACACTTCAGCTTCATTTTAAGTTTACAATATGCAAGCTTGTGTTTTCTATTACCTATAAATTAATTAAAAATAACATTTTTATAAAGAAACTTGCCAAATATTTGAGTCACGATTCGGGTTGTCAACATAACATAACATAAGCATTACGAATTGTAGGACATATGCAGTCTTCATTTCGTGATAAGAGTTATAGTACGAGTTGTGGGCTGCGGGTTTGTCACGAAAGGGAAAAGTTGTAGTAACATAAATTATTTTTTTTGCAGTAATAATACGTAGTCAAGTTGTAAAATGTATGATTATATATGGTGTGACCTCCATAGATCATACAAAGCTACAAATTTGCAATCTTACTATAAATTCTGAGCCGGAGCTAAAGCTATGACTAAGGATAGAGCTAGAGCTAGAACTAGAACTAGATCTAGAGCTAGAGCTAGAGCTAGAGCTATAGCTATAGCTAGAGCTAGAGTTAGAGCCAGAGCCAGAACTAGAGCCACATTCAGAGCTAGATCTAGAACTAAAGCCAAAACCAGGGGCAGTCCCAAAGCTAGAGCTAGACCTAGAGTTAAAGCTAGAACTAGAGTTAGAGCCAGAGCAAAACCAGGGCATAGCCAGAGCCAGAGTTAGGGCCAGAGCTAGAACTAAGTCTGTCTAGAGCTAGAGCCACATTCAGAGCTAGAGCCAGAGTTAGAGTTAGGTTGTGAGAGCTACATTTAGAACTAGGTCGGTCTAGAACTATAGCCACATTCAAAACTAGAGCTAAAGCTAGAGTTAGAGCTAGAACTGAGTTAGAGACAGAGCTAAGGCTAGGATTAACAAACTTTTGTACACATTTCTATTGATCCTCCTGTAACAAACCTCGTCATATGTTTTGAGTATAAAATTCAAATTAAATCATTAATTTTGTTGATTACAAGTGAAGGTATAAGCAAAATAATTAGAATTGATTCGATTATGAGCTTGTTTTCCAGCGCCAATACCGAGAATTGTCAGCTCAATTCTATAATTTATGACTTATTCAAATGCGATTTTAGGTTATTTTGGTTAAAATACTTTTAAAATTTATAGTTCAAGGTAAGGGTAGTGCAACAGAGGGTGGGTAACATCATATTTAAACTTAAGTGCTTTGAGGGCATAACAATTTATTTGAGAGTATAAAATCGTAATGGTGTAAGGGTCTTTCAGCACTAAAAGGATGTTGTACTAGGAAGCTGGGGGAGACTTTTAATGCTTTGGCTAGATTCATCAAGGGGCCGGGACAGGCTTAATATTTATCTTGGTCTAGACCACATTTTAGGTATAGTATTGGCAAAGGATTGGCTAACTATAAAATCACGGTATCTGACCGTATGACGCTTTGCCGTTAGGTGCTTTATTACTTAACGCGCAACCTTTATTGTGCTATAATGTCTATATATATATATAGACTGCTATAATAAGTTACTTGTATTCAGGTTCGCCCTTTTGACGTTGGGATCAGGAGAAGAAGATAAAATAATGTCGCCGTTCCGCACCGTTTCTTTGGCTCACATCTGTTTGGTTCTCTTGTTTTTAGCAACCACATTGAGTGCATTCTTGCAGGATGAAGTACCATTACTAACGGAAACTGATGGAGTAAGTATTACGGTATTTTCTATTCGAAAACTTATTTATTTTACTATACCTTACTTTACCTTATCTTACTGTCCCTTGTCCTGCACTGTCATTCATACAAAACGCTATATCCTACCCTACCCTACCCTACCCTACCCTACCCTACCCTACCCTACCCTACCCTACCCTACCCTACCCTACCCTACCCTACTCTACTCTACTCTACCCTACCTTACCCTACCCTGCTCTACCCTACCTTACCTTACCTTACCCTACCCTACCCTACCCTACCCTACCCTACCCTACCCTACCCTACCCTACCCTACCCTACCCTACCCTACCCTACCCTACCCTACCCTATTCTACCCTACCCTACCTTACCCTACCTTATTCTACCTTACCCTACCCTACCCTACCCTACCCTACCCTACCCTACCCTACCCTACCCTACCCTACCCTACCCTACCCTACCCTACCCTACCCTACCCTACCCTACCCTACCCTACTCTACCCTACCCTACCCTACCCTACCCTACCCTACCCTACCCTACCCTACCCTACCCTACCCTACCCTACCCTACTCTACCCTACCCTACCCTACCCTACCCTACCCTATCCTACCATACCCGTATTCTATTCTACCCTTTCTAACCTTACCTTATTTTACCTTGGTTTAACCTACCCTACTCTACTCTATTTTGCCTTACCTTATCTTGTTATACATCACCTGGGTCTACCCAGTCTTGTTTTACGGTTCTCATAACTTATTGTGGCATGCCGTAGCTTTTTGTACGTTACTATGCTTTATTTATTTACATTGTGCCTTACCTGACCCTAATTTATCTTGGCATACTTTACTTTGCCTTACTATACTTTATTCTACGTTTTTTCCTCATCTTACTCTACTTTATTTTATCACATCATACGATACTCTACAACACTCGTTCTATAATATAATTCTTTTCATCTTAATACAATATTACTATAACAAATTATATTTTACAGATGGCCAAACGAGCAATCAACCCGTTTATGGACTCGATTGGCAAAAGATCGTCCGGCTCTCTGTTCATTCCTTCTCACCGCTTCTACCGCCACTACTTCCAACGCCCCACCAGATACTTTGACTCGTTGGCTGGACAGTCGCTGGGAAAGTAGAACAATATGTTGTCTGATGTTGTTGTACATTAAAGAGACAGTGTAACATCTGATGAAGACCATGCGGTTACTTTCGTAGCAAATTACTGTACTTTACTTGTACTGATCTATCTACTCTACCGTATATAATTTGCTACAATAGCATGAAGCGTCTTCTGTATTATATAATAGCGTTACTGTATTTACAAGTTAAGGGAAGATTACGATAATTAGTGAATACTTAAAATACCGTACACTACTTTTATAAAATGTACTGTAATTTTTTGAAAGTACTTTTGTTTATTTAAAATTACTGTAACTATTTATGCAGTATCGCAAAAGTTAAGAAAATACAGTAATACCCAAGAAATACCGTAACCTTTTAAACACATATTGTATTCTACCTAGAAAATACCGTAATTTGTCAAAAAATACCATAATCTTCCCTAAAACTACCGTATTCTTGAAAACAACTTCCTCGTTTATTATCGACTAATCCAAGCGTCGCTGTCTGATCCTACAGTAGTACTGGTCATCCTTTTTTAAAAAGCTGTGTAAACAAAGTCCTTGCCAGCTTTGTCATCACAAATGTCGTCAGCCAAACTCCGTGCACCATCGTCGCACACAAAACCCAACTTCTTTAACTCTTTTTGCTTTTGTACCCATTTTGTGATAAGTTTGAGTATTTTGCGAAATAAACTTTTTGACTGTGAATTGAAATGTACCTTGCCTTTCTCTATAAGAAGTTTGAAGCCATAGGGCAAAGCAAGTCGAGCACTTTCCTTGATATGATGGCCTGCTTTAGGTTGGATTTGACATAAACAAGATCTAAAAGTTTTATTTTTTGTATTTTTAATTGTAATAGCCAAATTTTTAGACTAATTTTTTATAGTAAAAGTTTTTATTTGCTTGTAAGTTTAAAAGTGTCTGTTTAACGTTTTATTCACCTTTTGCCGTACAACATTGTCTTCGCAGACTGCACTCCTCTCTTTGTTTCTTATCGCCGTTCGCGCCCATATTTACATCACATTTTACTCTTTTTTCTGAATTTTTGTTCACTAAAAGAGAAGGGAACAAGTCTATCACAACAAGAATTGTCAGTTGCTTGTTTTTTAATCGGGAAAACCCGCGAAGTTATAAGTTTCCGCGTGATATTGCTGTTTCTACCTGATTTTGGCGGAAATGATATAATCTCTGAGAAATGCGTATCGCATGTGAACAAACATTTATGTTTAGGTGTTTAATTTTGGTTATATAAGTCTAAATTTAACTGTTTAAAGGATTTTTAACTATTTTTTTAGATTTTCGAAGGTTTTTTGGTATGTTGACATAGAGGTACTTGCTTTTGATGTTTTAAAGGTTATATTGGATGAATTTTCGAAAGTTGTTGTATCTATAAGAAGAGATATAGCAACGTATAGATAATTTGATTTTATTTATTTACTTATGTGTGTTTGAATAATAGGTTTTTAGACATTGTTATACACTAAAGATATGTATGGGATTTCTTTTAACTTTATGAACAATATTAAAGCTTTTTAAACAATATTTTTAGTCAGATAGCTAGAAAATTGCGGTTATCATGTGCGTTCTTTGTTTCAACGTTGTATTTTGAGCGAAAGTGAACTTTATCTTGTTCTTGGGTGATCTGTGGAGTTGATGGATGGTTTTTACTTTTTGCGCAGAATCGTTCGTCTAATGTTAAAAATAGATAAATGAAAGATTCTATATGTCTGTTTTGATCTTTTAAATGCTTTCATTTTATTATCAGAACGTAGGACTTTTTTTGCGGATCAATTTCTTATAAATATCTGATCAGATACTTCTATGTTAATATAATTTGATTTTTCGAAGTTTTTTCTACGATTTGTTGTGTAAAACGAGTTTTTCCACGTTCTACGATAATAAACTTGTTTAAAAGTTTTAATTTGTTTTATTTTTAGGAGTTTCGGGTAGGTTATCAATAAGATTGATAGCCAATATGTATCGTCTCGGTTCCCCACGTATTTTAGTCAGATTAACCTTGAAATCTCAAGTGTCTAGGGCTTTATATTCAACGCAGCAACGTCTACATCCAAATGCACCGATATACATGGAGAAACGTGACAATCGTAAGTTATTTTGTTATTTTTTCTTGAGTTTAGGTATTAACATTGAATTTGGTGTAAAGCAATTTGTTTTCAAGACTATGAGGAAGTTTAACAAGGATGTTAAATTGTAATTTAAGTTAGTTTAGACTGTTGTTTCGGTCAGATATTGTTATATTAATTTATTGTGTACTAGACAATCTTAAAAGACAATTTTTGATTGATGAAGTGTTTTTGACTTTTAAAGTTTAGAAGCTCACTGTTACAACATAGAAAATGCTTTTTGTTAACTTAATTAGTAACAAACTGTAAATTTGCACTGAACCGTTAAGGTTTATTCTTTTACTGTCTTAACTTTAACATTTTTAGGTCAGAACGATTTGCTAGCGCCTTCAAAAGAGTTTCCATTTAATGGAAATGTTGCAGCAGCTCAGATTTATCTTCAAAAAGATCAGGTAGGTTATTTTAGTCGCATAAAGCTATTCATTTTCGGCTATTTTTGTCTTTAAAGTTCAGTTTTGGGCAGTTTAATATAGGCTTTTAAGCCTATTATACAGAATTTCAAAGCTTTGTGGTTTTTGAAGCTTTAAACGTCAGGAAAAGTTAATCTTTTTAATGTTAACGACAAAGAATTTGATTTGTACGTTAAACTAGACTAAAATTAAGAAATTAAAGCTGATATTGTTGTAGGATCCGAAAAAAGATGTAAAAACAACGAAGCCTTCATCATCTGGTAATCAGAAGTTAACAACAATTGTCAAATTGCTAAAGAATCTACATCATCACGCAGAAAAGAGTGTCAGTTACGTACCGGCCGAAACTGTCAAAGATTATTCGTTTTGCTTTGACGATGAAGTTGTGACGATAGAATCCGTGGAGTGTCCTAGGCTTTTGAAGAATCGTGAGTTTATTTTTGTTTTTCAAAGTTTATGGACGGTTTTTGGCTTAGAATTGGAGTTATAAGTATAAGTCTTAAAGGTAAACAGTTAAACCTTTTATGATTCATTTTAATAAAGTTATTCATAAAATTGTTTTTAGAGCTAAGAAATGTCTTCGAAGTCCGAGTACCTCATTTCTTCAACCGACCTTTGACCGTGATCAATATCTTCCAACAAGAAGCCCAAACCTTTGAAGAAGTGGCTCCAGAAGACAAGCTGGACGCCAAAATGCTTTACTTTATCGAAACAGCCGACGCCATTTGTGAATCACTGAATCGACTCGGCTACTGGTGCGACTACCTCGATCCTCATTCAGGTCAAGCCCGTAGAGCACCGGATTCGGCCGTAGACAGACTTCTAAAGCCGAACGATAACCTAAAACAAGTTGGATTCAACCTGGAGGAAGTGAAACGATGCATGAAGATCAGCAATGTGTCATTTGATAACAAGAACTACATCGGAAGCATATTTACGGATGCGAAGGTCGACGAAGCCAATGTCAACGACTTCTTCGAGGTACTAAATGGTGAAGATGAAGAGTTTAGGCAGAAATAGGACAACTAGGATAATTTCGTACCATTTTGATGATGTTTCAATGAAGTTTGGATTGAGAAGAAGCATTTTGGATTCAGTGTAATTCAGATTATATTGAAGTATCATCGAAATGGCATGGTGTATATTGTGTATATTTATATTGCAATCCCGAGTTTGTACAATAAAAACTGAGAGTTTTAATTTTTGACGAGTTTTTATATTGTAGTAGTTGATAAATTTTAATATATGAAGTTAAAAGTTGAAGTATTATAGATGTATTTATTAGGTTTTGTGCGAATAAGTTTGAGCCTTCTGGCCACGACAAATTGCTTTGTAATTGGCTCAGAATTATTTGAACAGCCTAATAGATGGCTTTTAATATTGTCTACGATTTCTTTGGTCAAACAAGTATTATTTTATGATTATGTTTTAGAAAGAAATGTAAAATACGAAATATAATCATGTTAGAAATCCCTTTTTAATACTTACTTTAAACTTTACATTATAATATTACAGTACCTATAGTTTTCTTACAAAATTACTGGAAACAAGTTTAGGTTCTCGATTTTGTTCGAACAGAGATCGTTGCTCATCCTTGGTCAGCGTATTGATTTCGAAGCTACGCAGCTCGTAGCATAAAGTGGCCGTTATCACATACGACCCACATGCTAATATCCATTCGAAAATGGCTTCAATCAAGTGGTTCAAGTAGTACTAAAGTAAGATTTTTGATTATTGTATGGAAACATAACATATAATGAAGAATTATGTGTTGTATTAAAAAAGGTATCTAAATCAAAGTATAGTATATAAAAATCTTACCGGATGATCAGGTTTAAACCTTAATATTCCACTAGGTGGACCTTCTGGCTTTTCTGGTTTAGTACCATCTGGTAGAGTATCAACAAACGGTCGTACTGTGTGCACTACTTGATCTACAATTCTAATATGATATATGTGGTAGTACAAAAGGCAATTTTAATTAATTTTGGACGATATAATATGAAGCTCAAGACTGGAGAGCTACGCCGAAACGAGTTAAGGGCAAGCCTATTCGGCGAAGCCTAACACAGAGTTACGTTAAAGCTTTTTAAAACTTTAATATGTTATAAAAACTAACACAATACCCAAAACAAAAACCTACGACAAACAAAAGCCACAGTAACCACCAATACAGCCACAACTCTGAAAATTGTCAGCCAATTCGGCACGATTCTAGGCTTAACCACAACCGACATCAGGGCATAGCACCATGCATAAACAACACTGCCAAAAAATGTCAACAAGGCACTCAAACTGTGAGCCAAAGGTACCTGGCCTTCTGGAAAACATGCCACACCAGACATTCCGATTCCAGACAAAACTCCGACTATCATCATAAACTTTGTCATTATGCGGTACTTTTGCTTTTTACCGTGGTGAAAGTGAACGTACTGTAGGAGTTGGTAGTGGCGGGATACACAGGTTAGGAGCCCTGGAATAGATATAGAGATAAGCAGGTGTAACATACAGTAAAACATTAATAGCCTTAATTAATAAAATTCTTAAATTTTTTTGAAATAATAAAATGAAAATTTTAAAAATTCAAAAAAAATTTTTTAAAGTTTTGAATTTTTGATGAAAGAAAAATTTTAAAACTCACAGAAAAAGGCTGAAAAGTTGAGTAAAATGCCAAAAATGCAGCTTTCTGGGGCCAACGCTCCACCATCGCTGATTAATGAGAACCAAGCTTCTTCGTGGTCGTTCAGTACTGCCAAAACGTACCTAAAATCAATGATGTTTTTAAAATTTGTTGAACGAATTTGCTTTGAGCCTTCTTTTTAAAAAATCTAGCAGTCCCTATCGTTTCTTTTCTTTCTATCCTTATTACTGTAATTCATATGAGTTTTTAGCGTTTGGAAAACGTTATGTATAATATAGTATATGTCTAAAAGTAAAAAATTTTGTTTTTTGACTATATAAATGTACAAATATGCTAGGTGATCTATGCTTTGCTGTAAAATTCAACTTAAAAAAAAGTTAATATGTGTCTAGATTTCGTTATCTTGCTCTTGAAGCACTGAATACACTTAGAAACGTCGTTTTTGATAAGAAAAATTCGTTATTCAAAGAACAATGAAACAAAAAAGCTATTTAGCTCTAGCTCTTGCCCAGAGCTCTAGCTCAGAGCCCTAGCCCAGAGCCCTAGCCCAGAGCGCTAGCCCAGAGCCCTAGCCCAGAGCCCTAACCCAGAGCCCTAGCTTAGAGCCCTAGCCCTATCACTCTCACTTACCCAGTAACAAAAGCAGCCAAACCAAACCCAGCTGATAGAATCGGGAAGAACGCCGTATTCAAATGCATAACCGGTTTGTGGGTATGCACGGTGGGTGCATTCTGTTTGTAGATCCCGACCTTGTTGCTGACCATTCCTCCAACAAAAAACGTTTGTTATGCAGGGCTTTAATAGCGGTGATAAGACATGTTTTATAGTTTGTTTGCGGCTCGAATTTCAAACTTCCTCCGATTGCACTCACCATCTTCACCTTCTTATTCCGCTGCTATTGGATGGAAAAATTAATTTTTGTAGTTTCGTTGGGGCTGATTAGGCTTGGTTTTTTGAGAATTTATTGTAATCTTATATGCTTTTTGTAGTGATGATGTGATAGTAGATGATAACAGTACGTACTTTACTGGGCAATTTTGGTAGTGGGGTATAGGATAGGGTAAGGTAAGTTGGGGTAGGATAGGGTGCAGCAGTGTAAAAAATTGTTTTTAATTTAATTTTGTAAGTTTCTACGTTTCTTCTCAGAACTAGTATTACAAAGGAAAGACACTTCTTTGATCAAAAAAGAAAGACTTGACTCATTTTTTCAAGGAAGTTTCGCCTCTGGTCGATTTGTCTGATCCTCCCTCACGATAATGAAAGTTTTTGTCGAGTTGTGATAAAGGTATAGTTTATTTGGCACAAACTAGAATGAATTTTGATTGTTCGGCAACCCAAAATTCTAAATTGGACTTCAATATCGCGTTTTTCGCTATTTTTCTTTGATCTTTAGGTAATTTTCTTGAGTTATGTTGTTTTAGGTGGTAAATACAGCGAGAAAGATAATGTAAATTGAAGATCGTGGTGAAATGTAAACGGATGATTGGGGTTAGGCAGTGTTTTAAGTCTTATCGAATGGAATGTTTTAAAGGTATGAGTTATTTTTGAGGTGCATCTGCGGTTTTTTTTTCATTTTTAGTCTTAAAATTTAAGCTCTATTCTATTGTTTTTAGACTCAAAAGTTAGATATTGAATTTTTCCTTGTTATAAAAACGTTTTCCTTCAAAAAAATTAATATTGTGATAGGTTTGACATTGATTTAAGTTAATATTTAGCTGAAAATGGACTGAGATTGACAAAACATTGTAGTTTCTTTAACTTTTGACCTCTCTTGCTCTTACCAATAACAACAACTTTATTTAAAACTTTAAAAATACAATAAATAATAACATAAAAACATAAATAAGATCAGATTTAACTTGATTAACTAAATTTAACTCGATTGACTATCTGTTTCGTCCTTGAAAGTGCAAGAAACTAGGACTGGTTTTCGAGTTTCTTCCGCCAAATGTTTGTGTTCTTCTTTTGTCATCGTGTTCACTTCGAAAATGCTCAATTCATAGCACAAAGATGCGATGATAATGAAGAAGCCAACTCCCAATACCCATTCAGAGAGGGCCGCGATTAGGTGGTTTAAGTATTCCTGAAAGTTAATTTTGAGGATTTTAACTAAAAAAAATTAAAAAATGAAAAGTATGAAAAAAAATTTAATTAAAATTTTAAAAAATAACTTAAATAAATACTTAAAAAATTGTAAAAAACTAAAAAAAACTTACAAAATGATCAGGTTTATACCTAAAAATGCCAGTGTCTTTTGGAAAATCAGGTTTGGGCGGTTTTGTACCATCAGCAAGGTTCCTGACAAATGGTCTGCCAATTAGACAGACTTCGTCTAAAAATGAATTTTAATTTTGTTAACAGGGTAAGGTAAATTAAGGTAGTATATGTATTAATATCGTTATTTAATGGTACGGTAGGGTTGATAAGGCTTGAAATTTAAGATCAGGCAATTTATAGTAGAGTAGCATAGAGCGAAGCCGGGTAAGACAAGGTACGGCAAAGAAGAAACGTTTTGGATAGGGTAGAATAGGGTAAAATAAGGTATCGTAGGGTAGGGCAAGGTAGGGTATGATATTTGACAGATATTAAATATAAAAAACCTACGCAAAGTAAGAGCACCAGTAACAACCATAGCCATGAAAACCCTGAAGCCGGTCAATAAATTCGGAGAAAATCTTGGTTTGATAACCACTGATATTGTCACATAAAACCAAACATATAGCATACCGCCAAAGAAAGCCAACATAGCCCCAAGACCATGTGCCATAGGAATGGCACTTTCTTGGAAATTGGCTACAACAGAAGTCCCAATACCGGATAGTACGCCCAATACCAACATGATGTATATTGTGATCCGGAACTTTGTCTGTGGACCACGATGGAAATGAACGTACTGGATCAACTGGTAATGGCGGGAAAAAACATGTCAGGAACCCTGAAAATTTAAAATTAAATTTTGAAAAATTTTTTTTAAAGTTCAAAAAATTAAAATTTTAAAACTTACAGAAAAACGCTGAAAAGTTGAGTAAAATTCCAAAAATGCAACTTTCCGGTTTCAGTGATCCACCATCACTGAAAACATATACTATTAGTATTATATATACATTTTAGTACGGCTAGATAATAATAAAGTTCGTATTTTACCTAATAAAAGAAAACCAAGCCTCCTCATGATCGTTTGCTACACTAATGATGTATCCAACGATGAATGATAAGATGCCAAAGAACGCTGATAGTACTGGGAATACTGGAGTCCAGACCTGAATCACTGGTTTGTGAGCATGATACTGACCGGCATAAGCGGCTTCGGAAAAACCTATTTTATTGGTCATTTCGGGGTAGATTTTTTACTTTTTTTCAATAAATAGTACTTTTACAGTATTATACTATGTTAGTAATACCCAAAATTGGTACTGACTAGAACTGAAGTAGTAAAAATAGGTAAAAATATTGTAGTGTATTGCAGTATCCACTAGGTTAAAGCAGTAAAAGCGCTAGAAAACGCCGTAATATTACAATTCAAACTACGATAGTTGATTATTCAATAGAATTTTAAAGTAGTACTCTCAAGTTGAATGTATATTGTAGTAGATTTAGCTACAAAATGAGTAAATTAAAAGGATTTTCTTGAAAACACAAAATACAATTTTATTTATAGAGCTGCTTAAAGCTTAAAAGAAAGCTTTTTGTAGTAAAATTATAGTATCTTAAAGCGTATTTATAGTTTCGTGGTAAAAACGTAATATTGTAGTAGGTAAGAACAGTTATTATTTATATAAATGCTTCAAGTAAACCAATTTTTTACTAAAATTTAGTCAAATTTAACAAACTCGTAGCTTTAAAAAACGTTTTGAATGTTTATAGTTAACAAAGAATCAAATATAAATTTATAATAAACTTATTTTTAAATAGACCTACAACACGTTGTCAAAGCAATAAACCAATTTTTAAATACAAGAAAACTCAATGTAGACAACGTTGAAAACGCGTTAACTTCAACTGATAAGCCTGCTACGACAAGTTTTCTTAAGCCATAAATTTTCTGGAAATTCTGTGATTCATCTCTTGAGTACACAAAAGTGTTTTATCAAAAAAGCGAAATGTCAAACTTTAAATTTCAAATTTCAATGAATTCTAAAGGTTTTTAGGCTAGAGTAGGGCTATGGTGAGAATAAACAGGGAAAAACTTGAGTAAAAACGTAACAAATACAGGCATAATCATATGGTTTTAATTCCAATATTAATAAAAGTTGCTTGTTTAATTTTTGAGGTTTAGAAGTTGAACAAGATATCGTTTTATCAATTCTCAAGCTTAAACAATTGCTAACTTTAAAAATAGGATTATAAATTTTTAATATTGATAAAAAATGTAGTTTTAGCTTTCAAATATTAATAAAAATAGGAAAAAGTGCGGTATAGAACGCAGAACCAAAAAAATTCTAGGACCTAGAAATTCGGCCCGGCCCCTTTACTGTTCCATTTGTACCATTTCAGAGAACCACAAAATGCCAGCAACATGCAGTATGAATGAAAATAGGCTCTGTATTGGGCCAAAAACACTCAATTTATGAAAATTAAAAAAAAAAACCTCAAACTTTACAATTTTTTTGAAAGATACTTACTTTTTCAAACTTTGAAGGTGTTTGAATCGTCGACATCGTTACTGATCGAGAAATTGACTTCTCGCAATCCATGTCGCTTCTGTCTTCCCAGTTCAATAATTAAAACGATTAAGGATTATCAACTTCGAATTGAAAAAAAAATTTCCAATTTTCCCTAAATCCTGTAAGTCAATAGTGGAATTCCGTTGTTGCGTTTCGTTTCGTAGGAAAATAATATTTTTTATAAAATCGCGAACGAAAAAACTTGTAACTAGTCGTTTTTACAATTTTATAAAGTTATCTGCAACTAAAACTGTTATAAATATTTTACAAAAAATTATTTTACTTTATTTTATATATTAACATAGTTTTTAAAGCTTTTTTGCTTTAATTTGGCTGGGGAATCGTATTTTTCTTCAAGCATGTTGCAAGTTTTTGAACGTGTTTCGTATATATTGTAACTTATTAAGTTTTTAATATGTTTACTTTCGATTTTTTAGAATGTCTGTTGTTTTTAAGTCAACGAAGACGTCGCCGCTATATGGGTCGTTGTTAACGGCTTCTTTGGGAGGCTGGAGTTTCGATGGGAAGGTTATCAATGCTAACTCGGATGCTAATGAACTTTTAGTGTAAGTTATTTTGTTTGTTATTTGGTGTTTAGGTTTGCTGACGAATTCTAAAGCTTTGGACGTGGATAATAGCAATATATAATTTTTGGCTTGTCTATGGCAATAGTAACGTAAAGTTTGTAATGCTTTGAGATTATACATTAAAAGTGGACTTGCATTTTACTATTTGGCAAAATAAACGGTGTTATTGTAGTGATGGATGTTCCTACAGCAATGATGTTCAAATTGCTCGTTTCTTGGCCGCGAATTCAAGTTCGGCCAAGACTTTGCTTGGAAACACCTTTGTGGAACAAGTAACGATTGAGAATGTGTTAGGAGTGCTCGAAGACTTTACTCGGAACCAGGCCAACACTGACGATTTGGTCAAACTCGTCAAGGACAATGTTTTGGCCACTGGGCATGTGATTTTAGGCCGGGAGACATTGGCTGATCTTGTGTTCTGGTCGATATTGGAGAGCCAGAAGGAGGTATGGGCTTTTTAGACGTTTTTATAGTTTGATTTATGTATTTTATAGGGTTTTTAATATTATTTTTACGTTTTTTAGTTTGAAATTGATTTAAAAAGTTGTATAAAAGGTATTTAAGGATAAAATTTGGTCTGTTCTTTACTTAAAACACCATTTTTATTTGAAAGTTGATCTTAATTACTTATTTTTAGTTGAGATCTGTGTTTGAGAAGTTTTTCGAAGCCTACAAAACAGATTCTCGCTTCTTTGCTGCTCATTCGGCAGTTGGAAGATATGAAGTAGCACAACCAGTTGCCAAGCCCAAGGAGAAGTTAAAGGATGAAGGAAAGTTTATTGATCTGCCCAATGCTGAGATGGGCAAAGTGGTCGTTCGTTTTCCTCCAGAAGCTTCTGGGTGAGTTTTTAAAGGTGCTTTTGAGGTTTTAGGCTATAAAGATTTAATTATATTATTTTTGGTGTAAAACTTTGAAAATTGGACATTTTTTTGTTGTTTAATTAAAAGCGAGCTTTAAATTGTTTTAAACGTGATATTGTTATAGGTACCTTCACATCGGCCATGCAAAAGCAGCTTTGTTGAATCAACATTATCAGCAGATTTACAATGGCAAATTGATTATGAGGTTCGATGATACCAATCCGGCTAAGGAAAATGCTCATTTTGAACAAGTTAGTTGGCATTTTATTTTTTTTTAATTTTGTGAAACTGTTTTAAAACGTTTTGTTAATTTTAGGTAATATTTTTATGTGATAAGGTATTTAGAGCTTATTTTAAAAATTTTAGGCGTTTTTGTAATATTTTAGACTACTTTGTATAATTTTTATATCAATTTTGGCATATTTCAGGTAATTTTGGACGACTTGAAACTTCTCGGAGTGAAGCCTGACATCTGGACTCACAGTTCTGATTGGTTCGACAAGATGGCAGAGTATTGTGAGCAACTTTTAAAGGAAAGCAAGGCCTTTGTGGACGACACTGATACTGAAACGATGAGAAATGAACGTGAACAGAGAGTGGACAGCAAAAACAGGAACAACTGTAAGGTTTTTTGATATTGTTTTAGGTTGATTTAGAGTGAAGTTTTTGCCATTTTTTTTATATTCTAAAGAATTGTTGTTGCCATTTTATGAGTTGTTGCTGTTTTAGCTGTGGAAAAGAACCTGGAACTATGGGAAGAGATGAAGAAAGGCAGTGAAAGAGGTCAACAGTGTTGTGTTAGAATCAAGATTGATATGAAGCACAACAACGGAGCTTTGAGAGACCCAACCATCTACAGATGCAAGAACGAGCCTCATGTTAGAACCGGTGACAAGTACAAGTAAGTTGTTCTGTAGAAAGTGTGTTAATATAGACTAATCTCAATTAAAACGTCTAAAAGTTTATGTACATACTTACAACAACATGTTTTAGGGTATACCCAACATACGATTTTGCCTGTCCGATTGTCGACTCACTTGAAGGTGTTACCCATTCGCTGAGAACTACTGAATACCATGATCGTGATGACCAATTTCGCTTTATTGCTAACGCTCTGGGACTAAGAGTACCAGAAATTTGGTCCTACGCTCGTTTGAACATGACTCATACAGTAATGTCCAAGAGGAAGTTGACTTTGTTGGTCGACGATAAGATCGTGGATGGATGGTAGGTTAATTTAGGTTTTTAGGGGGCGGAATTTTCTGTTTTTAAGGGGTGGATCGGTATCGAATATTGTAAAAAATGGTAAAAAGGGTGATTTTTGAAAAGGTTGTAGGTATCGAAGTTGTGACGAGCTTTAACAACAAGTGTTGCTTCCTTAATGTAAAGTATTTAGTAGAATAAGTTTAATGAGTTTAGGGATGACCCCAGACTCCCAACAGTTCGTGGTATCATCAGAAGAGGCTTGACCGTTGAAGGTCTGAAACAATTCATCCTAGCTCAAGGTGGAAGCAGGTCGGTGGTCACCATGGAGTGGGACAAGATCTGGGCCTTCAACAAGAAAGTCATCGACCCAGTAGCTCCACGCTACACTGCCATGGACGTCTCTAAACCCTTGGTCAAGGTCAATGTGAAAGGAGCTAAATTGGAGAAAAAATCGGTCAATCTACACCCAAAAGATGCCACAGTAGGACAGAAAGATGTATGGTACGGACCAACAGTATACCTGGAGCAAGCCGACGCCGACCAAATCAAGGCCGGGGATACTGTAACTTTTGTAAACTGGGGAAATCTGAAGATAGTGTCCGTGGGAAAGGAGATCGAAGCCGAATTGGATCTGGAGAACACCAACTACAAGAAGACGTTGAAGGTGACTTGGCTGACGGAGCAGAAGGAACAACCCAATATCAAGGTGAAGACTCTGGTGTACTCTGATGTCATCACAAAGGCCATCATTGGGAAGGACGAGGATTGGAAACAGTTTGTTAACAAAGATTCTGTGGTAGGTGTGGGAGGGCTATTGGGGTTTTTTGGAGTAAAAATTTGTTAAAGATTGAAAATTATTACCTAACTTTACGTCTCGTTGTTTGTTTTAAAAATTTTTAAAGCATTTTGAAAAGTTTGAACAAATATAGTTTTTTTGATAGTCAAACTTGATTTATTTTCAGAAAACCGAAGAGTTTTTGGCCGAACCAGTTGTAGCTTCTTTGAAGAAGGGTACAATTATTCAATTCCAACGTAAAGGCTATTACATTCTGGATCAGCCTTACGATGCCAAGATGGAACCGGTGTTCATTCTGATTCCAGATGGAGCAAAGCCAGTTGAAGCTGCCAAAGAGGTTAAGGCTGTTAGTTTTTGAAGATTTAAAAGTCTTTATGTTAATAAAAAAGCATGTTTTTAATGTAATTTGTATCTGTCTTACCACTTTGTGCTATTCTATGTTAAAGTTGATTAGATTTGTCTTTGATATTGTTAACTGTATTAGAAGAAAACGACTGTTTTTTATGATATATCAAATGTAAATTTGTATTTTCTTTCTAATAATTTAAATCTTTTCTATATGTTCTAATTTTAGTCATCGTCTACTGCCAAGTCAGCAGCACCAGCTTCGGATGGTGCTGGTCTGTATGCTCAAATTGAAGCTCAAGGCAATTTGGTCAGAGAATTGAAGGGAAAGGATGCAAAGAGTGTAAGTTATTGAGCTTAAGTTTAGTTTATAGTACTATCATAAGGGTCGGGAGAGTGACTTTGGTTTGAGGGTCGAAGGCTTCAATTTTATTTTGGAGTTGATCGTTTTAGTCAAGTGAAGTTTTTTAAAGTCGATAGGTTGAATTTGTTAAAACGGTGTAAATTTCTTTCAGCAAGCCACCAAAGACGCGATTGCTAAGCTGTTGGACTTGAAAAAGCAATACAAGGCTGCTACCGGTCAAGAATATAAGCCGGGACAAGCTCCGCAACCGGCTCCTTCTGCAGCTCCAGCTCAAGCTGCTTCAGGATCAGATGGTGCTGGTCTGTATGCTCAAATTGAAGCCCAAGGCAATTTAGTCAGAGAATTGAAGGGCAAAGATGCCAAGGGTGTAAGTTAATTAAAATATAAAGTTAGTAATGTTTTTTGGGTTTTACGTGCTAGAACATTTGTTTTACCGTTTTTTATTATATTTTTTGGATCTAAATCTAGTTTTATGGATTAGAAACGTTGATTATGGTTGAAAATAAGAATATGTTTTAGCAAGCTACCAAAGACGCCATTGCTAAGCTTTTGGAATTGAAGAAGCAATACAAGGCTGCTACTGGTCAAGAATATAAGCCAGGACAAGCACCACAACAGACTGCTCCTGCTCCAGTTCAAGCTGCTTCAGGATCAGATGGTGCTGGTCTGTATGCTCAAATTGAAGCTCAAGGCAATTTGGTCAGGGAACTAAAGGGCAAAGACGCCAAGAGTGTAAGTTATTGGGATCAACTTTGTTTTATATTACTATCATAACTATTGCCAGGAGAGAGGGACTTTGGTTTGGAGAGGGGGGGGGTCGATAAAGTTTGGGCAGTGGATTCGAAATTTTTTATGCAAATGTTAACTTGTTTAAAGTTATTTTAAAATTATATGATTTTTTCAGCAAGCCACCAAAGACGCAATTGCTAAGCTTTTGGACTTGAAAAAGCAATATAAATCTGCTACTGGTCAAGATTATAAGCCGGGTCAAGCTCCACAACAGGCTGCTGCTCCAGTTCAAGCTTCTTTAGGATCAGATGGTTCTGGTTTGTATGCTCAAATTGAAGCTCAAGGCAATCTGGTCAGAGAATTGAAAGGAAAAGATGCCAAGAGTGTAAGTTTAGCTATTTCAATATTTTTTTTGCCATTTTGAGGTTGATTGCACTAGATTTTTTTGTTTTGGGACTGGCTTACTGAAGGCTTTTAAATTTTATGTTGTTTCAGACGTTTTTATTTTAGTTTTCAGTTGTAAATCAGTAATTTTTATGGAAATATCAAGTTTTTTAGCAAGAAACTAAAGATGCCATTGCCAAGCTGTTGGACTTGAAAAAGCAGTACAAATCGGCGACTGGTCAAGAGTATAAACCAGGCCAGGCTTCACAATCCACTCCTGCTTCAGCCGCTTCTACTGGTGGTGATGATGCCTTGTATTTTCAGATCGAAGCTCAAGGAAATTTGGTTAGAGAATTGAAGGGAAAGGACCCTAAAAGTGTAAGTATTGGGTAGTGAAGAGGATTGTTGGGATGAGGTATTGTATATCAGAGTTGGACAGGGTATACTAGAGCGTTATAGGGTATATTGGAGTAGATTAGGGTATGTTAGAGTAGGTTATGGTAAAGTAGTGTTTGGTAGGGTAAATTAAAGTAAAGTAGGGTTTTTATAGCACGTTTGTCTAAAATAATACGAAATTATTTAGCAAGACACCAAAGACGCAATAGCCAAACTGTTGGCCTTGAAAAAGGAGTACAAGACCAAGACCGGAACCGACTATAAACCACGTTAATATTGTTGTACCAAATAGTTTATGGCTTTTTTTTATATTTTTTTACTTAGCTTTATCTGTTTTATATTGTTTTAAAGATTTTTGAATAAGTTTATTATAAATTCTGCCTATCGGGCAACTTTTTTCTGTGTAAAAGGACAGGAATCAAAGCAAACTTTTGGATCTACAGGTAGGGGACCCCTGTCTTCTTTTTAAGGTAAAGCAGGAAAGATTCATATAAAACGCGCCATTTTGTTACAGTTTAATATAAGAAGCACAACTTTTTCAAATCCAAACTAATTTATCGATTAATTTATTCTCTTGAGACGGTTGCAAAATGTACACACAAACAAATTATTAACATTTACATTAAAAAACAATAAAAAAGGTTAAAAGAAAGGTAACATTAATAATACAATTAACTATTGTATACCTTACACTATAATCTAGAAAAAAATTTCGACATTATACATGTTTACAATTAAGGTTAACATGGAACGTATTTTACAAAAAAAATATCAAAGTTGATTTAAAAAATTCCGAAAAACTACTATACTATTGTGTTCACTGAGGTTTTCTTTGCTAATAACTATTAAAAAAGCAAAAAATCTAGCTATTGACGTCGAGTTTGAAGGTATCGGAGAATAATGAAGGCGAGTCTCGGAGAGAACCCGCATTTCCTGAGTCGGCGGAGGCTGGCGGTGGGTCTGGCAGAGCTTGGTCGGTCAGGTGGTTGTGGGTGAATACTGAAAATGGCACGATTAAGCTTAAACAGTAGCTTTTGAATGGAAACAGAAGACTTCAACTATTTTCAAAATTTTAAAAATTTCATTTTTTTCGAAATTTCAAAAAATTAAAAAAAAAATTTAAAAATCCGAATTCCAAAATTTTGAAAACCCACATTCATCGTTCATTTCCCTATCACTACCACTTCCACCACTATTTTCGTTCTCCACCTTCCTCATGATGGCCTGGATTGATGACAACTTGAGATGGCCACTTCCGATGCCTCCAGTGTAGCGTCCTGAGGTCGATCCGTTCTGAGATGAGGCCGATCCTGACGGACTGCCATTTCGGCCTGGTGGTGCTACACGATGTCTGTTGTAGTTCGATGCGTATAGTGGGATTGGGCCTGAGTTTAGGAGATCTGGTTCGTAATTTGAAGCCGGTGATCGCAGTCCTGAAAAAGTATGGTATGTCTTACAGTATATTGACTTTTCGGCAGTAATTCAAGGCTAAACAACCCCTTAGTTGGCCAATACGTGACTGCTAAACAACTCCTTACCTGATCCACTACCATACCCATCCCTAGTCATCAATAATCCGTCATGGAAAGTCCTTCTTCCATACTCAGTTCCCAACAACGGTGATGACGTAGCTCTATCAATGGCTGATCCAATGCCATCGGCATAGATCTTGTTCTCACCATATCCACCTTCGTACATCGGTACTTCAAAGTCCATCTGATCATCGTGAAGCTGTCGTTGAAGCTGATAAGGCTCATTGATAAGCAGAGCATTGATTGAGCTTCCATTTAGCGATCGATTCGAAGCTGGATTCATTGGTTGTGACTCGCGAGACCTCAATGACATGTTGTCCTTCTCTTCGTTGGCTTCGTTGATACGATGAAGTTGGCCGTAGATGTGTTTCTGCTTCTTTCGCGACCGTTTTTCCTTTGTCCAGGATGGGGTTGGGCCGAATTTGATGACACGATTGCCGTCGTCTTGGAAGGATTCATCAACTTTTGTCGATGATACTGGTGGATTGAAGGGGTCTTTCGAGCGGCGACTAAAACATGACATTGGTATTGGCATAAACTGGTTCTTTAATTTGAAAAAAAAGGGTATAAATTTGCAATATTGAATCCATTACACGTGTTTTTGATTTAAAAATTTGATTAAAATTTCAAAAAATTTTAAAAAATCAAAATTTTTTTTTAATTAAAAAAATGTCATAATTACCACAGTAAAGCGCAAAATAACTCACCGATAACAAAACAGTAGGCATATCAGTAGTAAGAACAAGAAAAGTCCAAAAATGGCCAAAATTCCGACCAAAAGTACTGTTTCTTCCCATGCCTTGGTCACTGAAACATGACATTACTCATTGAATACCTTTCACAATTAAAAAACAAAGGTTTTCTATTAAACACAAGGTATTTGTATGCCTTATAATCAAAAACTCGAAATTATATTGATGTAGCATAAAGTTATGACCAAAAACGTCTTCAAAATCCATAAAAAATTAAATTTTTGAATATTACTGTTACTAAAATCAAAATTGCTACTGAAGTAGGTATTAACGTATAGAAAAGCATAATGTATTTGATTAGCAAGATTGTCTAGTTCGTTTTAAAACCAAGGCCATCAAGATCGGTTTATCCAAACAAAAGTTATGCACAAAAACATCGACCTCATCTGCCTGTACCTACATCAATATGTATATAAATCGCAATTTATGCAAAAAATTCATTTCAGCACAATTCTCACCTTCTAAAACTCATTTTAAGATCAATACGATAACTTTGACTTATCCAAACACAAGTTATGTTCAAAAACTCGATCTCACCTATACCTACAACCAGGGCCGGGCGGGGACTTTTGGTCTGGGAGCAGGGGTCCAAAAAATCGGCACAGGTCCTGTGCCGATTTTTTGCAAAATTTTTTTTCCGAAAATCCACAGGGGAGACCACGTTCAAATTTTTTCGAAAATTTTTTTCTGGGGGGGGGGTATATACCATTTAACCCTCAACATCCCAAATGTATACTACCTCTAATTCCAGGCACCACCAAGTTAAAGCCTTCATTCTCCCTTCGTCCATAATGCGAATTTCCAAAAATGATTTTTCTGGTCGTATTCGTTTTCTGATCGCACGCCGCACCCGACCATCCATCATAACATATGCAGGTTTGAGTTGTGGTACAATCGCCGTGAGCCGAGCATTGTAGAGCCAAATTGTTGCTTGGACAATGGACTGGAGGTGATACCTGAGCTAACGGTAGACAAGTGCCTTCCACACAGACGCGGCCGTTACCACATGAGGTTCCATCGTCTACTAGACCTACTCCAATGTTGGTGATCGACCTGAAAAGTGGATAAAGTTTAAAAATTGTATAAAAACATTTTTTATCTTACAAGGAAAGTACCCAGCCTGCTTTACACAAAATCGGCTCAAATTTTACAAAAATATTTGAATTTCCCGCCATTTTAGCAAATTTGGCATTGTGTTTCAAGCCCTTTTTTCAACTTTCCAGACAAGCTACGCTCACAAATTAAAAAATTTAGGTTCATTTAAAGCTTTTATACTAGTACATCAAAGAAGAATACTTAAACTTCAAAAAATGACAAAGCTATACGCTTGAAACACAATGCCAATTCGGCGGGAAATTCAAAACTTCATTTTTTATCTCGATTTACTCGAAATTTCGTTGAAACCTGAAAAGCCACCTTACTTGCACTGCATTTGCTTTCCATCCTTCAGAAACTGAAAGTTGAAACTGGTCAAATTAGCCGAAACCGGCGAAGTTCGACCGTTTTTGCACTGTAAAAGTCCACATTTTCGGTTTTCATTTTGACAAGCGATGAAGTTGCCATTCCTATCCCTACCACAGTTCCCATATTCGGCTCCTTTCTCGTTGTTTGAGTAGCACGAGTCTTCGGCGGCTGTGGCGTCTCGGCCCCATAAAGACTGGCATTGTTGGTCGGGGTCAGAGCAGTTGCCTTTCCAGCATTGACCGTTATGGCCGCAGGCTATGCCATCGACGAGGTAGCCGTCTACTGGACAGTCTCCTGATTCGCCGTCACAAGTTTCGGCGACGTCGCAGACTGAGCGCGACTTGCGACAAACGTGGCCTGGCTTTCGGAGTTCGCACCTGAATTTTTAAATTTTTAAAATTTAAAAAAATTTTTTAAATTAAAAAAATTTTAAATTTTAGCTAAATCAAAAAAGAAAATCATAGTTTCCTATTTGTTACCCAAAGTATCTAAAATACAAGTTTTCACAATGCATTTGGTAAAAATTTTGTATTGCACGGTGCAATCAACTTCAACTTGAATGTTTTCTAAAATTTCAAAAAAAATTTTGAAATTCAACGCTCAAAATCATTTTGGTATCAAAAACACTGAATTTCAGACATATTCATACTAGTGAAGAAGTCCATTCCGCTCACTGTTAACCAAACTTAAAATATTGCACCGTGCAGTAAAAAACCTATTTAATTCCTTTGCACGGTGCAAAACAAAAAAATTTAAAGTAAAAAAAAGAAAATTGTCATAAAATCAAACTTTCATTCATAACTACTTGGCCCAAAAAATCAATTCTATAACAAGTGCCGTCAATATCAACCTATCTCACCTATCACAACATGGCTGATGAGCGGCACATTTGGCGTGTGCTCTTAATGTGCACGTAATTGGATCACAACATGGATCAGTGCATTCATCTCGTCGTCCACAGTCACATTCTTCACCCGCATCTACCTTGCCATTACCACATTGATGTAGTGATGAAGATTGGAAGGGGCGATTCAGAAGGCATTGGATGTTCGGTGAAGCCTGAAATGACATTTTTTAGATTATATTTACAAATTGGTATCTAAAATCAGCTGAAAAAGCATTAAAACAGTATAAAAATGCATATTTTAAGGCTTTTATTCAAAAATTTAAAGTTTTTTGGTAAAAAATAGCCATAACTCCTTCGATGCACAATATAAAAATATGCTTTCTGAACCAAAACATATCCAATGCTTTTACCTACACAATCATACTAATCAGAAAGTCCTTATCTCTCCTTAAAATCCATTAAAATTCAATTTTTATAAATCAACCTCAACAAAATTATATTATCCATGCCATAAGTAAGATAATTTTGAACATAATCTTTACCTGCAACAAATTGTGCATTTGAGCAACTGAGCATTTCGAGAATTGCCAAGAGAATCCGGCTTCCATTGCCCCAACCTGGCTGTTCATAACACACGGTAAGTTATTAGAACACACACAATCTCGACTATCGTGATCTACACCAAGGATATGAGCAATGACGTGAGCAATGAATTGAGCTGCTTTGTCCACCGAGTAGTCGTCAATGGCCTGAAAGATGATACAGATGAATGTTTAGGTACTAGCAGATATTAGCAAGATACTACCAATGAAAAATATGTCAATATCAATCTCACTCCCTCTCCTTAAACACCCCATCGCCTACCTTAACTTCCCCATCCCATACTTCAACCACCCCGCCCCTTACCTTAACCACCCCCACAGCTCTGGCAGTACATATGGAGTTGAAAGAGCCTGTCAACATCTCATTATTGGCAAAGAATCCACCAGTAAACACTAGACTGACATCCTTTTCGATTGGGTATAGGTGGCCATTCACGTAATCCAAAGCGCCTGACAATGTTCGACTGATATCTGGATGAATGTCAATACGCTGGGCGTCTAGCCAAACTTCTGAGTATACTACGGAAAGGCGGATATTCAGGTCTCTGGTTAATATCTGAAAAATTGAGTTTTACTCAGTTTTTGATCTGAATATTAATGTTTTTAATCACTTTTTGCTGATTTTTTAATAGAAAACACCCCTCGAAACACAATTTTTACAAACTCCATCCCGTGCTTCTCTCCCTACTTCAATTTCAAGCCAAAATATTATCCTTCCTAGAGATCTTAAACCAGAATTTCCCCAAAAACCCCCCCCTCAAAATCGGCTTCTTCCTAAAGTCCCAACCCCTACCTCATCAGCCATGTTAACAGCCTCCAACATGAACTCGACAGCTTCATCTTCAGTCAAATTCAAGTCCTTTACAAAGCGATGATCACCAATAACAGCCAACTCGATATGTTTGGTTTGTCTTGTGATATCTCGTTTGACAAACCGTCTTGCCATTTGACCTCCAGCTGATTGTACTGGTGCTGTTGTGGCTCCACATGAAGCGTCTCTTGTCCATTTCACTTTGTAGAGTACATGAGGATGGCGACGTGTCCGATCTCCACCGTCCAGAGGCCAAATGCCAAGAGCTGTGCCATTATCAAATGCGATTATTCCTCTGAAAAGTGATTTTAGGTAATAAAATAGTTGAAAAACGTTTGAGAAAGTTCATTTTATAATTTACAAAATTGTTGTTTTTTTTAAATATTGTCATCCTTAAATAAATTGCACCGTGCAAAGAATAAAAAGCATTGCACCGTGCAGTCAATGACGTAACGGGTGCACGGTGCAGTTCCTCAATTACCAACTGCACGGTGCAAAATAAAAAAAATCTCGTAAAATAGACTTAAATAGATTCAAATAATAATTTTATTAAATTTTAATTACAAAAATACATGAATAAGCAAAAATTTCAAAAATACAAAGAATTTAGGTAACATTTTTACCAAAATTGAAATTTCAGACCTACCTGAGTCCATTACAAGTAGAAATAGAGACAAAAGTGTTCGAATCCCCATTTACCGTGCCTTGATAGTAGCAGTTCTCCACTCGATAAGTCATGAAATCATCTCCTTCTTCTGTTAACTAAAAAAAAGACAAAAATTATTACCTAAATTAGCCTAAAATCATCAAACAGCACAAATTTTCCCAAAAAATGCGCTGTTTTTTCAATTTTTTGGATATTACAGTACATTTTTGACAGTACACTTTCAGCTCTTAACAAAATATAAAAAAAGTAAGACGTAAAATGTGATTATAGATCCCAATCCTTACCTTTCTAAACTGTGTTTCATTGTAAAACAGATGATCATCCAACTGTAAATTCAGTTTTAGCCTCTGTTTCCCTCCAAAGACTACAGTAGACCTGATGACTATGGTAATATGCTTGAAATGAGCTGAAGCATTCAAGAAATAGTTGTGAGTATCAATCCCAATTCGCTCTTTGTTCTCGCGCATTTGAAACGGATGTACAATCTCGAATTGACCCTCATCCAGCTGACTTATGAACTGTTTATTCGAATTGGCTCGGGGACTAGCTAAAATTAAAAATTTTTGAAATTATTTTATTTTTTCACACGCTAACGTTTTTCGTATTTTACAAAATTTACAAGGTAGCTTCCTGACCCGTCGCACTCTGATTGACTTCAAACTTTTTATATCATTTGTTCAACTAACCCTAAACATTTTCTTTGAAATAGGACACAGAATTATTTCAACAACCTTATAGATAGAGCATCTAAATATAAGACCTTCAGCAAAGTACTAATTCATAGTTTTCAGTAAATCTCGAGAAAATTAAAATCAAAAATTACGTTTTCAATGTCCCGCCAAATTGGCATTGTGTTTCAAGCTTACATTTTGTCACTGTTTGACTTTTAACCATTTTTCTTTGATATACTTGTAGAAAAGCCTTATATAAACCTTTATTTTTAAATTTGTAAGCGTAGCTTGTCTGGATTCCAGACTCTGGAAAGCCAAAAAAAGAGCTTGAAACACAATGCCAAATTTGCCAAATTGACGGAAAACTCAAAAGCGCGAGCTAGGGCTTTTTATGGGTACTATTAGTGGTACAAAAAACTTAACTTTTGAGCTGATTCTGAGTGGGGCAGATTGGGTACGTTCCTTTTAAACTTTTCAAAAACATTTGTTATTGATGCTTTAGTGTAAGTAATCATAAAATAAGAATAACTTTGATATCTAAATCACAAAAATCCGTCTCATATAGTTCTTCGCATACATTGATTTTTCCCAATATTGTTGTAGGTGATCAAATAGCTTGATTTTTTTACTTTCTTTATTTTTTTCATAAAATTTTAATGAAATTTTCATTTTTAACCCAATTTCCTAAGCCTTCGAAAAAATGACCATTTGTCTTTTATGCAAGTTTTTTGTCTCACGCAACGAAAAAATATTGCGGCCATAAGCGGTAATCCCTTTTTATGGCCATCGAAAAAAGTGCTGAGTATTGTTATGCCCTAAATTAATTTTCTCGGCTTTGGCGGAGAAAATGTATGGTTTTGCATGAAAGTTTAGGTAACAAACTTATTGTAATTTGTAAAAACTAGCCAAAAAAGGTACACACTTCTGAAATTTTTATGATTTTTGGACCAAACTTTTTTCTTGATTTTTTAAACTAAATTGCACTTTTTTTTAATCTTTGACAATTTTTTAACAAAAAAATTGAGAAAAAGTCATTATCATAACACTTTTTGTCTACACAACCCTTCCAAATCTTTTGCATGTCTTGATTACCACAAAACACACCGATTTGGGCAGCTGCAGCCGGAATTAAACACATATTTACAACAATAACCCGCTATTATAACAACCGATTTCCAGCAGAGCGTTCGCACTTCCGCTACAGCAAAACAGGTAATTATGACCGTGTACTGGGACAAAAATATGGCCAAAACAACAGAAAATGTCAGTTTTGTTTACACATGTCAAAAATCTTTAAATCCCCTTAATTATTGACCGAAATACCATAAAAAAGGAATTCGTGACCAATTTTAAGAAAATCAGTTGTGGCTAATATACCTTTAAGCACCAACCACTTAAAACAGTGAAAAACCTTCTCAAATTCATACCTAAGTTAAAGCCAAAACTCCAATCTTACCTTCTGAACCACCTATTCCATGTAACAACACCAAAAACATCAACAGCAGTCGTTTTGACATCAACCATCTCGATGATAACATCAAATCATGTTCAGAGCCATAATGCACATCCATCTCGGATCCTCTTCTCCTTCCTGAAATCTCAGCTGATAAACAAACTTCTTCTGCACATTCTGAGCTGAACTCGTCGTGGAAACCGCTTGAGGTTGATGGGAGTTCAACGTCGACGACTTGACGTCGTCGACGCCCATTTTTCAGCTTTGTAGACTGAATTTTGAATCAAATAAAAAAGAAAGTTGATGGAAAATCGTGTAAATATGTAGATTGAGATGTTGTAAAAGTGGTGTGAAAAGATGAGGCAGATTAAAGGTTGATGTGAATTGTTTTAGTGGAGATTCGTAAACAACATCCGAAAAAATACCCGTTTTTAGGCAGTCGAGCGAGTTTTTGAGCCAACAACCACGTTATCACTAATGGTAAATGTCTGAAATAAATGTTTGTTACTTATCATACCCTATATTCATATTTTAAAAACCAAATATCACTCGAAAAACACAAAGAAAGTATCAAAGCACGTCCGATATTATCCATGATACACATGTTCAAAACCAAACAAAAAACAAATGAAAAACCAAAGAAAATATAACCACAACATGCCAAAAGTTATCTTACAACATATCCAAAACAGAAAATTTCAAAAAAGTTCAAAATTCAAAGTTTTCGACAAAAAAAAATTTTCAGGATAATTTATTGGGATTGCGCGAGGAATAAATCAACTGTCCGAATGTACTCCTCGGATTTTATTGGACTTTGATTGCGTTGTGTCGAGGTCGCAGGCCTTTGAATACCTTTCGGCCGCAAAAGACGACGGTAATTTATGGAAAATGGCATAGAATGAGGTGAAAACTGTTGAAGAATGGCCAAAAACGACGAAAAATCATGGATTTCAAGGTAAAAACGAGAATCAAAACTGGAAAAATAAAAATATGTTAAAATAAAAGTAACATGAATTAATTTAGAGCATAAACATATCTGATTTTTGCTATAAAACAAAGCTAACTTCAGTCTACAACAACATGAGAAAATGTAAAAGAAAAAAAGAAGAAAGTGTGAAGCTTGAGCCAAGTGTTGCTCTGTCGAACAAAAACTTGTTTATTGTGCCAAAACCTATCGTAGGTACTATGAAGTAAAGTAAAATTGTACTTTTAACTCGAGATCTATCTAGTATGTTATGAAAAGTTTTAAAAAGAATGGCATCTTATAAGCGATTGACAGACTTTGAAGCTAACTAAACTTCAAAATAAAGCTTTATATCGTGTTGAAGTTGTGTCTGAAATTTTAAAACTAATCTCGAAATTTATTTTATGAACTTTTGGGATTCTTAGAGTCACAATTTTAGCCATTTTGACTCGTTTTGTGGTTCTTACCTAGAATTTTTAAAGGTAAATATAAGAAACTAATGTCTACACTATCGTCTACCTTTTAAAAGTAAAAATGGTTGGATCAAAAATTAACCATAGGGTCTTAGAATTCTAAAACAGATCAATTTTACCTTGTTTTGGACCTCCTTTATGTCAATTTAGTTCAGTTTTTGATGCCTACCACAATATTTTGTACTTTCAGTAATTTTTCAATTTTTCGAAAAAAGTACCTTTTCAAAAATTTTTAAACTGAACAACAATTTTCTTATATCTTTGCCCAATTAAAAAAAACCAAACCCACCCTTTTCCAACTCCCAGTCCCTCCCAATTTGGCCCCTTAAATACCCCCTTCAAAGCCATCAAGAACAACATAAAGTGTCATTTAATTCGAACAACTTGTCCGATTAGGCAAAACAATAAAAGTTTAAATAAACAGATCCGATTTCAGGCCGGGATAATTTCTTGGTGGCACACACCCAGTTGTCCCCCCCCTGTCTCTTAACCACGCGCGTCTTCGAATAAGAAATAGTGCGCGTCTTCCTGTATTTTCGCTTATTTTTGAGTTTCTCTTTATTCAAATCGAGTGAAAAAAGGTTTGGGAGGTTCGAACTAAGTTAGGGGACGAGTAGGACGGCAAAAAAGTAGGTGGTTTTTAGTTGGCATGGATGGAAAATTGAGTTTTTTCTTATTAAAAAGGAAAAATTTTCAAAAATATAAGGTGAAAATTAAAAAAGAGCATAAAAGAAAAAGTGTCAGACCAAATTATTTATTAAATAAAAAATACAGGGAAATACTACAATTATCATAGCTCTAAAATATAAAAAAATAAATAAAATTTGATTAATTTTATAACCAAAAGATATTGTTTTTTGCACGGTGCAACTAATTTTTTAACATCAAATGAAAAAAGTTAAATTTTAGGTATATAACATTAATTTTATGTATGTGGGCAAGCTGATTACAAGAACTTCAAAATACAGTTAAATTTTTCTTCACATGGGCAGATCAGAAAACGTGAGGGGGTAGATTTGCTTTTATGGCTGCACGGTGCAGTCAATTTTCTAACGTTTAGTGTAACAAAGTAAGTTTGGATGATATGAAAGCTATTGTCTATAACTAACAAGGTTATTACAAGCTCTGTAAAATTTTAAAAAAATTATTCGAATTAGCAGAGCATAAGCGATTAGAAGGTAAAGTTTACTTTTTTGACTGCAGGTGCAATATTTTAAGTTTTTTGAAAAAAATCAAAAAATGTATTATAAAATACAATTATAATGACATGCCAATCCTAAAATACCTTCTGAACCCTTCCCAACCCCTTTTCATTATAAAACTTCCCAAAATTTGCATAATAATGCCATAATCCCAAACTATTCCTTAATGTTATAGTATGTGTTTATCTATGTTTGCTCAAACCTCGGCATCCTATGCAAATAAACGCATCTTCTCGCAAAATCTGTGAATTTAAACAAATTCAAACAGTAAAACATAATAGAAGATGGTATAATAGAGTATATTCTTCTTACGCCTGCTGAGATCTCAAGAGGATTAGATGAGGTCAGGTGAAGAGCGGGGAGGAAGTGACCTTCAAGGTGCTAATTTGCATAACAGCAGGAAGTATACGACGGTTTTTTTTAAATAGAAAAAAATGTGAAAAGCTCCCCTCCCCTTACATTTAACAACGAAATTAATTTACCACGCCCGAAAAGAGAAAGGCAAAGCAGGGCAAGGAAAGGCAGGGCAGGGCAGGGCAGGGCAGGGCAGGGCAGGGCAGGGCAGGGCAGGGCAGGGCATACTCAAATTTACCCCCCCCCCTTTTTACCTATAAACCTCTTAAAAATCACCTACCGGCCCATTAAGTAAAGTCCCCCTCCCATCATCTTAAACTAAGTAAGGAGTTGTGTCATATTCAACCTTGTACGCTTCATTAAGGTTTATAGAGAATATTATTCATGAATTCACTACACTAATACTTTGCCCAAAAAGGAGAATTGAAACGGAGAAAGGGCGGCTAATGAGTGTGAGAACTATTTTTTTTCTAATCTTAAAATTATTTTATTTTCCGGTATCTTAAAACAACTCGTATTACGTTTTTTTTGCAAATTGCTACGTTCTAAAGCGTACTATATAAAATTTGTTATACGTACTGTTTAGTACTAGATTTAAATTATAGTCTCTATAACTTACTGTTTAAATAAAATTTGTTGCACGTACTATGTAGTATTAAGGAAAAATTATGATTTTATTAAAGTAATCTTTATATAAAATTTCTTACCTGTACTATATAGGATTGGAATGAAGTTATGCCTTAAATGACATGCTTACTATATAAAAATTTCATACACGTGCAGTATAGTACTAGTGTAAAATTATGAAATTAATAAATTGCTTTCTATACAAAATTACGTCGACGTACTATATAGTACTAGACTTATCAGTATGTAACTGTACTTTCTAAATAAAATAAAAAAGTTTAAAAAAAAAACAAATTTTGCTTTAAAAAAGGCTATGATAAGACAATAAATCAATACAGTCAAACCTCCCGCAAAGCCATTATAACCAGGCTGTCACACTAAGGACCGGGAGCTGGGGGGGTGGAAACATTCAAACTCAAACCCCCTCCCCCCAGAAAAAAAATTTCGAAAATAGTTCAACGTGGTCCCTCCTGTCGATTTTTTCGACCCCCGCCCCCAGACCCAAAGTCCCCGCCCGGCACTGCACACTATCAAATTAATTTTGAATAGGAGTTCTATTACGATAGGCAGTCAAAAAGCAGTCATTATAAAGAGGGTTTCATACTATCAAGGATAATACTAAGATGATGCTACTGTATATAAAATGCATTTCTAAACTTTTTCCTTCAAAAAACCCCAGAAAATGACAAATTGGATCTCAGCCGCACTTAAAACCGCGCTCCCAAATTAAAGAGTCCAAAAACAGTTTAAGAAACAATTCGCGAGAGTACCCTTTTCTGCTGGCCCATCCTGCCTTTTAAGGCAAAACGAACGGTTTAGAATTACCACTGCCGCTTCTTGAGCTTCCCCAGCCTAAATAAATATTATAGTTGTATATTTGTTCTGCGTGTTGGTTTACAAGGACATGTTCAGGATAGGACTGAGCTAAAAGCGGGCAACTTAGACAAGGCTAGATCATAACTAAGGCAAGACTAGGTCGTCAGCTAGGGCTCTGGGCTAGGGCTCTGGGCTAAGGCTCTGTGCTAGGGCTCTGGGTTAGGGCTCTGGGCTAGGGCTCTGGGCTAGGGCTCTGGACCAGGGGTTCGGGGCTAGGGCTCTGGACTAGGGCTCTGAGCTAGGGCTCTGGGTTAGGGCTCTGTGCTAGGGCTCTGGGCTGGGCTCTGGGCTAAGGCTCTGTGCTAGGGCTCTGGGCTAGGGCTCTGGGATAGAACTAGAGAATATTTTTCACTCTAGCCAAGCCTACTATAACATCCTTTAAAAATAATCAAAAACCATATTTACAAAAATTTGAAATGACTTAAAGTCCATTACCACCCCCAAAACAATAAAAACCGCCAAACGTGCAAGCCCACCCACAATTCGAATCCAATTACGCAACATAATATAAAGGACATGGAATTAGAAACACTTCCTTAAAACCCTAATGAATTTAAATTTCACAAAAGGAAGGGAGAGGAAGATGGCCATGACCTCGGCCCATGCCCTCGGGGGGTTAAAGATAAATAACTAAATGAGAATGCATAAACAGACATGTTAATGTTGGAAACATTCCCGACATGCCATTTCGAGACAAAGTTGAAACTTTTTTGTAGAAACTTTGAAATTGAAGTTTTAAATTTCAAAATAAAATTATAAATTTTGGTTTTAAAAAGTTTAATATTTTTAGATGGGCTAGAGTTAGGACTAGAGCAAGACAAAGAGAAGGCTAAATTTGGAAGTAAAACATGAAATATTTTCAAAAATCAAAAAAAAATTAAAATTTATCTAAAAATTTTGAGAAACATCCTCTAAAAATGAAAAAAAAAACCAAAAAATGTAGAAACCACGCAATAAAAAACAAAAAATTTTAAAAAAAATATTGAAAATTTTGGAAAACACCTCCAAAATAAAAAAAGTAAAACACAGCCGCGCCTCCTCTTTCCTAAAAGCATAAAAATTCAAAACCATACCCTTGATTTTAAAAAACATCCCTTAAAAAAATTCTTAAAACCTAAAAAGTTTAAAAAACTGAAAAAAGGTGTGTTAAAATTAAAAAAATGAAAAAAAAACCCCCTCCCTTTTCAAAAAACTTTTGCCGTAGCCTGAGCCCTAGTTAAAAATACCCTCCAAGTTTCTGAAGCGAAGAAACTTCGAAATTAAGCCATTTATACTTTTAAAAAAATTTTTCCTTTTACAGGTCAAGGAGCGCTAGCTTTAGCCCTAGCTTTAGTTCTAGATAAAAAAAATCCCTTTCCTTTGCTAAAATCATAAAAATTCAAAATCAGGCTGTCAATATTAAAAAGAAACAACCCTAACTCATCTAAAAATCCAAACCAATCCCCTAAACAAGGCTTTCATTCAAGAAATCCTCAAACTTCTTGAAAAATATTTTTTCAATTTTTGTGAAAATATTAACTTTTTTTCGGCGGCCGAAAACAATGGCGCGAATCTCGGCCGAGAAAAGAAGTTAGGAACGGCCGTTCAAACACATCCCTCTTTAAAAGAATATTCGGCCTCCGGGGAATGACTAAACATTTATGAAAAAGTCAGATCCTGACTGGAAAAGCTCGGATCCAGATGTTCTGTCAAAGGATTGGGCTTGGGAACGATTGAAGGAGGAGGGTTTTGGGTTTAAAATTCAAAAACGAGATATGAAAATAGCTCAAAACTTTAAAAATTTAAACTTTTTTGACATAATTTTAAAGATAACTTTTAGTCGCTACCTTAACTTATGCTAACTCTTCTTATAACCCTTAACTTACGCTATCTCTTCTTTAATTCTACTTACTGTAACCCTGCCTTGTCATTCAAATTTTTGTCCTAGCTTTTGCCCCAACTTTACTCCTAACTCTGCCTTAATTCTACTTATTATTCTAACCCTACCATTCATTTTTCAAGCAAGAACCGCTGATCAAACCTTTGTAAAATCAATGTTTTGGCTTTTGAATCAGCCCCCGGTTAGAAACGCTTTTAATATTATACTAAATGGCTTTAGTCAAATACGATTTTAGTGAGAATTTTTATATTCTACTCAATACAATTAGCAAACTAAAGCTAGATTTGGCTACAATGTAATAAAAAATGAAGTAAAACTATAACAAATATAATGAAAGCCAAAATAAAATGCCATATTTCATAAAGTCTTATCTAAAATCTATTAGAGCCCGCGTGTCCCGGAAACATTAACACCATCTTTCGGGCCTCAAAAGGAGTGACCGCTTACAGTGTCGGTGTGGCCACAAAAAGGGAATTATAAAAGCGTTTCCGAGATTTGCGAACGACGGTTTTACAGCCGGCTGTTTTTGAAGCGGCATCGAAATACTAAAACAATGATACCGAAAAGAGGCTTTGTGTTCGGCTTCAAGGTTTTTGTAAAATTTTAAATTTAGTCTTTGCCTTGCCTTGCCTTGCCTTGCCTTGCCTTGCCTTGCCTTGCCTTGCCTTGCCTTGCCTTGCCTTGCCTTGCCTTGGCTTGCCTTGCCTTGCCTTGCCTTGCCTTGCCTTGCCTTCCCTTGCCTTCCCTTGCTTTGCCTTGCCTCCCTTAGCCTGAGCCTGAGCCTAAGCCTAAGCCTGAGCCTGAGCCTGAGCCTGAGCCTGAGCCTGAGTTTGAGCCTGAGCCTAAGCCTAAGCCTAAGCCTGAGCCTGAGCCTGAGCCTGAGCCTGAACCTGAGCCTGAACCTGAGCCTGAGTTTGAGCCTGAGCCTAAGGTTGAGCTTGGGCCTGAGATTGAGCCTGAGCTTGAGCCAAAGCTTGAACCTCAGCCTGGGCTTGAGCCTAAACTTGAGGCTGAGCTTGAGCCTGATCCTGAGCCTGAGCCTGATTCTGATCTTGAGCCTGGGTTTGAGCCTGAACATGAGCTTGAACCTGAGCAATGATTTTTCAACTGCCATTGGTCTTACCTTAACATATTCGACAAACCCTACCCTTTCTCCTTCCACCCCCCTCCCCCCCTCTTGCCTTACCTACCCTTAAAACCTAAATTAAGCATTCAACACTCTATCGTGCCAAACCCAAACAAAATCTTTCAAATCTGTAACGGAAATGTGCAAACCCAGACAAGTGTGCACTTTCGGTGAAACAAATGAACTGACCCGGAAATGGACGAAACAAATCCCAAAAAAACAATGGAAACGGATTGACCCCACAACCAGTGCAAAATAGGCAAAATGTAAAAGATTAAGCTGTTCAAAACAATATCATTCGAAAAGCAGTTTATGTATGTTAATATTGTTTCATGTGGAGTTTTAGAGAAGAATTCGATATCAAAAAACCAAAAGATATTATATAAAATTGTTCAAAAAGTTCTGTGCTTCCTTTCGAAGCAAATTTTTCGGGTTGAGAGGCACTGAATTATTTAAACGACCTATAATATTAAAAAAATGTAACTTCTAATGAAACATGTTGCTTTTTTTTAAAAAAAAAATTTATAAAATTTTTACCCAACCCTACTTGACCATAATTTTTATCACCCTATTATACCCTACCTTAATTTACCTTACCCTACTTTAATTTACCCTGCCCTACTCTAACCTATACTAATTTGCCCTACTATCTCTTCTATACCATAATTTATGGTACCCTAATCCTACCCAACTTTACCCTACCCTACCCTGCTCTACACTACCCTACCAACCATAAAAATACACGAAGTAACACAAAAATCCGCCCCAAAATAAAATAGAATCCATTATTGAATATGTCATTTTACATTCACCGAAAATCCAATTCAAAACATATCCCGAACATATAAGGGCCATGACAATACATATTATACATCATTTCCCACAATTCATTCGATCCCATAACAGTAGCCTCGCCCTCAAGTTGCTCCATCATATTATACTTTCTCTCTCTTCGAGGGCTTTTGAAATCCGGTATGAGCTCTCTTATATTTTATGCCTTTTAAATGCGTTTTTGGCCCCGGTGGCACTTAAACAGATCTCCCACTCGGTATTCAAATTTTATGCGCCACACATATGGAAAGAAAGTAAGTGCGCTTTTGGAAACGCGTTTGCGTGCAAAAAAACAAAGTTTGAAGTTTCGCGGGTACAATGAGTTAAAATTTTAAAAAAATTGAATTTTCATTTTGAAATGACAGAATTAAGATTAAGGTGTAAGTAGAAGCAGTAAAACGAGTTCGAGTTTAGGCTTAGTTTCAGAAGGCTCAGCATAAAGTTAAGCTTCAGGCTCAAGCCGAAGCTAAATCTAAGGCTCAAGCTTAGACTCAAGCTCAGGCGCAGGCTCAGGTTTAGGCGCAAGCTCAAGCTGAAGCTTAAGCTCAAGCTCAGATCTAGGAGCAGGCTCAGACTCAGGCTAAAGCTCAGGCTCAAGCTCAGGTTAACGCTTAAGCTCAAGCTCAGATCTAGAAGCAGGCTCAGACTCAGACTAAAACTCAGACTCAGGTTCAGGCTCAGGCTTAAGCTCAAGCTCAAGCTCAGACTCAGACACAGGCTCACTCTCAGGCTTAGGCTTAGGCTCAGGTTCAAATTCAAGCTCAAAATCAAGCTCAGGCTCAAGCGCAGGCTCAGACTCAGGCTTAGGCTCAAATTCAGATTCAGACTCAGTCCCCGGCTCAAGCTCAGGCTCAAGCTCAGGCTCAAGCTCAGGCTCAAGCTCAGGCTCAAGCTCAGATTCAGACTCAGTCTCCGGCTCAAGCTCAGGCTCAAGCTCAGGCTCAAGCTCAGGCTCAAGCTCAGGCTTAAGCTCAGGCTCAAGCTCAGGCTTAAGCTCAAGCTCAAGTTAAGACGGCTCAAGCTCAGGCTCACTCCCAAGCTCAACCTCAGGCTTAAACTAAAATCACGGTTAAAACTAATGATAAATCTAAGCCTAAAGCTAAAGCTAAGGCTAAAGCTGTTTATTGAAAAAAATTTAAATCAACCTTACAACCCAAAATTTAAAAAAAAATAACTCGCATATGAATTCGTAAACGTAAAAAAACAAAAAAAATTCAAATTTCGAACAAAAAATATTCCGCGGATATCAAATTTGACCTCTCCCAAGTGTCCGTACCTAAGAACTCGGAGGAAATTCTCTTCACGGCTTCTCTAAAACTTTTTTTTTCAATAAATTTGAATCCAAAACGCAAACAAAATTCTCAGTCAGGTAAAAAATGACCCGTCCGCTAAAGAGTTATTGTTCTACGAGACGCCGAGCTAAATGACCGCTTTCTGTAAAACGTAATGTAAGTGCGTTTACTATGCATGATACTTTACAGAGATTGAATTTTGGAATTGGAAAGTAAATAAAGTAACAATAGAAATAAAAATTTTAATTGTTTTTTAAATTTTAATGTAAAAAATTTTAAAAAATTTAAAAATTGTTTAAAAATAAAAAATTTCTAATAAAACCACCTAAAACAAGATTTTTTAAAATAGCAAAATGTAAAACGAAGAAGCTCTGCGAATTATATGAAGAGTTATGTCCATTCTTCATATGATTCCACACCCGGCTCGAACATCTGCCACTCTTGACATTGTTTTTATTCTTCCGGAGGAAACAAAAATCAAGAGAGTCGGGCATGTAGCGCGGACAAATATAATTTATGGTATTGTCAAATTCATAACAACAAGGCCTTATACGGCGGTTTATAAGGTATAAATAGGTTAGTAGCGACTTCTCTGACACCTTCCTTAGTGAATGATATGAAAAGGTACTATTTCACAAAAAAAGTTTTTTGCAAATTTTAAAAAAAGTTTCACCCTACCCTGCTTTACCCTACATTATCCTACCTCACTCTTTCTTATTTTACTTTACTCTACCCTATTCTATCCTACCCGTTCCTATCTCAACCTACCCTATCATGTTCTATATTACATTGCTCATCCCTGCCTTGCTCTACCATTCTCATGCCTTGCCCTTGCCTGCTATATCATTCTATTATGTTGCCATGCCCTATTTTTTCTGAACCTTACCCTGTCATAGATTAAGTAACTTTAACATACCCTACTCTATCCTACCCTACCATCATTTTTTAAAACCAGACCCTCTAAACCAACTTGTAATAGTTCAGAATAAAATTGAAATCTCATAAAAGTCGAAGATTCAAATTTGGCCATCAAAAACTGTCAGAAAGTTAAAGCCTCGCGCAAAGATGGTCGCTGTAGATTCGAATTGAAATGTTTTTATAAGCGGTCACTCGAGGATAGGGAGGAGGGAGAGGGCGCTTTCGAAATTAGTCCAAAGTTTTATGGACACAAATAAGTAGATATTCATCATGAGAAATGACTCAACCAAGGGAGGAATTCAAAAATTTAAGGAAGGGGTTTTAATTAATTAAGAGAAATTAAAATTTCAAAAATTTTAAAATTTTCTACCTTAATACATGGTTTACCCTAGATCAAAATTAAAAATACCCTTCCTTACTCTACCTTTAACCCAATTATAACCCGCCTTCACTCTTTCCTAGTCATAGCCACACCACTTTCTAACCCTATTCGAGCAATACCTTGTCTTGTCACTACCTTAAGCTGATCATGGTGTTTCTCTTGCCACATTCAAGCATTTCCTTAGCCTTAGCTAAGCCTTACCCAACCCTATCTTTGCCTGCCTTACCTCAGTCCAACTCCAGCCCTACCCCATGTGTGTTCTAGCTTTACCCTAGCTTTACCCTAGTTCTGCCCTAGCCCTATCCTAACCTTAAACCAGTTTTACCCTAGCCCTACCCTAGTCCAACTCTTAGCCCTGCCCGAGCAATACCTTGTCACAACTCTAGCCATGTCATGGCCTTTCTGTGACCATACTCAGACGTTTTTTATCCATAACTAAGACTTTCCTCAGCCTTACTTTAGCATTATCCTAGTCTTACTTTAGCCCTGCTCTAGCCCTACTTTAGCCTTGCCAAAGCCCTACCCTACCCTCCTAAAACTGTTTTAATTTACTTTACCCTAAAATGCCAAAATAACAAAAAGTACCCCTTTCCTCCTTTCTTTCCGCATGAACCCTGACAAAACAGCTCGCAACCTCTAATCTGACCTTTGAAGCCACTGAAAACTGACCCAGCCCTCTTTATGAGACGCCTTTCAACCGGACATACCTCAGCGCGGCCTTCCTTTTTCGGCACTCACGAAAACGAATTTATTATGCATATCAGTCGATAAGTGCGTTTAATTCAACACCGTTCGAGCTGAAGAATGGTAACAGAATAAAATAATGACTTGGCTTGTCATTGTTTCTACAGGCTTTTTGACCAAAAAATATTTTTTAAATTTTTTGAAATTTTGATAACCACTGTAGTTATGCACGAAAGTAGCCAGCTAAACACCCGTAAAACATATATCGACATCTCTTGAGGAAAGTAAAATTAAATTCCCAAAAACGACTTGACGTCAAATTGAAGAGGGTCAGTAAAGTGGTCAGAAAACGGTCCACTTCCAAGATACGACCGGATTAACGCCCGATTTGGTTCAAGAGTTCTTGCAGAGGTTTTTGAGAGTATGTATGTCATCTTCATAGTTATATTACAGTAAGACACATGAGAAAATTTAAAACGTTTGTTTTTCTTGTTACTCTAGAATAAGAAAGTTGTGAGCAGGGTAGAGGCAATGATGAGGCTAAGGCAGGGTCAATGGTGAGGTTAGGATAGGCTTAGTGATAATGCAAGGCAAGAGTCAAGAGTAGAGTATGACTAAGGTATGGCTAGAATAAAGACAGCAAAAACAGCCAAAACTACAACAGTAAAACATTAAACCTATAAAAATCTGAAAATTGAGTGACAAAAAAAGCGTTCGGATCTAAAAAACAGCTTTTTGTTTCAATTCGAGAACGAAAATTAAACCCTGACTCAAACTTTGACACCCATAAATTTTATCTTAAAGAATGACCCTCCAACTTTTGGTTTTTATTCCAAAATAATTGAAAAAAAGAAAGTATTTCAATCGTATTTCAAAAAATTTTAATATTTTTTACAGTTTTTTAAATTATTGCATCATGCAAAACAAAATCCCTACCCTACCCTAATTTGGAAGAATTAGCACATATAAGCTTAAAAAAGACCTAAAACCTCGCAAAAAAAGTTTTTTGTCACCTTCTTCTAATGTGCACGATGTTTGACTTCCAAATCCCTTAACATCTCAAAAAACAAATTCAGAGCAATCTGTCACTTTCAATTTACCTAGCATGTAAAATGGCAAAAGACAAAAACCAAAACAGGAAAGTACAATATGTCTAAAAGACATTTTAATTTTAAAAAATTTTTAAAAAATTGTAAAAAATAACGTTTAGGTGTAGTTTTGCCGGCCTACGACTACAAGCATCTTCATCGCCATTAGCACATTGAAAACCGTTTTTTGCTTTTTTTTAGATTTTGATAAAAAATAATAAAAATATGTCATTCTTTACCCATATTAAACTGAGCTCCCCCTGTGATAGCGCAGTATCGTTTTTTGAAGCCCTTCGCCATATATTGTAAATCAATCAATTCTTGGCGGAAACTCAAAGAAACAAAAGTGCGAACAAATGAAAATAAAACATATTCAGAGTATTTTCGTTTTGTGTAAAAGTTTTAAATATAAAGCTTATAATCAAAAAATATAAATTTCATTACAGTATAACTCCTGTATAACAAGTTGCTCTAAGATTTAAATGCACTGTGTAGTGGTAGCTAAGGATTTAAGAGTCGTCTATTACACAGAAATTTTGTTATAAAGAAGCTTGTATACAAAGGTTCATGCAGGGAAGTCGCTGTGAATGAGTTGGTAAACGAGGTAGACTTCCCCTAAAGTCAAAGCAAAAAGACCCACAGGTAAGTATATAACTACATATGAGAAATTTGAAAAAATTGTTTTACAGGTCTCTGTGGCCTAAAAAAAGGTTCACGTTTCCTCTCCCCTTCTTTCCCCTTTTTCTCCTCCTTTTTATAAATAACGGCTTAGTTTAAACTTGGCTTGAAGTCTCTAATATAAACTTGACCTTTTTTTATAGATCAATCGAAAAAAGTGTCAAATATGCGTGGCAAAACAATTAATTTTTGAGCTGAAAAAACTTTTACGGCAGAATATAAATCAAATCTTTTAGCTTTGATTAATCACAAATCAGTTTAGACTTGATATGCGTTTTGACAATATTAAAGGTCAATTTGACGTAATTGCAAAATATAAGGGCTGATGGGGTCACAAAGACTAGCTCCTGTATAACTAGACTTGTAAAGGAACCGAGGCTAGTTTTTCGGCCTGGCTCTTTTCAAAATTGCTTTGGCTTGGCTCATTAACTTGGCAGACCTCTTTTTAAAATTATGTATAACAAATCGCTCAGAGATTATAAATTTGTTCGTTATAAAACGGTTTTGTTATACAGGGTTTTAAATGCACTGTGAAGCTTTAGATGTAGGCTTCAAAACAAATTGTTTCTTACACAGAAGTTTCTTTATATAAGAGCTTGTTATAAAGTGTTCTACTGTATATATATTTGACTGTGTTCTACTGTATATATATATGACTACAGGCTGCAGCTGTGCCATGTCATAAATTTAGCTTCAAGAAGAGGAACGGTATACTTTTTGTAAAATACGATTTCGGCAACTATTCTTCATACAAATTTTTTCTATTTAAAGTCGATTTCAAGTAAAATACAACAACTATAGTTTTTTGTTACATTATCAAAACTATCAAACGTTTCTATTACTGAACACAACTTGTGTGGTATTATTGGCTTGCTACTTACTTTTCACAGGTTTTTAAACAATACTTTACACCTATTCTTTTTTTTTCAAAGTTTTTTTTTTCATTGTTATTAAACAGTGGAACTCCTGTATTACAAATCGCTTGAAGATTCTAAAAGTGTTTGTTATATTATAATAGAGTTTTGCTATACATGAGTTTTAAATGCACTGTGAAGCGTTGGATGGAGATTTGGAAGCTGTTTTTTATAGAATAATTTTCATATACAGGCGTTTTCACTGCACTTTAACAAATAAGGGCTTATTTTCTATTATATCTGGACATGTTTAATCGTATAACTTATCTCTCCCATCTGCAGTCAAAAATAAACAAAAAAAGAGAAAGAATGTGTATTAAAATTGTGTTTCACAGAGTTTCGGAAAAGAAAAATGGAGTTCAAAAAGGTTAAAAGAGTAGCAAAAACAAGGTTTTTGATGGGAAAAGAACTAAAAAAGTATTTTTTACAAAGTTTCAATTGATTTACTGTCAACTTTTCAGTTTTTCTTGTTTTAACTAGAACGTTTTTAGCTGAAATTAACTTTTCATTGATTTTTTATAATTTTTACTATGTTATGTTACACTTTTTAGGGTAATATGGGCATTATTTTACACTTTACAATGACTTTTTGTTTTTTTGCACTGTGCAAGTCTTAATTTGTTTGCACCGTGCAATCTTTTATTACTTTTGCACCGTGCAGAATTTTAAATTTTAAAATTTATTTTTTAAAATGAAATTTATGATTTCCTGAGCATAATAAGCCAATATCATACATAATATGGCGGAAAGCGTGGTAGAACAACGAGGATCCAGTAAGACCAAGGTCAAGGTGTTTATGATTGGATGGGCTGGATGTAACGACCGGTATCTAAGCAAATATGCTCCGGTATACCAGAGATTGGGGTAAGTTTTTAAGTTTATAATCTTACCTTTCCTTTCAATAAACATTTTTAAATTTAGAGTCTGTTTTGCACTTTTAAAATGACTTTTTAAAAAATATTTTTAGAACAGAACCCCACATGGCTTGTCCCCAGCTCTACCAAGGTTTATATCTTCGTGTAACGCCGAAAGTTGTTCGAAAATACTTTGAAGAAATTGACACGATCATCACAGAGGCTTCAGAAGACACGCAGATTGTTTTTCACATATTCAGTAACAATGGCACTGGCATTTTTGCTTATTTGTGGGATATGATTGGAAAGGAGAGGAGTCACTGGAAACAACAGATTCAAGGCATTATTTTTGATAGGTAAGGCGTGGTTTTGCATTGGAAGTGAGGAGTTGTTGAGCAAAATTGTCATAAGATTTGTTTTTTAAGTTGGCAAAAGAAAATAGGCGAAATGATGGTTCTGCAGCCTACGAAACAGTGAAAAATGGAGGTCGCAGCTCGCGCGCACTTTTTTGAAGAGTTTTGCATTGGAATGAGGATAATAGGAACTCAAAGATAAATTTTAAAAAAATTTTTTAAGTTTTACTTACATTTTTAAAAATCTGCGTAAAAACCTCGGCCGCAGCGTGCGCATATCGCTTTTACCTTTCTTTGCAGCCTGCGCAAATTTCTGATTTAAAATGGTATAAAAGCCTACCCTATCTTACAATTTAAGTAAAAACAATGTAAAAATGCAATTTCAGTGGCCCAGCAACCGCCGAGAACCCATTAGTCTGGACTAAAGCCTCCTACTACACCAATGTACCGCCAACTCAACATGGTACACTAACCTACTTGTTACACATGATATTGTTGGCACCATTCTTTATATTTTACGTGGCTTACATCAAATTGAGAGGTCTGGTGGATCCTGGCTATAGGAAAAAGGTAGGTTTTTATTTTTTAAAATTTTTTTGCACTGTGCAAGCGGGTTTGAAGCTTTTAAAAAATTTTTGAAAATAAAATTTAATTTGTGGAAACTGGTTTTAAAATATGTTAGTAATACCTTTACTTTCTTTTATGGTTAAAAAAATTTTGAATTTTGGCACGGTTTGGTTGGAAAAATGAATTCAAGTTTTTTGACTGCACCGTGCAGATTGTTGAAATCTTTTTATTTTTATGTCATTTTTAATTAAATCTATTTTTTGCAAAATTTTTTGTTGTGTAAAGAAAGTCCTTGCCATTTTTTGTTGTGTAAAAAAAATTCTTGCTATTTTTTGCTTTCTAAAGAAAGTTCTTGCCATTTTTTGTTGTGTAATGAAAGTTCTTGCCATTTTTTGATTTGTAAAGAAAGTTCTTGTCATTCTTTGTTGCGTAAAGAAAATTCTTGCCATTTTTTGATTTTTAAAGAAAGTGCTTGTCATTCTTTGTTTTGTAAAAGAAGTTCTTGTACCTTGTAACGTTTTTTCTCCAAAATTTAATTAAGACCTTACTTTAGGTCCTACCCAACAACTTGTTAGAATCCTTCGACGATCTTCCACAAAACCAACTCTTTCTATATTCGGAGAAGGATGCCGTTTGTGATCACACATTGATTTCCCATTTTATCAACATCCAATTGGCCAAAGGAAAGTTGGTTGAGACTAAATGTTGGCCAAGTTCTGGTCATGTAGCTCATTTGCGAAGGTATCCTGACGAATATTCTGAATTATGCAAATCTTTCGTCGAAAAATGCTTTGGCACTAAGTTCAATGTTTAGAGAAGACTGTATTTTGAGTATACTGTAATTTTTTTAAAAATTTTTGAATAAAAAAATGTATTTTATGCTTTGTAAAGAAAGTTCTTACCATTTTGATTTCTGTAAAGAAAGTTTTTGCCATTTTTTGTTTTGTAAAGAAAGTTTTTGCCATATTTTGTTTTGTAAAGAGAGTTTTTGCCATTTTTTGTTTTTAAGAAAGTTCTTGCCATTTTTTGTTTTGTAAAGAATGTTCTTGCCATTTTTTGCTAACCACAGGCAATTTATGCAAATTACCGTAATATTTAACACTATAGTATTTGAATACGCCTTTAGGCGATTACAAGATAGATATTCGGCGGCGCTTTCCGGATCATCACGATTCAAGGGGATTATTTCTTTTTTGCACATCATTCCCATTGGCATGAGTAATATCAAACACCTCGCTGTTCATGTTCATTTCGAATGGGGTGATTATGCTTCCAAGATGGGTTTATTCAAAAAGACTAGGATAGGGTAGGGTAGGGTAGGTCAACCTAATATTTTGTAGGGTAAGCTATGGCAGCGAGGTGGCTGTCGGACTGGACTGGTCGAAAAAATTTGCCTCGCGGTTCGGGTCTTGGTTTTAGGACCAGACTAATAGCCGCCTCTATGTAAGGCTAGCCTAACTCTAGTGTAAAGTATGACTAGACTAACTCTAGAGTAAAGCATGGCTAGCTTAATCTTACTGTAAAGCTAGGTTTGAATATTGTAGAGTTTGGGTAAGACATCTCAAATGCAGGACCAGGGGTAGAGAACACACTCATGGGTTTATAAAAATAAAAAAAATAGTTTTTTACAAGCATTTTAAATATTTTTTTTCATTTTGATATAAGTCTAAACTATTACAAAAAACCTTTCGTCGCCACTTTAACTATTGTGACATTCAAGTGACTATACTTGAATACAAGCTTATAATATAATATTTTCATTCGATTGAAGGTGGGCAAGGTCATTTTGTGAAGTGACAAGTTCTGTACACTTTGTAATATTGAATATCATTTAATGTTTTAAACGTATTTTACATTTTTAAACTTTTTTGATTTTGTATTAGTCCGTGCAGTTTGTAGACCTGAAGGGGGGGGGGGGCACTAGACTCGGCTTGGCCTTTTACAAGGTTAGCTAAATATTATATATAGTTATGACAATTTTTATGTTACCTTTTATGTAAATTTTTTCTTAAATTACGTTTAGATTTTTTTAGAAATCTTTCGTTTACATTATGTTACCTACTATAACATCATCATAAGCCAAGTCTGACAAAAACCTCACCCGCCATTCCCAATGTCAAAAAAGCCCTCTCCCTCTCATAATCAACCAGTCTGGACGACTACTATCGATTATCGACCGCCACCTCAAGAAGAAGACCGTGACATAGAAGAACGACCAGTGTCTAGACACACCTACTACTACAACAATGTTGAATATGAAAATGAAAATTTGAATCAAGGTTATATTGAAGATGACAGTAATAGAAGAAGATTTCAAAGAGCGTTCGATGAGGATTCTGAATTTGTGGAGCGACATACGAATATCTCTATTCCTAGGCCAAAAGTTTATGGAAGAAGTGGAAGGGAGGTGAGATAATTTCTTAAATTTTTAAAAACGTATTTGTCATCCCTTTAACTCTTTTATAACTGCCCAATTGTACTCTACTATACCTTGTCCTACAAAGTTCTACTCAATCCTACCCTACTTTACCATACCTTACCTTACAATATCCTACCCTACCCTACACTATCCTTATACTCGCCTACCTTTCCCCACCCTACAATACCCTACCCTACTTTTCCTCATCTTGCCGTATTTTACACTTTCTTTCCCCCTACTCGACTTTTACTCTTTCCCTACTCTTTCCTTACCGCTTTCTTACCCTACCTCAACTCATCTTACTCTGCCCTTTTCTATCTTATCTTCCTGACTTACACCTTATTATTATCTTTTAAATTTTATTATACTTAGATTTCTAATATACTCTTTACCATCTACTTTATATCTTACCCACCGCCCCCTCTCTATCTCCTTTGTCACTTACTACGTACTTAAGCGTGATCCAAAATTCAAGGTGTTATAAGAAATTTCAAAACCTCAAACTATAAAACCATTGTGTTCCCAGCAATCAGCTGGAAATGTCATCTGGTATGTTATCGAAACAAAAAGCTGAAAGGCACGTTTTGATTAAAAATATAACATTTGTTTGACTTTGTCGCTTTTCTTTTTATTGCTCATTTTCAAGAAGCCAAAAAAAGGAGAATTCGAGCTGAAAACTTTTCGAATTCGTTTTCAAATACCATATTTGGGCTGTCTGTGTAATTGAAACTGTTTTTTAGCTATATTGTTGTTGAATTTAAGGCTATAATTGCCTATCCTTACTTTAACTTATACTGTAAACTTTTTTAGCCTACTATCCTGCTCAAAGTTTTTGATAAAATTGCTAAGGCTTGGCCTAAGTTGTAGTTTTTAGGCTTATTTTAAGGTTATATTAAGATTAATATTACTAGGTCTAGGCTGAAAATACTAGAACAGAGCTATTTTTAACTGTCTTACCCCAGGCTATATTTATATATTACTAGGACCTTTTACCTATTGAGCTTAATATTATAATACTAAATCTAGGCTACCTTGGGAGCACTATAACATAGCTCTTTTTAACTCTTACAGTCTTATAGTAAAGCTACATTTTATTGTACGAGGCTATATTTATATTATATACTAGGACCTTTTCACAAATTTTGATGTTTTTGATAGAAATAGTGGTCATTTTAGTCATTGTAATACCTATACTAGGCTGTGTAATATTAAACGCATCAAAGTTAGGTCTACAAGGTATTTAAAACTATTGTTTTTTCTAAATCTACTTTCACAAAAAATTATATTTTACTAAGGCTGCTATAGGTATTGCTTTTGCTAATATTATTAACAATAATTTAGGTTGGTATTGCTAATATTAACTTATATTACATTGGCTAATGTAGTGTCTACCCTAGGTTACCCTACAGCAGCTTTTTATGATATATGTCCAAAGAATAGCTACTGCTATCACATGGTTAATATAAACCTTAATATTGACGTGAAAAGGATCTTTAAGCTTTGAAAATTAATTACATACTAGAGCTACTATACATTCCAAAGACATATTGAGTATAATTGATGGTATAGCTTCTTGGTTCACTAATATAATTATATTTATAGCCCTACCTTACCTTCCAACTTTATATTACAGGCCTGAAAGTAGCTGTAGTACTGGTATATTGTAGGACTGCCGTTGCAAAGCTATATTATTATAGAAAGTATTGCCGTTCTAAAACAAATTTCGTACCAATATTGATATTGTAAAGCTAATTTTGTAGTCCGGGCTGCTTTTGTAGTCCAATATTGACAATGTCACGTAGCTATAGAAGAACGATAGATCCATATCCAAGTGAAAATGACGTTTATAAACAGTTGGTATGTTAACGTAGTAATTTTTTGCAAAACCGAATTTTTTTGAATATCACGAAAGTACCCAACCTGACCCGCTCAAAATCAGTTCACAATCTAGCTTTACCCTTGTCTTCCCCTAGCTTTTACTAAAGGTGTTATATTATATTTAGATCATTATTTGTCCAGTTCGTATTTTACAAAATTTTTAAAAAACTGCACTGTGCAGTGAAAAAAGTAAATTTTTAATCATTTAAAAAATTTAAAAATAAAAATTAAATAATTGACTTTACAAATGAATAGTTCATTTCATTTTCAGACCCCAGACGACTTCAACTTCCTAGAAGATCGTCAGTTGGCTGACTATGCTCAAGTCAGTAAGAAGCATTCGGTAGCCTATGCTCCTCAACGTTATCGACCGAATTGTTGGTTGATTTTGAATGTGATTCAGATCTTTGTCGCCATATTTCTGCTCATTTTTGCTTTCTTTCGATTTTTTAGAATTTTTTTCGGTGAGTTTTTAAATTTTTAAAATAAAAAAAATTAAAAATTTTTTTTAGGTGTGTTAGGTAACAAAGACTTTAAAAAATATTTTTTGTTATCAATTCTGTATGATTTTACAATTATTTTTTAAATACTGTATATACCACAGTAAATACGTCATCTACTATGTATTTTAAAAGCATAACATTATGTTATAGTAGGTTGTTTTAGCAATCGAACCAAAATGTTTTGTACGACTTTATAAAAGCTGAAGACTCAGCTCAAACTAATCAAGGTGGAACGGAAATCATAGCTTTAAAACTGGGCAGTAGTCTTTTCATACCTGCAAGTTTACAATTGATTAGTGGGTTCAGTGGACTATGGCCAATGGGAGAACGTGGCAATTATTCATGCTTGGTAAGCAACCTACCCCACCCTAACCTATGCTACTTTACCCTAAACTACCTTACCTTACCCTACCCTACCCTACCCTACCCTACCCTACCCTACCCTACCCTACCTACCCTCCTACCCTACCTACCCTACCCTACCCTACCCTACCCTACCCTACCCACCCTACCCTACCCTACCCACCCTATCCTACCCTACCCTACCCTACCCTACCCTACCCTACTCTTTCCTATCCTAACTTACCCCGCCCCATTCTATTTATTCCTCATCCCTGTCCTGCTCTGTCCTACCATGCGCAGCCGTGCCCTGCCTTGACTCATCATAATATGCCTTACTTTTCCCTACCCTGCCCTACTCTATTTATTTTAAATTTTTCCTACCGTAACCTTAATCATACGATATTCTCCATGCCGGACCCTTTTAGTACCGTAACCGGACCATACCCCAGCCTCCAAACTATTACCTACCCATTCTCCTCTACACTACTCTCCCCTCCCCCCTTAAACATTCATATTTCCTACCCTAACCCTTCCATATCCAAATTTCCCCTACCCCGCTCCATGCCATAAAACAATAACTTTTCAGATAATCCATGTGATATTCTCCATGCTAGCTATAATCTACTGGTTCGAGCCAATAAACTATGCAGCATTAGAGCTGAACCTTCGAACAGAACAGCTGGATTCAGAGCTTTCTTCCCTATCCTACGGTGTGCTACTGACTCTACTAGTACTCGGCTCTTTGATAGTACTATTAGTTACATCTTTGACTATGTGTAATGCTATTTTGGTACTATCAGAGCCATGTAATGTTAGTCACAGTCATGTGGATGTTCATCTTGGTATGGCTACAGTCATCATCAGTGTAGTCTGTAGCGCATTGAGTGTTTATGTCAGTAGTAGTACGCTTAGGAGTGTCACTAATTGGTAAGGTTAAGTTTTTATTTTTTAAATTTAAAAAAAAATTTTAAAATTTAAAAAAATTTACTTCAGGGTAAATCCAACCCTAAAAAATACAGTACTCTATGGTTTTGGCCTCCGAGAGCTGATAATAACCATCTATATCACACTGGCCACAGGTCTATGTTCAGTGTCTACCATGACACAACAAAGGAATCTTCGGCTAGCCGCTTTAATCCTTCAGCTTATCAGTTTACTGTTGATATTCGGCCACTTACTTACAGCCGATCGTATTACGGCCGTTACTCACAACATCAAAGTCATGTTTTCGGTAGGATTGAATCGACCGGTCGGACCCGAATCGTAGGTTTTTTAAAAATTAAAATTTTTTAAGAAATGCCATTTTTAAATGTCACAGATAGTGAAATTTAAAAATTTTTTGCTACTAAATTTATTAAATTGCACCGTGCAGACCGTTCGACAGGTTTTTACTTAAAATATTAGGCTGTTTAAAAAGTTCTGAGCCACCAACCCTGCAAAATTGCTTTAAGAAGTGGCTCAGGATTTTTTAAACAACCTAATATTTGTTTTTAAGTAAAGTACTAATGGCAAAATTAAAAAAAAAAATTCCGCTTCAGAATCCTCCTCCTCTACACATTTATAGTAATTTTGGCAATACTACTGGTCGCGCATACCATATCAACCATTATCAATTTGTGCAAAAAATGCTCCTTATCAGAACCTTTGAACCGAAATTTGTACTCGCAACACGTGGAAGACGTGCCCGAGGCTTCAAATTATCGTGCCAATCTGTAGCCATAAGTATTTTATTAATAAATATTGTGAAATTTAAAAAAAATCGCTTTGCACCGTGCAGTCATGAAATCGGACTGCACTGTGCAGATTTAAGGTTTTGGGTGAAAAAGCGTGAAATGAAGGTCTATGATAAACAAAACTGACCGTATCGGATGTAGAATTACTCTCTACACAATAGCCAAACCATGAGCAAGCATAAAATTAAAGATTTCTTACCTAAAGCATCTAAAAAACACCAATTACCTAGACGAAATCCCAAAAAATCCTAAGTTATTGCTTCTGAATCCCCTCAAAACCAGAACCACGTTACCTCTAAAGCTCCACACTAATATGCATATACTTTTGCCACCCCGAGAAACGTACCGAATCAACCATTTGTGGGCGATTCAGCGCCCAAACCAGCTGCGAGACCTTACCCTCGCGCATTCACTCACTTGGCGTCGTTTTTTCCGGCGAATTTTCTCGTTACCGGGCCGTATTTACGGAACTCCAGACCATATTACGCTTCGAATTTGTAGAATTAAAGCCGTCTGACATATCGAATTTGTTCTTCCAAGTCTTCAGAAGCTTGGTGGTCGAGTTTGCTGGAATTTCACGGCTAATTAGAAGGTAAGTTTTGAAGAATTTTTGTTTTTCTTCCATTTTTAGGTAATGTGTTCAAGGTTTTTGGAAAAAGCTTAATGTTTTTAAAGAAATTAAAAGCTTGGAAATACTGCTTATTACCTTTTGGCAAGATTTAGCAAGGTTTTAGGGGTGTTTTCATAACACATTGTTGAGGGTTTAATGAAAAATTGTCCATAAAAGCTGGACGATTTGATGTTGAAGAAGAAAATTAGGATTAGACAATAAATTTTGAAAATTTATAAAAATAGGTTTGACACAGTCTTGTCGACCTTACAAAAGATAACTGATTGTAACTCTTGAGGTTTTTTGTCGCAATATCAAACATTTTACCATTTACACCTAGATACACCTAAAACAATATATTTTTCTTGGTTTTGCTATCCCAACCTTATTAAACCTCAATAAAATTTTTAGGGCAGTATGCTTACACCTTTTTCAAGCTTTTTAAGCTAACTTTGGTTTCAGAACGTTAGACTTTTTTGTGAAATTTGTATTTGTTACCTAAAACAACTGAAGCAAAGAAAACTTGCCTTACCTTTAAATCTTTGATCGTTTCACCTTCTAAATCTTCATTTTGTAGTATTCTAAACTTTTTCATTCCATTTTAGATGCCAGCATATGATTATCAAGGCTATATTCGAGAGCCAGCATCTGTCGACAGCACTTATTCCACTGGTTCCGGGTCGTTTATCCAATATCCCAACGAAAACATCAACAACCAAAACTTTCAGTACAGTCCGGAAGCTGCTGTAGGTTTATTTCATCGTTTTTATTTTGTTTTTAGGCTTATTCTTGTTCGAGTTGGTTTGCAAATAGGACATTATACTTGAACTTCCCTGGATTTTTTGTTTCGGTTGATTTGTTTGCGCAAAGTGCGCCCATGTTTTTGCAGACTGCGGGAAGGATTCTCAACAAAATTATACGAAAAAACTGATTATTATAAAAATAATTTTTTTAAATTTTAAAATGTAGTTCAAAAGGGTTCCAAAAATATTTTTTGTTGTTTTAGCCAATAATTCAAAGGCCAACGATGGTTATGAATCAATATTCGCTTCAATTGGACAAGCTGATCGGGAGCGGGGCGTTTGGTCGTGTTCATTCGTGGACAAATCCACGAAATGGGCATCGTCTGGCCATCAAGATGATATCCAACATCTTTACAACAATACCCTCATCTAGAAGAGTGTATAGGGAGCTGATGATAATGAGGTCTGTTCATCATGACAATGTATTGGGGATGTTGGATGTGGCTAAGCCTGTGAGGACGGAATATCATAACATGTAAGTGGGAGGTGTTGGAGAGCATTTTGTTTATTTGTTTGATTTGTGTTTTAATTTTGAGGGATTTTAAAATTTTTTAAAAATAAAAAAAGATTTTTGAAAAAATTTTTAAATTTTATTTTTCAGATTTGTCTTCACAGAACTGATGGAGACGGACCTCCACAAAGTAATTGTCTCTCCCCAACGCCTCATACCAATCCATATCACACTATTCATGTATCAACTACTACGAGGCCTGAAATACCTTCACTCAGCCAATATCATTCATCGAGACCTAAAGCCATCAAACCTCCTTATCAACTCGAACTGTCACTTGAAAATCTGTGATTTTGGCCTGTCGCGACTATGGGATGAAAAAGTTCGAGAGCCAATGTCCATTGAAGTGATTACCATGTACTACCGACCACCAGAGATACTGATGGGTAATTGTCATTATACGAAGGCTGTGGACATGTGGAGTGCTGGCTGTATATGGGCAGAGCTACTGTTAAGGCGGCCGCTGTTTCAAGGGGCTACTGAGGAAGAAGTAAGTTGGATTAGTGGAGTTGATGAAGGGTTTGTTACTTAAAAATTTGTTTTTAAAATATTTTTATAACTTGAACTTCTAAAAAATGAATGTTTTGGTGATGTCGTTACTTAAAAAGTCTATTTTATAGTGATTTTGTTACTTAAAAATGCCTTTCATAGTGATTTTGTTACCTAAAAATGCCTTTTTTGTAGATTTTGTTACTTTAAAAATGCTTTTTAGAGACTTTTTTTACCTACAAATGCCTTTTTTAGAGATTTTGTTACCTAAAAGTCTTTTTTTATTGAGTTTGTTGCCTAAAAATCTATTTTTTAGTGATTTCGTTACCTAAAAATGTCTTTTTTATATTAATATTGTTACTTAATCTTGCATTTTCAGCAAATTGAAAGGATGTTCCAATTCCTCGGCCCACCCTTACTCCAAGAAATGCCTGGTATATCACAGCATTACCAACATCATATAGTCAACAGTCAAACTCAACGCAGACAAGACGACCGGAAATGGCTTCAGTTTCAATTAGACCCACAAGACTTGGCTTTACTCAGAGCAATGTTGTCATATGACGAGAGGAAACGACCGAGTTGTGAAGAGGTCCTGAGGCATAGGTACCTGGTGGAGCCAAGGATAATATTCCATCAGGAGCTGTGTACTTGTTGTGTTAATGGTCAAATCAATTGTGGGAATTTGGAACCAACGGTAAGGTGATGTTGTAGTAGGTTATTGGGAATTTACTATCAGTTTTAAATTTTTTAAAAATTTTTAAAAATTAAAAATTTTGAAAATTCTAAAATTTTTTTAGCCTAAACTGTCTTAAAATTTGCAAAAATGCTCCTCATAGCTCAGTAAGTACTGTCCCAAGATTTTATTTTCGAATTTTGAGTTTAAAAATTTAAATCAGCGATTTCCCGCCAAATTGGCATTATGTTGCAAGCACGTTTTTTGATGTTTTTATGAAATAATAGGTTTGTAGTAGACGTAGGTGAAGTTTTTATTGATATTAAAAATTTGCGATGTTTTATGGTTGAAACAAAACGCCAAGAACGTGGCAATTTCAAAAATTTGATTTTTTGAAATTGAGAATTCGTTTTTTTTGAAAATTGATAACTTAAAGGGTTGTAAGACTTTGGATGTGGGTTTGGAATAATAAAAGCTATGGATAGTTTTATTTTTTTAGTTTAGAATTTTAAAATTAAAAAAGTTTTAAGAACACTAAATATGATATTGTTTTAGCACCCTCACCCACTGTCAGTTCAAATGGAACATCAAATACGCCAAAAGACCATTTACCAGCTGAAGGTGGAGGTGGCTAGCAAGTTGAACGAATGGAGTCAAATGCATATCACAGACGACGCCGAATTTCTACAGAAGATAGCTCAGAATATGGGTAACCGCAATGGATATCTATAGTTGGGCCTTCTGGCATGACAAGTATTTTACTTTGGTATGTATAAGGGTTTTACTATGGAATGAATATGGTTACTAATGGTATTGATACGTCTTTGTACCATGGTTTTGATAAGGCTTTTGCTATAGTACGAATGGGTCTTTTGCTTGGGATAACGAGAAGGTCACATAACTATGACCGGAAGATGCCTATTGATGGTTATAGTCTTGCCATTGTAATTATATTGCTAATATTAAACATTGTTTCTAACTTGCAAAGTTTTATGACATTCGAGCACTTTATTTGTACATAAATTGATTTGAACTTATGTTTTGAGAGAGCTTTTACGGAGAAAATATTATTTTTGCTTTGTTATTGTTTTTAAAAAGCAAATCACATCTTTCGTTGCGGGACCTAAGTTGGGTTTTTAGGTTCTAGGTGTGAAAGGGGGCCCACTAGAACCGACCGAACGGCTTAAATCAGACCTGTGATGACTGGGCCGAGCACAATGTTTTTTAGCTGGGCTCTTGGAGATTTTATTTAAGCTCTTGCCTTCTGGCTTAAATGTGCCGGTTTGTCTCCTTGTAAAATTGCTTCTGCCGGGCCCGGTGGGTCTCCTTTCCAGAATAGGTACAAGCATAATGTATTACAAAGAGTGTAGACATTCTGAAATTATATGTATCTATAATATGTTCATCGACCAATTCTATAATAATAATAAATAAAACATTTGTCTGATCTAATGCGTAATTGAATAACCGGAAACAAGATTTATACTATGGTCATAATAAAAGAAATTACTACGACCATAGCAAAAAATGCTATGGCTATAGTATAGTAAGATACTTTCTATAATGCAGTAGATATATTTATATCGGCCTTGTTTTGGTTATTAATGCTCTCTTTTTAGCTTAACGTGCTATATTGTTATAGATGAGTTAATTTAATTTTGATCTTTTTGGTATTTTAGACGGGGTCTAGTATAATATGATACAATGTGGTGTGTTATATATAGTTGGTCTTTAGTAGTTTGTTGATATAGGCAATTACTGGTTTAGGTATTATAACATAAATGCCACATTGCTCTGATACTAACCAAGTTTAGTCTCAAAAACGATTTTGACAACGTCATTGACATCAATATGTACACTTTATACATACTCAATGACATCATCACTAACTAAAAATTAAAAAAATCTTGGTGCAAAAGCAGTACGCCTCTAAAGCAAGTTTAAATTTGCAGCAAATTGCAAGAAATCGGATCCGAAATTGACATTAAACAGACTTTGGAACGTCCGCCATGACCTCATTCCTATATTTGGCACCTTCATTTACGAAATTGACCGCGTATTTTAGGCGTGACGATTGAATTAAAATCGACTTGAGCTTTTGTTTAGGCAAGGGCTAGACAAGAAAGAGGGTTTTGAAGGTCGACATGGGGAGAAATGAGAGAGTATGAAGTTGTAAGAGGGTCTAGAGTAAAAGAGTACGTAGTAGTAAGAGAGGTCAGAGAAAAAGAGCATGGAAAATGAGAGAGAAAAGGGTAAAAAAGAAAAAACGATAGCTTTTGGGGATGGATATTGACGGAATGAGAGTGTATAGACTAATAAGAGAGACCAGAGAAAGACATATTAAAAAATGAGAGAACAGAGACAAAAAGCAATAAGAAATAGGAAAAGCTAGAGAAAAAGGCAAAGGAAATGCCACAAAAGGCCTTGTAGAAAGAGTAAATTCGATTTGAATCGAACTATATAAAAGGAAGCAGAAGCCAAAACAGTTCAAGCGGCTAAACCGACTTTTCTGCTAGATTTCAAGTCCAATACTTTTAAACTTTTGGCTGTAAACATTGCTTTAGTCATCAAAAATCAGCTTTTGTTGTTGGGAGTTTGTCATGATTTGTTTTGAAACTTTTTTCATTTATTGGATCGTATTTTAGCCACTCGGTAGGGTAAGTTTAGTCGAAGTAGGGCAAAGTTAGATAGGGTAGGACAGGGTAAAATAAAGTTAGGTAGGATAGGGTAGAATAGTGTTAAGTATGTAGGGTAGGGCAAAGTTAGGTGGCGTACGGTAGCGTTGGGTAAGACGGGGTAGGGTACACATGAGAAACCGGCTAGGCCTAATTTTCAGGGCCAGCCCGGTTTGATTTTTTACTTGGGCTGGCCGGACCTGGCCGACCAGACTGAAAATTAAGGTCTGGGCCGATCTAAATTTATTTCAAAGCCGTCCCGGCCCGTTGCTCATGTCCACCTACACAGACTAGTTTACCTCATTTCTTCCCCCCCCTTTCGCAGTGCCGCCCAGATTAGATTATAAATATTAAATTTTTATTTTGTTATCATAATATCTGTATGTATATATTACATTTGACTGTATATTGACAAGTTCGTTACCTTTTCCTTTGTTTTCGTAATAGTTGTGACTTTTCAAGGGCTAAACATAATGCTTTCAGGTTTGATAACGAATTATTTTACAAAATTTTAACTACATGTCATCACATACTTTACCGTCGCCTCAAATTATACGTACGTTTACAGTATCTTGAACTTTTGCTATTACAATAGGTAAATTATTTTGAAATGGTATAAGATGCTTTGATTTTGTGTAAGATACGGACCATTTAAATGTAGTACAATAAACTCGAAATATTAAGGTCTAGGCGTGGCATATGTTGGGCAAGGATAAGCTAGACAAAGGGTAGAGTAAAAGATTATTAAAAATTTACTATTAGAGGGGTTTAAATGAGAGTAGAATATATGTATATGAGTAACTCATACCTTTACGATAGGGCTAGGACTTGGACTCTGTACTAGAGCTAGGGCTCTGGACTAAAGCTAGGGCTAAGGCTAGAGCTAGACTAAGGCTAAAGCTAAGGCTGAGACTGAGGCTAGGATAAGGGTTATATAATAAGGTAGAATAATGTAAAATACGTCGGTTGGAAATAATTTTGTAAAATTTTAATTTAAAAAATTTTACCATTATTTTTTTCATTTTTTTCAAAAACTATGTCAAAAACTGAAAAAAATGAATTTTCAGACCCATCAGAAATGAACTTTGCTCAACGATTTTCGAAAACAGAATATGAAATCGTGTTACAGGAGGTTTGTGTCCAACATCGCTCAGTCGGATCGATACGAGACGAAATTGAAAATACAAACGAACAACAGTCACATTCGTTCAGAGCTTCCAGTAGCTGACTATAATTTATAAACATGGGCCATATATGGTTTAACTTGTGTATGTAGAATAAATAGTTATTTATTTATTTTCAGTTTTTCAGTACAATTTAATATGTACTTTAATATTTCTGATAGCAGTAGAACAGTAGTAGAGTAGGGCTAATGTAAAGAAAAGGTAACTTAAAAATGAAAGCGTGATTGGCCCAAGCAGAGCATGATAAGGTAAGTTAAAGTAAGAAAGACAGCGTAGGCAATGTAAGCCACGAAAGGCAGTGTTATGGTATGTAAAGTAAGTTATGATAAGGCAGAGTAATATAGAGTAAAGGAGCTTAGGATAGGGAAAAGAAGGCAAGGTGGGATAAAATGGGATAGGGTAAGGGTATATAGGGTAGAAAGATAATGTTTCAAAAAAACAGTGCTTTTAATAAATGTCACCAAGAAAAAAAGTATTATAATTAGTACTAAATAGTATTATAATACTTTAAAATAAAATAATATTCCAATATTCCATATGTTTAATAATTCAAATTTTTATTTACAAAAACCAGTTGAAATCGCTCATTATTGCTTCGTAAAATTATTCAAATTTTTTAAGATCACATATAAATTATAGTAGTCAGCAAGCAGAGTACATAAAATAATATAAAACAAAAAAATAGTTTGATAACAATATCTGAAAAAACTAGTGGGAATTGAAAGTTTTAAAAAAATACAACTTTAGGTATAAAAATGTTTCCAAATTGCATTATAAACAGTATTATAAAGTACAGGAACAACAAATAATTTTTGTTCAAAATTACAGTAATACAGACTAATATAAGTATAATACAAGGTTCGAGGTGAGATAAGCCATATTGATAATATCTTTTTTTGTATATTGCTATTGTATCTTTTTAATGCTTTTGTATAGATTAAGGATTGACAAAGACAAATTTAGTGACAGCTTTTTATATATAGTACTTACTGATAGTTACAGTACTTTCAAATTTTATATTATACTGCGTACTATCAAAATACTGTAATTTTCAAAGAACGTACTATAAAAAGTACTACTATAAGTCAGAGTACTAACCCATTATAAAACGGTACTAAAAATTAGAGTATTAACATTGAGTCAACAGCACTACGAGCAAATGTTCAGTGATAGGAAGCACATAATTATTACCAACAAATGTAAGGTACAGTATCAAGATACTATCAAAATTAATACTATAATCTACAGTACAATCTCACAACCAAAAACAGTACCAGAAGCCCTCAAGCCCCCTGATCGACCAGTCGAAAAGCCTCCAAAAACTCGTTCAAATCAATGAAGCCATCTTTGTTGAAGTCAATACTCTCGGCTATCTGCTCCACGTACTCTTTGCTCATACTGTTCTTGGTGAACTGTCCCAACACAGAACAAGCCTCAATGAACTCGTGCATCGATATCTGACCTGAGTTGTCTTTGTCCATGAAACGAAACAACGTCTCCAATGTTGTCTTATGACGATACAGGGTTTCAGCCACTCCGTTGTCCTGAAAAAAATGTTAATATAGGTAATAATTATGTTATTATAGGTAAAAATAAGTTTAAAGTAATGTTGTTATAGTTAATACGTCTTGATTTTATAAAATTTAGATATAAAAAAGGCTAGAACGTCTTAAATGGTGTTTTTAAAACATGAATTTTAGGTATAACTTTCATTTTTTAGCCAAATACTTTATTTTTTGGCAAAATTTTGGACCACCTACAACAATATCAAGAAAAAATCAATATATCTGAAGAACTATGAACTGGATTATTGTGATTTAGGTGTCAAAATGATCCTTATTTCTTCATTGATCTACATTAATCATCCATCTTCATACAAAATATTTTTTAAAAACGTTTTACTAAGTAAATGTTTGATTAACTACAACAATATCGGAAGACTTTAATCTATATCTTAAAAATTACCTCACAAATTCCTTAGGTTTAGGTATCAAAATAATCTTTATTTTATGTTTAACTGATTAAAGAATCAATAAACTTACAATATATTGATTTTAAAAGGTTCTACTGAGAAGGTTCGATCACCTACAACAATATCAAAAAAAAATATATCTGAAGAACTATGAGACGGATCCTAGTGATTTAGGTATCAAAATAATCCTTATAATAAGCTTAACCTACCAAAAGAATCAGTAAACTTAAAATAGATTTTTTTGAAAATATTGATTTGGAAACCTTTGACCACCTACATCAATATCGGAAAAATTTAATCTATATCTTAAAAACAATTCAATCAATTCCTTTGTTTTAGGTGTCTAAATGATCGTTATTTTATGTTTAATCTAGCCAAAGCATAAATTTATATCTTATCCTTATGAAAAATGGCGAAATTTCAAAGTTTTTCAACTGCGCCTTGGTTTTCTGTGTAAAATACGTAGCCGCGGCTGTCATATTGAAAAATTGTAAGTAGGCAACAAAAAAAATTGGTAAACAACATTTTGTTAGCAGTATAAACCTAGATATTATCAAAAATTATAAATTTTTTTTTAAATCAGAAGCTAATCCTACCTGTGGAGCAAAGTTAGGTTGCTTAACATTGTAAACACCGGGTGTGGCTGGATCTGTCAATTGAACACTGATTTTTTGTTTGTAATGAACGAAACGTCCATCGTTCGTCATTGGGACCAATCTTCTGGCCAGGGCGTGCCATGGCACGTTTAGACCTGTTACTCGCTCCACAATATCACACCAAGCGTTCACTGATATTACTCCTGAAATGTTATATTATAGTAAGTATATAGTCTTTATTTTTACATTTCTTTTTATATTATACATAAATATTACCTTAAAAAGACATTTGTTTCAATATTTTGTCATATTTTGGCTCTTATAAAGAATTACAAAAGTCTTGTCGTAAATTAACATTGGGTTGCAAGTTAAAAAACGACAAGACTTTTTTGGAGCTTTGGTATGACAAAGTATGGCTGTATCTTTGAAAAAAACATGTTATCTATGCCCCCAAATAAATTTATAGACCTATATTAACCTTGAAAATTCATTTTTTCGACCGGTCGATAAAAATTAAGTTTTTTTTTCAAAAACCCACCAGTCCCAGCATTGTCGATCTTGTAGAACTCCCTCTGCAGCTCCGAGTTGAAAGCCCCCAGCTTCTCCCTCAAATCCCTAATAGCACTTTGCTCAACGATACTCAAACGCTGCCGTACTGTCGTCTTCTTATGCACCTTACTCGCCATATACTGCACGAAGTGGGGCGTCTTCTCCTCTCCTATAAACTTAACATAGGCACCACGATTGGAGCCGGCTTCGTAGTAGTTCGATGCCGAAAAGATGGTCAGACATTGACCGGAATGCGAGAACTCGTAGCCTTCGTATTTACACTCGTGTGATCGGACGATCATCTTGAACCCGTTTCTAAAAAGTTGGGGTTTTAGGTATGAAAAATGAAATTTTAGGTATGAAAAATAGTGTTTTAGGTACAAAAAACGGGGTTTTACGAAAAAAATAAAGCTTTAAGTATCAAAATTTAAGATTTTAGGTATGAAAAATGAAATTTTAGATATGAGAAAAGTGATTTTAGGTATGAAAAACGGGGTCTTAGTTATTACAAACAAAATTTTGGGTATAAAAACGGGGTTTTAGGTATATAAAATAATGTTTTAGTAAGAAAAATGGGATTTTCTGTAATAAAATTAAGATTTTAGGTAACAAAAGTCATTTTATCTTAAAAACCATAAAAAATCTGCCTATTCTATGCCAAAATTAGTATCGATTTTACCATTTTTTAAAGCAGTTATAACAAGTTTTGTCACGAAATTGCGCAAAAATTCAGAAGAAGTAAACTGCGGTAGATCTACTGTAAATTTAAAATTCAGCAAAATTAAAAATTTCTCTTTTTGGTGTTAATTTACAAATGAATAAGCTACTTTCACGCTAATTTTCAAAATTGTAAGAGCATTTTTTAAAAAGATATGACACTTTTAATAAGCTCATTTCTAAAAACTGTGAAAATATACGAAAAATTCTGGTATATCACATTTTACTGCACTGTAACTTTAAAACCGTACATCATTTGTAAATTGTTGAAGTATGGTTTGATTGTACAAGGAACTACACAATTTTTTGTGTAGGCTATGCCTACACAAAATTTCAAGTTTCTAATTGTAATTTCAAAAAACTTATAACAAGTTTTTTAAAAAATTTTTTAAAAAATTTCGAAAAGTAGGCAATAGTAACTATAAAAACGTTAATTATTTTGAATTTTGTAGTTTTGAATTTGATAGTACACTAAATAGCCGATGTCCACACAAATTTTCAAGCTATTTACTACAACCTCTAAAAAGTTATGGCACAATTTCTTCAAAAAATGTCACTTTTTTTCTCAATTTTTCCCCAAATTCCTTACTTTTCCAAGAATTTCTTTGTGATATCAGGGCCGAAGTATGTGCCGCCTCCTCGGAACACGTTTGGACTGCATCCATTCTGCTGTTTTGGATCCGACCACAGCACGTCCAACATCTGACGCCATTCGTCCACATTCACCGTCTTCTTACCCGTTTCCTTGGATTCTGAGATTGGCGGTCGGAGGACGGATAAGTACTGTAACATATTGTTATAATTTCATTTAAAGAGTACTGTAACATAGAGCTTTAAGTATCAAAAATGGACTCCAATTTTAAAATTTTCAAATTTTTTTAAAATTTTTTTAATTTTAAAAATTAAAAATTTTAGCAAAAGTCGTATTTTACCTTGTTTCGTTGGACATTTTTCAAGAAATCCAGGTCCGTCTTATCACTGATACCGCCATGAGCAACAAAGATTTGATTGTCGATTACTGTACACACCGGCATCCAGCTATACACATCTTCCAGTAGACGCACTATCGCTGATGCTGAGCCCTAAAAATATTTTTTTAAAATAAAAAAAAATTTTTTAAATTTGCTTTTTAAGTTCATTTTTAAACTAATTTTTATGATAACTTTTAATCTTGCAGCCTGCGAAAGGACTTTCGCAAGCTGCGTCTCGGCTTGTTTCGGTTTTTTGCTATTTTTATATGTAAACTATATTGTAAAAATAAAAAAATGTAATGTAAAGTAAAATACGTTTGCTGCTTCTCTTTTTTTTAAAAATTTCTTATGCCAAAAATAAAAAAATCGACCGGTCGAAAAATTTTTTAAATTGTATTTTTTTTTGGCTTTTTAAATTTTGTTTTTAAACCAATTTTTATAATTTTTTAACGTTTTTTTTAATCTATTTGCTACTTTTTTGATACTGCAGCCTGCGAAACGATGTTCGCAAGCTGCGTCCTGGCTTCTTTCGGTTTCCTGTCATTTTCGATAAACTATAATATAAAAACAAAAAGATATATAATTCTAGGTTAAAATACGCTGGTGGCTTCAAAGTTTAAAAAAATTCTATTTCAAAAGTAAAAAAAATCGACTAGACGAAATTTTTTTTTCGAAAATTTACCTTGTACTTGGTCATGAGCTCTTTAGTAAACCCGTATCGTAAGTTCATTATGTGATCCTCGTGATTTCCTCTGTTCAGCACCACAGCAGTTGGATTCAGAAGTAGTAGTGCTAGTAGCACTATTAGTACTTCTATCGACTGGCCTCCGCGGTCGACAAAGTCACCATTAAAGACGTATGGGTTATCGACTGATGGGAAACCATTCTGAAATGGCAGACATTATTTTTGAGCCCTAAGACCATTACCTTTGCAAAATTTTACAAAACCTCAAAATTTAAAAAAAAATTAAAAGTACCATTAGTAGCATTAGTACCAGTACTACTTCAAAATAGTACCATGTCTAAAGAAACCTCACCTTATATAGTACTATACAGAGATCATCGAATTTTCCGTGCAAGTCGCCACATACAGTGACCTGATTGGATAACGAGGTAGAGACTTGAGTTACAGTAGGCATCGTCCTCAACAACTTCCTCGCTTCATGAAGGATAAGTAATAGGAAGCGAGGGTGGAGAATCTAAAACTTTTTTTTTGTAAAATACGATAATTGTAATTTAGATTTTATTTATAACACAATGTATTTTGAATTATATTATAGTAAAAGATAATCTGTCTTATTAAGCCTAGTTCTAGCCCAGCCCCCATCCAAGAGCCTTAGCCCTGAATATCCAACCCAGAGCCCCTCAGTCTATCCATGAGGAATGGACCGGCCGGCTCAAGCCCGGCCCGTTTCCCAAAGGTATCCCCTAGCCTAAAGCCCAGAGCTTCAGTTCAGAGCTTTAGCCTAGAGTCCTAGCCCAGAGCCTTAGCTCAGAACCCAGATACCCGACCTCTAGCTCAGAGCCTCGAGCCCCGAGCCCAGAGAATTAGCCCAGATCCCTAGCCTAAGAGCCCTAGCCTGCGAGCTCTAGCTCTAGCGTTAGCCCAGAACCTAACGCCATAACCTAAAAATGGGGAACAACCGGGCCTAAGCAAAAATTAGGTTAAGCCAAGCCTGAAAATTAAAATTCGGCCCGGTCCAAAAAAGCCCAGCATGTTTTTTGTAAAAAAAATTAGCCCTAGCCCTAGCCCTAGCCCTAGCCCTAGCTCTAGCCCTAGCCCTAGCCCTAGCCCTAGCCCTAGCCCTAGCCCTAGCCCTAGCCCTAGCCCTAGCCCTAGCCCTAGCCCTAGCCCTAGCCCTAGCCTTAGCGCTAGCCCAGCCCAGAGTCTTAGCCCAGCTCCCTAGCCCAAAGCGCTAGCCTAAAGCCTTAGCTCAAAGCCCTAGCCCAGAGCCCTAGCCTAGAGCCGTGCCCACCCCTTAACAAGTGTAATAATTTTCGTATTTTACCTTATTGCTTTTAAAATGCTCAATCAACATGACCACATGAGCCTTCTTCAGCGGCAGCGACAAGAATGGGCCTTTGTATGAGCGGTCGACGCGGAAGTTCTCGGGATTGGTGGCTTCCCACAACTTTCGGTCCTTCTCTTCTTCATCTGGAGGTGAGGAATATTGAACCAAGGCTAAAATGGCGTTTACTAATCATGCTATCCGCTTTTTCAACACCGTCACCCGAAAAGCCAAACCTTGTAGCGTAATTAGTAAAAGGCGCATAGCAAAAATGGCACGAGACAACATAGTTAGCATTTGGTACTTATGGTACTACAAATAATAGGAAGAATAGAAAAAATAAATTCTAAAAGTGATGTTATTTTTAAAAAATAATCAAAAATTCTATTTTTCAAAACTTTTTTTAAAGACAAACCAAAAAGAACCAATGAAAGCAAAGTGCAGGCCGCAACTTCCAGGGCGCGGCTCGAAAGCATCAAAATAATGTAAATAATGCATTTTTCAATCGTAAATTTAAAAAATTGATCAAACGTTCAATTTAGAAAAAATTCTTTTCAATTTCAAAATTTAACTATAAACTTCTGGGCGCAGCTCGAAAAATTTCAAAAAATCAAAATTTATGAAAAAAATATTTAGAAATGAAAATTTAGCACAAATTATTCATAAATAAGCCTAAAATACTTAATTTTGCTTCTTTAAACCTCTAAGTTTAAAAAAATATTTTTTCCGACCTGCGCCTTACATAATGCAGCCTGCGAAACCAATAAAAGCAAAAAAAGTAAAAGAAGAAAACCAAAGTGCCAAATACGATCAAAATAAAGCAAAACTAAAGCTTCACAACACTTGAACTTCAAACCAACCTTGATGAAGGCGACTCGCGCCCATCTCTTCCCCGTCTTTTGTCACCATCGCTGTTATTATGTCACTGAAGAAGTTGTATAGCTGAAAATGGTAATTTATAGGCTGAAAACAGTTTTTTTTAAAATTATCTTTATGTTTTTGTAATCACAGTACATTTTAAATTTTTTTATCGATCATATTAAGCCTAAATTTCAAAAGTAAATAAAATGTAAATTACTGTAACTTAACTGTTTTTTTGGGTCCGGTCCGGTCCAAACTTCAAATTTTTGGGTCCGGTCCGGTCCGCAAAAAAAAATTTTTTAATTTTTAAAAAAAGCAAGGATCGCTAAAACTGCTTTCTTTTTGCTTAAAAACTCCTAAAAATATGTTTTATAATATTTGCAATTTTTAAAACAGTTTTCTTAAAATAAAAAAAATTTTTCTTCCGGACCGGTCCGGAGCTTTTTCTTCGGTCCGGGTCCGCAGGTTTTTGGGTCCGGTCCGGTCCGCAAAAATTTCTGTTTCGGTCCGTCCGCGGACCGGACCGGTCCGGCAAAACACTGCCCACAACTATTCACTAATGCAGTATGTAGTCCGTTTACACAAGACGCATAAAAAAATGGCATTCATTTTGGCTGCACCGTGCAAGAATATAAATTTGGCTGCACAGTGCAAAAAATTAAAAATCAAAATTTAAAAAAATAAAAAATATACTTTAAGTTGATCCTGCTCTCCAGCATACTCCAAGGCAGTGAAAATGTTCCACGTGGCGCGTCGCCGTGCCTCCAACCGTGCCAAACATCGTCGGTACCATTTTTGAATCAAAATGGCAGATTTGATGGCTAAAATCATATATTATTATAAAATTTTGTAAAAGCAGGATTTAAATTGTGTATAGGATATTGAGAAACAGTGTGGAGAAGGTTTGATGATAATTTATATATAGCCACCAAGAATAAATTTAAAAAATCTGGTCGTCAATTTACATGTAAGTTAATGTTGAAAAACAACAACTTTTTTAACAACCAATTTTTTAAAAATGTCATATCACTTGTAATAGGTATATATATCCCTTCACGAATAGTATGTGCAAACTGAAGTCCCGAAAAATAGCCACGTACTATTATATATAGTACTAGTACTATAGAGTACGACCTTATTGTTAGTGATAGAGCCATATTACTAGTACTGAAGAGTACGATTAAACCTTCACCAATCATACGTGCAAACTAAAACTCCGAAAGATAGTCATAGTACTAGTACTATGGAGCACTAAGTACTATAGAGTACCAAAACATAGTACGAGTGTACAACAGTTGTGCTATAGTCATGCCACTAGTACTGTGTAGTACGATTGTACAAAATATGTTTTATAGTCATATGACTATTACTATATAGCACTACACTAGTACTATATAGTACAAAACCTGTTCTATAGCAATATGTTTAGTACTATAGAAAACCGAAACCAAGTACGAATGTACAACCCTTGAACTATAATCCATATCACCAATACTATAGAGCACCAAAAACCGAGTACGATGCTACAACATGGTGCTGTGCTCTCTTACACATTTGAGGGCTTTTCGGTCGATTATTGTTGTTGTTTCGATTACTCAACATTGACGAAGAGAATCTGGCCGAAGAGGGCACATTTTGCTTTTTCAACCGGTCGACTTTCTGAAATTTGGACGGCGAAACCGAGCGGCTTCGCTCCTTCGGCTTCTGAATCCCATCGTCCTCCTCGAAGTCGCTGTTATCCTCACACAGCAGCGTTCTTATCGATATGGAGGACCGTGCCGAGTTGGTATCATCGTCCGACACGGCATTCCCATTCGTAGTCTTGCCATTCTCGGCTAGCGAATCGAGTTTGAGGCCGCGGGAGCGGACCGAAGCGCGCGACATTACACTGCCATTGGCCTCGCTTTCGGACTGTGAGCGGGCAGACGCGAACGTCGATGGCAGCGTGGTCGTCGACTTACCCATCTGCGAATCCGACGACAACTGCTTCGGCTGCGTGTTGGCGACAGCCGGTTTCTTCTTCGGCCGCGTCTCCGTCGAACGGCTCGATTTTTGAGCCGCGCTCTGACCACACCCCATTTTGTGATCTGAAATTTGAATAATCAATATAAAAATCTTTTAAAAATGAAATTTTTTTTGGTGATACTATTAATTCAAACGTATTTTACAAAAAAAAATTTATGGTTAATTAACAAAAATAAGTTTTGTCGTTAATTTAATACCCCCACTCCACCCTACCCTACCCTACCCTACCCTACCCTACCCTACCCTACCCTACCCTACCCTACCCTACCCTACCCTACCCTACCCTACCCTACCCTACCCTACCCTACCCTACCCTACCCTACCCTACCCTACCCTACCCTATCCTACCCTACCCTATCAACTTACCTTGACCTGCCTTGTCCTCACTTACCCTGCCCTTCCTTGTACTGTCTTTACTTACCCTGTCCTGCATTGCCCTATCTTGAATGACCCTGCCTTGTCATATCCTCACTTACTCAGCTTTGCTCTTTCTTTACTTAATATGCCCATCCTGTTCTCATTTACAATGCAATGTCCTCAATGTCTTGTTCTCCCCCCACCCTACCCGTTACTTTAAAACAAAATGTAATGAATATGTGTTAGTAAAAGTAGCGTGAAAATCCGAAAATCGTCTTATTTTTTCGAAAATTCCTTATTTTTTGGCTAATCGGCTTTATTCCATTAGCATTATATACAATTACTCAGTAATTAAAACAATGTAAGCAGATTTTGGTACAAATAAAATTGTCTTTAAATTATTAAATTTTAATTTTAAAAATATTAAATTTAATAAAAATTATCAAAACTTACAATCTTATCCACCAAGACCAACAAGTATTGCAGCGGCAGACGAACTAAACCCGGCTGACTGTTAATCTCTCCATTTCCTGGATTATTTTCCTGTAAAAGATATCCATTTCACAAAAATTATTAAATTTCGGCGGAACGAGAAACTGAAAGTGCGAGTGGTACGCGGATTACAAAATAAAAAAAATCTAAAATTTTTTTTTGTAAATTTCAAAAAAATTAAGTTTTCAAAAAGTTATAATAAGAGAAAAACCATATAATAGGTAGGGCAGGGCAAAATAAATAATTATTGGTTAGGGTAGGAGCAGTGTTTTGCCCAGACCGGTCCGGAGCGTTTTTCACCGGTCCGGTCCGGCGATTTTTTGGGTCCGGTCCGGTCCGGTCCAAACTTCAAATTTTTATGTCCGGTCCGGACCGGTCCAAACCCAAAATTTTTGGGTCCGGTCCGGTCCGCAAAAAAATTTAAAAAAAGCAAGGATCGCTAAAACTGCTTTCTTTTTTGCTTAAAAACTCCTAAAAATATGTTTTATAATATTTGCAATTTTTAAAACAGTTTTCTTAAAATAAAAAAAATTTTTCTTCCGGACCGGTCCGGAGCTTTTTCTTCGGTCCGGGTCCGCAGGTTTTTGGGTCCGGTCCGGTCCGCAAAAATTTCTGTTTCGGTCCGTCCGGTCCGGTCCGGCAAAACACTGGGTAGGAGTTCTGCACAACAGAGTACAGTAAGATAGAATAGAATAAGGCAGGGCAGGAAAGAGCATGGAAAGGCAGAGAAAGACTAAGAAAGGCAGAGAAAGCTAGGAAACGACCCGGCAGGGCAAGACAAAGCAAGAAAAGGCAAGAAAGAGCAGGAAAGGCGTGGAAAGAGCAGGGAAAGCAGAGAAGGGTAAAAAAATGCCGAAAAGAACAGAGAAAGGCAGGAAAAGCCAGGGAAACATAGGAAAAGATAGAGAAAGGCAGGGAATAGCAGGAAAAAGCAAGAAAGGGCGAGGCGAGGCAAGGCAAGGCAAGGCAAGGCAAGGCAAGGCAAGGCAAGGCAAGGCAAGGCAAGGCAAGGCAAGGCAAGGCAAGGCAAGGCAAGGCAAGGCAAGGCAAGGCAAGGCAAGGCAAGGCAAGGCAAGGCAATTACTCAATTGCCCTTCCCCCATATTCACTTTTTAGGCACTAATCGGGAAAGTTAACTACCCTTGTAACCTCCAAAGTAATATTCCATAAACCACCCATAACAAACATCTGTATAAGTATATGTGTATTTACGCGGAGAACATGTTATTGCTCCCAAGATACCATGGAAGACTTTGACTAGATAAATTCGGCCAAATTTTAAAAGAAAACATGATTTCAATATTATATTCATACGATGCACTTTAGAAAGCGGTTTTTTACACAAAAACATGTCATTTGCAGCTACGAACTCATATTGGTACTGATAAAAAGTACCGTAGTTTGGTAAAAGCTAGACTAATAATAAAAGATAGAAGGTAATATGAAAACACTTGGTAAACAACTCCAGGGAAAATTGAAACTTAACCGTAGTATGCCTGTGACTCAGATTAAGCAAGAGTAAAAGGTAAAGCAAGTATAGGACTAGGGTATGGCTTAAGTTTGGCTAGCATAGAGCTAGGGTAGGGCTAGGATACAATTTGAGGAAGACTAGAGAAAGACAGACCTAAAGCTACACCTATAATTAGGGCTAGCACTAAAGCTAACAATTGTAAGGCTAAAGCTAAGTAGCGCAAAATTAAATCAAAGACACACGGAAGGAGAAAGTTCGGCCGTTCTTAAGCCCAACACCTGACATTGTTCACCTTGTTCTAAGTCACTTTTAAAGAGCTTTCAAACATATCTACGTAAACATTGTGTAATAGCTATCTTGCAGTTACTAGAGTTAAATCTAAAGCTAAGGCTAAAGCTTTGGGCTAGGAATTTGGACTAGGATTCTAGGCTAGGGCTCTGGGCTAGGGCTCTGGGCTAGGACTCTGGGCTAGGGCTCTGGGCTGGCGCTCTGGGCTAGCGCTTTATGCTAGGGCTCTGGGCTAGGGCTCTGGGCTAGGGCTCTGGGCTAGGGCTCTGGGCTAGGGCTCTGGGCTAGGGCTCTGCGCTTGGGCTCTGGGCTAGGGCTCTGGGCTAGAGCTAGAAATAGGAATAAAACTTATAAGTAAAGAGAAAGTAACATTTACTATACAACACGACTAAAACTAAAAAGTGTATAAATAGTAAAGCCCTGAAGCAACTCCTTTGACTTGAGCCAATCAAAACTGCTTATTTTCGTGTATGCAAACAAAATTCGATACTTTGAAAATCCCAAGAAATTGAAAAGGAAATGGCAACAAAGACCACTTAATACTAACTTTACTAGAATTTGTCAAATCGGTTTTCAAACGTTTTTTAAATAAAGTTCAAAAAGATTAGGTAGACCTAAAAATATAAACTTTAACTGCTTGTTATCAAAAGTTAATCAAATGGCCAGGGATAAAATTATGAGAATAGGGCTAGGTTTGAAAGGCTAGGGCTAAGAGGACTAAAACTAGGGCAGGGCAGCTAGAATTAAAAGAGCTAGAATAAGAAGGCAAAGCCTAGGATGGCTGGAACTAGGAGGGCTAGGGCTAATGCTAGGCTAACAACTAACGCACACTTGTAGCGAAATTATTCTTAAAATTATTAAAGTGAAATTCAAAAAAGTAGATTGTTTTCCTTCATAAATAGTTAAAAAATAATTTGCCGACCTTCCTCTTCAGCAAGATAATCCCCCTCTTATTAAGCTAAAGTGGTTCTATCTAACGCTCAAAGCTAAAACAGTGAAACTTCAGTATGAACCTTCCCCTTGGTTCACAAAAACATGTTTTCAAAAGTTGTAGTTTTAAAGAATTTGTCTTTTAAAAATGTGAAAGATAATTTGTATTTTCAACCTTTGGAGAAATAATTATAACTTACAATTGTTAGGTTTGAAAGCAAGAATCAAAACATTTATTAAATATAATCTTTGGCGGGCCTATAATTGTCAGACAGACCATTGTAGAAAGATTAGTCTGGTCAGGGTTAGATCAAAGTGTACTAAAGGCGTAATTCAAGACTACAACTCAATGTAACGTTCGATACAATAAAACAACAATCACAAAACAAAAGGTTTATTTAACCAAACAAACGAACATATATCGAGTATGTTACGTACAATACGATCACCGAGCGGCGGCCAAAAGACGAGACGCTGAGGCGAGAACGAAAAGACTGATTGTTAATGAAATTCGGATTGAAAGTTCAATTTATGCAAATTGAGGCGATGCAACTACAACTATAAAGCGCATTGACCTGTAAACAGATTACACACATAAGCTATAGTACTCTTTACAACACCTATATATAATCTCTAAAGGAAACGAGCTGGGTTTTGTTTTGAGCGCGTACCCTCAAGTCCGCGACTGTCAGCCCGGCCTGGCTAGTTGCACAGTCGCTATGGCCCGGCCAGACCTCATTATGGCTTTTATTGCTAGATTGTTCATATAATTCTGCGCCCCCTAACCCTACGAATTTGCTTTGAAAGGGGGCGCAAATTAAGTGAACAACCTAATATATACAGAGTGCGCCCAATGATCTGTTACAAAACTTTACCGGTCGTTTTCTCTATGTTGCGGTTGAATTATTTAAAATTTTTTATTTTAGCTTATTCTCCGTGTTTTTTTAATTCTATAATTATAAAAGTTAAGTCTTCATTATCTACTGTCTGTCTGTTTTTAGATGTCAAACATGAGGGCTACCGTCATCAAATTAAATAATGAAGGAAAAAGTAACACCAAAATCGCGAAATTGTTGAATATTTCAAGTATGTATACCTCAAAAGATTAAGGCAACATGTTGCAACAAAGTATAATTTACATTATACCACCTATTGGTCCCCTTTCAAATCTACCCAGTCAGCCCAACTACTGTACTAAAATTTATTTTGCAAGTTCTATCCACGAAAATACTATACCAACCCTAATTTCATGCCCAGACTAAAAACAAACACAAAATTTCGAAACTGTGAACGTTTGAAATTTCACATCGGGATCTCTTCCTGTTCTGCTCAACGTGCTTCACACCCTCACACCGTCATTATAATCATTTATCTGTCGGTTACCCCGGAAACGGCCAGAGACTCGATTAAAGTGGGATGACTCTCTTACGCACGAAAAACATCATGAGCTGGATTAACTGAGGCTACAACTTGCGACACGGTAATTTTACAAACAAGTTATTATATACTATCATATTCATTAGAATAGTCATCTTAGCCTTAGCCTTAGCCTTAGTCTTAGCCTTGGCCTTAGCCTTAGCCTTAGTCTTGGCTACTCCGCGCTAGTCTTAACCTTAACTTAATGGCATAGCCTTATATCTAGCTATAATTTATCTTTGCCATGGTTTTGTCTTACCAAAGCTTAACATATTATAATTTAAATTTTATTATTAGGTTAGCTATTAAAGTCAAATTATATCTATAATGCAGTATGTCATAAAACTACAATTTTTGCTAGTATTTTAATGGTACAAGCAAATCAAGACTGCAAAATTGCTTGTAGTTCTATTTTTGATGACATCAAGTTTATGGCCAAAGTTTTGTAAAATAAAGTGCACTATAATCATTTTAAATCCCCTTCCCCTCCTGTCTTAAAGATTTGAATTAAAGTTTGATGTCTTATTGAGATTAAAATTAGCCATTACATAAGCTT